AAAGATCAAAAAGGTCCTTGAGTCTTTTTCCTTCTTAAATTCAACATTATGAGAATGCAAAAAAGTTTTAAAAAAAGCGGAAAAACAGTAAGTAAAAAGGATTCGGGTTGAAATTCTGGTGAAATGAAAAATCGTCAACTTCTTCATTATTTGATCTTATTTTTTTCCTTTTACGGCTAGTGAGTCTTATTACGCACTGAAAATAATATGAAAGAATGAGAAAGTAGCAGAAGAACGTGATATATGAAACTGAAAATAAAAAAATCAGATAATATGCATCAAAAATCAAAAAAAGCCGTTTCCACAGATCAGCTGTTAGATTTATTTGATTGATTTGATTGTTTTGATGTATTATTTTTTTGTATTTGTCGTGCTGATTGCGGAATGGCGAATAAACACTTAAAATGAATGAATGAAATGAAAATAGAAGTTCCTAAAAAGAACAACAGTTTGAAAGTCGCCAAACGTTTCAGATAAGCCGTTTACTCTATTTTTTTAAAATTCTTGCTCTTTTTCTAATTCACAATTAAGAAGCTAATTTTGAAATTCGAAAGTATGAAAAAAACTATGAAAAATTTAAAAAAAACTGCGCGTGAGAGAACCATTGCCGGTGAGTACACCAGGCCAAACCCGTATCGTAATCAATTTATTATAAAAATAATTATTTTTTTGATTTGCAAAAAAAGTCTTTCAATGGCTCTTTTTAATTTTGAAGGAAGCGTACTACAAACACAGTCGGAAACCTAGAAAAGTCTATCCCAATAGGTTTATCAAATCGCTCAGCGAAAATTTAATTTAGCAAAAGGAAAATAATTGAAAGACACACAAACAAGTGCTTTTGCGTCAGATATCTATATGATTTGTAGTAAGAGCTCTACATTTTCCTCAGGTATTTTTCAATGCAAAATCCTTTTTTACCTATTCTCCATATAGAAAATGTGAAAAAGTGCAACAGAAATTGAAAAAAAGTAAATAGGGAACATACAAAAAGAATCAGCATAAAAAAAGCGTCGTGAAGCCAATTTGAATTGATGGAATTTTTCCCGATTTTTCCTATTTTTTTCCACACTGCAAGAATGAGTGAGGATTAGAGATTAAGCTTGGCTTTCAACTGGCTTCGGGAAAAGGGCAGCAGACGAAAAAAATGGCATTTCTCATGTTATCAGAGAGCGATACGTTGAAAAGATTATAGTTTTTCAAGAACTTACCTGGTTGTAAACTAATTACGGCTGTCTTGAAATTAATAAAAAAAATAGAATTTCAAAAAAGACGGCCTGAAGGAAAATGATGTAATCCAATATTGCAACGAGGCCTTTTTCCTTGGGAATTTCAGAAATTTACATTTCTAATCGCTTTTTTTGTCGGACGTTCGTTTTTTTGGCCTCTATCCTTGGTTCCCATGAACAGTCTCAATGGGAAAAAAATCCATTCTCGGACAGAATTTTCCTAGAAAATTGCGTTTTGACGTAGATGAATCATTACAAAACGGAATCTCATTAAAATGAGCATGGAAAAATTTGAAAAAAAATCTCAATATTTTCTCAGTACAAAAAATAAACGAATCCTTCGAAGTCCCAATAGCAAGACTTATTTTAAACGGGAAAAAAAAGTTATTTTCAAGCCGACGCATTTCAAAAGGGTACGCAGAGGAACTTAATGGGTGGGCAATTTTGTTTTAATAATGAAACTTGATAGAAAAAAAGTTGACTTTCCTCATTAACGCAGGATAACTGGATAGATAATTGGATTCCCCATTATTGAAAAAACAGTATAATTTCCGGCTCAGCTTTGAATACTCAGCCTCTACGTTTTCAAAAAGAACTTTCATCTCTAAGACTTCAAAACGTTCAGAAAGACATGAAACAAGGAAACAAATGTACGCATAAATGAATGAGTAAGAGAAAGATGTTTGAGGGGTAAAAAAGCTTCTGGGCCTCAATTAGAAGGCGGCTCTCGAATGAGAAGAAGCTGAAGAGAAAAAAAAAACGAGGCTCAGCTTGGAAAAAGGTGCACCTACACACGCGGCAGCAGCTGGAAAAGCTTGTGAACAATGAAATGGGAGGAGAAAAATTTGAAAAAAATTCATCAATTTGTCACGGGGACGCCGTTTTATTGCTCTTTTTACGTTCAAACATTTGATCTTGTGGAATTAAAAAAAATAATAATAAAATGAAAAATGGAACATTAGGCCTGAAGGACCAAACTCCTGCCCCCCTTTTTCTCTGTCCAATGGTCAGTCTGATGAACTTTTTAAGGATGAAAAGAAAAAATTGGCTAGAATTGAGTGAAAATACTACAAGGCTGAAACTTTTAGTTTTAACCATTCAAGCTTTTGTTCGACATAATTTTCAGTCCAACGGCAATTTTTCTTGTTATGGAACTTTTCAGGAGACATTTGGAAGACAGATATTGCTGAAACTAGAAAATAATTTTCCCTCGAAAAATCGAAGAGGTTTTCCCTCATGTTAACTTCAAAGTCTCAGAGAGAAGTGTCTAGGATTTTTACCTGGAATAAAAACGAATATTCTTGCAAGAAAAAATCAGAAGATTTAAAAAAAAAACTTTGTAAAAAAAATGGGAAATTCCAATATCGCATGGCTTAAAAGACAAAAAAAAAGTGAAAAATTCGAAAATTCGAAAATACATATTATAATTTCAATTTTCACCTTCTTTCCGTCTAGACGCGTCGAATTTGTACTTCCAGCTTTCCAAAATACAAAAATGTATGCGCTCTAAATTTGAAAACATCAACAAAGCGCTAAATGATATCCTTGTCCAGCTTTTTTCGAAATAAATTCCGAAAAAGGCCTTCTTGTACATATTTTACACTGTTTTGGACGCTTCGAATGTGCAAATACATAAGAAAACCCATAAGAAGCAACAGGAAAAAGAAAACGGAAATGAAAAAAGAGAGACGGGGAAATGAGCTCTTCACGCAGAAGATTTCTACGATTCTACACAATTCGTGGGCCTATTCTTGAATAAATTACAAGAGAAAGGGCTGAGAATCTCGAAAAATAGAATAAGAAGATTTAAAAAAAATGGGAAACTAAAAATACGAAATTAGAAACTGGAAACGGAAAAAAACTCTGCTTATTCTTATCAGAGAAATATATTGAAAACGTGTCCACTAAGAAATTTCTGAAAATAACCAAATTCAATTTACCTGGGAATTCGCAGGTGAACTTTAGAATAGGTACAAAATGCGAGCAAATGTCACAGGTGCAAAATAACAGAAGCCTATCAACGGAAAAGCAAAATTGGAAAACTTTTGTGTGAGAAAATGGATTTTTGTGATACAAAAAAGTGGAGTTTCTTCGATTTCAAAATGGGTTCATCAACAAAAAATTCTGACTTCAACTCTCAATTCTAAAAAAACTTTCCTATTTGAAAAAAAAAAACAAGTTTTTGGACACCAAATGAAAAACCAAAAGCAGCTTTCCTTTCTTTTAATTTATTCTAGAACAATGAATGAAAAAATATTGAAGTCTTTTTTTCTCTCAACACCATTTCAAAAGAAGACAACAACAATGGAAAGCGAAAAAACGTCGAAAAAACGCCAAGTGGGTCGGATTTCAACTCGAATTTCAAAGCTCCAACCAGAAAGGTTTTGGTTTTTTCTAGTTTTTTTTTAAAGCTTTTAACCTGAGATCTCGAATTTTGAGATAAAAGGTGAGAAAATTCTATTGAGAATCATTGGTAACGTTTAACGGAGCACAAGCTGATTGCATGTATATATATAGGTCTCGAGGCGAAAAGTTTTTTTGTGACTGTGACGTTTTTGATCATGCAGGTATTCTAGCTTTTGAACGCCACAGGAAAGATTTTTGCGCAAAATATACCTGTACCTTTTGAAAGGTTAAAATTTCATCAAAAACGTTAGAGCAAAAAGTAAAGCTGAAAAAGGTTCTAGCAGTCAAACGGAGCGAAACGTGTATGTGTGTAGTAATTACAAATGTTGTTGTGTACACATTTTGCAGCGAGCCGCGCAAATTGGAAAACGGAGAAATATGATAGAAAAACACTTGAACGGCACTGCAAACATTATAGAAACGTCAAATAATTCATCCTGAAAAAAAGTCTCAAAAATAAAAAAAATCAAAAGTTGACTTTAAAAGACTGACCATCGATAAATAGTATTAAGAAAATCACGTTTATCAAGAAAATGATCGAGAAAAACCTTCTGTGTTGTTTAAAGGAGCTAAGACAAAAATTCTCGAAGATCGGCGGCGAAGAGCCTCTGACAGTGTTATTTCAGGCAATCCGAGGCTTCCGCTTCTCTAAAGCCCATAAAAAGCTACTGTTAAAAATCTTAATCAAAGTTTGAAGCGGAAAACTAACAAAAAATATTGAGAACAATTCGAACACGAATTATCCAGAAATACTCAAAAAAAAGGTTTTTTTCTGGGGAAAACTTCAAAAAAAAAACACACAACTTTTCTCAAACCAATTAACAAACTTTCAGCTCAAGGGCCAACTGAGAGCAGACTAAAGCTTGAAAGACCTTTTCTCTTTGAATAATTTAAACTAGTTGAATACCATGCTGGGGTGGTTAATTGAGCAAAGGCGGAATTCTTTGAACATCTCCCAACGAAGAGCGTTTTCGACTGTTTTTACGGCCATGCAGGACTTTGACTTCTTTAATCAACCCAGCAGGCATTCCTGAACAATTTGTAAATAAGTTTAAATTTTGAAACTATTAATTAAACGGCAACCAACAATTTATCATTCTTATCAAAAAAAATTAACAAATCTCAACAGAAATGATTAAAACCAGACTAATACCCATCTCCACCCATTCGCAAGGGTGCTTCGTAAAATGGGGGAAAATATAAATTGGATTGTCCCAGCCTTTAAGAAGGATGCCTTTATGTCAATATGAGATGAATTAGCTCTTTCTTCCGAAAATGGGGAAAAAAGCTGACGAATATCCAAAAAAAAAGGCGCGATTTTCATTCACCACGGGGCACACTTGACAAGAAAAAAGCTCACACGAAAGCATGGCATTAGGAGGTGAGACAGTGAAAGCTGGAAATGGCGGGGGCACGAGCCCTGAAGCAGAAGCCATCGATTTCGCCCTTCTGAAGAGGTGCTCCCGCTCTTGAGTAAGGTGCTCTTCCAGTTGATACTTTCACACGGAAGCACTCGGATTTGGCAGAAAAACGATTGGTAGTCAGAGAGAGAGAGAGAGAGAAAAGAAAAATCTTGAGAAACAGAAATGAGTCAAAAAGTGAACTCATCAAACCTAGGCAAACCTAGGCACAAACCAAGTCTGTTTAAGGCGGCTGGTCGTTCTACGGTAGGTTATGTACCTAATATATATATTTTATATATATATACTGAGTGAGCTTGAAAAAAAAAATTCAAAATTGCGTACCATAATTTTTCATTTTCTCACTTTAGGATTAATCCCGAATCGATTTGAATCATTCATTAAGATAAACTTCAATGAATGACTCAAATGAAACCCCAGATGAAATAGGAAAAAATATCCGCTTTAAACCCCTACTGAGGCGTTCAAGAAGCGTTGACAAACTTGAATTCAAGTCATGAAAGGTATCGAGTCAAATAACCGGCCTCGTGTTATTTCGAATCATTTAAGACTTTTGTTCATCCAACAACCTCAGTAAAGATTTGTATACAGAGAAAGATTTTTCGACGAAAAGTAATTTTTTTATTCAAATTATCCTCAAAGATATTTTTGAAAAAAATTAGGCAAAAAAATGTGCCTTGTAGCGATCGCGCTGCAAGGAAATTTTTTGGTTACGGTGTCTTCAAAAACTTTCTATTTTTCTACTCAAAAAATTTCAATTAATTTTTTTCTAAGTTTTTTTTTCGATAAATTATATAGCGTGTTCAATCGGAAAAAAAAGGGGATCGTTAGGAGAGCAAAACATGAGGTTGTGACCCAAATATACTCTCCCAAATTGTAATTTTTTTGAATTCGAATGAGTTCCGTTTATTTTTCTAATTTTGTCATCAATCTCCTCTTTCAACCATCGGTGTGTAGATTGTTCTTGATCTGGGAATCAAGCCAACTTCCCACCCCTCCCCTCCTTAAACACTGTAGAGTGTTTTTGCGCTCCACGGGCAACTTTAGTTTTTTTTTTTCATTTTTTTGTTACATTCATTTCATTTTTTTCATTATAGGTATATTTATAAGAAAATATGCCAAATGAGGAAGAGAGCACATGCGACGGCTCTATTTCGGACTTGATAAAAAGGTTATTCGCAAATTTCTCTTTAATTCTTATTCCACTTGAAGTTCGTTTTTTCCAACATCAAATGTTCCTGGGACAAGTCCAGCGTCTAATATTAAAGAATTCCTGGGAGAACTTTCTGCTGACCTTCGGAATATACTTCAATTCGTGCGTATTTTATCTTTTTTTTTAAATTCATATTTTGAAGGTAGAACAGCAAAAGGCGAGTGTTGAGGAGTTGGAATCTAGTGAAAATCCTCTGGAAAATTTCCGAAAACGCTGGTTAGATTTCAAGGCAAAATCAGCCCTTTCTAAACCGTCCGGAAAGAAGTTTGATTCTTGTAAATCGTGTACAAATTTCAGAGAACTGACTTTTCAGAGGCTCCGCCAGTGCAACCGCTATAATTTCCGAGTGGCCATTGAATCTCGAGTTTTTGGACGCGAATACAAGTAGCAAAGTCATAATCGACGACTCCTCGGTTCATTTTTTGCTTGTTTCATTTTTTATGGTATAGTTCCCTTAGAAATCCTTGCCCTGGTTTTTTTTTATATCAAAAGAGCAAAAGACTAGAATTCAAAAATATTACAGAAAATGGCTCTAGAGAAAGATTCGAAATGAATTTTGATCAATTCAATTAGATGGATGAGAAAATACTCGTTTCTTTGATTCTAAAAAAATGCCAATGGCTCATTCATCACTGATTGAAAAATAAATAAAATAAAACTTCACAAGAACATGGTACTTTGAGCCTGAAACAACGCCACGAAAACCGCCACGGGCCAGAACGCCACTCTTCGAATTTCTAAGACGTCAGGATTGTTTTTCAAGTCCTTCTTCATCTTCACCTTGTCCGGCTCATTCTGAACTTCCTTCCAACGTGGGTATTGTCAAAATCACTAGGTTCAGTCAACTTTCATTAAAAGGGCAACTATCACCTCGAAAAAAAGTAGACTGGCGCGCATTTTCCTCTCTCTTTCTCTCTCTAAAAAACCCTCTTTTCGAATTTGAATTTTGGCGGGTTTTCTAGTGGAATTTTCGCTTATTCAGAATTTTCACACTCATTGCTTCGAAATAGGATTTCGATTCGTGTAATAGATTTGAACGGTCCTTTCTTCAAAGTTTCAAGACTTAAAAGGGCTTGTCTAACTTGAAAATCTGATTACAGGAGTTTTATCAGTGTTCTATCGTTCTAGCTTTATCTATCTTACTTTCAAATTTTTTTAAAATCAAACCTTCAAGTTCAATTATTGACGAGAAATGTTATCAGAACAATTTTTTTCTCCAAAAATTTCTGCTTACATTTCAAAACTACCTTAGCTAGAGCCGATCCAGCCGTTTAGAAGTCCGATCAGATATGATCAAAAAAATTTTTTCAAAATTACTTTTTATTCAACTTTAAAGGTCTGCGTCTCTAACCTCGTGAATCCCCCATTTTGTCTGGGACTCTCTCGAAAAGCCATACTATTTTGTCTGAGAGACCCTCGTCGTCTGTATTCTTTCGAGGTATAGAGGCCCGCGACGTCAGCCGCGGCTCTCGATACTTTTTATACAATTCTTTTTTTTTGAAGATTACTCTTTTTATCTTTTGCTGACCATGCGTTATACTAACCCTATCATTGAATTTACTTCGTTTTCTTCATCCCTTGTCCGAAGAAAAAGACGTTCTCAGCGGTGCTGGTGGACTCGCCTCCCTCTCCGAAGGCTGTTTGGCGACCTTTTCATCGTCCTTTTATCTCTGCACTCTCTCAATTCTGCATGATCTCTAAGTCGTCTTCCCATTCTGCGTCTTTATGGTGTTGTTTTTTTTGGCTTTCCATTCGTCTCGGACACGAACGCGGATTCCAATCTTAGTAAGAGTTGAGTTCCTTGTAAGTGAAGGTTTGGATTTTTCAAGTTTTCAGAAGGTTTTAACATTTTTCGAGCGAACCATGTGCTCTAGTTTTTTCATGTAAAGAAATATTCTAAAAAAACTTTTTTTGAACTCGGAAATTTTTTCAAAAATTATGCTCTGAGACGTTTCTACTTTTTTGAAGTTTCCTTCAATTTCGATATTTTGAGTTTTTTTTTCAGGTTGAAGTTTTAATTGATTCAACTGTGTTTCTATATTTTTTGCAACTGCTCTTCTTCGTCCGACTCAAAAACATTCTAATAAGCTCATATCGATTTTTTTTTTCTTCTTCGCACTTCATTATGTTAATTGTGCGACAGTGCGGAAACAGATGCTCATCATTTTTATCGATTCTTTCTCATCCCCTGCAGATTTAGCGAGGACCTTGTGGCTTGTTTTTAGAACAAAAGTCTTTCTGGGGCTTGAAAATCGCTTTTTTTCTGAAACTTTTTTTTGTCACTATTTTAGTAAGGAAAAGGAATTTTAATTTCGAAAACTTGTTTGAAAAATGGTTCGGGCGCTGAATAAAGTCAAATACTTTCTGTGAAATTTTCAAATGTATTTACATTAATATCCATTTTAAAAACCATTTCTTGATTTGAAAAAAAAATAAATTTTCTCTGAATTTTCTTAAGAATCTTCTCGACCAATCTACCCTAATTATTCTCAGACAATCACACTTTTTTTATGTCCGAATTTCGAGAAGTAGGGCGAAACATTGAACGCGCAGCTTTTTTTTTTACTTGGCGTTCCGAGACGTCTCACAGCTGCACATTATTGTTTCACTTTTTCTTCCGTGAATTTTTTTTTTTTTTGGGGGCGTTTCGTGTCGCTATTTGAGTGTTTTTGAGAAGCTTTTTTGTCTCAGAAAGTTAAAAAAATTCGTATAAAAAAATAATAAAAGCTAGAAGAACCATAAAAAAAAACTTTTAAAACCTTGAAATTGAGTGATAATTTATTTTTTGACGTGTAAAGAGGCTCTTTCTTTGTTTATCTGGTACTCGTTCCCCTTGTGATTCATGATTCTTATGTTACTCTCAGTTTCATCAATGTATAACTAAACTAGATTTTTCCAGGAAGAACTCACTGAAAAGTCCAAACCAACGGAATCAGCGGGAAATCGGGAAACTGTCGAAATCGTCTTGATGGACAGCGATGAAGACGTGCCGAAGCGCCGACGCCGCGCTAAGGCCTCCAGCGATTCTGAAACGAGCTCGTCCGTTTCTTTTGTTGTTATTTCGGAATTTCTTAGAACTTAGTAGTAGTAGTAGAACAACTATATTGTAATATCCTTACTAGGGAACGTTTCTTACTTCCGGCTGAACTTTCGATGAAGCTTTGCTGAATTGTACTTTTTGACCTCCAGATTGCAGAACAAGAAAAAAATTTCTCGTAATACATCTGGTTTTCGAGTAATGGAGCTTCAAATCCCGCAAAATACGCAAATTACGGCAAAAAAGCTTTATTTCAAGCTTTCGAAGCATCCTAACTTGAAAACCAGATCTATTGCGAAAAAAATTTGTTTTTCTGATGAAGAAAAGTTATAACCGGCACTTTTCGGCTTAAAACAAAAATTTTGAAACTCAATCTGAGAAAGAGCCCAGTTTATCAGTTTCAACGATGAAAGAATCAAAACAAATCGAATTATTTCCAGAATCGGAGTGATCGAAGATGAAGATCTCCAACTGCAAGCCGAAATTCAGGCGGCTAAAAAGGCCAAGAGGGCCGCGGCGATGAAAGAGAAGAGAAAGGTTTTTTTTTTGATTTCTGGTTTGGTCATACAAGCTTTCTGTTATGTTTGAAGGCGAGGATAAAATCCTGAGAAGGTCCTGCGTCTTTGAATTCTCGTCCCAAGTTTTTGCAAAAATAATTCATGAGCTTGGAGCATATTCCAGTCGAAAAAATGGGCGGAAAATGAAGACTGATTTATATATTTCCAGAAAGAAGGGAAAAGCGAGCCGAAGCGCAAAAGGCGTCGTGTCGGTGACGAAGATGAAGATGAAGAAGAAGAGGACGAATTCTCGCCCAGAAAAACTAGAGCCTCCAGAAAAGGAGAATCTTCGAAAAAGTTGGATTTTACATGGAGTTTGGAAGTCAATTCGGTCATTTTTCTCAGAAAACCAGCGGTTGTCAGCTTGGATTCCGACGATGATGATAGTTTTACAATAATTGAAAAGGTATTTTTTGAGAGAAAATACCATCTAAAATCCTGCTTTGAATAAATCTACCTGTATCCTGAAATTATGGTTAAAAAATATAGAGAATGGGTACGAAAAACGGTTTTTTTCTATTTTCCAACTCAGTTTGATAGGATCTTCAAATCTTGGAAGATCTTAAAAATGTAATGTAAGTCGGCTTAACCATTCCGGGACGTCATTAGTAGTTTCGATGTGGTCGAATAAGAACAGATTATATTATTACAGTAAATTAAATGAGTAGTAAATTGAATACAATCAAATAAGATCGAGGGATTGCCGGGAGACTTTCTACACAGTCCGAATATTGTCCCTGCCTTTTATAGACGGTCTTCCTCTGTGTATCTGATCTACTGCCAGACATTACTACACAAAAAAACATTATTATTTGACCTCATCGAAAAAATGCTTCCTTTCTAAGACTTCCAATGTGTGAAGAGAATGATAAAGCCTTTTTTCGAAAAAAATCTCAATGCTTTCCTAGAAGCGCGCAAAGCGGATTAAAAAGTCGCATGCAGTCCTGGAATCGGATTCCGAAGAGGAGCAGCCCGGTCCGAGCAAGCGTGCTCCAACGAAAACGAGGTTCCCACCTGGAGAAAGTTGAATGAAACTCAACTTTCCCAATTTTAGAGCGACGATTGATTCGGACGAAGACGATGATGTGGTCGAAATCAATGGAGACGCTCAATCGGACGAAGGCGAACTGATTCTGGGAAACTCCAGTGATGAGGAGGAGGAGGAAGAATACGTGGCGAAGAAGAAGAAACGCGGTCCCAAGGTTGGTTTTTAAATCAAAAATTGGAAAATTACAGCGGAGTTTGTTCTGAGAAGGCTCTAGTACTCGTTTAGAAACTTTGCTGACAATTTTTCCGCATATTTTTTTCAAATAAGTTTTTCAGAGTTTTTTTCAAGTAGGAGATTTCTTTTTTGGAACATTTTTTTGGAGGAAAAATTTTTGAGTTTGCAAATTTAAAATCAATTTTTTTAATTTGTCATATGTCCCCCTTTTAACGGAATTTCCCCGAGAATTTCGAGAAACCTTTTGGAAAAAAAGTTTTCAGAAATTTTTCAAGCTGAAATTAATGTCACAGGTACTGTACAACCTTCTTGACTTATGGCACAAGGTTTCGACAGGCTCCGCCCATTCTTACGGTTTCAGTTACGAAAAGACTGTGAAAAGCTATTTTTACTAGTCGGAACCTGGTGCCACGAATAAGAAGGCTGCATAGTTTCTGTGACATGAATTTCGAATCGAAAAAACGATCTTGAAAATTATCCTAAGAACATTTTTTTGAAAACCTTAGAGAATCTGAGTTAACTTATTGCAAAACTTTGAAAATATGAACATCAAGCCAAAAACTTGGCTCCTTGGCCCAGTAGATTCGCGTTCCTCCTCAAGTTTTCGACTCAACAATCATTACTAAAACTAAAAAGATCCTCAACTGATAATTTCGCTCATTTTCAGCCAAAAAATCATGATTCGGACGAAGAGAAGACGAAAAAGAAGAAGAAGCTGAAGAGAGGAGAGATCCTCGGCGAAGACGGTCTGACGAAAGAAACGCTCGACGCCGAGAAGGCCGAGAAGGACCGGAGGAAGAGACTGGAGCTGAAGCAGAAGGAGTTCAATGGAATACAGATGGTGGAAGGAGACGACCTCACCGAGGCCTTGGTCGGCTCCACGTCCCAGAGAAAGCTCAAGGTTCGGACCAAAGTCCATTGATGAGATGAGATATGAGGGAAAATGCTCCATTCTCTTGATTTTCAGAGTAGGAATCGAGAAAGTAGCTTTATGAATGCCTCCAATGGTTCTTAGTCAGAAAGAAAGCTTGAGGTCCTGATTACAGTTCAAACATTGAGGACGGGAAATCAAGAATAATTTTTAAAGCACGAGCAACGCTAGAAAATGATCTTTTTCCTCAATTTTTTTTTATGTAGAAATCAAAAAAGAAACTTGAGGTCTCATTTAAAGAACATATTGATGAAAGAGAATAAGACAAAAATGCCTTTCAATAACGAGCGCGTTAAAAAAAGGATCCGTTTCCCTCACTTTTTAGAATGAATTTCGAAAAAAAGAAATTTTTGTAAATACCTAGAATGGCTCCACGTCGAAGAGGAAGCTCAAGGCGCCTTATCATTTCAGGCAAAAAAAAGAGAAAAAAATTTCAATCGTTGGTGTTGAAAATCAGTAACAAGAAGATTTCACTTGACAGTTCTTCTTGGTCACAGAAAATAAAGAAAGTTAGATAATGAGTAACTAAAAATTCGAGTAACGCCAAAATTATTCAATTTTTTTTTTTCGATTTTTTCAGAGTATAATTTGGAAAAAGAAAGGTTTTAATTACATATTTTTGAAAAAAAAAAACGGGATTAAGTTTATCAAGAGGTCGCGACACTGAAACCACTTCAGTGTCCACTAATAGCTTTATCAGTACTCTCAATTCAATTCAATTCAATCAATTTATTTTCGCAACATCGGGATGGTATGGTGATGTTGCAGGGAGGGAAAAAGAGCACTAGGTGGATTAACTAACCCCACCCGTGAAGAAAAAAAAAGTTTTTTTGTGTAAGAAAAGGAACATGGAATTATAATAAGTAGATATTTAAAACCAAGTTGATCCTGGCACAAATCTGTGAACACTTGAAACACTCTAAAATAAGAAATATGAAGTTTTAGAGCGTTGTGTTGGATCCCGACAAGAGTGGAGATCCGCCAGAGCCCGTCGAGATTCATCAGTCAATTGTGAGTTCATTTTTCTCAAAGATAAAATAAAACGGATAATTTTACAGGTTCGAGTTCTGAAGCCTCACCAGGCGCACGGAATTCAGTTTATGTATGATTGTGCCTTCGAATCGACGGATCGATTGGAAATGGAGGGCAGCGGCGGAATCTTGGCTCATTGTATGGGTCTCGGGAAAACCTTGCAGGTGCTGATATCGGAAAAAAAAGATAGAACTGCTAAAAATGGCTGAAAAATGTCGAGATAGTCTTCCAACCTCGGCTTAATATGTTTGTGAACGAAATTCAGCTCTCGATTTCACTTGAGATTTTTGACCAAAAGGTAAAAAAAAGCTACGCAGAAAATTGATCCTTCAGAAGAAGTGAAAATATATTTCTTTATCGTTCCTAGATTTATTTTTATCGAAAGAGAACCTCGTAAAGTTTTGTGAATTATTAACGGAAAATGGAATTTCCCCTGGCTCTCCTGAGGTTCTTTTTTTGTCTCTCGTAGACTATTTTAAAGCAAAACTTTGAAATCGTTCAACTAAAAAAGGAAGAAAAAAATTAAGCTTCTAAAGTATTTAAAAGAATATTACTAGATTTTATTTATTTGTGAATTATGACCTGAAAAATGAGCTTAAAATGACAGAAACTTTGGATTAAAAATTTATTTCTTCAAGGTGATTTCGTTTCTGCACACGGTCATGATGCACCCGAAAATTGGCGAAAAAGCGAGACATGTCCTGGTCGTCGTGCCGAAAAACGTGATCATCAACTGGTACAAGGAGTTCAAAAAGTGGCTGACTGATAACGACGAGGACCTCGACACTATCGATGTGATTATTTCTTTTTTTTTTAGAATTTTGTAAAAATGACATTCAAAATTGAGAGAGAAGGGATTTTATAGCATTCAATCTTAAACCGCTAAGTTTTTGAAAGAAAGTCAATGATATTCTAAATAATCGCTCCAGTTTTCTAAGTGGTTTGGTTTTTTGAATTTCGCTCTGAAAATCCTGAGAAAAACTCCAATTTTCAAAAGAACATGAAAATTAGCAATTTTCTCAAGTTTTCAACGATCTTCGAGCAAGGTTGTCGTCATTATTTTGTACAGGAATGTTTAAAGGGGCGAAAAAAAATTTTTTCCGCATTTTCAGGTCGTCGAGCTTGATTCTGCAAAAACGATTTATGATCGGCATCATGTTTTGGAATCTTGGCACACTGCGAAAAGTTGGTCCAACAATAATTTTCTCATTTCTAAAAGCGAAAAATCCTTCAAACTGAGATATTTCAGCTCCTACAGTGCTGATCATCGGCTACGACATGTTCCGGATTCTGACGGCCGAGGGGAAAACGCCCAAAAAGGGAGTCAAGCCGAAGAAGGTTTTGTTGAAGGATGAGAGGAAGATAATCAATTGTTTGCAGCAAACAAGGAAGAACAAAAAGTTCGCCAAATTCCAGGAGGGCTTCCGCAAATTTTTGCAGAATCCTGGTGGGTTTTTGATAAGGAAAAGCTGGAAAATTCCTGGCCATAAACAAGGATACTCTGAATATTCAAAGGGATGTGTTTTAATTCGTTCAAAATGAGAAAATGGGAAGGAAAGGTCACAAAAGCGTCGAAAATCCTTTATAAACATTTGGAATGAGTTTTTTTAGTTCAAATTCGAAAACCTATTATGAGATCAAATTTTTTTTTCTGGAATATTGAAATTTTGTTTTTTTTTTTTCTCTGTAAAGAAGAGCTCTAGAATAAAAATTATATAATCTTGATTTTAAATTATTTTTGAATTGTCATCGATTGGAGAAACTTTTACTCCTGAATTTTTTACAAAGTTATTTCCAGGCCCAGATTTGGTTGTGTGCGACGAGGCGCACAAGCTGAAAAACGACGAATCGGCTCTGTCGAAGACGATGGTCAAAATTAGAACGAAACGGCGAATTTGCCTCACGGGAACCCCTCTACAGAATAACTTGATGGAGTGTGAGTTTCGAAAATTTTTCAAAAAAGAAAGAATAAGCTGCTAGAAGAGAATATTCTTATAGAAACTAGAGAAAATCAACTTTCAATTCCGATCCATCCAACCTTTGATATTGGTTAGATCTTCTTAGGAAGCTTGATATAGTCCGTTTTTTGCGACTTAAAACGTTTCTCTGCTCCCTCCTCTTCTCTCTGCAAACTGACGTGCTATTTTCATATTTCCCTGACCTCGCCGGTGAGGGAACAGAGAGACGCAGACACTCGAAAACTTCCGAGTCTCGGCAAACGGGCTGAATGAATGACAAGTTGAAGAATTTCTGATTTTTCAGACCACTGCATGGTCAACTTTGTGAAGCCCGGCCTTCTCGGTACGAAAGCCGAGTTCGCGAATCGTTTTGCGAATATCATTGCAAAGTTTGTTTTTCTCATTTTTGAAGTCTGAACAGAAAGGAGCAACATCACTAATATCTACATTAACAGGGGTCGAACCAAAGATGCTCTGCCGGCCGAAGTCAAGTTCATGAAACGCCGTTGTCACGTCCTCTTTGAGCACTTGAAAAGATGTGTTGATGTAAGTTTTAGGGAAAAAATTGCGAGACGAAACAAAAACTTTGAAAATTTCGATCGGTAACTACCCGGAACCAAGCCGAAAAAAGTCTTTTTTCAATTTAAATTTCCTGCATTGCTTAGCTTTCTAATTAGTTCCATTAGCAGGATGCTAAATATTTTTCTTTGCTACCAGGTTAAAAAAACATGTTTAACTTGGCCAACCAAAAATGTTCCCCTATTTTTCTCGTATTTGTGTGTTTCATTACCTTCTTCTTCTTTCTACGCCTTGGTACCGATTGAGCGACGTCGGCGTCCCAAGTCGATGAGCCGAGGTCCTATCCTGATATTGATAATCAGTGGACTGATTCTAGTGACATATCCGTCCTTGTGTGGGACGGCTGGGGATTTTGAAGCCGTTGTTTCCCACTACCAATATTTCTTAAACCCCTTGGTTGGGTCGAGGCGGGGATCGAACTTGTGACCCTGTGGACCGTAGACAGGCACACAAACTGTTGCGCTACGAAGCCCGTGTGTTTCATTACCGAAATCAAATATTCAATAAATTTACGGACAAAAAAATTTTCCAGAGAAAAGACTACCGAGTGCTGACCGAAGCTATCCCGCCCAAGCAAGAATACGTGATCAACGTCCGATTGACGACAAAACAGTGCAAGCTTTACAGGTAATACGGGATATATGATGCTTCTTCCAACTCATTTTCCATTTCCAGAGCCTTCTTGGATCGCGTCGTCAACCAGGAGAACGGCCTGGGTCTATCGAAGCGACTTCTGCCCGATTATCACATGTTGTCTCGTATCTGGACGCATCCTTATCAGTTGATCATCCATGAGATTCGGATGGATCGCGAGGTTTTAAAAAAAGCTATTCAAAGGGGGATGGGGGGTCAGAAAGAGAAGCTGTATAGAAAAAAAGTTCTTCTAGTTGTTTTAACAAAAATTACCAAAGGGATTTTTTTAGAAAAAAAAATTTTTTTCGATTTCTCTTTATCTCTTTACTGTCAAAAAACTCCATTGAAAAATTGAAGACAAATTTTTTTTTTCTAATGTTCAAAGAACATCAGGTACAAGACCTCTCTTGTACCTGATGTTCTACGAGCGAATTTCACAACTTCTCTGCCTAAGCCACAGCTCCTGCCGTCGTTTAAACACAGTCAAATCAATGAAAGTCGATTGCACATGTATTCTTACATTGAAGATGCAATAAACAGTTTTTTAAACAATGTTCAAAGCTCGACTTGAAGTCAAAATGGAGAGAAAAACGCGTTTTTTTTTTCAACTACTACTGTCCCTAGTTACATTGAAAACTTGCAGTCCCTAAAGAATTCAAAAAGTTGGTTTCTCTCTAGATCACGAGAAAAAGAGGCAACTTTATATATTCTAAAGTTTACAGCAGAACGTACACAGAGGTAATATGTATAAAATGAACCATTTTTCTGCAGCGAATGATGCGAGATGATCGCGAAGAGGAAGACAACTTCGTGGTGGAATCCAGCGACGAAGAGGAGGAGGCCGAGGCTTCCGGCGATTCTGGAGAAGAATCCGAAGATGAAGTCGTTCCGCTGTCCGTTTTTGATTAAATTAGAAGGATGGTTGAATCTTTACAAAAGAGTGTTGGGACTACAATTATCGAAGAACTGAATCCAAGAAATGCATTTCTAGATAAAGTCAAACGTATTCCATCCTGTTATCCGAAACTATCTCAAAAAATATTTTCTTTCTTTTTTTTTTTAAATCTGGTAGAGCTTAGAAAAAAAGAAATTAGACTTCACAAAAACACTTTAAAATATATTAATGATCTTATTTTCAAAATCTTGAGCTACTCGAAGAGTTATGAGTCCTTCGAAGTTTCGTATATTTGAGAAAAAAGGATGATCTTCAAAGAGTTTTGAATCACTCAAAGGCATTGGATATAGGGATATTGACATTTTTAAATTTTGCTTTTAAATTGCTCGGAAAGTGTTGGAGAAGTGAAAAAAACAATGACAACAATCACTAATAATAATTGAAATTACAGCGGCGACGATGATGAAGAAGAAATATTGACGGGCGGCCGGCGTGGCACTCAAAGTACCGGGGAACGGAAATCGAGGCGTTTGGGCGGCGATGAGCCGGAATTCCGTGACACTGACACTCCTCCCGAATATTCTGGATGGTGGGAAAGAGCCCAGGAAAAGTTATGTACCGTTCTTTTGGAGGTTCTCGCCGTTGAACCTTGTTTCGGAGGATGATGAGGACGACTATACGTTGAGTAATAAGCTTGTGCTGCTGGCAGCGATCATCAAGAAGTGCGAGGAGATCGGCGACAAGTTGTAAGTTTTCCGGGAAATGTCCATTTTTTAAATGTTTCTCTGCGCCCTCCACCTCTCTCGGCGATGCTCTCATGTTCGCGTGATATTTTGATATTTCTCTAACCTCGCCGGTGAGGAAATAGAGAGACGCAGACGTTCGTCGCGGCGAACGGGCCTCTATAATCAATCAGAAATCCAAAATATTGATCGAAAGTCAATTTCGATTTTTAGATGTAGTTGGCCAGTTATAGTCAATGTTTCCCGACTTGAAAGGTGATATGGGCTGGTTGGCAAGGGCGAGGTGTTGCGTGTGCGACGCGGCTATTTGGCGGCAAGCCAAAATTCAAATGTGGGAGACAATTTGGAGAGTTCGGCCACCGCTTTTTTATTTCCTTTTTTCTTTTTCTTATTCTGTTTGGAAAGACAAAAGAAAAAATGTCACCGATTGAGCTGTAAACCCATTCCAAATAATATTGGAATCAGTTAAATTATTCTTAAACGAAGTTTTTTTAACGCAATTTAAAAAAATAACTTAATATATAAAAAGACTCCTTCTCATACATCTTGACGCGGACGCCACGGCGGGTTTGTCGTGACACAGAAGACGTCCCTTGACGGCGACTGACTGCTCGGAGCCGATGATTCCAGCATGGACGACACTCAACGTCGTCGCCAACACCAACGTCTTCATTCTCTTCTGAAAGGAAAACTCAACTTGAAAGACCCGGAGAGAAAGTCGATTTGTTGGCGAGAAGACAGCTATAAAAGGGAAACACAACCTCTAAACAATCAAGTGTAATGTCCAGACCGCCCTATTGTTTTTTCTGTGATATCATTTGGCCTGAAGATCGCCGAATTTTGCGGAAATGATTCATTGAAAAACTAAAGTGTACTTTTTCTTGTTCGACACAATAAGTAGAAATCTCTTTTAACATAAAAATTTATGAAAAATAAAATTTATCTAAACATTTCAATTGAGGCAGTCACGAGTTTCTCCTGAGAATTTGGCGGCGAGTTGAAGAATTCCGAAGTCGAAGAACTTCTTTGGTTGTTCTCCACTGCTGATATACGAGTCGGGAATGTAGACTGTGATCTTGCGTTGGCATGGCTGCAAAGACTTTCTTCAGCAAAAAAAGTTTTCTATGAACTTTCAAGATCACGGTTTTTAACGGTTTCAGAGAAGAAAACTCATGAAGAGCGACAAGAAGAAATTTTATAAATTTAGTTTCCATGTTCCCCTGTGTTTACCTTGATTCCGTCGTCACAATCGTGGTAGACGTTGAGTTTTGGCTCGATCGAGGTGAATTCGTCAGCATGGCCGCTCAATTCGAACTTACCACTGCCGTCACTCTTTCCAGATGCCATCAACTCGTCAGGCGAGACTGCAAATCTCATGGAAAGCAAACGAGAAAAACCAAAAATTGGATATGTGATTTGATTTGATTTGAAAGAAAGATTTACGTTTGTCTTCGTCGAAGATCTTGACTTTGATGTTAGCAGCTGGGTGGTCGTGGCACATCAACGTGCCACGGACGCCGACTGACTGAGTCCTTCCAAGGGCCGAAGCGCCTTGAACGAGTACTGCCAGCAGGACTAACGCACGGTTCATCGCAGATTGAGAAATGCGAATAGGTGGACAGAAAGAAACGAAGAAGAAGAAGGAAGCAAGGCCGACGACTGACGGCCGAACAAAAAAACAGTGTAACAGGGCCACATCTTTTGTACTCCTTCGACTTGTCTTTGTGATATCAAAGTCTGCAGTCAATAATAAATCGTTGGGGAATGACTGGCCACTTCTCCGATATCCATAACTATGTAATTTTCATGAGCTGAAGTATGAAGATTTCGAAGATTGTACCAATCAGGAAATTTAGCTTCTTTCTCAAAAATAATGGAATGTATTTCAAGGCGCTGCAGAGCCACAACTTGCCGTGCTTTCAGTTTTCTGCTCTTTGACCGGGAAATAATTCTACCTCAAAAAAACCAAGTTCGAACTAAATAGCTATATGAATATGAGCCCTACGAAAAAGTGGAAAATGGTGTTTTCCTTAGGAAAATTCAAACCAGACCTTTTCTCGCCAAAAAAATCGTAACTTGAGCTTGAAAAATTTCTCTCGAAGACTTTCTACGATTGAAAATTTCAATGAAACGCACAAATTTTTTTAATTCGGAGAATATCCAACTTTCGAAAAAAATAATTACAAATATTTTTCCAGATTGGTCTTCTCACAATCTCTAGAGTCTCTCACACTTATCAAGCGGATGTTGACGTATTTCGCCGGGACAAATCAGTGGTTCGCCGATGGACACGAGGCGATCAAGGCCGATGGAGAGGTATTAGAGAGAAAGAGATTGGCTGAGCATCAACTGGAGCTTTCCTACAGGCGTGGTCTTGGAAAGAGGGGCTCGATTTCATGCAAATTGACGGCTCTGTACAATCCGGCAAACGTGACGCCGTTCAGACCAAGTTCAACAATGCGAGAAATTTGAGGGCGAGGTATGCTACAAAATAAGATTCTGGTCGCATTTGGAATGACTCGAAGCGTTGCGGTCGCATTTCTTAGGGATTGCAAAAGATTTACAGTCAAGAATTTGATGAATTTTCGCTGAGAAGTACTCTAGGAAATTCTACTTTTTATTCAGCCATCAAGTACTGCCTTTTAGTATGGTTACAGTGTTTTTCGCGACTTGAAAGGTCGGAACTTCTCTGCGACCTCCTCGTCTCTCAACAACACTCTCATGTTGACGTGCTATAGTCTGTTCAGATTCTGAATGTCAAGTTATGAATTATTTGAAGGAAAATGACGTCATTCGAAAACACTATATAGGTGGCTCGCTCTCTGACTCGTTATATCGCACAATTAGAGGCGGAGCTTGAGCGACGACTTGACATTCACAATCTGAACAACAGACTATATTTTCACTTTTCTCTGAACTCGTCGGTGAGAGAACAGAGAGACGCAGAAACTTTCGGTCGGAGTCCTTATGCTCAAAAATACAGATTGATGTTGATTTCGACAAGAGCCGGATCTCTGGGAACGAATATGGTGGCCGCGAATCGTGTCGTCATTTTCGACGCATGCTGGAATCCGTCGCACGACACTCAGTCCCTTTTCCGAGTTTACCGTTTCGGACAAACCAAGCCTGTCTACATCTATCGGCTCATCGCTCATGTAAGGATGAAAGTGAAAAAAAATCAAAAATTTCCGAAAAATTGGATTGGTTAGACAGAGAGGACCCTGCAAGACCTAGGTTCGTGAAAACTGGGGATGATTTTGTAAACCTCAAATGCGGGGTCGCGCCGAGGAAATGCAAGATCGGCGCGGCTACGAAGCAGCACTTTTTTGTTTGCGACATCGATTTTATCTCGAGAGTTTTCAAAAATGAAGGAAAGGTGGTGGCGCTCCTAGGAGTCCTAATTGATATAAATCATCGAAAGTTCTTGAAACTGTACTTTCGACAGACTAAATCATATATTTTTCTAATTCAAACTTAGTTTTATCTTCCCAGGGTACAATGGAAGAACGGATCTACAAGCGTCAAGTGACAAAAGAATCGACGTCGATGCGAGTCGTCGATGAGGCTCAGATTCAGCGTCACTACGACGGTCACGATCTTCAGGAGCTCTACCAGTTCGTCAAAAAAAATCTCCGACTTTGATATACTTTTTACTGTCTCTAACTATTCTAACTAGGAAACGTTTTTTTTTCTCGTTCCCGATTTATGGAGCTTCGAGCTTCGCAAAATACGCAAATTATGACAAAAAAGCGCCATCTCAAGCTTTCGAAGCGTCTTAACTCGAAAACCAGATCTATAGCAAGAATTTTTTTTCTTTTTTGGTTTCCTTAGTAAAATTGTAATTTCCTCCATTCCACGTCTCGAGTATCCATTTCCACTTCGAAATCTTCCAGATTCAACCCGAGTGAGCTGGACGAGGATGAAGACATAATACCGACCTTTGCGCCGCCTAAGGTAGCTTCAAAAAAAAGTTCAAAAAACTGAAAAAAAATTTCCAGGACCGTCTCTTGGCTGACGTTCTTCGCGCCAACAAAACCGCTGTCGTTGATTATTTCCAACATGACACCTTGTTCGCGCAAGTTGAGGAGGAGAAACTCACTGATGAGGAGATGAAAGACGCCTGGGACGACTATGAACGGGAGAAGGTACTAAGAAAAGATAAAGGAAAATAGCCATTTCAGATCATTAGTTAGTAGGGTTACTGAATTCTCAAAGAATAATCAAAAGTTAAAATCCTATGACGCATTTCGAAGAGAAAAGTGGCCTGTTTAGTGTAGGGAAAAATGACTGAAGCGAAAAATCAGCTAAGCTCTGAAGAGGAGCCAGAGTAGCTGGAGAAGTTTCTTTCTCTGGGGTCTCTCACTCTCACTTGGCTCTGGGTAATTGCTTCAGTGATTTTTATCATTTTTGGCTAGAATGACACTAAAAGCTCAATTTTATGAGTTGAAGTTCAAAAGACGCTACAGGAGCTAGAGAACCCACAAAATCTTCAGAGTTAAAAATGTTACTACAAAGATCAGAATTGCATAATATTCTGAAGCTTTCTCGGTATATCCAAGAATTTGAATGGAATCTGTGACAGAATTTTTTTTCAAACCAAGCTCGGAGGATTTTTTGAAACTTGAAACCCTAAGTATTTCGAAAATTCAACTTTTCCAGACGCAACCGGCGGTCCGAATCACGGCCAACGCTTCCCTGGCCCCTGCTGTGCTCCAAAGAGCCCAGGCCGCTCAGATGGCTGATGTTCGTTTCTTTTGATTTTATACTTTCCAAAAAAAAAAAGAAAAAAAAAATTAATTTAATCGTTTCAGATCACGAAATTGCTGCGAGACGTCGTGTTCATGGAGTGTATGAAGGTGCCGCAAATGGACGTTGATCGCGCATTGAAGGTTAGAATTTTTGTTATTCTACTGTAGTGGCCCCTGTAGAGCCGCCTTTGAGTGATCAGTAAAATGTTTTTTGAAAAAGGCTCTGGAATAACTATCTTCGAACTTTAATAAGACAGGTGAAAGACCTTCAGGGATGATTCTCGAAGTGGCCACTTAAGAGATATGGTTTTTTTTTCTTGGATCTCTCACTGGACTACTAAGAGAATTTTTTCACTTAAAAATTTAAAAAAAAGGAAAAGAAAATTTACAGTGATTACTGATAAATCTCCTCTAAGTTACTACTAAAGGGAATTTGTAAAAAAAATTTTTTTCGTCTTCTAAAGAGATCAGAAAAAGTTTCGAAAGTCTCCAGACTTTTCTACAAATTTTTTCAAATTCAAATCAGTTTGCCTATTATTTTCAGGTAACCTATTTGAAAAAAGCGCTCGATGATCTGATGCCGACGATTCCGATGGAGATGCGCGGCGGAATGAACGAGTTTGGAACGCATTTCATTCGACAGATTCATGTTAGTGAGGATAGCCAAGTGACCTCTCTAAGGTCCAAATTTGACCGAATAAATCTTCAAGATTATCTTCAAAATTCACATCCAAGTGAGCCTACTAGTCGCATGAGAAGCATGCTGGCGATGATAACCAATTCTCTTTTTTTACGTTCCTAAAGTGCTCACTTGGGGTTTCAAAATAGTTGTGGAGGTAAATTGGAGTGATCACTGGAGGTTACTAGAAAAAAGGCTTCAATTAGCGTTACTAACAAACTCAATGAAGAAAAACCACTTATTTTCTTTACAAGGAGGGTCATTTCACTTTGCGGTTGAGGATACCTTGTGAATTGTCCAGAATATTTATTTGTGATCATCTACAACCTTTTCCTAGGCCCGAGGGCCAAGGCCGCCCAGGCGCCTAAGCCTGCGTTTGGGAAAAAAAAATCGCGCAAGTTTTCAGATGAAAATGATCATCCTCGTCAGATTAGAGATTCTGAACTGAAGTTTCAGAACGCGACGGCGAACCACGACGTCCCGCAGCAGGTGCTGACGCGCGCCGTCGAGACCTTCCAGACGGTGGTCAAGATGACCAGGCAGATCCCCCAGTGTCATACGATGCTCCGACATCTCTACCAGACCACGCCCCAGTTCTTCGACCCCGCCGCACCGCCTTTTCCATAATTTATTTTTTCGAATTATCAAAATGAACAATTTTCTTTCAACTCTTGGCCCTTCTTTCTCTATTTTGAATGTTGTCTAAAAGTTTAGTCCACTGTAAGCTTTTTCATTCGCCTCTTCAATTTCATCATTATTATCTAAAACTTGGGAATTTGAAATGAAGGCAAGTTTGAAGTAAGACGTACAAACTATTTGAATAATCGAAATAAGACTCTTTTTCTCTAAATTGTAAATTATGAAAGTATAGTAGATTCACTGCGCTTCATATCAAACAAAAATTCAGATTCGAAAAAAAAAAGATGAAACTGAAGGCGAAAATGGCTAGTTTGCAGTACAACATGGCATGCTGGAATCATGTTCTTTTTTTTTGTTACGGGCTTTTTTCTTGGAAAAAGTTAAAGTGATCACTAGAGTGTTTTTTTCTAAAAAAATTCTTTGAAATAATCTCATTCCTTTTTTTGGCCGCTCAAAAAAACGCTTGATAAATCTTTTTATGGTTTAAAAAATTTCTAAAGTGGCCACTTAAAATTTTACCAAAAATACTTTTTTTTACGTTTTTTTTTCCTCCTCTAATATTTTTAATACTGAATCTAAACTTTTTCCAAAAAAATTTTTGTTTTTCCATATTATCTGTATATGACTCTCACTTGGCATTTTGATAAGGAAAGATCAAATTGAAACTTTTTTTTTCGAATTATTGTCCAACTTGGTTAGATATCTCTGCTCTCACAAGTTCTGTTTTTTTCCTCTGAAAATATTAACAAATTTCAATTTTATTCAACCCGCTGTTCAATTTATTTTCTTTTCACAGAAAACAATCAAGGTTCCAAGCAATCATTATTTTTCTCTGCTGTAGATGGTGTTATTACGTTGGATCTTTTTGAAAAAAAAAATAAAGTATTTATTACAGGATTGACTAAAGAACTATAAGAATAAAAGAATAAATGCGATATCGTGTTAGGTGAAGTTTTTCAAAAAATCAAAATAAGGCATATCGCTCCGAAAATTGTCGCGATACCGTCCAACGTTTTCTGTGTAATCTTTCTGATTTTCGATTTCATCTCAAAGAAAACCGAAAAAATTCAAAAATTCAGAAAACCTTTCAGAAGCAATTTAGAGCCAAAAGAATCATGATTTCTCCTTAATTGAAGTCCTTCGAAAGTCGTGTTTCGATAAGGAAAATAAGGAGATAAAGAGGGAAAATATATACGAATGGCACATGTTCAAGGCAAATATGAAAAGCATTCAAGAGCCCCATAAATATCTATACAAGTGTTTATCGTCGCGATTAGCTTCATTGCTTCTTGAGCGATAGATTCTGCTCATTATTCTCCCGTTTATTATGCTCTAATCACTTGCATCTTGTCGAAAAACCCTGAAAAAGGGTCCCGAAACGATTATTGCAACCAGAACAAAAGCCGAAAATGTCTCATCAATTTTCTCACCTTTCTGGAAGTTTCCACCAGCTAATAACTAGTAATTTACAAGGAGGCAACAGAAAAAAAGAGTCGGAACCAGTTCTTTTCCCAGGATGTGTTTTTTTGCCGATGCGAAATGAGAAAATGAAAATGTGGAGCGGTTTCTTTTCCATTTCTGCCGATTTTTTCAGCTTTCTATCTGTTTTTTCATCTTGTTCCAATCATCGTTACACATAATTCAAAAATTCCTCTAACTGCGAAAATAAACTGCGAAAATTTCTAGTGGCCGGATTTTGACTTTTAGGTGGCCACTATAGTAATCGAATTAATGACCACTCAAGTGGCTAAAGTGCAGTGGCTTCTTTGGAGATCTAGGTTGCACTTTTAGACTACAAAAAACGTCTATAGTGTCCACTATGACGAAAAAAGTGGCTCATATAGAGGTGGTTTTTGCGGCCTTTTGGGTCCTTTCCAAGTAGTCCTTCAAGTGGCCACTAGAATATTTACCACAAAAAATCTGCGATAAAAAAGAAGGTTTTTTTACATAGATTTTTCCCAGAATCTTACGAAAGTACGAAATTAAAGTATCAATTAAAGTATTCAGTTAACCTTAACATCATCATCCAATTCAATTTCCAACTCCTAATTCTTTTCCTCATTCGATTTGGGTTCAAAACTGGCTTTTTCTCATGAGAGAGTCAAGGAAAACAGTTCAAGTTGCATTGTTCGAGAAGGAAATTTTCAGGAAGAAAACGGTTCCTCTCCCACAGGAAAAAAAGCGACGCCCACAAAAACATTTTTCCAATCATTTCATTTTCCGTTCGCTTTCTTTCTTTTCGAGGCAATTTTATTGTAGAAGTTGAGCTCAAACTGAGCCGAAATGGCTCAAAAACGAATGATTTTTTGAGAAATGGCTAGTTGATCGGTCAATTCGAGCCAATTTGTCAAGCCTTGTGGGTTTATAAAGGGCTTCAAGATGTAAAATTCTACAGGTTTTCATCTGATATGTTCATTAAAGACCTTCTTTTTAGGATTTTTTTCGAAAACCTTCATTTTTTTCGGAAAAAAATAAACGTTCTCTTCTCAATTTTTTTACAGAATGACGTCAATTTTTTTAGTAAGTAGTCGGTTTTTTTCTTCTCAAATGCAGCTCTTTTTCAATTCAAACAATGAAATATTAGATATAACCATGCAAACCTTTGAAAAAAATCTCGGAAATTCGGACAAAAGTTCTGTGTTCAATAAGAATTGAATAACAATTTGTCTCAAACAAAAAATCCTACAGAGATTCGCAAAAAAGGACTTTCGATACTTTTTGACAGAGAGTCGAGTCCAGATTAACCTGAATACAAATCTCACTTTCGAGGCAGAAAAGTGCTCGAAAATTGAGTGTGAAACGACCTTATAAATCACCGATTATCCAATCAAACCTCATCAAACCAGGTAGCACCACACCTGTCTTCTGTCTCAGGTTTTAGGGGCGGTTTTAAATTTAATTCTTCGGGGGCCGGACGAGCGTCCTGTCACACGTTTGCTTTATTATACCGTAAATTATTGGTGTGCTCTCATTTTCTTCCATTTTTCTCATTTTTTTGTCTTTTTCCTATCTTTGTCGTCTCAAAATTTCTCTTTTTCTAGATTCCAATCTAGATTATTATGAGCTTTTAAAATCCTGAAATCGGTCCAAATTATCAAAATCTTATAGAAAAAAGTCCAATTTTATTTTTCAAGATTTTTCTTCTCTGGCAGATGGGCTCGAACTCGTGACCTTCTTGGTACAGTTTTCAGCTTTTTCAAATATTATCTTCAACTTAAAAACAGAGGAAACAAGAAGAAAAAGTTTTTTTAACGCTATTTTTTTCCTTGTTTTCTTTCAAAAAATGCAAAACCAAAATTGGACAGTAGCCAAAACGAGAAAACCCGTTGAATTAAGTGACCCAAACGACGTCGTCGTCGTGTTAAGAGGATTTTACTTTGGATGGCAAACTTTTCTTTTTTTTTTCTTTCCAAACAAACGTCCCCGGCATGTAAACATTGTACACGTCAAAGTGAGAAAAAAAGTAAGTAGTTTCCAAGAAAAAAAAAAGAAAAAAGGTCTTCGGAATGGATTTTCGAGAAGAAAAAATTTGTTTTGAGATAGACAAAAAAGGATTACTGATCCTCGTAAACTGCAATTTTCAGAAAAAAAAATTTGTTGGGAAAATATTATGCCGTGTTCAGAAAGCATAATTATCTCTGAGCCTCAGAAATTCAGTTATCTTTCTTACTCTCTGACAGCTCTTTTGAACACAACGAAAACACTCTGAACACGGTTTAACGGCCTAATTCGCTAAATGAAAAAAAAGAAGCAGAAAAAATGATAAGGGCCGAAAATACATCATTCCTTTATTTTTTCGCCGATCTAGGCGGTCATTTTTGATCTCGACTGAGGTGTCAAAAGTATCTCTCTTTCGGACCCACACTGATAAAAATCTTCAAAATGCGAACACTTTGATGAATCGAAACATATGTTTCGCCAAACTTTGTACTCTTTTTTCAGTTAGCCAAACTTCGAACTCTGCGCTTGACGATCGTCACAAAGTAAACTAACTTTTTGGTGATGAGTGGAATTTTTTCTCAGTCCGCCCCTCACTTCTTTCTACGTTCTCCCTGATGGAGTACTGTTTTCTACACTTTCCTCGTATGTTTCTGAGAAGAAAATTAAAAATCTTCATGAAAAATTCCTCTTTTGACTCGATTCCTTCTATATTATTCAAATATATTCATTTATTCTTGTTGGAAAAAAATTATTTCACTTAAATTGATCGTATAGTCGATTTATGTACTGTTAAAATTCACCCTGCGCTGTTGATAAGACTTTTTTTCATTTTCTGATCCTTCTCTGAAAGTCTGAGCTTCATAAAGAACAAAAGAACTTACAAAGAGCTGAAACTGATTTTTCTATGACTTCGAAGCTAGCGCAGCTTGAGTGGTCCTTATAGTGGTATTTTGACTTTTATGACTGAAAAACGTACGTGGACCAGGAGCATGCTCCCTTAGACGTCCTAAAATTCCTAAAGAGGCCACTTTTGCAAGCTTTAATGCCTCCCTTTCTAGTGGAGGTAAAGAGGTCCCTAGAGGGGAACCAGGGCCGCTAAGTTTGCCCCTATAGCGCCACTCTGGCTTTCTTAAGTGAGGGACCATAGACCGGTTTAGCAGTTTTCAAGCACATTTCCAAAATCAGAATGAAGAGCTTGTGACCTGTGTAATCAGTTATGATAAAGAAGACTCCGAGAAAGACCGATTCCTTGAAAAGCTCGGAAATAACTTTGTTCTCGGTTCAAAATAGAAGAAGATATCTCCTACAAACATATGCGTGAGAATGGGGGTCAGTTGTCTCGGAAGACCAGAAAAAAGGAAAAGAAAACCCCCTGGAGGGGCACCGACTATCATCATTCTTCTCAATTGCGTCCCGTTTACCGCTTTGGCGCAACACCTTTAGCCGATTCCGCTCTCGAAAAAGTTCTTTGTCCGTTCTGTCTATCTTTCCGGTTTCGTAACTTTTGAATTTTGAAGTTAGAATAGAAAAAAAACATTTTAAAAGAGACCAAGTGATTTTTGAACTCTGATGAAGTCCACGAAGCCATTAGGTCCCTAGAAAGACACCTCGGAGCTTTTCTTTCCCAAAAATTTCTTGAATGATCATGTACTTTCCAAAATTTTACCCGCTTGAGCTCAAAAAAACTTAAAATGTGTTTTTCATTTTTTTATAATGGAAGCTTTTATAATGGATAAAACCTCAGATAAAAATTAATAAATCTACACGTTCAGATTGTCGCCAAGACAAGGTCAAAAACTTCCGAAAAACCGAAAAAAAAGTTCAGAATCAATTTGGCCTGATCAATTGGCCCTAATTCACCCGATAATGTGTATTTAGCGGCGGGTTTAGTCTGAAAAAAAAATCTCAAAGTTGAAAAAATGTGGTTTTAAGACGATTATATTTCCGACCACATTTTGCTTTCAAGCCTGTTTCAAAACAGTTTCAGCAGAGCTCAATTTCGAATCGTAAAAATCTCAAAGGGAAGCTCAAAGCTCAGAAAACCGCAGTGTATTCTTGACGCCCAACAACACAAGTCGTTTGAGCTTTGTTTTGGTCAGCCGAATCCGATAAAACGCTTCTCTGTTCTCGGTTTCAACGATCAGTTCCTCTCCATCACTCTTTCTCGATTTCCGCCTGTCTCACACAATTTATTTGTTTTTTTTTGTTGTTTTCCGCGTTTCCTTGAACTTGCCTTGGTTCCGAAGCCCGATCCTCAGTTTTTTGTTAAAGAAAGTCTGGAAAAAAGGCTCTTTTTCTCACTTATCAACGCTCTTTTGCAAACCTTCTCGATTTTAGCTTTTCGAAGCTGAAAAACTTGAAACGTCTGTTTGCCTTTCATTTTTTCAGCTTTGGGGATAATCGGCTAAAAAATTTTAACTACGACGGCTGTATTTTCTCGTTTATATTTGCTCTATTGATAAAATACATGAAAAGCGGATAAATTTCAATTTTCAAACCACTCCTTAGAAGAGTTCCTATTTTTTTCAAATAAACTCACTCTACTGATAAAATCATGAGAACCAAGCGACTTTTTTTTTGACCAAAAATCACTTTTTGAAGCGTCTCAATGATTTATTTGTCTACTCTCCAAAAAAATTGCCAAACCAGTTTCCCTAACACCTCGAAAAGTCGCAACTTTGAACACCCAGAAAAAAAACCAGTGAAAAAGAAGATTGATACGCTCCAGTTCAAAACACACCAAAAAAGGATGAAAAAAAGGTGGTAAAAACTTTCTTTAACTTCCTACGTCTCTCGTTCTCTCGCCTCGTTTTAAGATCACTTTCCTGTCTCAATGGGGTCGAGGATTTATTTTTTATTTCACCTTTATTTTGCAGGGACCGACGATGACGTCATCATCAAGGTTTCTTCTACTTTTAATGGTTATAAGCCTCAATTTACACATAGGAAGAGCGATTCTAGCTGTTCAGGTACGACTTATTGCTTGTTATTGCTCATTTTAAAGCTAAGACACGACAAATTAAGCTACAAAACGCACATTAAAGACCATTTCAAGATTGAAAAAGAACAGCTGGTCACAAAACCTCTCAAAATATCATTTGACACCTAAAAAAACTTCTTTGGTCAAGAACCTTGAAAATTTTGTCCGAGTAAGCTTTTATTTCTAGTTACTGCTCACGTGAGAGTCTCTATCCATGAAAATGTATCACAAATAAAAAGTTTCTCCGGGATTCTAATGATCATAAAACTGTCCGTATTTTAAAAACATCTCAACCGAAACCTTGAAATATCTCAAAAAAGCTCCCTTCAAAACTGTTCGCATTTTCGAGAGATCCTTCCAGAAAAACGAGATAAGAACCTATGATGTGCTCGACGGTTTGTGGACATTCGTTTCGGAGACGACGAACAGCGGCGACGTCGGCCTTCAGAATCAGTGGAACGCCGCCGACCTCGCCTACTTTGACGTCAGTTCCGAGATTCTGAATGCGATTAATGACGTCATGTGCTTCAGAACGCGACGGTGATGCCGGTGCCGAGTGCCTACAACGATCTGGGCACTTCAAGCCAGCTCAGGGACCATGTCGGATGGGTTTGGTTGGTTTTGAGACTACTTTCTTGATTTTTTAAAATCATAAACATGGCGATTTCACTCTACCATCAATTAAAAATCCTACGAATCAGTTTTCTAATTTTTGATAGCTTTGTTGGAAATAACGAGTAATCCAGTGATAAATTTCAAACATAGCAACTTGAAACGCCCTGATCGCACTCGGAATGGCTCAAAGCGCCGCGGTCGCGTTGCGTTTCACATCTGATAAGCAATATCACAGCGCCCCGCGCGCAAACAGTTTCTGGTCGGATGCGGGTCAAAAACCGCCTCATTTATTCAGACAACGGCGTTTGAAGCCGGCTTTCATTAGGTTGAAAGTAAAATATTTTTCAGGTATGAGAAGAAAGAAGTGATTCCACTACGAGACTCCACTTTACGGCACTTTCTTCGCTTCGGCAGCGTCAATTACTTCGCCGTCGTTGTTAGTTTTGAAAAATCTCATTGGATGCTTTTTTTCAATTTTCACGAGGAAAGGCCATATAAAATATGAGATTCCTAATAAATTTTCAATATTTTCAGTTTGTGAACTCGCAAAAAGTGGCAACTCACACCGGCGGTCATCTGCCCTTCGAGATCGACGTCACCAGCAAACTTCGGTTCGGCGCTGAAAACAAGGTTTCTAGAAGATTCGTGAAATTCTGAAAAGTGCCCCTTTTTGAAAAAAATACATATTAAAAAAATAATGAATTTTTTTCTAAACAAGGATCAGTTCTTATCATCGCCTCTTGAATAATTGACTGGATTTTTCTTATTATCGAAAGTTGAAAAAAAATTTTTCTCAAATTTCCTGAAGTCCTACAAATGTTTTCGGAAACAAAATTTCTGATCATGGTGTTCAAAGTCAAGGAGAAATAGTTTTTTTCTCGAATTATTATTTTTTTCAAACCGTTTACAGATTACTGTTGCCGTGAACAACACTTTGTCCTGGGCAACGATTCCACAGGGAGACTTCAACTATATGAAATCGACTGACAGGAATGTCACTGGTCGGATTGTTAGTCATTTTCAATCGTTCTATAGAAATCCATTTTTTTGTGTAGCAACTGAAATTCCGAAAAACTTGAGCCCGAAAAACCGTTGTAAACACTAAATTATGTCTTTTACAGAAACAAGAAAAAAAATTGAAAAAAATTTAAATCTCTTAGTTTTTTTGAAGCATTTTTCTAATCCAAAGCTTTCTTATATTATAATATATATTCCTTTAAAAAAATATAACTTTTGCTCGAAAAATCCGAAAAATCTAACACAATCAGATCATGACCCCATGTTTGGACTGGTGCAAAAAGTATTTTTGAAAAATTGAAAACTCGGACATTGGTAACGCGAAAAAAACGGACGTGCTCCGGACGCTTCTGGGCGATTCTAGGGATCACTTAAGAGTGCTGAGGCTACTAAAGTGGTCACTAGAAATGAACCGACACGTCCGATTCGCGTCCCGTTCGCGTTACCAAGGTCCGAGAACCCTTATTTTTGTATTTTCAGCCTGATTTTGCGATATTTTCGAGTTTTACTACAGTTTTGCTCCACAAACTACTCGAACTATTAACTTTCCGCGAAATCACATGTTTGCCGTTTCCAAAGCGTACGAAGAGCATCTTGAAAAGTCGCGCGCGTCACAGCGCTGCCACCACGGCTCCTCCAACACAGAAAACGAAACCTCACCAGGAAGTGACTTTTGCCCGGTATCTGAATGAGAATATCCAGCTCTCACACGGAAAACTTTGAAAAAATGAAAAAATTCCATCAAAGAATCTCATATTTCAGCTTTCCCGGACCCCGGCTGGTGCCTTCAAGGACATTGGAAACTTTGACTTTTTCAACTACGCCGGAATTTTGAGATCTGTTCACTTGGTCAAGCTTCCGGCCGTCTACATTCAGAATATTCACATTGTTGCTGATCATACTGGTTAGTTAATTTTTTTTTTAATTTTCTTAGAAAGGCCAGAGTGGTCCATCTGTTAGGGGAAATGGCCTTTATAGGTTTTAGTTAGTGACCCCTATAGTGGAGCATGCCTAAGCCTACAGGAGAGAAAAAAGTGTACATGGGTGAAATTTAGGTGATCTTTCAACTTTTCAACGGAAAATTCATTTTATTCAAAATGTTTGGCCTTGATTTTTTGATTTTTTCAGGGTCCAAAATAATCTAAACCTTATTAAGACCTCGAAAAAGTTAGTGAAAATTAAAATCCAGGTTCATTCTACTACGGCGTCGCTGTCAGCTCAAACGTTAGCGACTCTTCGATTCAAGTCAAAATTTTCGACGCCCAAGGGAGACAGGTGACATTTATGAAGATCCTTTTCGTTCCTAGATTTTCTACCTGTCATAAAAGGTGTAATTTTTCAGGTATACCAAGGTAGTGGTTCGAAAGGGGAAGGTCGGGTCGACGGGGCCAAGCTATGGTGGCCTCGAGGGATGGGCGACCCGAATTTGTACACTCTAGAGGTTAATTTTCAAGTTTTAAGATTTTTAAGCGAAAACGGTGTACTGAAAAAGTTTTATTTCCTAAACTGATTTTAAATTGCTCTCGACATACATGAAAAAGAGAAAATTGAACAAAAAAGGGTCTGAAACTATCCAAATTAATTAATTTCTCTTCATTTTTGACTTCAACAGATAGCAGTAATGAACGGAGAGGAACTTCAAGACATCTACCGGGAGATTTTTGGTTTCCGGACAGTTTCCCTGACCGACAAACAGATTCTGATCAACGAGAAGCCCTTCTACTGTTTGGGCTTCGGAATGCATGAGGATTTTGAGGTAAAAACCCAATTTTGGATCAAATTCCGAATCGTCTCAGCTCCACGGCCGAGGTTTCAATCCAGTTGTGATGACAAAGGATCTCAACTTGCTCGAATGGTTTGGAGGTGAGAAAATTCCGCAGACCTCAAAACTGAACTTTTTCGAGACTTTACGTGACCTCGACTTTCAGAGGGCTTCTCAATTCGATTTTCAATCCTTAGACAGTCTTTCTAAAGCTTTAGAAATTCTAAAAACACTGACAAGCTCTAGAAACTCCAATAAACTTTTTGGAAAGCTCTGAAACATATGATGCTCTTAGGAAACTGCTACCGAACCTCTCACTACCCCTACGCAGAAGAAAGAATAGCCGAAGGGGATCGTCGAGGGATCGCCGTGATTCTGGAGACGCCAGCCGTCGGATTGAAGTAACTTTCAAATTTACCACTTTCAAAGATCAAAAACTGAACATTTTCACAAGCCATTCCCGGTCTCGAAACGACTGAATTCAATCTCAGAGGATTCCCGAAATCCAACAACCTGCTGCACATCAAGATGCTCGAGGACATGATCGACAGGGACAAGAACCATCCCTCAGTCATCGCCTGGTCTCTGGCCAATGAGCCTCAGACTGCGAAAAAGGAGAGTCGCAACTACTTCAAGTAAATCAAAAGGATCTTCGGGGACTGAATCGGCAAAATTCAGGAGCCTCGTCGAGGCAGCCCACGGAATCGACAAAACTCGGCCGGTGACCACCGTCTACGGTCCGACAAACTTTGACAATGATCAAACGGTAGGTGAAGCTTCTTTTCGAAGTTCTTTTCAGCTATTTCGAACGCTTAAATGGTGATTCTTATAAAAGCAAGAAAAAACTTTTCAAGTTCTTTAGGAGGATTTACCTACCGAAAGATTTGAAGACCTCAGCATTTCAGGCAGACTTGATGGACTTCATCTGTGTGAATCGTTACTATGGTTGGTACATCGACATGGGCTACTTGGACTGGGTCAATCAGAGTGTCTACTGGGATCTGTCGCTTTGGCGCGAAAAGTTCGGGAAGCCGTTAATTGTGACGGAGTACGGAGCGGATAGTCTGCCAGGCTTGAATCAAGTGAGATTCAACTCCAATATTTTAAAAACGTATGAAGTTATGAAAAAAACTGCTTTCACTCGAAAAAAAAACAATGTGAAAAAGATTGAAAAGTCTTTTACATTCGAAAACTACGTTCAAAATGCTCTCTAATTATTGGAGCAAACTTTCCGTTGAGCCAAGAGCTTGAACGCTTTTTTATCACTTATGAGAAAAAGACTAGGAGCTTATGTGAAACCAAGAAACAAGGGAAAATCAAATGATGGACTTATTTCAAGGTTCAAAAAAATAGCCTTTTCTTTAACTTACTTCTCCTTTTCGGCTCATATAAGCACCTCCCCTCACTTTTCCGTAAGTAAAAAGCCTTAGAAACAGACGAGATCTTCAGGAGCCATCTGTGGACTTCTCCGAGCAGTACCAGAACGAGATCGTCAAGCAGACCCATCACGCCTTCGACGCCCTTCGTCGTGACCACGGCATCACCGGCGAGATGATCTGGAACTTTGCCGATTTTATGACCGGAATGAGTCAGCTTTTGGGCATTATATCTGTACATCTCGAAAAAGAAAGTTAAAGAAGACTGAATGACTGCTCCACGGTTAATTTGAAAGCTTTCTAAATACTCTCAGACCTTGATAACGCGAACGGGACGCGAAACGGACGTGTCGGGGCATTTCTAGTGACCACTTTAGTAGCCTCAGAACTCTTAAGGGATCCCTAGAATCGCCCAGAAACGTCCGGAGCACGTCCGTTTCGCGTTACCAATGTCCGAGCTTTTTTTCGAAAAAATCGAGCCGAAAAAAGCTACACGGCTACTTCAGAGGCTTAATTTTTGCAGTTAAGTCTAAATTATTAGAATTTTGCGACGGAGACTCAAATTTAGCCACGGAGCGCACTTCAGGCCGTTTATGCCATAGTTTTTCTTGTGTAATTCCTAGATTCTTTTTTTTTCTTTTTTATTCCTTTGTTCTCAGGCACAACGAGAGCCGTAGGAAATCACAAAGGAGTCTTGACCCGAAGTCGACAAGCCAAAATGGCCGCCTACACGCTTCGCGACCGCTACCAATCACTTTTCGATCAACGAAATCTGACTCTTTGGACGTGACTTTTCATTCTTCGTTTTTTCGAAACCTTGCAACACGGTTATTGTATTTAGCAGGTTAGGTGTGAAATATTTTACCAAACTACATATTCTTCATGTCGCTTGGGTTTTTTATACACATTTTGACAGTTTTAAAGCTCATTTTTATTACGATTCAGGCTAGAAAAACTGATCACCTTTCCTCTGTTAAAAGGGCCTTTATCAGTTTTTTTATAAAAAAAAAGTTCACAAATCGTCAAGAATTTTTTATCCCTATTTCAATAAGAAAAAACGCTCAAACTATTATTTTCCTCTACTTTTTTTTCTTCAGGTTTTTCCTTCTTCTCTTTTTTTCCCTTTTCAAGCTGCTTCATTTCCTGTGATATACCTGTATTTTTTTGTAAATGTTTCTGTAAGCATTCCTAGATGTCCATCTTTTTTTTTTTTCACAAGTTCATTCCATTCGAGCTTTTAATTTAAAATTGCCAATAAAGTCTTTGAAGTTTCATTCTGAATTCTCTAAAAATATGCTGGTCTCTTTTCAAATTAGCGTCACGTTTAAACTAAAAAAGAATAACTGAATACAAAGAAAGTTTATTTTCAAGTCTAAAGAAAATATAAAAGTCGTTAGCCTTTAAAAAAACAATTCCGAAATTTTCCAATTTTTCTTAAAACGGGAAGCGGTTTTCAGCGCTTTCTGACTCTTGCAAGAATATCGCGGCCTTCAAAAACTTTTCAGACGTCGTCGAAATTGAAAGAGTAGTCCGTCTCCTTCAAGTAATCACTAGAAAAGCAGAGTTTTCCATTTAAGTGAGCACTTCAAGAAATGTCATTTGCATCTCAATCCGTTCCAAGCCGAATGAAGATCGTTTTCAACTGCCGTGAAGATTTTTCCATTCTCTAAAAAAAGGAAAAAAAACAGTTGAACTGGAAGTGGAACGGTGGGAGAAAACTGGCTGGAAATGCTTGGGTAAATAGTCTCGTGTGGACATTGTTTGCCGTCAGTCGATCGAAATGAGAGTTCAAGAAAAATTGGCGAAAAATGTTCAAGAGGGAGCCTCTCGCGAAAAACAAACGAACGGTAACCCTCCATTTGAATCGGGATCGGAGAGGAGAAGCTACAAACAGGGTCTGGCAGGAAAAAACAAAGTAAAGATTTGGTTATCCCTGGATCAGATATTCATTCAAAACTTTTTTGAAACCAAAAACTCCTTTTACAAGTAGAGATCAACCATCAGAATGTTTTATTTTTGACCACAGACCTTCCAAAAAGGCCTTTGATTCTTTCATCACCATTACTCACAGTTATCCTTGAAGCGCATTTTTTTAGAAGAGTTAGGTACTCTTTTTTCAGTGCATCATATCGCCTTTCTATTAATCCTTTAACCTTTGTAGAAAGACATTTATTAGTGAATACAATCAACAATTTAAAAAAAAACCTTTTATTGATCTCGTGCCATGGGCAGTAACAAACAAACTCAAAAAAATCAAAAAAATGTTTTTTTAAATAATAAAAAAAGACAGCCGGAAGCTCTAAAGCCGAGGATCTCAAGAAAATACCTTGTATGATTCCTTTCGTGAAATAATAGAAAAGCAAATTCCAAAACTAATTTTACTTTAATCGATTTCAATTGGCAAGGAATAAGAGAGAGATCGATTTGACAACAAAAAATAATATACTGTAACTGGTTACTCCTTCTGATGACGTCACCAGGTGGATGACCAAAGTTGGCAAAACAAAACAGAATGAATAAGAACAGAAATAAATCGATAAGACGAAGGACCTTGGAAATATAATTTTATCCAAACTTTATGATGACGTCAAAACTATTCCAGTGACATCAGCCGATTTTCTTCGACCTAGATCAAAAAAAAACTTTTGAGAATCGATTGTCTTAAAAAGTACAGTAAACCGAACCAGAATAGTGACGTCATTTTCCGCTTTTCAACCAAAAATTAGTGAAAAAAAACTATTATTATCAATAAATCAAAGGGCTACAGTAATTCCTAATGATATCATAATAAAGTGACGTCACCACGAAAAGCTGATGCCATGATAAACATGGAGCTCCAGCCTTTTTAAAAGTTACTGATCAATCTACCATTACACGAGATCTTCTTATCCATTCCTCCAAGGCTCAAATGATGTATAATTGTATAATGTATTCTCTAAAAAAAGCGAACTCGGGTTCACGCTGATCTGTTAATAAATTATTATTATATAAAAGACTACAGTAACCAGTTTGAATTTGATGATATAAAAAATGATATATAGGAAAAGTAATGACGTCACCAGACAAGTGTTTGCCATTATCATCATCAAAATTAATGAAAGAAGCAACTTGAAGAGGCTCAACAAACAAAAACAAAAGTGCAAGAGAACCTTCAATGATCACCAAGTACAGTAACCACCGTAATTATCAAACGAGTAACGTTATAGATACCGTAAAAAACAAGAAGTAACAAAAATATCCATTAGCAAGCATGACTTAAGATTCATCTCAACCTCAACCTCGACATGAGAATTATTTTCGAGTGGGCGTGGCCAGAAAGACGCGGCTCCAAGTCCGATGATTTTGGTGGAACAAAGGGCGGTGTGCAGAGGTGGAGGTGGCCGATGATGGTGGAGACTGTCGAAATGTGGGCGTGTCCGACAGGAACCGCCTTCGGCGTCGCCAGCAGCCAGAATCGCCGCTTCGGGGCCGGTCTTTCTGGTGTGGAGCGGCCTTTCCTCCTCCCTACTCGCCTCTCCGAAGCAAGTTCGGAGGCGAGACGGTCGGTTTTGTCGCCCCTCCGACAACTTGGAGTGTCTGTCCGGTTTTTCGTGTTTGAGTCGTGCAGCGCCCGCCGCCGCCGAGGCCGCGACTTTTCTCTCTCTCTCTCCCTCCCTTGTTTTCTCTCCCCCTTCTTCCTTCATACCGAGTAGGACAAGTCGAACTGAACCGAACCGGATAGGCCAGCCGATAGGTGAGCCTGTTCTTCGGCGACTGGCTTGCTGCCCCCGTCCGACCTCTTACTCCACCTCCTCCTTCTCCTTCTTCTTCCTCTTCTAGTCACACTGTCAATCACTGACATCAGTCAGGTTGAGGTCAAGGTCTGAGGAAGAATGAGAGCTTCAGAAAAAAGCCGAAAAAGAATGCAGATGTAGTATGACATATGAATTTGCATCTTATACCCGTCATTATTTTCCTTTTCTTTCCATTTCTAGTCAGACTCACTGACATCAGTCTGGTTAAGGTCAAGGTCTGAGGTATAAGGAAAGCTCGAAGAAAAGTCCGACAGAATTACATAGGTGCCATGGTAATTGAACTTCGACCTCCTACTCGTTTCTCCTCTGTTGACACTATCAATCACTGACCTCATTCAAGTCGAAGTCAAGGAAAAAGATTGGAAAAGCCAAAAAAAACTACAAAGCTCCCTTGATCATACTACTATCGCCACTACATCAGAAGAGAAATCAATCGATACTTTGGCACTTCCAACTCGATTCCCCATGCCAAATACGGTAGTCAGTGCCTCGTGTTTTTCTCCTTCCCTTGAAGTTTTTGAAAAGAAAAACGACTTTTTTTCTATACTCGTTTCCATGGGTCTGTTTTACGTACCGACCTGTGTGAAATGAAAGAATTTGAGTCGTTTCAGTGGGGCCAAGTATTTGAAGCTTTGACAAGTTGTTCTGATATTCTGATAGTCTGTTTATCCAAAAAATCCATGCTCTGATAATCTAGTTTTCCAAATCGTAATGCCTTTTTGGTTCAATAAAGTAATATTAATTAATCTCAGTTATAAAAAAATTTTTCGGTTTCAGGGTACCTTTTTTTTCAAAAAGTTCAAAAAAAATGTTCATGAAGCTATATTATTTTTAAATTATTTTGCCAGCCTGATTCTCCAAACCTCTTTGCTTAGACATTTTTATACGTTAACAAATACAATTTATCTTTTCCAGATCTTTCTGTATTTCAAATTTTTCATTGAGACTTATTGTAAAAACTATTCTTTTTCGAATCTCGGATCTATTTTGAACAGAAATCCAGGAAATCTGAGTAAACCTGCACGATTTGATGACGAAAATCCCCAAATACATTTATTGATCAGCTTCTCGAAACTACATTTTACCGAACATGAAATCTTCCTCCAAGCTTCAATTTTATTGATCGAATGACCTATTTTTCCGAATTTCACTTTTAACCTCCGGGAAATTATTTCGACACCCATTCACCACATTTCCATTGTTCTCAAATACCTCGACTTCAAAGTAGACCGCGTCGAAACTACACCTTTATCATCCATGACTCATCATACCTGCCGTGTTCGCCGAGCTACCGTAATCCTAGACAGTTCCCCAGGATCAAAATAGAAGTCAAAAAGGCCACTAATCATTTTTCAAACCGATATCTTTTTGTTGTGAAAGGCGCCGAAAGTGTAACTTTTCTGGGAACGGGCAATATCATTCCTCGGAAAAATGAAGATGCAAAGTGTACTACAACTTTTGAAGCCTCTCGTAAGTCTCAGCATTATAATTATAATATTATGACCTTTTATAGGATCTAAAAGTACCGTGATATATATGTACAGTGGATTTTATTTCTCTCGAAATTTATTGCTTCAAGAGAATTCATTTTATGAATTGTTTTTCTTTCTCGTTTATTCTCGTTTCAATATCTCAGCTCACAGTACAGAGATCAAAAAATACTTGAAGAAGCTTTTCCCAGAAAAAAAAAAATTTCCCATTTGTTAAATTTTAGTTATTTCAATTTTTCTCCTTTTTGCACTTTCTAACTTTCGTTCTTTTTTGGTATTCTGATAATAATCATAGGTTTATTCACTGCATACTGTTAGAAAATAATAAATAAAATAGTTCAGAATACGAAAGCAGCAGAATAACTAAAACGGGAATTAGTCCACCCTAACGAGTAGACTATGACCCGGGGATAGAAAGGGAGTCAGAGCAAACGGGATCAGAGCAAACGGGATAATCCTTTCCTTGTAAGATTGATTAAAATTAAGTCTGAACTACAGAGACTACTTATAACTTTCATGGTAAACAAAAATGCCTGAAAATAAAATTATATATCACGGAAGTCCATCGGTTTGAAGATTGGAAAAAAAGAATTGTAAAAAAAAGATTTATGACTCTAATAAATATCGCTCGGATTTTTGAAGGGAACTGTCAAGATTTACTGTCTCTTGCTCCCTACATCTAAATTTAAAAAAGCTCAGATATTTTCGAAAAAAAAAAATAATATCGTTTTTAAGCAGACCCTTTCAAGGCGTCCCTTTAAAAAAATCCTCGAAGCTCTTTCTACTTCCCGCGATTCATCAATTGTATCAATCATACTCTCTTTATTTCCTATTCTGCTGAGTTTACGTTCAAAGTCGAAAATATCCATTATATTACTTTCATGCTCAAATTCACCATTTACCGTAATTATACGCCAATTTTCGGGAAATCAAGTACTTCATCATATCATTCTTCTCTCGTACTCTTGTCGCTCTCTCACCAAGCAGATCCAAAACTTTCAGGCATCTCACGTGAAATCGCAAGACGACTTCCGAGCACCAACGCGACCGGCGCATGCGAGAAGCATGTCGCAGTTTCAGCTCGAGCAATCGTCGGTGATCAAGACGGCTCCCCCAGGCCGTCAGCTCGACTTTCCCAAGAATGAGCCGATCGACATCGCCCCTCTGGCGACGAATCTGCAGGATCTCAGCAAAATGCAGAACCTCGACTACTACACGACGCCGATGCCGCAGTACACGAGGGTCTACGAATACGCGAGTCTCGGCCAAGGAGCTCCGTCCTCCTTCATCTCCACCCACGGAGCTCATCAGCTCTACTATCCGACGGTGCTGACCAACACGGTGCAGCAGGACTGGGGCAGGTCGATGGAGTCCTACGCCGGCTACGCCCGTGCCTCCAACGTCCAACAGCAGTACTCCCAGAACGACGCCGGCCAGGACAGGATCGTCTACAAGGGTGTGGACATGCCGTCGCCGGTTGATTCCGGAATTGGCGGCGATATTTCCCTGCTCGCCAATCCCAAGGAGGAATTCTTCACCAATGACTCCATTATTGAGAGGTCCGGAGAGAGGACATTAAGTCATCGAGACTCGCCGGTCATCATCCCTAAGCTGTGAGTCGCTTCTTCTGAGCTCTTTACTTCTGTTAAGGAAAATTTATCCAACATCTCAAAAAGTACAAGATTCTGCTATTAAGAGTGTGTTGAAGAGGTAAAAATACTCTTTGTTGCCCTGTTCGATGGTAAAAATACGAAACAGTTCAGAAAATCAAGAAAATTCAAAAAAATGCCCATAGTCCCACTCGTCAACTGAAACTTTGTACGCCTTTGAAACGCCACGAGAAATTCGAGAAAAAAAAAACAAAAAAAATTTCGAGAAAATTCTAATTTTTCTGATCGTCATTTGGAGCGTCGTTGTGAAACATTTAATTTTCAGCCACAACACCCTGGGCTTCCAGTACGTGTTAGAAGCGCCGATTTCCACCTCAATACGAAGGGAAGACGATCGGATGACCTACGTGAATAAAGGCCAATTCTACACAGTTTCCCTAGACTATATCCCAGATCCATGTAAACCGCTGAAAAACGTCACGGTTAAGGTAGGAAACTCTACTTCTCAGTCTTCGAAAAACGACTATTCCAGAGCCAACTGATGATCGTTTTCCGAGAGGATAAAACCTATGAAGAGGAGATTAAAACGTGGCAATTCTGGCATTCAAGGCAACATTCGGCCAAGCAGAGGATTTTGGAAGTGGACAGCAAAAATAGTTCCGGTATGATCGGACAGGTATGGTGTTTCTTGGATATTCATCTATTCGGTGATCATTCGTTCTAATCAAAGTTTTTTTGTGGTTCTTGCTACATTTTCCTTTTTTTCTTTTCTGAGGCTGTTATTTTCAACCAAGCTCGCTCCAATGAAAATTTCCTTTTTTTCGCTCAACCAACTCCATTATATCCTCAAAACTTTCCTACACACAAAATGCATATATTAAAGCGACAAATTGAGGCCTGGTGGCGCCAATAATCATTTTGGAGAAGAGAACGACGGCGGCCGCCGACCTCAATTTCACGAATCATGCCTCCACTCATGTAGGAGTGAACGTACACGACCGAAAAAAAACTTTCGCTTTCCCCCGTCCGACGACCCCAAAAATCCTCCCATTATCCATCCCCCGCCAGACTGTCAACCATACAATTCAAAACTCTATGCAGGATCACCAGAAAACTTTTGAACGAGCAAGGTCAAATTATGTGAAGATCATGAAAAGAAAAGCCGATCCTTAAATTTAATCAAAGATTTTTTGAACAAACCACATTATTCTCAAAGATCGCCTTTTTTATAATTGAGTCATACATAAAGAAGTTTCGAGGAGCGAAAAAGTAATATTTTGAAATTCTGAGTTTAAAAATTGCTCAAAGCCCGTTCTCTCGAAGCAACAGCTACTAAAAAATCCAAACTCTTTTTTTGCATGTCTCCGGGTTTAAAATCTAATAAAAAAGGTGTTACAGATCGACGAGATCGCCCACAACGCCGTCCAATTCTATTGGAATCCGTCAGAGCAAAACGGCGTCAAGGTGTGTTTGACATTTGGGTCACCTGTTTGAAGTTTGAAGATGAAAGAAAAATGCAACATATGAAATAGAAATGTAGCGAAAAAGATTCAAAATCATGGATTCTCGATGAATTCCTAGACAGTTACAAAGCACTAAAGTAGTCCCGAATCAATTCAACTTTTTTTCAGTTCAATTTGTTTATTTTTCGCAACATCGGGGATCGACAAATATCCTCAAAGTTCTCCATTTTCAGATCAGCATCGCTGTCCAATGCCTCTCAACGGATTTCTCGAACCAAAAAGGCGTCAAGGGTCTTCCCCTGCACGTTCAGATCGACACCTACGACGGCGACGCCGACAAGGTTCCCTTCCATCGAGGCTACTGCCAAATCAAGGTCTTCTGCGACAAGGTTGGTTCTTCTCACTTCCAAAATGTTGGGAATATCTTTGATAAGTTTTTGAACGAAGTTATGGACATCCGAGGCCGTATACATGATCAATTATGGGCCTTTTAATGTTTTAAAAAACCCAAGTTTTTTAGCTCAAATTTAATTATTTGCCGTCAAACTTTCGTGTATACGGCCTCAGAAAAAAAGGCTAAGGCATTCTGCGATAGAAAAAAATTCAGATGAGTTTATTGATTCCATTTTAGATTCTTCAAACACATTGAAGAATTTTTCAAGCTACCAACCTTCTCCAAAAATTAAAAAATGCCTCTAAAGCAGCTAAAAACTATCAACAGTTTAAATCTAAATGGCTACAAAATTTATTATAAAAACTTGAAGTTGCTGTATGAAAGTTTTTAATCATTTTGTTTGAATTGTCTTTCAAAAAGATTGATTGAACATCTAGCATAAATAAATAAATAAAACTAAAATTCCGAAATTAGGGCGCTGAACGAAAGCTCCGCGACGAAGACAAACGAGCCCAGAAACGAAAGCTCGCAGGTAATCGATAAAATCGATATTGTAATCAATCTATAACTCAATGTCTAAATGTCGCCAGAATGTCCGTGTCTGTCCCAAAATGTCTCGAAAACGTCTCAAAAGGGTCCGAAGCTACTAATTTAATGTCGGTTTGTCGCTTTTTCAGGGCGCCAACCGTAAAATGTTGCATGAGAATCGGCGAGATGAGAAACGACGTCTACAAGGTATTCATGTGCTTACTGTAGCTCATTGTCTCCGAAATGTACCGTAATCCTATTGTGTGAACGTAGTTAAATTTAACTGAAACGCTTCAAACGTTCAATGTAGCGGTGTACTGTAGTGTACTGTAAAGTCTTAACTCCGTCATTCCGGTGTACTGTAGCTTACTGTTTAATGTAAATGTAACCCAACTGTGTGAATGTACACTGTCTGAACTAAAAGCTTTGTATGTGGTCCAATGTAATTCTTGAAGTCTATGGCTCCTGTAGTTTATTGTAGCTTACTGTTAATATCTGAGTCTGTGATTTAAGTGTACTGTAGCTTACTTTATTGTTGTCCTATTGTGAATTTGAGATGATGGCGAGATTCATATATCATGTCAAAAGCAAGTAGTTGATCGAAAAATAGGTTGAAATTGCGCTCTATTGATAAATTCTTGATTTTTCGAATACGCTCCTCGGGCCAGTGATCCTTTTCGTATTTGTTTTACTTTTTTCGGGAAACCTCTTAATTTTCCGCTTCAAAAACTTCTGACTCTCGCCAACACCTCATCTTCTTGTATCTGGATGTCATACTCGATTCCCCGCTAGCTTGAGAATTGGACGTCTAAATCTCTCCTTTTCGCTCGTTGTCTAGTTGTCTCAAGGTAGTGGTGGATCAGCTATACTGACTTTCACGTTGAAAAAGTCCTCACAAATCTAATCCAACCACAGCCACCCTGTTCAGAGTTCGCATCTGCAGGCGCGCTGACCGGCCGGAAAAAGTCGGAGGGCGAGTATCATGAGCAATGCGAACGCTCCGAGTTCTATCACATGCGCGAGCTGGACAAGCCGGCGGCGTTGTTCATCGCCCCCGACGAGTACGAGACGCGATACGTCGATCCGACGCTCGGCTTCGAACTCGCCGACATGGAGCCCGTCCCCAAGAGACCACGGCCGTCAGAACGAAGTTGGTTTTTGCAAAAGTCGAAATTATACAGCTTTATACTATACCGTCGCCCGCAGAGAGGTCACTAAATTTATGAAACTTATGATTACTTTTTACAAAGAAAACAGTCAAAAAAAATACTTCAAAAAAATTGTTTTTTTATCGGAATTATTAAGGTTCAAGCTAAAGAAGTTCGCTTCATTCTTAAAATTCATTTTGTTATTCAGACTAGATTCTTGAAACCACAGAAATTTTATATGAGTCCAAGCTCATAGTGAAAAAAATTTAATCCAGACTCATTTGATCCAAATATCTGATAGCAACAGAGATTTTAGTTATTCCATACGTCTACCTGTCTTGAAACCTAGTTTCGAGATTTTCATCTGATATTTTCGAAAACGTTAAACTTCAAGCGCCAGGAGCTCACTTCATTATCATTATTTATTCTGTTCTCCGAGCTAAATTCTTGATTCCGCTAGAACTTTATATGAGTCGTCCAATCGAAGCTGATAGCATAATTTAAATCGAAAACCCCACTCTTGCATCCAAATACCAAATAGCAACAGATATTCCAGTCATGCTGTACGTCCGGAAGACGCAGGAGCAGATCTACACCCCGCTTCACGTCATTCCGCCGACACTCGCCGGTCTCGCTCAGTCGATCGCCGCCAAGTTTGGCGTCGAGCCAGAAAAGGTTAGTTGAAGAGGAAGTTTGGAAAAAGTAAAAGTAAAAGTGAAAACGAAAATTTGTCCGCCCCGGAAGTCATTTCCCATTCCATACCATACAATTCCAAAGTGAAACGGCGCGACGAAAGTGCGGAACTATTTTCGGAACGTCACAAAAAGTTCAGAGCGACTTGTTAATTAAAAAGAGTACTCATCTATTTTGAAAACTTCCAATGACAGAATGCAATTTAATTCCTCCAAAATAAAAATTTTACGACAAAACAGGAATTGCGTACAACCTCAATCAACCATAATATGATGTTTCAAAATTTCCCTATCATCATTGAACAAACGTCAAGTACTGAAGCACTTTTCATTAGATTTCCTAATCAATCATTAAATATTCTTATTTGAATGACTTAATGGCGCAATTTTACTACTACAGACCGCTTCAAACCCAGAATCGATTTTTCTAGACAAAAAAGTCCAGAGCACTTACAACAGGGTCATTTTTCTTTTGAGTCGGGAATTTCTTAATAATTGGCCAGGACACACGTATCACAAAGACATCCTGGAAATTCAAACCTGTTCAACTTTCTGGTTTTTGAGAAATAAGGGGTCAAAAATCTAAAATAGCCTATTTTGAAGGAATTTTAGGACTTTTTTTTACTTTGTTTTGTTCTTTCTCAAAAAAAGTAAGCAGGTTTGACTATCTAGATCTTTATCTGGTAGATTAAGGAGTTTTCTGGCCTATTTTCAAGACAATTTCAACCTATTTGAATAATTATCTTCCTTGTTAGGAGTGTCGCGATTAATTATGAAAATGCGCTTTATAGCTCACTCTTAACGAATCTGGAGCCAAACTACTAAAATTGCAGATGAGCGTCGTCTACAAACGGTGCGCCAAGGGGATCACGGTCAAGGTGGACGACGAGATGTTGCGGCACTACTGCAACGAGGACACGTTCATGATCGACGTCGAGCCGTCGGCCGAGGACCCTTCCACCTACGCCGCCACCCTCATCGAGGTCGTCCCCTCCCAACAACAGCAGTACCAGCAGGCGACCGCCAACGTTTGATCCCCATCTACTATACATTACTTAAGAAGTTTCCTAGATTTTTTATTGTAATTCAACTATATCTTTTCTTTTGATCTGGTGGAAGTCGAGATCTTATTCTCATTATTTGTTGGAAACCCTTTTAGAACTGTATTCGTGAGGACGTTTCGAGCTAGAAAAACAGGTCTTAAAGTACAAGTAACTAAAGCTCAACGAAATAAAAATCACCTAATTCTCATCGGAGCACATTTCACCGTGTAATAATAGCCATATTGAAAAAGAAAATCGAAACATCCTTTTTGAGGCGTGAATTTAGTCCAAGTTACGCCACTAGAAAATTTTTATCATCAGAGCTAACGTTCCTCCAAAAAAAGACTAGATTTAGCAAAAAAATAAGTCGCTTCCACCAGATTGTCTTGTTTTCTCCATCAAAAAACAGTTCGAAACGTTCCAATCATTCATCCTTCTTCTAATCATCGCGTCTTTCAACCTATTCCTGATCTCCGGCCCATTTTCGCCAAAATCACCATCAATCCTCCTTCTTTTTCTAGCCGCCTCTAGCCGTTTTTTCTTTCGTCCCCTTCTTCCCAGTCCATGTTCCGGTTGTACCTTTTTTCTAGATATAATATATAATATTCGAAAATGATCTTTTTCTCCCTCGTATTTATCAAAATTATGTACAGTGTGTGTGTGTGTGTGTGTATAGCCATTCTCTGTGATGATTTATTTTTGGAATACCTTCAGAAAACGCCTTTTTTCCTTGATTCTTCATACTTTTCATTCAGAAAAACGAAACAAAACACGAGTTGAACAAATCTTCATACATTTATGTTACCTCCCCTTATTTCCCATCCCCCAAACACGTTAAGTATTAATAAATAAATCTTAATTATCTATACATTTTGTACTTTCGATATTCACAAAAAAAAAGCGGAGCGTCCCCTCAGAAAGCTTAAAATTCAAGTGTCAGAAAAAGAAGAAGATAAAATACTCATTTCCTATCAAAAAACATAAGAAGAGGCTTGTCGAAAACGGTATTTTAAGCTGAAATGCCTGAAACATTTAAAAAATTTTTCAAAAAACTGCGAAAAATCAAAGCTCGAGAGAATCAACGTTTGGATCAGGTCAGAAACAAGCGGCATAGGAGGTCAGAGAGGAAGTGGAGTGCACAGACACGCCAAACTGCTTCAAGTCTCGGTGAAAAGAGTGAATCCGTAACTTAAAAACCGTTCTTTCTATTCCATTGTCCACAAAGTGATGAGTTCTAATTTCTCTGCGCGCTCTTATTCCTCGGCGATGTTCTCCTGTTTCTAGAGATCCCGTAGGTGAGAGAAAAGAGTGCGCAGACAGGTCAGACTATTTCAACTCATGGCGAAAGGACTATTCAAAAATAACTAGAAAAAAAGAGTTCACTAAAAACCGAGAAAAGTCAAATGATCAGGCAATCTGAGCTCTATCATCAAAAATGGCCAAGCCTTGGGTGAATGCCGGAAAAGGCTCGAAGAGCGACAACTCGCGTGGCGCCTCCTCAGCATCAGACGCGTGGGCGACGTTCCTGACGTCGGAGAGGGCGAAGCGTTGTCGCGTCGTCAGGCCGGCCTCGTAGTCGCGGGGCCAGGTCTTGCTGCCGCCGATCACGGCTCGCACGTCGCCGACCACTTTCATCGCGATCACGTCACCGCTGCACTTGTTTTTTTTTTTGTTTTTCGGTTCTCCCCTATTTTTTTTTTCGTTAGAAAATTTAATCCTCACCTGGTTACGTGACGTAAGAGACGTTGGTAGAAGAACTTTTCTGAAAACAATTAAGATACTTGAAGACGTAGGTTCAAAATCAATATAAAAAGAGAAACGTGACTAGGACGAGACCATAGAAAACATAAAAACTCACAATTATTGAGTCTCCAAGTCACGGAAAGTTTACCTCTCGTTCGTTTGAGACAAAATTTATTTTAAAAAGTGAGCAGTTTCAGCTTTTCTTTTTTCCGATCACTTTCATCGATCACATCAGAAAATCTCGGAAGCCAAGAAGATGTGAAAGAAAGGCACAGGAAACACGAAGACGTGACATCCACTTCAAAATAGACAAAAACCGCGAGGAAAAGAACTCTTTTGATGAAGCCATTGTAACCCAATGTGAGCTTCAGAAGAATTTACAGCAGTCAAAAGTCTACGGTGAAAAATTACTATGACTTATTTTGAAACAAAAATTTCAAAACAACTTACCGTGCTGTGTATTTCTACAGTAACTGAAAAATCTACTGTATCAATCAAGTGTCTGCAGTATTTCATTTCTCCATCGGGACATATAAACCCTTCATGTTTTTAATCATTTCGAAAAAATCCCTAAACTCGGCCTTTTTTCAGAGATGTATAAGTTATTCCCAGAAAAGATCTCTCAACTTAAAAATTTCTACCTCGATGAACGGCGTAAAGCTGTCGGGCGGTGTCATCCGTCAGTCGGACCTTCTTGGCGCCACGAACTTCGACACCAGCCGCCAGAATCTCCGCAAGGGTCACCTGAAGGGGGAAACTCATTTATTTTTCTTTTTTTGGTGTAAACTTTTGTTTCCACTGAAAGTTTAACTGAACCTCGCTCCTACCATTCCCTTCCCCTACTTGGAACAATAAACCTCAAAAGAGAAAACCGATTTTTAAATCATTCTGACACTAAAATTCCCGCATTTCCCAACCGAATTGCTCTCCAAACACACCGACAAGTCGAATCTGTGGTTGTCGCTCAGTGGCGGCGGTGGCGGCGAGAAAAACAGCGCAAAAAAAGGACCAACGGACAGACCAAATCCGGTTTCCGCGCGCGCCGTCGCCGAATCAAAAGCCTCCTCCAGAGACAAAAAATAGATTGGGCTGAGAAAGCCTTCTTTCCAATGTTTGGCTGGTGGCGCTTTTTGAGTGTCCGTTAGCCAAACTTCCTTCTCTTTCCCGGTGGTGGTGGTCAAAAGCTTTAGAGAAAAAAGGGGGGATAGAAAATGACGAAAAGTACTGGGGACCACTTAAAACTCTGATTTTTTAAACTCTCGAATCTCTTGATTCGCTCACTTTCTCTACTCAAAAACTTTTCAAGGTACACGGAAAAAAGGACGCTGACCTCCTCTTTCATTACATTATTTCATTTTTCTCTGTTTTCATTCATTTCAGCCAATCTTAAAAGATTTGCCTTAAAATGAAACGCGTTGGCTGCACTTGGAATGACTCTAGGTCCCACAGTCAGGGTCTAATTTAGATTCAGCCGCTTTAAGGCATATGGCTTAGGCATAGGTCTAGCAGACGAACTCGTGAAAAAAAAATATTAAAAAAAGGATTTTTCAACTGGTAAAATTTAGAAAACACTTAAAAACCTTTGAAGAAATGTATAACTCATCCAGATTTACCTTATCACGAAAACAGGCTGTATTCTTTTTCCACACTGTCTCAATAATCTGCCAGGAACAATGAATCAGCGCTGAATCACCTGGGTTCTCAAAAAAAAAAAAAGTTATTTGGTCCTTAATTGACGGTCAACGGTTCATTTGCATAGGACTGTTTGATTTTCGCCGATGATCCCCTGGAAGAATTTCCTTCCCAATTCAATTCTTTTGTTCGGGCCGCTTCGGAAAGCGCCCATGGAGAAGTCTCTGTGAAGTGAAAATGCGCGCCGACGCTAAAAATCTGGGTCAGCACACAGACACACAGAAAATGCATCGAAATGATTCGGTCTCTCTTTTCTCTTTTAAATTCTTCTCCGGTTGGGTTTGATTGGTTCGTTCCGATCCATCCGACATACGGAGAGAGAGAAAAAAGTGAAAGCTATGGATTGATTAGGGCTTGTGGTGAAGGCGGTTACTGTAGGATTTCATTTTTTCTTTCTTCGAGTTCAAAATGTTTTTTTTTTCAGTTTTGATGTCCTTGAAAATTTTCAGACAGAAAGACGGAGGCTTGATTTAGATCGAAATTTCCAGATTTTTACATGTCAAAGTCCCGGGAACTTAAAGACATTCTAAGAAAACTTGAGGGGTTAAATTTTTTTAATAAAAGGAAGCTATTCAAAAATATTCTGGCTCATCGAAAAAAATAAATTAAAGGATTTTGAATACTTTTTTTGAGGCAAACGATAGCTTTCAAGGCATTTTTTTCAAGTTTCCGAGTGTTTCTACAGCTTAGGATCCGGTAGGAAATCGCTTCAACGCCCCATTTTTTTCAAAAAAATTAGGAATCCTCCGAGCCATCGGTGATTGGAATTTTGATATAGAAAAAAACTGATGTGTATACTATCAAAGTCTTCTCTTCTCTAATACGGATTCTTAGAAAAAAAAAATTCAAAGCTGATGTTAAAAAAAGAGGCATCAAATCGTTTCACAAAACTTTCCTTAAAAAAGGTAAAATGCAGTCTTCAAATAGATTTCACACAGAGTGAGCCATCAATGAACTATTCTTCCATCTGACAACAAGAACTATATAGTTTTTTTCTTTCTTCTGAACACTTCCATCTCCTTCAATCGTCGTGCTTCGATTTTTTAATTTTACTCAGAAGGAGCGATTTTCCGGGTCTCATCTAACACCACTCCTACTGAACACCGAACCCGTCTCTATTATTTTGTAAAAAAGGGGCGATTAATTATATTGTTTGGTTTTGGGGGACTTGGATGATCGTCGTCGCACGCGCCACTGAAACGAGGTCACGCGCTGCGGATGCAAATCGGCCCGAAACTTTCAATTCGATCAATTTCCCACCGCTCATTCGCCCAAACAGGCAAATCGAATATTGTTTTCAACATTTCCGATCTGGGGAACTACTATACTTCAAAGGCTGGATGTTCCTTTTTTCAGCTCCTTCAACTTGAGATGAAAAATGAGGCTTTTTTAGTATTCAGAAGAATGATCAGACATATTGAAAACCACAGGACAGATTTAGAACTCGTCGAAAACAAAAACTTTCTTTCAATCGCTCCGATACTCGTTTCTCGAAAATTCAGCATCCTTTAAATTTTTGAAAAAAAGCAGTTGGTTATAAAATAAAACACCTAAGACATTCTTTTTTTAATTTTTAAACTTGCTGCAAATTTTTAGTTCAGAAAATTCGAACAACTTCTTTTTCGAAACTTGAAAAACATTTCAATGTAAAAATAAATCGAACAGATGAAAAGAATTCGAAAAAAAGGCTTCAGAAAAAATGTTCTATATTTTTTGAAAAGACTCATTTTCCTTTTTAAATATGATTCAGAATAACTTAAATCGCTAAAATCATGATTTTCCATCAACAATCCCATACGAAAACTGTCAAAACCCATTCTCCCGTTTCATGAAATCCAAAAAAACCGCAAACTTTGGCCAAAAACTTATGGGCGACGATGTCCGGCTTCAGCAAGACGAGGATCTCGCGCATCCTTCTTAAATTGTAATCTAACTAATACTTCTTTGAAAAGAAAAGAAACAAAGTAAATTAATTTCTGGTCAGCGGACCAAATTTTCTCGGAGTCAATAAAAAGAAGAAGGATAAAACTTTATTGCGTCGTTGAACGGTGGAATTTTTGGAAACTAAAGCGGCAAAGGCAAAGTTTACGGTATTCTCGACCAAAAAAAAATTAATACTATACACTATAATAGAAAATACGAAAAATATCAGTACGTATATCACAGTTGGAGGATGTTCCAAATGAAAGCAAGTGAATAAAAGAACAAAGAAAACTGGAGGATTAGAGAAGGCAGAGAGTTAAACGAGTGTGAATCCTTGAGTGTGCTCTATGGAGATACGCAGACGACGGAGCAACTCTTCGACGTCGTCAATCTTCGGCAGATCCAGGAGGTTGAAGCACGTGTGGGCCACCGGTAGAGCCTTAAAAACATTTATTTTCTCAAAAAATTTTACTTTCGAAACTTCTGAATCCTTTGTATCAAAAATAAACGTTTTTTTTCAATCTCTGAAATTTCTAGACTTTACAATGCGCCTTAAGGACCTTCAAGACGTCTTAGAATACATATAGTAATTTGAAATCTTTTCGTCGCATTTGGAATGGCAAGCTTGAGAATCGAATCAGCTTCGAACCGCCCAAACAATTTTACGAGCGACCAAATATTACCAAATAGTTTTTTTATTACTCAAAGTTTTCAACTGGTTTTAATATTTCAAAAAGTTTTCTTAGAAAGCTCCATAAAAACAAACCTTTTCTGAGGTCGGCTGTATACCCATTTCGAACGCCGACATTCCGGCCACCGGAAGTCGGGTCGTTCCAGACACGAACTGTAGGAACTTCTGAAGTCAGAAATGTATTGAGATCTCCAGAAAGTCACCAACTTTTCGTTCCTCCAGCGTCAACTGGAAGAAAGCCTCCCAAAACGCGAGGATAGTCGGGTGTTCCGCATTATACTCGCCTTTGTACTTCACGATCTAAAAATGATAAATTTTTGAAAATTATTCATTCAATATTCATTTAATTTTTTTCACTGTTCCGATGGCCCAACTTCCGGTCGCAGTTAGAATGGCTCAACGCGTTTCCGTCGCTTTGCGGGTCAATTTAAACTTCAAATCTTGGTTTTCAAAATTATTTTTTTCCAGATAAATATTTTTCTTTATCAATCAAGAAATAATCCTAATACTTCAAATTGATGGTCTTGACAGGAAAAGCTTAAAAGTGTCTTCTACAGTAATCGGTGAACTTTCGCAGCAAGCTATGTAAGTGCAAAAACTAAAATGAGTCCTAATTTTTTCGAACATCAAAGTTTCGCTCTACCGAAAAAATCTCTGATTGGTCTCATTATCTTTCATCCAATCCAATCAGGGACATTGTTCGTTGGAGCGCACTTTGAAGTATCGAAATTTTTTTTTTCACAAAAATGGTAACCAGCGGAGTTCTCTTTCACCGGGTTCAAAAAAATTTTCTCATCTACCGAACATATTCCCACGGTGTTTGGTTGGTCCACCCAAAACCGGCAGAACCAGTCGGTTGGCCCCACGTGTGTTTCTGTTTCACCTAAGCGGCGAGAAAAGAAAAAAAAACTGAATCAACGAGAGGCTCGCCAACCGGATTCCCACAAGACGAATGGACACCCACACTTCGAAGGTCAGCCGAGGAGCTTTCCCTGTACCCCGAGAATGGAAGAAAATAACTCGTTTCTTGTTCTGATTCTGTCTTATCGTGTATTTTTTCCGAATAGAGGAACAGAAGAGAAAATCGAAAAACCTAATCAATTTGAAAAATTCTTCCAGCCCATCGCTTTTAGTTCTTCATTGTTACCGGCAAATTTCGATTCATCGCTAGCTTTTCGTGTTTAGATTACTGTGACTCCTCGTTTTTTCTTTGTGAATCAATTTTTGTGATATCGTTTTTGTCATCAATTTTCCTTTATTTTTATATTTTTCTCTCCTTTCCCCAGTTTTACAAATGAATTTTTTTAATGATTCTTTCCTGTTTTACGTTTTTTTTTCAAATTTTGCTCAACCATTTTTTTTTTTTAATTCTAACTCTATTGCTAGGACTTGTATTCAATATGACGATCTCCTCCATTTTTTATTGGCTCTAACATTCCCATCAACCGTTTTTCAGTCAATTTTTTTAATGAAAAAAAATATGTTTGTTCTGTTCGATCATTATTTGATCAAAAAAATATCGAACCATAACTGAAATTTTTTTAAATTAAGGATTTTTCAATCGGTTTTTTTCACTTATTATTTTAATTCAAATGCTATTTTTCCGAAAATTTCCAGTTCCCCGACGACTCTTTCAACCTTTTCTTCAAACCAGAACATCCCAGAGTATCCAAATTTTAAGATTCATATGAAAACCAAAGAAGTTTTAAATTCGTTAAACTAATAAAGAAGATCACGGCTGGTCACTCATTCACATACAGATCAAACAACACCCTCATAACCAACAAACAAACAAAAAAGCAGAAGAAAAGCGCACTCAACAAGAGACAGAGACAGAGCCCCGTTTTTGTGTTGACAATTGCAATTTGAGCGGACCTCCGATGATGGTCTTCGTGGTGGTGGTGGAAATGATGAAGGTCCAGTAGAAAAGAGAGAAAGAGAGAGGCAAACAAATAAAAAGTTCCTCAGACGAGCACCTGACCGCCGTCGGCGCTACATGCACGCTTCGGCATGAATCATCTGAAGACTCGGGGAGCAAAATACTCGGAAAATTCCAAAATATGAAGTATGTCCAAAAAAGGCTCTACTAACAAAGGAAAGTTTTTTTAGTCACCGAATGCACTTTTCTGGAGCCCTGATTCCAAAACAAGAAGAAAAATTCTCGCAATAGATCTTGTTTTCGATTTATGAAGCTTTGAAGCTTTTCAAAGTTTGAAAAACATGTAAATTATGACAAAATCTTGTTTTTGAAATAGGTTGACCCGAAAAAAAGATATAATGTGAGAATTTGTTTTTTCCTGAATTCAGGAGGTCCGAAAGTATACCTGAGTAATTTTTCATAGAAAGTTTAACAGGGTGTCAAAAACTTTCTCTAGTAAGCTTTTTGAAATCCAAGAAGGCTGGGTTGATCTGAAATAACATTGAGAAAGGGCCCTCTCACCTTCAGAAAAAACTGTCTTTGCTCCTTCAAAAACCACAGGTAGAATTTTTAAATAGACTGAGTCAAACACATAAACCGTTTACCAATGACCTTTTTTAGAATGAAAACTATAACTCTACTCGCCCTTTCTGTCCACTTGACCATGCTAAAACCGCGTTATACTTGCCATTTCCAGAAGAAAGATCAAAAAACTCTTCCTTTATTCGTTTGCTCACGAAACTTTAACTTGAAAAAGTTAGAAAAATCTGTAGCTTTAAAGTGGATGGAGGTCGAAAAAACCCATTCTACTCGTCCTCCTGCCATTTGGCCACGTAAAATTCGCTCAACTCGAAAAATCGCCATCAAAAGCAAAAAAAAACTCGTGAAAAGTTCGACCTCCAACGAATTTTGTTTGCCTCCAAAACTTTCTCTTTTACCCTCAAAAAATGAAGAGAGGAAAAAATTTCCAAGATGCCATCGGAACAGTCGAAAATCACTACAGTACGCTCTTCCTTCTTCTATTTAATGCGATTCTTCGTCGCTCCTAGCAGCAATTATGCCCCATCGTCAACTTTCTCTCCTCTCTTCTGATTCTCCACGTCTTCTCCTTCGCCGTCGCCGCCGTCGTCGCCGTCATCGTCGACGTCTTCTCAGTGGAAAGGGGGTACTCACAGAAACCGGATTTTTCTCGCCTCTTTCTCGCCAAATTGCAATCGTTTTTGCGTTGGAGCGCAAAAAGACAGGGGAAAATAATAGGAAAAATACCGTCCCTCTCTCTTTCTCTCTCACAGACACAGGGCTCGAAAAAATTGGTCCGAGAAGTGAAAAAACAAAAAATGGAGAAAAATACACACACAAAACTAAATTGACTTTTTCATCGTTGGGGACTAGTTTATCAAAAAAAAATGCATCATCTGACCTCATCTAAAGAAGTATCTGGGGAGCCAGGTGACGTCAGTGAAAAAAATTACGTCACTTTGTTTTTTTATTATTCGTATATTATTAAATATATTTATTAAAAAAACCTGGAATACTCTAGAACCTTCAGCTTCCAACCTCGCCAAAACGCTCAAAATTCTTTCAACAAACCTTTCTGAACTCGGTCCAATCGTAGTTTTCGCTGCCGACGACCATCTCCATGAGTTCCCGCGGCTGGAAGAAGCTCAAGATTCGGCTGTGTATGGCGTCGAGGAATCCGCGCTTGAAATGCCCATATTGGGTCTTGATCTCGTTCTCTTTGCCCAGAGCCAGCCGATGTTGCACATAGAGCTGAAAACATAAAAACAAACCATCTATTTGAAGCTTTGGCAGTTCATTTGGCATGGCTTGAAAAGTCGAGATGCGGCATTTTCGGGTTTATTCTTAAGCTTCCTCTCAATAATATCAAAAACCATTCAAAACGTTCTACAAGCAAAGATTTTTCAGCCTTCGATTGAGATTCTAATCAAACTCGTCTGAAGTATAACTCAGGACCTAGTAAACAAGGAAAAAATCTCCGGAACTTCGCATTTCTGACGAGTCCAAAAGCTTTGAAAAGCTTTTCCCACACAACCTCCGTAGCTTGCAAACTTGGAAAATGCGATATTATTTCTGTTTAGAATCAGCTGATCCAAAAAGTATAACTTCGCCAAGTTTGAGCAAAAATTAAAAAGGCATTATCCTTGCTAAAATTTTCAATTTAATTGATAAAAGATAACTTTTCCAAAATCGCATCGCGACCGCTTTTCAAGCGAATCGAAAATGCCACACCGTTTCAAACCGTGAAATATGACTATAATCAGCGATAAATCTCCATAATATTGAGAACTGACATCGACATATTGAGCACGGTTATTCAGGGTGACGGGGATATTGGCGCCGCCGGGTTTGAGGTCAACGACTTCCGTCGCGCCGAGCGTCGTAAAAGCAATCGTGAAGTTGAGGCCGAACGTCTCCTCGAAGTCGGAGCCTTCGTAGTCGAGCAGACTCTGCAGGCTTTTCCCCTCGACCGGCGACAGTTCGCAGAGGTCGTCGATCGTCAGCGGTTGTTCCAAAATGGTCTGCAAGGAAAAATGTCATGAATATTCGGTTGGTGAACTTGGTTCAATTCTTTCGCCGCTACAGAATGCCCGCGGAGAAGAATAAATGAATTGTATTGATGAATTTTCGAGACTGTGATGCCGTTTCGCTAAGGATCTAACTTGCCGAAAAATCTTCTGAAAAAATTTATGAGCCCTCAATTTGGATTTTTAGTCTCTAAACACCTTAATCATGTTAGCATCATTGGGAAAACCATATTTTAGGCCAGTTATCTTCACCAAAATGATCTATTTCTGTCCAAAATTCAAAAAAAAAGAGCTTGATCGAAAAAACTGTTTCAGAACTTTGAGTTCCGGAATCAGCAAGAACCGTTGATCCTAGCCCAAGTTCTCTTGTGAGCTGAGACTAGAAAAAAATTTCCTTTCTAGTTGGTCTCTTGGAAAAGATAACTTCGCAAAACACATTAGAACTTCCTGGAAACTCGCTCCTGTACTCTTTGATTTACTAGATAAAGATCTTAAAAGTCTCAAACTGTCAGAAAATGAACATTTTCGGCACCACTTGGACTGAATACCATTCACTGGTACCTGTTAAAATACTTCAAAAAATAAGAGAAAGACGAGCAGGACGCTATTTCGAATCTCGATAATTATGGAATGGTTCCGAGTTCCATTTTGAACTGAATTTTCCTCAATTTTCATATTCTCTGTCGCCATTCCCACTAGGTTCTCTCTTTTCCCTGTCTCAGTACTCGGAAAAAAGGTGCACCTTGTAAAGTGCCAAGGGGAAGGGAAAGGCGACCAGGACGCGGTTGTAGACGGCGAGGCCGCAGAGTCGGCCCAACTGATGGAATTGCTCATGTTCGCAGATCGGGGGCGCGAATCCGCTGAACCAGACGAGATGCGAGTCGGGATCCTCTACGAACATGCCGTATCTTCAATCAAAACTGTAAAGTGTCTACTCAAGTTTCACTAGAAAAGTCATTTTAAAACTTTTTTTATTTAAGTTTCCGAACTAATGATCTGGTGATAAAGCCTGACTTCGGCATTACAAAAGTAAGATTCATAGAAAATATTTGACATTAACTCTTCTGAAGCAACGGAGATGTTTTATACTGAGGTCATAGATGTAAATTTACAATTCCTGGTGCATGACTCAAAAACTCTTAGTAATTTTGGAGTAGTTGTGCTTTTAGCCAACCAAAATTTCAATGTTTTTGATTCGAAATAAACAATATTATGCCTCTCATTTTCTCGTTTGCTCTCCATTTCGTTCTTACCTTTTTTTCTTCAAGCTAACAACTATTTTATGAAAAAGAAGTCTTTAGAGTGAAACGTCAAGGTTTCTCACTGGGCATTCCAAGATTTTAAATCCGAAATCGATTAAATTCTGTTTAATTTTGTTATCTTCACTTTTCCCCATAGCCACGACCTTTTTTTTACATCAAATATTTACAGCAGAAAATCAAGGTTTCATTTTTTTAAATTTTTGATCCGAAGTTCACAATATTTAGCTTCAAGTCTCTTATTTTTCAGCAGTTTATATTTTATTCCTTTATTCCATTTTTCTCCTTTTTTTTCTTTCTTTTCACAGTCACCAACACTCACTCGGGCTGCAGAATTTTCTGCATGACGATCATAAAGAATTCTTTCTTGACGCCGCCCGCGTCGTCGGCTTCCTCGCCCACGATTTTGATCTGAATCTTCGCACATGGGAACAAATTTCGGAAGAGAAGGGGCAGAGGCACAGAGATTAGATCGCTTCGCACGATATTTTCGTCCGATTGGAAATTGCCATCGTCGGCAGTTCCAAGCAAAACAGTCACACCGATACACGGAAGAAAAAACAGCTGATGGAATGTTTCTTCACAGAGAAAAGCAAAAAAGGCAGAAAAAAAGTTACACTGCTTGGGATCTTATCTGCTCATTTCGCCTTTTATTTTCAGAAGGTTTCAAAGCATGCCATGTCCAAAGATATTCCGCGAAATTCAAAATAGGGTAAGAAAGTGAAAAAGACAACTAAGTTTTGGAGAGTCAGAGGCAATTTTGGATTTCGTGGAAATTAATTTGAAAACGGCATTAATACTAACGAAAAAATTTTTTTAAAAAAAAATCGAAATTTAATTTTCAGAAAACTTTTGAAACATGCTACTCAAATGGAACTCTTCCCAAAAAGCTAAGCTTTGAAAAATAAGAAGAAACTTCTTAACTTGAGAAGAAAATATACGGAATCAATTCAAAACATAAAAAATCTCCTCCAAAAAAGCCTTCCCTTCAATAAAACTTAAAAAAAGCCAAAAAATAACTGTCACTCTGAGGTAGGTCTTCATGCGAAATTTTACAGTCTGTTCAGATTTTAAAATTGATGCACATTAGCTTTTTTTTTCTTTCTTCAAATCAGAAACAGTCATCGTTAGAGCTCATTTCCCCATGATCAACTTCGCTCCAACGCAACCTTGAGAGGTTTCTGAAGGTCCGAGGTCGACAACGAGTTCATTCTGTTCATCGTGTCCGAGACGATCGATTCTCGTCGGACGATGAGCTCCAAAATCGGCATTTCGTGGTACACCATCGTGCCAAAAATGATGGCACGCGAATTTTGAACACTCATCTGCAAGAAAAAAAAACATTCAAAATACAAAATTCTCGCTACCTGTTGCATGAGGAGGGCCTCTACTCGCAAAAGCTCCATTTTCGCCTGGGCGTTGAGCAAAAACGGACAATTTGACCAGAATCGTTGGCTGTTCTGTCCCTTGGTCTGAAATTTGCAAGATATTGAAGAAAAAAATGGAGAGAGGTATTTTTTCTAGAAAAAAAAAGTATTTTCCAACTTCTCAGCCGGCCAGCGACTTTTCAAAAAAAAAAAAATCTCGAGATCAGTCCAAAAGTGACCTGAATCTGATCGACGACCCACTGGCAGTAGTCATCCTTCAAGTTGCACAACTCCGACAGCTCGTTAATGTAAAAGCTTTCCAATGGTATAATGTGAAAACGCTGAAAATTTTAGGTTACTTAGGGCAGGCTTGTGCGAAATCAGGCAACGGCCATTTTCACAGTCAGCCACGGCCATTTTCTATTACCCGGCCCAAAAAACGCAAGTTTCCTCCAATACAAGCTTCAGACTATTCTACGACGAGAATCACGATTTCGGTTATTTTTCATTCATAAACCGATAGCAACTATTGTTTAACAAGTGAAAAGAATTTTCCGGTGACAATTTTTTAATTGGAACCTTTTTTTTAATAATATTCAAAAACTTTATTCGGAGTCTGACCTAGTCTGAGCCCGGGCCAGCCCAGCCTAACGCACAAGTCTGCATCAGGCTTTGAATTTGCAGGGAAACCTGATTAATCTTGTTGAGCATTTCGAGTAGTCGGAGGTAATAAAAGCATTCTGTGATGCCGCCTTTCGCGACGACGATCGTCCTGACGGCGGTCAAAAAGCACGAAACGATCCGATTGAAATGCCGCAATGGCAGCTTACTCCACCAGTTTACTGCGAAAAAAAAAATCCTGTGAATAAAAATAAAAACGTTAGGAAAATCATTGAAGACGCTTCAAATTTCAAATCTACTTTATAATCTACTTTTTGTACACATGGGTTAAATAATTAAGGCTCAGTGAGTAGTTTCTACATAGCCGCATTACATTGTGACCATCTCATTTCTATCTTCCAAGTGGTCGGTTTTCATTTCCGCTCTCGTCTGGTATTTGAACCGACGTCCGCCAGCCCTGGAGAGACTGGTCGCCGTACTGTTCCTACATGGCGAAGAAGCTCATCGTCAGTACGCTCGACCTCGATTACTACTAGCAAAAAAAGGCCTATGCACAGTTCTTGATCAACAATAGTTTCGCGAGTAGAGAAAAAACTCTTCAAATATACCATGATTCAGCAGAGAATCTTCTCTGAAGAGACTTCAGTCTGAATGAAAGTTTCAAAGGGTAGCTTTCAGTTAAGACACTTAAACGTTGAAAGTGAAACCATTAACGGAGCAAAACCATCAAAAGAATCTTTTACGGACTTTTTTCTCGTGCTAATGCTCAGCATTTTTTTTTTTCCAAAAAACTCACAAAGAGTTTGTACATGAGAGTCGAGGAGCGAGAAAACAGTCTTGGAGAATGGCAAATGAAGAGTCTTGATGGTGGCCGGCGTGACGTTGTTGGTGAAGGCGGAGAGCCACGGAAGAATGAGGACCCATCGGATGCTTTCCGGTGACTTGAGCTTCGAGAAGTTGACACCGTTGAACAAAGACATGTCCAGCATCTCGACAATCTGAAAAAAAAAATCTATGGTTCCTCATTGCGACGAGTAGACAAAGAAGAAACGTAGCTCAGACGGTAAGATTCATTTCTAGTATCCGAAAAGTCTCTGGTTCAAATCTTTCATTTGAAAAGCCGAAAACTACTAAACTATTCAGAAGGGCTAAAACCTCTGTCATAAGCATTTGAATAAATATATAAGCATAAGTCTTGATTATAATGTACAAAATCTATCTCTATCACCTCTTTATGAAAGAGTGTTAGTCTGTAAATATAGCTGACTCACGGCTGGCTAGAGCCAACAAAAAATGGGTCTTGACACGATAAAAACCCCTTCAGTAGCGTCAGCACACTTAAGGGATCCAGCGTGTCCGCTTTGGGTTACCAAGGTCCGAGTAGGGTCTAACAGGTTTTCACCCCAATATTGATCGGTAATTTACCGTTGTCTAGAGCTTTTCGATTTTAACTAAATTAGGCGCAGACTTGTTCTGCGCCATTTGGGTTCAGGTTTTACATTTGTATTTATCAAACTATATAGGACAGCAATAGGAAGAGGCGATCAAAACAGGACAAAAATACATTTTCTTCTCTATAATTTCAACTTTCGATTTCGCAATTTTTACAAAGATAAACCGATAGATTAAATGGATAGCGCAACAAGTTTTGTGTTTTTCTACGGTTCAGAACGTCAAAAGTTCGATCTCCGTCACGACCCCACCAAAATTTTTGAGAAAAGTCAGAGAAAGTTGATTGGTCATTTGACACATCAAAAGCACACTTCGTCCATGATTCAATAGAGCGTAAAACGAACCAGTCCGGAGAATTGTTGGCTGGAGGAGCTCTCGGCCAACAGGTTGAACGTGTCCATGACCTGGTCGAGGTCGAGACCTGGGTTACGGTCTCCGACGCTGAACCGTCGCTCATTAGCCCACATGAAGGAGCCGTTCAAACAGCTCAACGACGAGAAAACGGACTCGATCAGCCTAAAATGATTGCACAAGATCAGACAAACCAAGAAAGATAAACATCCATTTTATCCTCTAGAATTTAAATGTGGTTCTTTCTACTTTGCGGTTAGAAATTTCCTCAAGTTGGTCAGAACCTTGACATACCGAAAAAAGATTGTGAAGTAAAACTTCCTAGTTTTCGAGAACTAAAAGCTCCAAAATAGCCAATTCCAACGGATTTTGGGGTTTTCTCTGAATTTGAAGTGTTTTTTCTGAAAAACGAGAAAGTTGTGCAGGTTGAAACTTTTAGCATCTTCATCTGTTTCCTCGAATAACGTTCTGGTCAATTTTGAGGAAAATCGCAAAGCAAAGTTTGGCCTTCCGTGTTATAATTTGGCAGTTTTAAGAATAGAATAAATTTTTTTATTTGTCGACAAGGATTTTTATTATTTAAATAAGTGTGACATCATTCTTTCTATTGGACTTTTCTTCAAGCTCACCCAATCAATTGCAATTTTTTCGCAGCACTTTGATTAAGCAACTCGGCGACTTTCTCTTTGTTCAAAAATTGCGGCACTTTCAGCGGTAGGTTCGGTCCAGGCACGTGGTTCTGTAAGAGAAAAGAGAGAAGTCGATAACCAGGCAAACTGAAAAAAATTCTGCGGTTGAAGTTTCCGAAAAATCGGAGACTTCAACCGCAGAATGTGGATTAATTAAAACTTTGAAAATAAACGAATTTGTTGTTCGTTAATGAGAATTCGTTAATTTTTGTTTTCTAACTACTCAAGAAAGCCAGAGTGATACCTATAGGGATCGTTTTTCTTCTAACCCAATAGGGATCGCTCTAGCATTCCTAAGCACTTTTAACCGAGACTCAAGAAATTCTACGCCACCTCGGAATGAACAGCTCTCAGAAAGAAAGTCTGATCCCAGCCGGCGAAAATCGCCTCGACATGGTCCAGCTCGTCCATTTTCCGTGGCCTGCCCACCGAATTCAGAGTCCCGTTTCCGAGTTGTCCCGACGAATTCATGCCGAAAAAGTAGGGGGATCCTTGGACGAGGGCCAAAGTGTGGCATCTTGGAAAAAAAAACTTCATTGCAGTCAATTCTTGAGTCATAAAAGTTTGCTTTAATGAACCACGCCACGTTTCAGGATTGTGCGGGGGCCGGCCCGTCAGCCCTCAGTATTTTTCTAAGCCCGACCTCAGCGAGGCTTCGAACAAAACGGCCGAGAGCGCAAACTTTCTTCAAGTTAAGTATCAACCCTTTTTTTCACGAGAAAAAAATCTCTTTTTCTGTTTTTGATTAAAAAAACCCAACAGAAACCTTTGATTTGACTGATGAAAATAATGTTTTGATCGAACTTAAACATTTTATTTAAAGCTTGGTCCAAGCACGCGCAGGTTTCTTCGCAAAAAATAAGGCAAAAAGCCGGGTCGACCCTTTTCAAAGAGGTAGTTCTACGGGACAAATGTTCTCCAAGCTATACCTTCCAGTACAGATTCTGGTTGCGTAACTGCCCATAAGCTCGTCGACAACGACAGGATTCGGTCGTTTTTCGACTCTGAGTATAAAATTTGATTTCCTTTCTTTTTTTTTAAGCTCTACTTTTTACCACACCCGCATTGTCCAAAATAATCGGATCCGAAGACGAATATCCGACCAGAATGGGTCAAAAGCACTGTGTGTTGGTCTCCACATGACACTTCGACAACCTTCATTCCGTTCAGTTGTTCGACACAGACTGGTCGTCCTCGGGCTGTATTTGGCTGGTTTATAGTTCATTCATGAAAACTTCGAGGTTTAACGTAGTACGACCACTAAAATAATTTTATACTAAATTTGTAACACATTTTTCGATTTCGAATGATTCTGTCTTCCTCGAGGTCGGAGTGGTACTACCAGACCACTAAAATTTGAGAGACTTCCATAGAGATGGTTTCAGAGGCAACCTTAGTTTTCCAAAAGTCCTTGAGGATAATCTTAAGTGGACACTTAAGTTTTTCTCAGTTTGTTGCCTTTTCCTTTAACGAGACTCCAAGAAACGCACGTAAAAAGTCTCCGACTCCAAGCTGTCCACTGTCGTTGTGTCCCCAGGTGTAGACGGCGCCACTGGCCGAAATCGCGACACAATGTCGACCGCCGGCGGCAACTAAAGTAGCCACTTATCGGGCGTGGTTCGGAGCATCGTCTCACCTCGAACGATGGGAATCCCAACGAGGTCTTCAACTTCCAGTGGTTGATGGAGACATTTTCCGTCAAACTGCTCGCCCCAAACGAAAACGCGGCCGCCTGAATTCGAGTCAACTAGTAAATAAGTGTTCTGTATTTATTCTTCTTGTCCTTTTTTTAAACAAAAGTTGAATCAAACGTCAAAAACCAACTGTCAAGAAGGGCGATACAATGATCCGGGCCGGTCGCCACCTGGATAACTTCGTTTATCGTCGGGATCCGCCTGGATTTTCCAACATATCTTCTTTTGTTTCGAAATCAGGACCAACTTTGGAGCTTCCTGACAGGTAACGTCGCTGGGAAAGGCCAACTGTCCATGGCGATTACAGCCCCAGGCGAAAAGTCGTCCGTCTTCTCCGACTGCTAGAGAATGAGCTCGTCCCGCGGCAATCTGAGAAAAATATTCTTGAATATTTTCTCCAATATTTTTTTCTTTTTGAAATGAGTCTTATTAAGTTCGCATCTTGAGTGTCGATTTCTTCGCTAACTGTTTGCATTACGGATTTGAGGACCGTCTTTGAACGAAAAAAGGTACACAAAAACCTCAATAAACCGCGAAACTTCTTCGAATTTCATTCCATTCATCAATTTCAGTCTTCTCAATAATCACTCTTTTTTTCTTTTTAAAAAAACAAGAAAAATACAAAATCGACCTAAATTTTTTTAGAAAGAATAACTTTCTTATAAGTTTTTCGAAAAGAAATATATTTCATAGAGCTGGAAAAAAATTGTCAAAATAAAAGATTCCTAAATCCATATGCTTAAAAAAAATGTTCTTCCTCAAATTAACTTTGAGAGAAAAAAAGGCCCAATACATAACTTCCAGATTTATTTTTGTTCGAAATTTTCATTTTACAATTTTTCTCTTTTCTCTATATACTTTATATGAAACTTTTTCATCATATAAAATTCTCTAACTTTCAGTTCAATAAAAAAACCACTTCCTAATAATTTTTTTAAATCTGAAAACCCCGGCGGATTATTTAATAGTTCATCTTGGAAGTATATAAAAATTAAATATCTTGGAAATATGACCAGAAGAATAAGTAAAACAGTAAAAAAAGAATATTCGGAAGTCTAGGTTCGAATATAAATTCATTTTTTTGAACTCTCCTTACGTGTCCATTTTCATAGTTTTTATACTTTACTTATAATGCATATATTTTAGCTATGAGCCATCTCTTTTTAGCTATACTGGCTATATCTAACTCATTATATTTCTACTTAGCTAATTTTTTTTTCAATTTCACGTATTTTGAACTTGTTTTACCTATTATGTTTTTACTTTACTTGTTATGTATATCTCACTTTTATGAACTTATCATCCATATCACTGGCTCAGGGCCTCAATTGCCTTTCATTTATTTATTTCGGGTTCATGTGCTATTTTTCCTTCTTTCTTGTACATTATATTCTAATATTGCCTGTGAATAAATATATAAATAAATAAACTCCAGAGACCTGAACAATGGCGACGCCGCTGGTGAGAGCCACCGGATAAATGGAGAAAGATCCCTGGTTGCGGTTGCCCCGGCCGAGCTGAACACGTTGGTCATCAACAACAACTTTCAGGAGCACACTTGTCCGTCTTCGTTGCTGCCGACGCTCCACATTTTGCCGTCGTCCGCCAGGAATACGGTATGCTTCTCGCCGCAAGCCACTCCTCGCACTGACGTTCCATTAGCGTCGCTCGGAGCCGCAACTCAACTTTTTTATGTAACATTCTTCAAACCTAATAGTTAATTAGAATTTAAATTTTGAAAAAAAGATTTTTTTCGTTCTAATTCGTTTCTGAAAAAAACCTAAATATTTTTTTTATGAAAATAAAAAAATGAAAAAGATATATCTCAAGAAAAAAATAAATCTATTTCTCGCAATTTCCCACTCTTGAAGGTCCTCAATTTTTTTAGGATTTTTTATTTTTTTCAAAAAGACTCTGTTTCAAGAAAAAAACTTTAAAGTGAAATAATTCCGTTCTTGAACAAGTCATAATCGATAAATGATTACAAAAACTAGATGACCCACTGATTTGCTCGGGAAGGGTGACGGTGGAGTCGCTGAACCGGCCACCGAGCTGTCCGTCGGTGGCCAGCCCGCAGCCGAGAATCTCTCTTTTGATCTTTTTCATCCTCAACCAACCCATGTGCGGCGACGTTGACGAGGACGCCATCAAAATGATCATGTATTTCGAGCGATTCTCACGTTTAACAAGGAAAAATATTGAGAAAAAATATTGCTTTTCATTTCAATAACAACAATCAACTGAACAAAGAGGATATGAACGAAAAAAAACAGCAATAAATAAAAAGATCCGATAAGATAAACAAGGGTCGCATGAAAGATGAAAGTTTTGAATTTGCGAATGAACTCAGGGACAAAAAGTTAGGGTTTTAACTTTCCACAGAAAAGAAAGTTGAATTATCCCTCAACTTGGAAAAAAAAATTGCAAGAACCCATTCACGAAACCCACAACTTCACGCATACGACTCTGAAAAAACAACGGAAAATGTCAAAATTCTCAAAATCAAGTCTATTAGATTCCAATTTCTTCTTTCACGTCTTCTTCTTCTTCTCCTGCACTTTCCATCTTGACGTCGGGAAGTCCATCTGGAGCCGTCTCTTTTTTCGGTTCTTTGGCGGCCCAAGCTGCGTCACGGTCTTGAGCGGCCTGTTAAAAAAATTTTAATAATGTAAACTTAAAATAATTAACGAGAAAAAGAAGAAGAAAGTATTGATAAATTCAGAAGCCGTTGAGAACGGAAAGTTTCAGTGCTATGAAAAAAAATACCGAAGTTTTTAATACTCTGAAATACTGTAAAAATAACTACGAGTGGTATAATTTGAAAATTTCTTTCAAAAAAACAGTAAAAAAAGAAAAAAATTATATTTTTTTGGCCTTATATAGTCTATTCAGATTCTAAATGTCAAGCAGCTAACTCCGCCCCTGCTGAGACGGTACCCTTTCGGGTCGATGTTTTAACGCGCGGGACTAATTTTGATCTTTTTTGATCTAAAAGATAGAAAAAGAAGTCAAAAATGCAGCCTTATTAAAGGGCCATCGTCATCTGTAGATCAAACATTGACGCGAAAGATATTGTAGCTTTGGGGGTGGATTTAGCTGCTCGACATTCAAAATCTGAACAGACTATACTTTCAAGAAGATCAAAAGGGTGGTTTTGTAACAGATCAAATATTTCCCGACTTGCGTATAGTCTGTTCAGATTTTGAATGTCAACCAGCTAACTCCGCCTCTGCTGAGACGGTACCTTTTCGCGTCGATGTTCCATCGCGCGGGAATAATTTTGATCTTTTTCGATCTAAAAGATAGAAAAAGAGGTCAAAAAAGCAGCCTTATTAAAGGGCCATGGCATATGTAGATAAAACATTGACGCGAAAGATATTGTAGCCTTGGGGGTGGATTTAGCTGTTTGACATTCAAAATCTGAACAGACTATAGCCTACAAAAAAATAAATTTGCAGCGATTTTTTTCTTTATTTTTTTAAATGTTCGTCTGATCATCTAGTTACTAAAATGACGCATGGAGAAAGTGGAATCAATCGCGAAAAAGGACTTCCGTTGAAAAATCATCTTTGGAAACTTCCAATCAAGTTCAAAATGTAAAAAAATTATTTTTTTCCTTGCAGAATTTTTGTTGGCAGGTGTTTATGACAAAATTGAAACAAAACCACAAATGATTCAAAAAAACGGACCTTTTTCCTTGCGTTTACTCTTCATAAGCTGCTCAATTTCGGAGCAATCCACTCCCAACATCCTCAGATGGTGCAGACGTTCCTCTTTGCTCACGTACGGCGCAATCGTGTGATAGCCCACCTGAAAAAAGGAAAAATATTTTTGAAAAAAAACTATGTTCAAAGTTCTCTTCGCCAAAGAGGTCTTGTTTCCAGAAAGAAGCGAAGAAATACTTTTGAGAGCCCTGGAAAGCGAAAAGTTCCATAGAAATTGAGGAATCAGTCTTGTCCATAGAGCACACATTGACACGACCTTCTGGCTCTTAAGCGGATTTTCGGGGTTTTGTCGAACCTATAGAGTGGGGAAATTTGATTAAATCCCGTGAAAGCTTGAAAGCAAAAAAAACTCAAAGATTATACGATTGCGCAATTTATATTAAGAAAATAAGAATTTCTTTGATTTCTTGCTCGTCCTGAAATTTTTTTTTCTCATCAGTTTCGGCCAAATCTGTCATCTAGACCAAAAACTTGTTCGTAAAATTTAAAAATCCAAGAAATTAATTTTTTTTTTTGAGCGGGCCAAGTTTTTTTCCAGGATTGAGTTTCTGAAAAAACATAATTTTATTCACCCAGCAGCACACAGGATCCTCTTCGTTACAGTACACCACCAGGCTCCCGCTGCTGTTCTTGCGGATTTCCTCTTTACAGGCCAAATCTTCCAACTGGACGAGCGGCTGTTCACACTTCAACATATGCAGCATATCGTCCTTTGAAATCATTATCTATAAAATGAAAGTGATAAAGAAGAACAGCAGAAATGAGAGAGAAACCTTTTTCTTGCTCATAAACGGAAAAAGATACCGAACACCTTCTTGTGAGAGCCGGAATCGTGTAGCTTCAACCTGGAATTGAAAGTGTTTTTCAATTCAACACTTCACGGGAAGTTCAAAAGGTAGCGGTATCATATTTCGATGTGAATCCGTACAGAGGAACTTTTGGATACGATGATTCAAATTTCATCGTAGAAAAGTGCGACTTTTGCCTTCAAATGCAGCTATAAAACCTCATTTGTCCATTCATTCTGTATAGTTTGTACATTGGTGTGGCATTCCTCTTGCTGAACCCAAAAATTTCGCTTTCTTAAATACGAATTTTCATCAAATTCGAAGACCAGAATTGGAATCAATAATTTAAAAAAAGTTTTGGAAGCATTTTCTGATCCAGAATCTCACACTTATACGAATACCTATTAGAATTCACTTTTCACTTAAAAATCCGAAAAATCGGGATCACATAATTTTTCAGACCACTAGTTGAGCCGGTTCAAAAAGTCTCGAAAACTTGAAAACCTTTATTTTGCCTTTTTCCGAGGTTTAAGCAGTTTCTTGTTCAAAATTTTTCAATGAAGTTAAAAATACAACTTTCATCGAGTAATACACAAAACGAACAAAGTTATATCTTTTTGAGGTCGAAAATGACTGGGTAAGAAAGCTATCTTTGAAAAATGGAAAATTTCTCGGAATTCCAAAGTTCCTACATCTGCAAACTTTTGCCCTGAACAGCTACTATCTTCTATTTCAAACAGCTAACGCCGCCGTCTCATGATTCAGAAAGAATGAAAAAAAAACCTTGGCTTCGGTTCTTCCAAACATCTTCATGCCGGCGTTTTGAATCGACACTTTCGTCATGTTTTCCTGCTGAAAAAATGTATCACTTTCAAGATGTTGAGCGAAGATGATGGAAAAAAAGTTTTTAGACGTTATTGAAAAAAAAAAGTTCGACGTTATAATATGTCAATCTTTTCTTCCTTCATGTATTTTTTTTGTTCCCTATTTATCAACTTTTTTTCTGTGTTTAGAAGTTTTATGAACTTTCTCTGTCTTTGTTATTCAAATCTAATCAAATAAACTCAACGATCAACTTTTTTTCTAATGATTCTTTCACTTGACTTTGAACCACCGAACGAACATTTATTATAAAAATATTCTCAATTTCTTATTTTTCAGCATAACTTTTTTTGAATTGGTTTTTAGATGAAATTTTTCTTTGGAGTTACAGAACAAACACCCAGTTTCGTGGACTATATCGCAGCGAGAGTGGCGCGACATAGCAGCGACATATCTCGCTGCCATCTCGCTCAGCTCTAGCAAACTCCCGGCGCGATATCGGCGCGAGGTCGCGGATTATCGATTGGTCACTATTTACGTGCCATCAAAAATTTTTACTTGAATTGTTTTTATTTTTTTCGTGTGTTAGATTCTCTCTGATTTTTTTATGTCTACTTTTTTTCACTTAATATTTCTAAAATGTTAATTTTACAACTAATGTAACGCTCATACAGTACCGTCAGAAAAGGAAAAAAATGTTTTTTTCGCTCACAACTTCCTCGTATAGAGCTCAATCTTTCTGAAACTTTTTCAGCTGTGTTTCTAAGTTTTCACCACGGTGTTACAATCAACGGTCATCATATTTCCATAAAGTTTCAAAAGGGTGAAATCCCATTAAAGAAAGTTGTGATAAAGAAAAAAAGCTTTTTTTGTATATATTTTTGACGGAACTGCACACCTTTCTTGAATTTGAAAGTCCTTTTTCCGCATTTTTTTCATGTTTTAACCAAGAATTTCAGGTTATTAGTACTTCAAAATGGCATCTAACCTTTTTTTTCGATCAATAAAAGTCAAGAAAGATCCGTGGGAGATGGCACCGAAACTTTGCTTTTGGATACAATCAATAAGATTCTTGGTAAACTATTTTTGAAACAGTATATCCATTTTTACTTGAAGATATGATTTGCACTTTGGCGTCGATGGGTAAGGAAAAGAAGAAATGAGGCATGATTTCGAGAAAGCACGTACTGCTGTCTTGATACAGTCGCTCCTGTGAGTTATTCTCTTATTCAAGGTTGGACTTTTTTTCAGTATTTCTCTTTTTTTAACCGATTTTTATCCTTTAGAAAAGTTCTTGACGCAGCAAATGAAGGATATGCCGAAAACTATCGAGTCAAAGCTTACAGTAACATTTTTTTAAGGGAACTTAGTGTCAATCTGATTGTTTAACTTAATTTTTCTTTTTTTCAAAACTTCTTTCATTTTTCATTTCGAGCCTCCCTCCTTTATTTTTTTCTAATTTGAACTTTTTAAAGATCATCTACGAGCTTACAATCGGTTTACTTTTTTCTGTTTTTTTATTGAACCTACTCTTTTTCCTAGTCACATTTTTTTCCTATGAAAAAAATAAACGATACACATGTTTTTTTCGTCATATTGTCCTTTTTTTATTCTTACTTGAAGCTTCACTCTTTCGCCTCAATTCAATCTTCTTCAGATTTGTACATACTTTCCGTTTACTTCGAATTCGAAAATGTATCATCAATTATTTGGAAAAATTTCTTTAATGCTCTCAAGTTTTTCATTTAAATATATTGTTTAAATTAAATAAAAAAAGTAAAGAAGGTTGATAAAGATCGATATGTTATCATGTACAACACAATAAAAGTATGAAGCATAGAAAGCAAATCAAGAAAAAAAAAAGCCCAATCGAGCTAAAAAATTTTTTTGAAAGAGCGACATAGCAGCGAGATGTGAGCGACCTTGCGCCGAGAGGCCAGCGATATAGCTCGCGGCTCCCCCGCGATATAGCGTTTCTCTCGCTGCGACCTCGTCCGTAAAACTGGGTGAAAACTAGATCTTAATTGAAAAAAAACATGCCCCATCAAACTGAGCCTTTACTGACTTACTTTCCTACTACTCCCTTTTTTCTCGCTTTCTTGAGTCCTCAAACTACTAGGAAACATAAAGATCGTTGAATGAAATCCATCAACTGCTTCTATTTCGGGACAGTTCTGCTCACTTCCGACTTTGCCAAAGTTCGAAAGATGTCCCCTGCATCTTTGCCGCTGCAAGAGTAGCGGATTTTGGCGCGAACTGTGCTTGGCGGAGTTTCACTGTGCCAGCGTCAGGTAGTAATCAATAAGGAGGGCGGACGCCACAGGCGCCGCCTCTTTTGGCACATGTTAGCACAGGATGACGAAACAATGGAGTTTCGAAAAGAAAGCCACTGCAACGACTTCTCTGATTTTATTGATCCGAAGATAAATTCGTTTCCGCTCGACAAATTCCGACCTTTCTTCTAAACAGAATGCTCCAAACTCACCGTGGGGCTCTTTGATGTGAATCGGCTTGAAAAAAAAAAACCTTTCCCTTTGATTTGAAGATAAAATCGCTGAATACATCTGTTTAGATAATCGAATTCACTAAAATTTGAAGAAGTTTATTTATTTTTCGTCGGAAAGTCGCCAACTTCGGTGCTACGACAATAGCGAGTTTTCCATTTGCGAGGAGTACTGTATGCGGATGTGCGCATCGCGTGCATACACTTTGCGTGTTTACACTTTTGTTGCGTGACGTCACCGGGTAGGACGTCTCCGGGTTTTTTCAAAGTTTTTTGAATTTTTTTCTTGATTTTTTTATCGTGCAATTATCATCGAAAAAAATTCAAATCTTGAAAGAAAATCTCGGAAACAAAAAACCCGGAGATGTCCTACCCGGTGACGTCACGCAACAAAAGTGTAAACACGCAAAGTGTATGCACTCAATGCGCATTTCGGCATACAGTACTCCCCGCAAATGGAAACTCGCTCTTGTCGTAGTCGTAGCACCAAAACTTCGTTCAATTTCGCCCCGTGGTTTTCGACTTCATACTTGTCATTTTCGCATAAACACGTTTTTCTACGATTTAATCCGCTTTTCCGTTACATACACGCTTGCTTACTTAACGTTTGATACGAAGTCATAAAATTTGCTTTTTCAGAATCGAAGAAACAAGAAGAAGTATTCCGACGGACGTAAAAATGCCATATCCATTTGCTTCTGGAGGTCGTCCCTTTCAAGGATCTGCGACGCCTTCTCAAAACCAGCTCGTCCTTTGGGGACAGAATCAACACAATTCAACGTCGTCGTCTCATGGAGGTTGGAGTAACGAAAATCGCAACAACCAAGCAAATAACTCGGGACTCCAACTCGGACGAAATAATATCGGAGAGAGGCAGCTTCGAAGAGGATTTTTTTGGGAGCAAAGTAAAGACATCCTAGCGGAGAGGCGTCTTCATGGTCCTCGACATCAGTACAACCAAGAAAATCAGAGCCTATACCATAGACCGCCTTACGAAAATCTCAACACCCCAGCGCATAATTTGTCGCTTCAACGTCGAGGACATAACATCGGAGAAAGGCAGCTACAAAAAGGAATTTTCGGAGAGCAAAATAGACACAGTCTCGCGGAAAGGCGTCATTATGGGTCTCGATACCAGTACGATCGAGAAAATCAGAACCTCTACGGTAGACCGCCCCACAACGATCGCGACAACCAAGCGAACAACTTTGGCTGTATGTCTCAATCTTCCTTACTGTGGGGCAACAGGAACCAGAGACATCAAGAGCATCGTGAGAGAAGGCCAGAGTTGTGGAGAAACTTGAATAGACCGAACGATCGTGAAAGAGTTGACTCTTCTGCATCGTCACTCAAAACAATGGTATGCTATAATAAATAAAACCGCGGAAAAAAAAACGACCAGAAAAAAAGGGAGAGATTTTGCCAGGAAATTGAAATAGTGATTTTGCCTGAAAACGTTGAATTTAGAGCGTGTGTTATTTTGTTTGCCGTGTTTCGTAGCAAGTTGATTCAAATTTCGACCTAGACTCTTAATAGTTAGTTGATCTTAAAACCAAGAATTTGCACTTTCCACTCCACTCAAAAAATCATCTTGAAGGAGCCGCAAGAGCGTCATGAATGGAGCTTTTCACCAACGTCGGAGTTAAATAGGCCAATCTACTTCAAAGATGCGAATGGAGTGTATCATAGGCTCAACTTTTCGCAGCCAGAGACCCACGGTAGCCAAGTGCTTCCGAGTAACCGGCTGCGTCCAAGACAATTTCACGTCGAGGGAAGTCTCCAGATGAGAAGAGGATTCGCTCCACAGAACACTCTGGAGACTTTAAATCAGGTTCACCAAATTTCCGCAATCTTTTTGAAGTAAATTTTAATAAATTTTGAAGACAAAATCTACTCCGAAAATCAGCCAGAAGCCAGAGTCGCAAATCTGTTCGGAAGAATCGCGCGAGAATCAAAATGAGGTTAATCTTTCTCTCTAATTCCTTTCAATTGATTTTCAACAACTTTTGAAGGAAAACTTCTTTCGAAAACCCTGTCAAAAGTCTGTGTCGAAAATCTGCTCGGAGGAATCGCGGAAGGATCAAAATGAGGTTCATCTATTTTTCTAATTCCTTTCAATTGGTTTTCAACGAATTTTGAAGAAAAACTCTTCTCCGAAATCCAGCCAGGAACCAGAGTCGCGAAGCTGTTCAGAGGAATCGCGCGGGGATCAAAATGAGGTTCATCTTTTTTCTAACTTTTTTCGACTGCATTTTAACAAGTTTCGAAGAAAATATCCCTCCAAAGTCAATTCAGGAGCCAGTCTGGCTAACTTGTTCCGACTCAGAGGAATTGGAAGATAATTTCGACGACCGAGATACTTTGAATGGCTCAAAAAAAATAAAAACAATGAAAAATAAAAAAAAAGTCGACGTTGAAGATAACGAGGACCCTGTGGCACCGGTTGAAGAGGAATCTGTGCCAGAAAATTCGGACGGATTCCAAAAAGAGGTTAATTCAAAAATGCTTTTCTTTGCTTAAACATTAGAAACGTTTTCCGCAAGTTTAAGGCGCATTTAAGGCGCAACACAATATTTTAAAGCAATTTTGAGATGCATTTGAGAGAATTTCAGCTAGTGGACTATTGCGATGTCCCGGGAAACCGAGAAGAAGACTTGGAGCGACTCGACATCAGAGAGAGGACGCCGCTCAGAAGCAGACCTGTTGAGGAGAAAAGTGAAGAGAGTCTAGCGCGGAGGTGTCTTTTTGATTCAATATGCCTATACAACAGAGGGAATCAAAGCCTTCTGAGAGAATACAATAGTCCGCCAAACGACAATCGCGACAACCTAGCCTTTAACTCGCAGCTCCAATTCGGAGGACATAACATCGGAGAAAGGCAGCTACAAAAAGGAATTTTCGGAGAGCAAAACAGACACAGTCTCGCGGAAAGGCGTCATTATGAGTCTCGATACCAGTACGATCGAGAAAATCAGAACCTCTACGGTAGACCGCCCCACGACGATCGCGACAACCAAGCGAACAACTTTGGCTGTGTGCCTCAATCTTCCTTACTGTGGGGCAACAGAAACCAGAGACACCAAGAAAAAGCCGGCAACGAAGAAAACCAGGACCCTGCGACAGTGCTTCAAGACGGATTCGGACCGGAAATTTCGCGTAAAATTCAAGAGCAGGTACATTTTTGAAAAATATTCAGAAAATTTTCAAAAAAACTCAAAGACTTTTAAAATGCGAGAAATAAAGCTAGTTCGTAGGTTTTTTTCCCGGAAATCTTTTATGGATGAGCTCACTAGAAAATTTAAGTCGCACGAGATCGTCGAAAACCGGGAGAAACAGCGTCGACGCGGACCAGACATGGAAGAAAGTCAGAGCGAGAAAAGGAAGAAAGCTATGAAGAAATGTCTTATATCCTGCTGCTGCTTCGCTTGCTTTCTTTTCGCCAGGCGCTCCAGAGATTAGTTTTTAGAATTTTTTTTTTACTTCATTTTTAAATTAAGTTAAAAGAAAAAAGAAAGGTATCCGCCAGGTTTTATCAGAAGCTAGAAGAACTAGAACTTTAAAAAATCGACTCTACAAACTTAACAAATATTTGTACTTTTGTGTTGGGAAATAATCGGACTTTGACTAGAATACATCTTCAGATTTCGATATAGAGCCCCTCAAGGTCAAAGAAATAGATCAAACCCATCAAAACATGGTGTTTCAAAGATCATTTTGACCGAGGTTTGTAAAATTATCAGCCAAAAACAAAATTACCTTTCTTCTCTGTTCCTTTTTACAATCATTTTCAGAATTCTTTTCTTCTTTTACACTTGTTTAAAGATTCATATCTTCATGTTCTTGCTTTTGTTTTCCCATAAATGTTTCTTCCTGTTAAAGGTTAATTTATTTCGTAAAACTTGCACCGCGAAAAAAATTATGAAAGAAAAACTGGAAAAAAATTTTTCACATTTTTTTAAAAGGGTGAATTTTGAGCAAAGCAAACTGTAAACTTGCTGTTAAAATATAATTTTTTTCTTCTTTTTCCATCTAATTTTTTTCAAGCCATTTTTTTCATCTTTCAAAAAAACTGAAAAAGAATAACTCACAACGAAATCTCTGACGGCATCGTTGGCAAAGAAAAGCTGACGACTGCTCGAATCGTTTGATTCAAGTCGACGACTGAACAGATTTTTGGTACGGGAAGTTCTCGGCGACGCCATAATGACCGCTGAAACTTGTGAGCTATCTTGAAAAATTATCCAAAAAAAATTTCGGAAAAAAAATTTAAACACTTTTTGGATGAGCAAAAAAAAAAGAAGTTTTATCAAAACTTCGAAAAGATTACTTAATTTCAATGAAATTTTCAACTTTGCGAAAGAGTTTTTGTCGAATTTGAAAAAAAAGAAAACCTTTATAACTTAATCTTGAAAAAACTAGAAGAAAAAAAAGTGGATAATTTCTAATAAAAAAGTAAGCCTGGAATCGTTTTTCAAGAAGTTATGGAGGTTGGGGGTAAAAACCGAGAAGAAAATTTCGAAAGACTTTATAAAAAAATAAGATACAAAGGTCAGAAATTGTAAAAAAAGTTTAAAAAAACCAAACATATTTAGAACTTGTTATGATTGAAAGAATAAAAAAAGGATTGCAGGAAGTGTTTCGGAAAATTTAATATACCTTTGAAAAAAAGTCGGTGAGCTTTAAAGGTAAAAGAAAAAAATTCTAGAAAAAAAAACTCAACTGAAGTTATGAAATTGGTCAACATTGGAGTTTTTTTTTCATTGTCCTTTTCAATTTTCCTTTGCTCAGTTCAGCAAGAAACGAGAAAATGATGACAAAACTAGGGAAGATTTCCAAACTACGAAATGGCTTCGATTCCTCAAGGCGATAAAAAAGGAAAACGTCAAAACCATAAAACTTTACCTGAAAATGTCTTAACTTTCGTTTTCTTCCTGTTTTGATAATGATGATCATATCAAAAACCCATCAACGAAAAACCAGTAAAATTATCTTTTTTAAAGATAAAACCAGACGAATAGTCATGAAACACTAGAAATAAAACTTTTTTCTGTATCTTAAATCGGATCTCTCTAAAAAATATTCAATTGAATGATTAAATTTTATCTTCAAAGGCCAATTATTCTGAAAACTTCGAAAAAAAAAAACACATTTACGATTTTAAGGAATTCAAGTCAAAATTTTTCTCGCTAAATTCGACTAGGTTTTTTTCAAAGTGAAGCTTTAAATTTTTAAAACATCATAGGAAGCGAATATAAATTGCAAGTGAAGCTTTTTTTCAGAAATACATATATAGGAAATTCAGCTTTCTATTTTCCGATTTTCTGAACCAAACATCATAATATTCCTTGAAAGAAACTTTTCTGAAAATTCCTCAAAACGGACCTGATATCCTTCCAACGATCGTCATTCTCTCTGAGGAATGAGAACGGCTCATCTTTGTACATTTTCTGACGTTTCCACTGAGGACCACTAAAATGTTCAATTTTCTGCCTTTCAAAGGTCAAATATACTGTATTAACTGCTAGATTGTCACGAAAATTTTTCAAAAAAAATTCCCTTCTCCCTCAATTTTTTTTGTGAAAAGAAAGCGACGGAAGAAGTGTACATTCATTTTCTAACCTGAAAATATTATTCTCGAAATCCGTCTCTGAAACTTTTTCAATCAGAGCGACGTAAAAGCCCCCGGTGTCATTTTGATGCGGCGCGATTCTCATTCTGAAAATGATACGGATCTCTACGTCGATAAGATAATTATGCACGAATAGTCGAGGTGGAATTTCGTGGCCTCCTCTTCGGTAGGCGGGAAACAAGAGGCACAGATCATTTTGGAAAGTTTCTCTTCAACTTCTGATGGGGTCTTGAATTCGCGCATCTCCTTGTCGAAGACCTGAAAAGCTCACCTTCAGAAAAAGCTCTCGTAAAACACATTTTCTTAAAATCATGCGGATTTTATTCAATCTTTTTTCCCCTTGAAAGCATTTTACTCTTGATTTTTCTTGGAAAGCAATGAGGATGAAAAATGCACACCCAATTTTGAGGACGCGAGTAATGCTATGGAAGCTAAAAACTACTGATAATCAGTTCAACCGCATCCTATTGAGCCGATCAGTACACGGTGTTTCGACGAAAAGTCAATTATGAAAAAGATAATTAGAAGAGAATAGACGCGCCGTAGTGCAAAATGTTATGAGCCTGAAGGCTAATATGAGTGACGTTCAAGACGAACCCTCCAAGTTGACACTCCGGCCAATCGCTTCAGCTCGGGCAACTTCTCGCGCGTGTCCACCAATCGGAGGGCGCCCTTGGCTTCGCGGAGCAGCTGCGCGACGACGGCTTCGTCCTCGATGGGGTTCAAGGAGCACGTCGAGTAGACCATCTGACCGCCGACGCGGAGCATTTCGGCGGCCCTCCGGGCGATGGAGAGTTGGAGTCGATGGAGGCCGAGGCCTTCCTGCGGCGACCACGTCTTCCAGATCCCCGGGTTCTTGCGCATCGTTCCGTCGCCGCTGCAGATAACGTCGGCCAGCACCCGGTCAAATTTGATCTCACTTCCGTTCTGGAAATCAGCTCTTCAAGAGGATTATAAGTATTTTGAAAAGCTGGTTTCAAGTAAAGTGGAACAATCTCAAAGTGAGACTAATAAAAATTTTCCTGGTTCCTCTTCCACTACGTTTACTTTTTTTAATGAAAATTTATTCATTGATTTTTGAATTTCAACTCATTGAAAATTCTCTATTTTTCGATTATCGGCTTTCAGGAACGTCAGAGTGGTCTTTATGGCCAGGGAAAAAATATCCCCTAAATGAGAAAAAAGAGTGTCCCCTATAGGGCTTTGGGGTTTGATCGTAGAGCTTGAACGGTCCCTATAGAGATCTTTGATTTCTTTTTTTATTGATATTTTTTCATTCGAAAAATGACTAGCATGATTCCCTATGAGGCCCTTAGAGGGGAATGTTTAAGGGGTCAAAAGTTGCCCCTATAGGGATCCCTTTGGCGTTCCGAGCTGGTCACGACCTTCGATGCGGAGGCAGTGTACTTTGAATGAATTTTAAAAGCTATTGTTCAAAAATCTAAACAAGTTCTCGTTTTCTTCGAACCTTTGCCGAAATCTTCGGATAATTGGTGGCATCTTCGCAGGTGACGACGCAAGATGGCGTGTGGAACCGTTTCAAAGTCTGCCGAATGAGCATATAACAGCGCTTTTTGTCCAAATCGTTCGCCACCACCATTCCTTCTAGAAAAAAAAAATGCTTTTCTTCACAATTCTATATATTTTTAAGATTTAATCATTGAAAATTTCAATATAATTAATACAGTAAAATGTGCGCTCAAAAGATTTTTAAATTCTTATAACTTTTTTTTTTCTAAAAGAAGTCCGTGTGCTTGCTAATTCGCTGATAGTTTTTAAAAAATTTGCTGACATTTCCCACATCGTCAAAATGAAAAAGTTCAATTGAATTTATCAACAGAAAATCGAGTTTTAAAATAAAAAGCTTCTGATTTCAAGCCTGAGTTGCCGTTTTGATAATCTTTCTTTTTTAATATTCAAAAAATGTTGAGAACACAATTTTAACTTTTCCCACTGACTCGGATTATCAGTGTCGCGATGAATCATCTCGATTAACTGGGCCGTTTTGCTGCCGGGGGCCGCACACAGGTCCAGAACAAAATGATCGCTCGTCGGTTGGAGCAAAAGCGGCGGAATCATACTGACGGCTTCTTGTCGGGACAAATTCCCCAGTTCAGTTTCGGTAACCTGGGAAACTGGTAAAATGAAAATCAACATGAATAAAAAGCTTTTTAGGGCCATTTAAGCCGAAAAAATGACATTTTCCCTCTCTTAACGCTTTTTTAGCGTCTCAAGTTTGTTGTGAAGTCTCTCAAAATAGAAAAAATTAACTTCCTGAGATGAAAAGCCGGTTATTGGGCAGAACGGGTGAGCTCATCGAAAGCTTAGAAAAGGCCTCATAAGGGTTCCCAACAGACCGGGATTTGATTAACAATAGGACCTTGTTAAAGACTTTTTTCACTGCTTCTTCAACCATTTAAATTTCGAAAAAGCTGCCACAAATGAACTATTCTCTCATAAACTTCAAATCTTCACCAAAAAGTTATGCAACTGTGTGAGGATCGGATGACTTCTCACAGCGGCCCTCGGCATCGGCGTCTGGTAGGCTTCCGTGTACCTCAAAAAGGCCCGTTCCCCTCCAGAATCTCCCGAAAAGGTCAAGAAAACCATGGAATCGCCTTGGGAGCACAAACGGAGGCGTCGTCGCTGTCATGAATTTTCGAAAAGAATCGAGACTCCATTTCGCTCTTCATTTGCTCTCGGTCTCTTCAAATGAATTGTTTTCTTTTGAACCTTCCAGGTTTTTTCCCCGCTTCTTAATGGAGTTATGATTAACTTCATCGTCTTCATTTTCAAGCTCAATTGTTTAGAGCACGAACAATCTCCCTTCTAACTTATTTAATATTTTTTTTACCTTTTTTCACAGCCTCATTCCTTATGGAAGCTACTTTATTTATTTTTGTGATTCAAAAATTAATTTAAAATAATACAAACTTATTGCAGCCCTGGAAACGGAACGAAACAGGAAGTTCTCTTTGAAGAGCCGCTCGGAAGGCTTCAAACTCCTCATCGTTGAAGAATCCCTGAGCGCGGTAGAAACTCCAGTATTTCTCATTTTCTTTGATGGCCTGGGAGTAGCCGTCGTCCTTCTGGAATCGCCTTTTTTTCATATTCTTTATCCACTTTTTGAGCTTTTTAGGGTTTTTCGAACGAAGTTTGGCTTTAATTTAACCAATGTTTTTTCCTCAATTCGCCATTTTAAAATATCTCGTCTCTTTTCGCTGTCGTAAAAGCTATCAGTAAATTTTTTTTTAGGTATTTGAGGTCGCAAAAGCGAAAGTTCACAGAACGGAACGGAGAGCGGTTTACAGTATTATTTCAGGTCATCAGAGACTCAAACAGTATAGCAAGGGCTATTGAAAAAAATAAACAAATGTTTAGTTATCCATAAAGCTCTGATTCATTTTTGAAACTTCACTTATAGCAGAGGCATTCCTTTGACAATTATATATATGACTAAAAAGCCAGAATGTTTGAGCCGCGATCAAAATAACCTCAGCTTTTCTAGAGGCTATCCTGACCCTGCTATTTACTCTCATTAAATCCTACGCATTTTAACTTCTAAAGCTACTTTAGAAAGTTTTATCTGACCCTCTCATCCGTGTAGGTTTGGTCGCGGTTGCCTTTCTGTTTCTTCTTCCAAATCCTCCGTTTTGCCTGCTTACCCATTGTTCTAAAACTTCAGAGCGAAAAACGAAAAATAAAAATTCAACTTCCTCAAAAAAAGATATCCCAAGCATGGAGACTCGAGCAACGCAAAAAAAAACTCGAGTATAAACCTTTATTAGCAACATGCTTAACAAATACTAAGATTGTTTCGAGTACAACAGGAAGTTTCGTAAAGGAAATCCAAGAGAAGAAAGGAAAGATAAAGGAACGACACGACTAACAACTCACCGGACAGGAACTTGATTAACAAGAAAAAAAATGAACGAAGAAACACGCAAATAAGAGAAATAAAAGCCATGGAAAAAAGTCGAATCGAGCAACGTAGACAAAAGGGGCCGAAGACGTTCGAAATCATCGTCTCATCGGATTTCTGAGTGGTTTTCGAGCGGGAGAATACATTTGATTTATTTTGGGAGGGTCTTCTTAAGATATTTTGGATTTTCGTGAGGAAAAAGCGAAGCCAGAGACACGAAATAAATCAAACTTTCTGTGGATCAAAAGTTTTTCAACTGAAAATCTTAAGGCCTAGATGGGCTTTCTCCAACTTCAATTTTCTCCTCCGGTTCTTGGAACGATCTGCTGGCACTCGGAATAACGTAAAGTATCACAATTGCCTTTAAAGTTTGAATATTTTCTTTAAGAGGTCTACTGAATGGCCATAACTGTTAAGATATAAGATAACATAGCTTTCTGATTTTATAGACCTCCCAAACGAAAATTATTCTACTAAAAATTTGAGCCCGAACTCCCAACTTTCAAAAACCACTCGTTATTCCAGAATCGACGACTCTCATCAGGTCTCTATCCCCTCATCAGATCATCCGCCGTCAGTTGCAGCGCAGGCAGTCTCGTCTCCGCCCAAGTTCATTCTCCGGGGACCACACAGTCCACTCATCATCATCATAATTTTCTGCATCCGGCGCACGAGTTCAGGTCGTCGTCGTCGTCGAGTGTTCCTTGGGAGGGAAAATAGTGGGAGAGGCGTTTTTTGTCAGATCGAGAAGCGCCCAGAAGAGGTCTCTCAAGGATTCTGTGAGAGAAGCAGATTCTCCATGTCTGTGACGATGTCCTCGCCGAGGGCCATCCCACGGTAGTCGTCCTGGGAGACTGGCTGTGTGTAGCGAGCCGCCGCCGACTGCGACTGCGAGAATCCCGAGAGAGAGCCTTCAAGGAAGCCGACGTCGTGGCCAATCGGGTCCTGAGAGGCCTGCGAGGTGAAGAAGTTGTTGTCCGACTGCGAGAGTTGGCCGCCACGTGAGATGCCCTGCTTCGACCACGTCGTCGGAGGCGGACCTCCGCGTCGTCCTGCAACTTTTTTCCGATCAGTTTCTTCATTATTTCAAGCTTTTCTTCAAGATCCAATTTCTACATCTTTCCTTCTACCAAAAATATATAGAATTACCCTTGTAAAAACTTACTGTCTTTGGGCGGCATGTGTGGCACCGGGAACGAGGTGTTGAGCATGTGGATCGGGACAGGAAGCCGCGCTGAGGCCTGACGCATCGCCGCCGTCCGCTCGGCGATCATATTGTGCGTGTCGGCGTAGGTGAACGGTCCGCGGACGTTTCCGCTGCCTCCGCGGTACTCCTGCAGGGTGTACGAGTGCCGCTGCGTTCCATACCGACCGGCCTGAGCATATTCTCATTTTACTCATTTGACAAGCTAGCTGCATGAAGAAAGAGAAGGAAGAAAAGCTCTGTAAAGTATCTAGGCATCATCAACATATAGCACGGGAACGCAGCGAAAACAGTACCCAATTCATTGAAAGTCACGAAAGGTACAAAAAAGGCAATTGAGAACTGGTTTTTTTTTTTGATCATTTTTCGGTTCTTCTTCTTTTTTTTAAAATTATTTTTCCGTTCTGATCCAGTGTCAAATCGAGTTTTCATTCTTTTGACTCAAAACTTGTAATTTTCGTTATGCGCGCTCGCAAAAACGGAAGGCCATTTTGGTTGAATCAGCAATGAATATAGACCATTTTTTTTCCTTTCTCATTCAAATTCTCACCGGAAAAGCCGGGTTGATTGCCTGCGGTTTCGGCTTGGGCAGAACCAAATCGACGCATTTCAAGTTGTTGATCGGTCCTTCAAAAATCAATCCTTTCTGCTTGTACGTCATCAAGAGGTCGTTCCACAGCTGCTGGCGGGCAAGGACCTCAAAGAATGCGGAACATTACGCATTGTCGAACATGATTCCTGAATTACCTTTCCATTACCAATAATGATCAATCCATATTTGGCTCTCGTCAAAGCGACATTCAACCGCCGCGGATCGTTCAAGAATCCGATTCCAGAATTATCGTTGGATCTCACACACGTAACGATGATGAAATCTTTCTCTCGACCCTTGAAATCAATTATTTCGCTTTAAAATAACTTTCTGAGTCAAATCGCGCCGATAAAAAGCGGAAATCGCGTCAAATTATCTGTATTGGGCACCACGGGGCGTGAACTTTCAGAACAATATGTTGCACTCTCTCAACATACGAAACTGGGCTTTTTTTCTACGATGGAAGTTTTGATGAAAAAGCGTATATTTTCTGATATTACTTCATAATACAAAATGTTCAACCTGGAACGCATCGACGTTGGCGATTTCCAAATGTTCGTAGAGTTTCGAGTTCAAGGAGCCCTGATCATGCATGTACTGGACAATGTACGAACGTTGGCCTTCGTAGGGAGTGATGACGCCAATTTGGCTGGGACTCATGCCGCCTCTGAAAGTTGTTCAACTTCAACATTTAGAATAAACTGAACTCATGTTTAGATTTTTTTTTTAAATGATGGCCAGGAACCCTTCGGAAAAAAACTGAAAAAAAAATTCCGATCAAGCTTTTTCATGGAAACTGTCTTTATTGTTCACTATTAAAATAAAATAAAATGTCATCATTTCCGGGAACCTGTCAATTCGTTAAGGTTGGCTCTTTCTCGTTTATCTTTATTATTTATTTTTTTAATATGCCCCTCCTTTATTTCATCTCTTATTCCCTACATTCTACTGGTAAAAAATGACAGTGAAGATAAGCTCAATCTTATTTTCTGACAACGAACTTGATGAGCTTGCTGGTGAGTTTCTCGACATTCGCGGCTTCAGTTCGGTTCAAAAAAGAGGTTCCGCTGGAGCTCATTTCCTCGGTTCCGTAGCACGACCAGAACATTGTCGGACTGCCGTGCACCGGCCATTCCCAGTCGACTCCTCGAAGTTGTCGATCATCTTAATTCGTTTCACTTTAGTATATTCTATCAGGACTGCTACAATTGAATAAATATTATCATAAACAACAAGAAAATTACGGAATCTCTAGAAAAATGATTATTTGAAGCTACCAATATCAGCTTTACGGAATTCATTCAACGATTTTGAAATATATCCTAAATCTTTCTTCACTTCATAAGAGCACTTGGAAATTGGCAGCAAAGAAGTGGCTGAACCATTAACCGAGTGACCAGTATTTTGACAGCGCCGAGAACAGAAAACCCACTTTCACTGACGCCATTCTGCAAGCTGCCCTCATAGAAGACGTTGCTGGGGAACGCGGACAAGGCCGGATGCATTCGATATTGAACCTGGAAACGTTAGCTGGCTTGAATTTCATTAAAATTTTAGTGCACTAAATTTGAGGGAAAGTAAAAGTGACGCCTAAGTTTGTTGGAGCATATAATTAAAGTTTATTTTGGCCAACTTATGGCTATAAACAAGTTTTTTTTCACATTCTTGCTAATCATTGATTGGAAGTTCATTATGAAACTATTAACATTACATGACAAATAAACCTTCAAAAAGTTGAAAACTATTTCCCAAAAAAGCCGTGAATCAAATTAAAATTTTTTTGTTTTGCTTTAAAGTTTCACTACTTTTGGAAAGTGAGTTTTTCTTTCTTTTCTTATGCTGGGCAGGTGTCTCAACGGGTTTACCCGTATCAAACCCGTTTTTTTGAGGTTATTCGTGTCGCAGTTGTGCCAAAACAGGGAGTAACGGGGTGCAAGAAGAAGTAGGGAATCCGCTGTTCATTTCAAAAGTCTCATATCCAACTGTGCTAAAATGGTACCACAGCTTCGGTAAAATAAAATGCTAGAAGTTCTAGCAACTGTGCTTATACTTCCTTTTTTTAAATTCCAGTTACTAATTTCAATTATATTGTTCAAAACTAATCTAATTTCTAAAAATATCAGTATAACTTCAAATAATGTACTGAAAGGAGTCTTTTAGTGACTTTCCCTCCGCACGTACCTCTAACCGAATCGGATGATTGTTCAAAAGAACCAATCTTTCGAAGAGCGATTGCTGGAGTCCGGCGCGAGCGGCCTGAAAAAGTTCGATTCAAAATAAAATGAACCAGGGAATTATTATATAAAAGTACTAAGAAACGATCATTTACTCCGTACATATACATTTTATGCTAAAAACCAAATTTTTGCAAGGGGCAGCCCCGGGATTTTCTAAGCCCGTGCTGGCCCCGCCTTAGCCTCAGACGAAAAAAGCTGGAACGGCTTAAAATGCGCTAACTTCCATCAATTCAAATATCGAGTTTTTTACGACAAAAATCACGTTTTCTCAACCTCATATCAAAAAAAATTACGTTGCCTAGCAAAATATAACATGAAAAAATGACCTTTTTGCACAAGATTACAGGTCCCAGCTGGCAATGGTCGCCAACGAGGATCAACTGACGGACGCCTCTAACGATTGAAACCAAGACCTCTGGTTCTGTCGCCTGCGTCGATTCATCGACTAGAACACATCTGAAAAAGATTGATCGCACTAAAAAAAGGATAATGACAAAAAATTTCTTTGAACAAGAGGTATATGGACCTTTCAAAGTTACGGGCAAGTTTTGATCTTTTTTTTTTCTACGAAAACCAATATTTCTGACGTATTATTAAAAACTGAAACTTATGGAGGAATCTTTTCAACGAAAAAAAGCCGTACGAATGCACTACGAGAAGCCCGAAAAATCCACAAAATATCATAATAATCACTTGATTTTCAGTTTCGAAAGACGCGGATCAGCTGCAGAAGAGCAAGTGCAACAGATGACGTCGGCTGCCGCCAGAATCTCGGCTTCTTTGGTCTGGAAAATGAGAACCCTATAATTTATTTGTCGGAAACAGCTTAATTTACCTTTCGGAGCCTCACAAAATGAGCTTGATCCGTCGCCGACAGCTCACCAACTTCTTCCTGAAACATAGATGTTTTAAAAACAATAATAAATGTTCGAAGTCTTGATATATAATAAGTTTTCTAACTTTTATATGATTTCTTCCTATACGAACCTTCAACTGCATCAATTTATGAAGTTCATGGGCGCCGCGAAGGGTTTTCAGTTGAGTATGAAGCCCGAGGAAATTCATACCCGACTCGAGGCCTTCTCTCGACTTTGCACAAACGCGAACAACCTAGAAATCATTTTAGAAAGTTATTTAAATTACTGAGTCTCAAGAAATCACTCAAGTTGCTCTAAATTTAATGATTTTAAAATTAAAAAGCTTTTTTCAATTTCTCAACTGTCTAACTCATAAAATTGAACTTCATTTCCCAAAGAACCGAAAAGAAAATGATGAAAAACGTTCAAGCAGTTAAGGAACTTGCTGCAGCAGAAAAAAATCTTAAAAAATGCTCAATTTTTTCACACTTCAAGAAACATAAGCATTCTTTATTCCAACCTACACTTCGCAGCTCGATTTATAAACACCCATAACTTCACTTTACTCACCTTCAAGCCAGTGAGGTTGATTTTCTCAGCCAACTGATCTACAGCAATGTTGGATGGGGCGCAAACAAGCACTTGCGCTTGAGTTTGCTGCACCAAATGGTAGACAATCGAAGCCGACGTGACCGTCTGACAGAAATATTGAGCTTTGGAAGAGGAAATCTTGAGTTTCAAACTTTTCCAGTTCCAGGAGGTCCCTGAATCAAACTGAGCGGCCTGGTGAGCACCTGTCTCACGGCCTGCATTTGACTGTGGTTCAGCTCCGGCAGCCCAGGAACAGAAAGACGTTTTGGCGGGTGGATCTGAAAATAAGGATCAGTGTCTTTGTTATTTTTGGAGTTCAAAAATAAACATATTTTCTTTCTTTCTAGTTCCCTTTGAAATCATACCTTGAAGGCCAGTTCGTTGATCTCTCTGCCCATCATTTTGTGATAAATGAACTGAGAAACACAGGCCTGATCTTTCTCCAGCTTTCCCAGAGCGCCAATCATTCGATCGAACGAGGTCGAGTTCCAAACAGCCTAAAAAGTCGATAAATTCATTATTAATGAGAGGACAGGAGAGGCAGTTTTATTACAAGTTTTTGAAATAATTTGGCATCTTTTCCTTCAAAAAAAAAACCTTTAAATTCATCTAACTGTTCACTAATGTGCAAAAGGAACCTCGCAGGTGAACATGATCCTCTGCTCATTCGGAATCTTGTCTGTACTCCGGTCACGGATCTCCAAACCAATCTCGTCAGTGTGATCTGAAATCAATGCACAACTTATCAACGCATTATCATTTGGATCCTACTGTCAGGGATCTTGAAGACTTGTCCGGTACACGTCCACTCGCTTCCGTCCACAGTCTGGGTGTGTTTCAAACGAAGCTCGTCGCCAATCATCAGTTTCATGCCTGAGAAGAAGGACAGTGAAACACAGAAAAGTTTTCAAAGCATAAAACCGTCGGTTAAAGCTGTGCGAAAAAAAAAACAAATAATCATTAAGTTATCCCTTTAATTAATGGGAAAATTTTCAAATATTGTTCGATTGAAAACTTCTAAACCGCTCGGGCTAAGTCGGAATAGTGGAAAATGACTTCTAAAAGGGCGAGACTCAAAAGGCGGCAGAAAGGCAGCAAATAAAGACCCTTTATCAAGCCTTTTGATTTTTTCCAGAATTTTAAAGGCTCAAGGAAAGATGAAAAAAAGGTAAAGGTAACAAAAAAAAAAGCCGTTGAGACGGCGCGAAAAGACAGAAAAAAATACTACTACTCACTTCCATCAGTGAACTTTGGCAGGTGGAAGAAGGCCAAGTGTTTCCGGGACAACCCTTGCTCCCAGCGGACCTGACCGACGTTCTGCGTCTGCGACTCGGTCATCCTCCGGTCGTACTCGGCCTCTTCTCTGACCAGTGGAGCGAAGATTCGGCGGTAGTGGAAGGCATCATCGTATCTGAAGATGAAAATCGAGAGATCTTTAAAAAATCTGAACGGATCCTCCCTGGATGAAGTTTTTGTCTTATAACTTTTCGGACCTTTTTTCAAAAATTGACTTCAGAAATGAAAAATTTGAAGGTGGGAAGTGCCCCGATTCTACGAAGATGGACAAGAATAACGTAAACGATTATTGAAAAAATTATACCGGTAAAACTTCTTTTTCAATTCTAAAACCTCAAGCAGACGGGATCGGGTTCCCTGTCGATTCCTGGCTTGTCGAGGTCTTCCAACGTCGCGTTCGGGTGTTCTCTCCAGACCTCTTCAAGGCGCATCGCTTGTTTATTTCTGTAGAATGTTTATTTATGTTAACACTTGGTAAATTATCTTCAAATAATACTCCAGCGATAATAATTATTCCGCTTTCAAAAAACCCAGTTTAGTAAAAGAACTATACGTGATTTGACGAGCTCTCATCAACAGCTGCTCCGATGGAAAGTAGACGATCCAGGATAATAGCTGAAATATATTGTTTTTGAAGTCATTCATAAAGATTATAACCTGTTTCTCTGCGATCAACGGCTTCCAGTCGTCGTTCTGCCAACTGGGATCTTTCTGCGACGCCGTCTGAGCGCACGGAAAACGGCAGAGAAGAATCTGTTAAGTTTTTTGAAGCGAAAATTACAGTAAGATCTCTACCACAACAGAATCAGCCTTGGCCGGGATGAAGCCGAGTTGAAAGACGTTTTTCGAGGCACAAAGGTAACATTCCAGTTGAGTGTCTTCCAGAGGCGATTCTTTGTGGAGGATCACCTGAAAAAAAAACATTTGAACAACATGAGAAAAACCCCAAAAGATCTCAAGAATCGAAATGAACCTAACTGGCGTCTAACAAGTCTGATCCCAAGAAGAAAGAAAAGAAAGAACCAAGAAGAAAAAAACCCAGAAGAATAGCTTCCTAGTATTTTTTTTTATTAGAAAACAGAAGGAATTTGCTTTTCAGAGCCTTTACAAGAAAAGGATTACTTCGAAGCCTTTTAAAAGGATCCCTAAAAACAAGAGAACGGCTTATGATTAGTCACCTCCTTATGTTGACTCTTGACCATATGATTGACCAAATGTGAGCCGGTCGTGCCAATTTTCCCATTGCAGAACCATTTGTCGCAAACTGTACATTTGGCCACACACTTGGTATCGCTGATTCCACAATATCTGAAAAGAATCTGGTATTTCCGTCACTAAGTTCATTTCTCTAAACCGGCAAGCGTGATCAGGGAGTTTCCTTTCGTGGAAGAACTCCTCCTCTTCAACTTCTTCCTCATCGACGTCGTGAAACGTCAAATCCTGTGAAGCGTCTACTCCAGTGACCAGACTTCGCTCAGTCTGAATTTTAAAAGTTTCTTTGAGGAAGTAAAAGCCTCATGGTATGTTCAAGATTCTTTCTAAAGTTTTCGAAAACAGCGCAGTGTTATTTTGAAAAATTTTCAGAGTTTTCGATACGTTTGCGCCCTTAAAACGCCACAGAATTTTAAAATCAGATCAAAAAAAAAACCTGGGAAGTCTGAGTAGGCAACGAAAAGTCATTTTCGAAGTCAAAATGAGAATCTTGTGTGGCGGCAGGCAAGACCTCGTCGTCGTCAACGAAAGTCAACGTTTCTGTGCCATTTGGACCATAAACGTCAAGTTCGTCGTCCATTTTTTGAGGGAATTACCCTAATAAAAACTTATTATTCACGAAAAAACCCTTTCTAAGTGTGCGCCAAGTTGATGAACCATAAAAGTCTCGAAATGAATTTTTTTAAGTGAAAATAAACTTTTTTTTTGAGCAATTTAGATGCACTTCGAGTCAATTTTCTCAAATAGACTCACTATTATTTTAAAAAGGTCACGTTTGCCATGAAAAAATAGTAAAACAAAAAATAATTGCAAGAAAAACCAAATTCATCACCCCAAAAAATTAAAAATAACGTCCAAAAAAACACGAGTTCAAATTTCAAAAAAAGAATTGTGTAAGTTTAGGCAATCACAAGAGCCTACTTAAGGGAGATTTTTCGCTTCAGCGGCCCCTTTAGCGGCCCTCGAGTGATTTGCACTTGCGCGGTGGTTCACACTTGCTCAGCATTGCGAACAGACCCGTTCTTTTCAAAATTTTTATAATATTTTTTTTTCTTTCATTTAAAAGTATTCATTTCAGCGGATTCACATAAAAAATGGTTATCAGTTTGTTTATTAGAGTTTGATCGAAGTCTTGAAGTTTTCAGTTAGGTTTAAGGACTCCTGACGTTTCGGCGCTTTTAAACAAGTTATATAACCCATCAAGCTGTCCCGAGTTAACTATATACACATTTTTCAATTGAAGGAAGTTTTCCGCTCAGATAGAATTGTCGATTTTTCTACCTTTTGAAACCTTCATTTTAGACCTATACAAAGCTTCTCTTTTTTTTCGCTCTATTCGATTTCAAAATTATTTTTATCGAGTCATTCCAGCTTTCATTCGCATGTCTTTGTCCCGGCCGTTGCATTTAGCAAGATTATTTTCAACATATTCAAGTTTAAGACCTGAATTTCGTAGGTTTCTCAGAAATTTTCGTGAATAGGCTCATCTTTAATGTTTCAGAATCGTGGGAAATAGTATAAACCAATGGAAATCGAAGCCTCTGGATCGGAAATTCCTTCTGAAATCTCTACGCTTGTCCGGCTTGACGGCTCAATTCTCCGCAGTTTTTCTGCGAAGAGCCGAATGTCAGGCGAGATTGTCAAAAAGGAGCGATATCGCGAAACGTGAGAGGGAGCACGACCCTGAAGCTTCGCTCACATTATCCGACATTTTCACTCTGATCAAGCCTTATTTGGGGTGGCTGATTGCTGCTGTTGTGGTGAGAGTCCAGAGGAAAAAGAAAACTAATGAGTTTCCATTTAAGTGCGCTGTTTTGTCCGCGATAATCAACATAAAAATCCCACTGTGTCTGGGAGATCTGGTCAACGTTCTGGTTGACGTGATAAAAAGCGAGTCGAAGGATGTTGCTGCACACTTTGACGAGATTAAACCTCATGCCGTTCGACTGCTCACTTATTACGGGATCCAGGTAACTTTTTGTAGTGACTTTGATTTTCGTGGTGGCTGGAAACTAATTTGCAAAGTTTGAAAATAGTTTTTGGAAAGTTCAAAATTTCTTGTGTATCTCGAAAATGACATTGAAAACGGCTTCTTCTTTCTGGAAAGTTCAATAAAACATGTCTGTTCTTTGTTAAACAATTAGCCAATGGACCGTATCTTTTTGAGATGAATATACGCTTTGAAAATATAAAAAGACAATGAAGTTGTACCTTTTCTGAAAGAAATCTTCCTATTTCTATCCGATTCGGTAAAAATTGAAACATTGAAAAAGCTTATAGTGCATCGGATGAAATTAGAAATCTTTGACGCCTGCTCTTGAAATGTCGAAAGTCAGTTTATAGTCGGCGCACCTTGATAGCAACCGTTTTCCAGCTGTTAAGCTTTAACCCATTCCAAATGCGATCTTTTTCGATCTCATTTCACCTTTTCATTTTCCAGGCCGTCCTCACTTTCATGTATATTTCGTTTCTAACGATTCTCGGCGAGCGGATGGCCGTCGACATGCGTCTGAACCTCTTCAAAAAGTTGCTTTCACTTGATATGTCTTTCTTCGATACACAGGTATCCTCAAAAAATGAGAAAAATTTTTACTTTTTGATAGAAAACGGGCGAATTGTCTTCACGGCTAAACACGGACGTCCAGGAGTTCAAGAGCAGCTTCAAATTGTGCGTTTCTCAGGGATTAAGGACGATTGCACAGGTTTTATTTTTTAAAGGGGCTCCGCGCATGAACATACATGGGCAGAGTCCGAACGTGGTCCGTCAGGGAGGAAAGTTCCCATTAGGCTATTTTCAAGAATGGAGGGCCGGCAAATCGAATTGAGTTTGATTGAAACGCATTTTTTAACGTTTCCCGAGACAGAAATTTTTTTTAAATAATTAGTTTTCAAATGTAGACGGTGAAATGGGTTAGTTTTAAACTTTTTGGAGGGTTTCAAGCGCTTTTTTCTTCTTTCGACGTGCCTCTTTTGGACCGACGTGCCTCTTTTGGACCTGAAATTAGTTTTTTTTTTCCAGAATCATTGAAAAAAAGTTGGCATTTTGAAAGAAAAAAGTCCTGGAGAGGGTTCGGCGGCCCTGAAGTTCGGTCTGCCCATGTGTGCGCGTGAATTTGGTGTACGCTGGACTTGAACGGGATCTATGGACTTAAACCGGGACCCGAAATTCTATTTCGGGCGATCGGTCAGGGTTAAACGGAAAAATGAAAGTAGCATCCGCAGGTGCTACCAACATGAGAGTTCCACTGCATCTTGTCAAAATCTGAGAGAATCATCAAATGGAAAAATCCTTTTTTGAGACTCTCGGCTGCATTGGCTCGTTAGTAACGCTGTCCGCCAAGATGACTCTCTACACGGTGGCCGTCGTTCCCGGAATCATCCTGATGGGATCGATTTTCGGCGCCGCTTTGAGAGTTTTGAGCAGAAAGTTTTTCAAAAATCTGACAAAAAGTATATATGCGAAACTATCCTAGAGCTCAAGCTCAATCAGCGGCAGCTGCGGCGACTGCCGACGAAGCTTTCGGCAATATCCGTACTGTCCGAGCTTTTGCCATGGAAAAGCAGGAGGAAAAGTTGGGAATGCATTCGGAGGTGACATGAAGTAGAAATATTCAAGATTATTCGAAGAGGAGCTCAGAAAGTCATGCCAGCTCCAGGAGCAGCTCGGTTTCGGCGTTGGAATGTTCCAAGGTCGGATTTCCACTGGAAAAGTTCATTTTTTGATTCTAGCTTATCATAAGATGTGTTCTTTGGGTGAAATTTCATTTTAGATTTGTCAGGTTTGAAAAAAAAATCAATCAATATGTAGGTTGATTGAAACTTAGCGTTTAAAATAATTTTAATAAGTTTTATCATCTTTTTTCCTGAAAAAAAGGCTCGAACTTCTGTAAAAATCTATTTTTGCCTTTGAGGACATATCTCCTTTGTTCCAAGAGTTTTTTTGTACCCAATTGGCCGAGATTTCAGTGAACTTTAGGTGCCACTAATCTGTTCCTCAACGGAATCGTTTTGTCTGTTCTGTATGGTGGCGCTTCTCTTATTGCCCAGGTTTGTGAGCGGGTCATAAAAAAATATTGTTTCGTATCCGTAAAAAAAGAGCACAAAAAAATATCGCAGTTATAACGTTTAAAAATATTCACGAATTTTTTTCAGGAAAAAAAGTTTCCAAGATGTAGAGATAAGTTCACAAGATAATACTTCATTTCATCAAAAATTTCGTTTTGAAGCCACTAGAAGTGAATGTATAAAGATATTCCAAGGATTCCAACGAATATCTCGAACGAGAAGAGAGTGGACATGAACAGCTAAACTTAAAAGGTCCAAAGAGGCTTAGTTCAGTTTTTGCTTTTTAAACTGAAATGTTTCTTAGCGTTTTTCAAACTTCAAACCTTCCAGAAAGCTATTTTCCATGTTGCTTCCTAATTGATTCAAAGTTACCTTGACACGGAACTCGAATATTTCTTTAAAATCAGCTGAATAGATCAAAAAAATAGAATAGGAGTGAACCTAGTTGATGAATCGACTAAAGCAACGGAGTAAGGACTTCTAATGCGTTTTGAAATTAAAATTATTTTATTGCCCAGAAAAGTGTCATAAGGGAAGTCTTTTTCGAGGCTGTTATCGAAAAACGATGGTTGAAAATGATCGTGAGTCCATCTAAAACTGGCAGGGCGGATTTTTTGAACAGCTCTTTGAAAAAAAAAACTTGAGTCAGAAGAATATTTCATTTTTAGGATTATTTTGTGTTATTTCCATATTTTGAGAACGAGATGTCCCCTGGAGCCTTGATGTCCTTCTTAGTGTCGGCCCAGACGATCCAAAGATCTCTCAGCCAACTTTCCATCATATTCGGCACCGCTGTCAAGGGCTGGACGGCTGGGGCCAGAGTTATGCAAGTAAGGAGAAAATGGTCCTTCTTGAAGGGAAAAAGGACTTTTGCAGTTCTCGAAAATGGAGCCCTCGATTCGCATGGATGACGGCGTCTGTATACCTTATCACACTTTGTGGGGCGATATCCGATTCGAGAACGTCTCATTTTATTATCCCAATCGGCCTGGTCACAAAGTAGGCTTTCGGGCTCCCGAAAACAGCTTCCTGGAGTTTTCGAAATGCTAAAACAAATTTCATGAAAATCTCAAGTTTTTTTTAGCTTCAAACCATCCAGGAAGCCATTTTCCTACATATTTAAGTCAATTTTCAAAGGTTTTTTCTAGGTTTTTGATGACTTGGACCTTGAAATTCCGGCTGGACAAATTGTCGCCTTGTGTGGACCCAGTGGCGAGGGTGAGAATATAGTTCGTTTTGAATGAAATGTCACAAATATTAAAATATTTTAAGAAAAAGTATTTCAATTCAAAAAGTTTTTCTTAAAGTCGGTTAGTATTCAATTTCCCATTAGTGGTTCAGAACTTGAACTCTACCGAAAGCTTCCGGATTTATGAGAATAAGGTTTGTAGCTTCAAGTTTAAAACTTCTGGAAAAGATTTATAGAAAGAACCTTCCAATATTCTTGTTCTTAGTGGGTTTTCCTTGGAATTTCCATTTTGTTAAAGCATTTGTTGTGGAAAATTGAAATTTCTAGTAACTTACTAGTTAGTATAATTTCCTTTCCAAAAAAATCGTCTGTATAAGAATAGGTATGACAACTTCATAGTCATCAAGTAAAAATCAAAGCAAACTTTTAATTTTTAGGTAAGAGTACGATAACACACATGTTGGAGCGGTTCTATGAGCCGCAAAATGGTCGAGTCACCCTTGACGGACAAGATTTGAGGGACCTCAATGTGGAATGGCTTCGTGGGAGGGTGATTTTGACAAAGAAATCAAATCCAAGAAATAATATTTTCAGGTAATCGGCTTGATTTCCCAAGAGCCGGTTCTTTTCGCGACAACAATTGAGGACAATATTCGTTACGGTCGTCCCGAAGCTACTGATGAAGAGGTAAAAACTTCCTAAAGTGAGAAATATGTGGATATAAATTCTGCGAGAAGCTGAAGTGCGCTCGAGAATTAGTGGACCCTATAGAGGATTTATTTGAACTTCCTAAAGGAAGGAAGAAGGACACTTATAGGAGGTTTTTTAAGGGCAGAAATCTAGAAACTTGAAGTACGCAAGTAAGGTTGAACACCTATTTTCACCTATTGTTGCAATTGATCTCTGTAGGATTTTTTTCTGTTTATAGTACCAACTCCAGCTTTTTTCAGTTCCATTGTAAAACATTACAACACTATCACGATGATCGTGAGAAAAGCTTTGAATCAAAATTCGGGAAATTTTTTCACGGACTCACAATGCTTGTGCTTTGATAGCCAACTAGAAAAATCTGGAGTTTTTAATCATCAAGAAAATCTTGTATGAAGGCGTTTTGGTTGTAACTTTATATCTTCATCATTTTGAATTCGATTTATGAACGGTAATTTTTTTGAAAAGTGTGAAATTTTTTTCACAATTTTTCTATAAAAAAAATAATCTCTGAGTTTCCTTTTTCCAATTGACGCACTCTCCGGAGAAAGGCTTCCTCACCAGGATTACATTACAACTTATTGGAAGCCCCCCTCAATCTCTCCGGCTAAAAATACATAATCGCTTGATTTTCGCCTCGTGATGGGAAAAGCCGCATTTTAATGGGAAAAAAATAAGAAGGATTGTTTTCAGTGCATTTAGGGAATTTCAAGAATGAGATTTCGAGAACTTATTTTTGATAAGTTCTCGAATTATTTGAACGATGATTTACCTTTAAAAAAATTAGGGAAAAATTTTAAAAAAGTTCGGGAGGTTTTTTTTTCCGTATGATAGCTTTTTTTTTGACGACCAAGGATGATTTTTCTTCCCGAAAAGGATAAATAATTGATTTTAAGAGGAATTTTCTACATTTTTCCTGCATGAAGTATACTCGAACAGGCCAAGTCGAAACCACCTCCTAAGATCAAAACGTAATGTCCCTGAATAGGGCACATGCTTGGTCTCCGCCTAACTTTAATTTTCTCAGCTACCTGTCAGAGAGTTAATTTTTTTAAATACCTTTATCACCTATCACCAGACTAATTGAGCAGTACTTGCCCACATAAAAACAATTAGCGGAATAAAAGAAAAAAAATTTTAGGTGCGACAAGCGGCATTGAGCGCCAACGTGGACGAATTCGTGAGGAAGTTCCCCAATGGCTATCAGACTGTCGTTGGCGAACGTGGCGCCCAGCTTTCCGGAGGTCAGAAACAGAGGATCGCCATCGCTCGGGCCATTTTGAAAAATCCGCCGATCTTGATTCTCGACGAGGCAACGTCGGCCCTCGACTCGGAGAGCGAAATTATGGTGAGAATATCCAAAAAAGTGTGATCGTACAAATTCAATTAATTAGTCTCAATTTTTTTATTTCCTTGTCCAAGTGTGGCTGTCCGTAGAAAAAGCAAAAAGAATTTGAAAGTTACGGAGAATTCTTTATTCTCAAAATCGAATACGTTCTCAGATTTTTTTCGTTCTCAAAAAAAGGTTTTCGATCAGTTTTTTTTTGACCCTTCAGTGGAACTGTACAGGAAAAATGTGAGAAAATGAAAACGAAGGAAGAGGAAAAATTAATTCAAAGATTAAAAAGATGATTTCAACTTCAAAGTTAGGGTTGGTTATGAAATATGAGCCGGAAAATCAAATAATTATTTCTAACCGGACAACCTATTAGTGTATTTCAGGTCCAAGACGCTTTAAATTCGGTTATGAAGGGCCGAACCGTGCTGATAATTGCCCATCGGCTGAGCACGATTCGAGACGCTCAACTGATTTATGTGATCAAAGATAAAAAAGTTGTAGAATGACCGACTTCGAGAAAAATATTATGAAATTGAGGCGATCGAGAAAGGAACGCACGATCAGTTGATGAGGAACAAGAACTCGATTTATAAGAAATTGGTCGAGGCCCAGCAAATCAAGTGAAAAAGAGTAGACTTTCTAGGAGAAGTAGGTTTGTAGGATAGTTGATAAGATATATTATAATAAATTGTTCACGTTTTTTTTCGTGTTCACGTGGCATTTCGAAACGTGGGAAAGAGGCAAATCGATTATTTCAGCTATAAATTTGGCCTTTTTTCAGATTTCTAGACTTTCAAATGGGAGAAAAAGCATCGATTGCTATAAAATTGCCTTTTTTCTGTTTTTTTTCCCCATTTTGCTCTTTGGAAAAACGATGAAAGGACGACATTTTGTAGCGGAAATCTGTCCGTCCAATTCGTTTGTTGGCCGGAGAATTATTCACACACGCAAATGCTTTGGCCATTTTTTCGGTATTGCTTTCAATTTCTGTTGTTCTTCGTTTCATTCCGATTTTTTCTCGTTTTTTTTTTTTCGTTCATTTCATTCATTTTATTCGGAAAGTAGGGTCAAAAAAAGCATTTTTTAGAAGTTTCTTAGCATAGTTGATTAACCTTCTTTTCGGTGAAAATGTGTGTAATCTTGCGATTTTCCAAGGAAAGTGTTACAATTACTGTTTCTAGTTTTTCTCATGATTTATTCGTCATCGGCCATCTCGTCCGAAAAAAAACAGTAAAATTTTGAAAAAAGCCCTAAAACGTATACTTGCGTAAAAAAAGCGGAGCGTATCAAAGTTTTTCGGATCCACTTCAGTCAGATTAATTAAAGTTTTATTCTTAATGAATAATTCAGGTCAACATTTTTCGAACCTCTACGTTTCCCGTAATAGCTCTTTTATCATCTCGAAAAACATTTATTTCAAAATTTCAAAAAAATATTTCGAATTTCGGGTCAAGCCGATGGTGAATCAACTACATGGCAAAAAAAAAAACGTAAACGAAATTAAATTTTCTTCATTTCGGGGAAAAGGATTAGAGGTTCTAAACATTCGACGCTTGCACTACATGTAAGCTTCTCAAGAGTTCATTTGAAGCATTTTTTTCAATCGTGAGTCAGTTTATGCCGTTTTTCAGGTCTCAAAAGTTAAAAAAAAAAGTTTCTTATTGCTATACATAGTCCATTCATAGCATTTTTCAGGAGGTTTCCAGTCGTTTTCTCCCTGATATGATGCCTATTAGACTGAAAATGAACTGAAAACCTTATTTTATCATTTTTCAAGTTTCAGCTTTTTGGAAGGTTTTTAGATGATATATTTAAGAAAGTTTATTTCTCACATGAAATTTCGCAATATGCTGTACAATAGTCTATTCAAAAGTATTTGGTGGTCCTTTTAAAGGCGCAGAAGTCATTCTCGAGATAATTGCTTCTAGTCCTTGCTCCTTTAAACAAACCAGCGAGCATTCTATGAATACGCTATATATACCTTGAATGTCGCTCAATTAGGAAAATCTGCAGATTTTCGGACGCTTATAAATCCGCTTCACACCGTAATCCCACTCTGGCGATCGATAGGGCGAATCCTTGAGCAAAAAAAAAGAAGAAGAAGAGATTTTCAGACTTTGTGCCAGGGGCATCTCCTCCCACTTCTTATCAGCTTATCTTTCCAGGCTTCTTATATCTTTTCTTGCCTTTCAGTTTTTCTTCATCTTTTTTTTCATTCTTTTTGTTTTAAAGTTTCTCACTGATAAAATAATCAATTTTAGGGACGCTTTTCAAAATCAAAGTGAAACTTCTCAAAAGCTTTCTGTGACAAAGTTTGTTCGCAGTTTGCAATTTTTCTGAAGGTCTCGAGGCTTAGAGTCTTTTTTCGAGTAGTTTTTGGTTTTTCAAGACTTCTGCGCCTTCAAAAACATCAGCAATAGTTTTTGAAGAAACGAAAATTCCTTTGAAAATTGTCTCAATCGAAGAAAAAAACACCTTTTTCTCCAGACAGCAAAATCCTGTCTCAGACTTTTTTTCTGTTTTTTCCAGTTCTATTGATAAAAATAATATCACATTCACACGCACGAAAATCGACATTTCTGTTTTTGGTTCACATCGTTAATTTCCGGAAAAAGCCGTCCCGTGAAACACGCCATCAAATGGACTAAATAGAATTGTACTTTTTCCCTCTCTTTCTCTTGCAAAAATGGAAAATTTAGCCTCGCGTTTTTTTCTCGCGGATTCACAAGATCCAAAAAAGCGTTTACTATTACAGATCTTCACAGAATTTCCAAACAAACTGAACCGTTTGAGATATTTTCAAACAGTTTTTCTTTTCCTTATGTTCAAGTTTAAGCCTATTCGGATACCTCGTTGCAGGTTTGAGAATGAAATATTTCTAATTTAAAGGGAATAGTATGAAAAAGGTCTTTCTTCCTGACAATACTAAGTTATTTCTATTCATTTTCAACCTTTTAAAATATTGTTAATGGATCAATTTTCTGTTAAAGTTCGAATGAAAATCCTCGAATCAAGGGCATAAATGACTGAAGCGCCGGATCTTCTCCAACTCGTCCAAGGCTTGAGTCCCGAAGAACAAGCCGTGCTCCGTGGCGTCTTCGAGAAAGACCTCGAGTTCCAACGGCACGAGAAGGCCCGATTGAAGTACCTAAAAATATACTATGTTTCTGAATAAGTCAAATTTTCACAGGACCCTGAAAACAAACGTCGAAGTTCAGAGATGGGAGCTGAGCAACCGGAAAGCCTCCGTTCCGGCCAGTCTTTCCTCGGAAAGTTGCGCTTCCAATTTGAGCAGCGTCTCTGGTCAGAGGTCTGTGGTTTTCATGGATTCCGACGGAATTTTCGAAACTTTTTCAAAAAGTTCAAGGTAGAAAATAAGCAACGCTGCAGTAAATTAGTAATTTTTGCGTGTTAATTGATGAATTTAAAAATTATCTGAGTGAGAAAATAGGATCCAAACTTTCGTCGTAGACAGTTTCAGGGGAAGAAACAATCAAAAAAAAATTCTGCAGAATTCTACCACGGGCAAAGTCCAAACGGTCTCAAAAAGAAGAACTTAAAGCTCTCTTTATTTAGGGGCTCAAAAAGGAGCTTTAGATTATTCTCTTTAAGACTTCTTTGAGGCATTTTGAACGTTGCCTGTGTCAAGAACTTTTTTTTCCCTAGATTTTTGGCGAAAAGGTTGTTTTTGGTTTTGGCCTCAGCTGAAATTGTTAATTTCTGACCCTACCCGGATTTAAAAAAAGGACCTACAAGTTTGGCGAAGAGTAGAGAAATTAACCTTTCAAACTCTTCTAGTTATAATTTCTGAGAGCAAACTTAATATGGATAATAGCTTTTTTGCATATTGAGAGTGTCTTAATCCTCTTTGTGTTTTCAAAAAATGAAAGAAAATTTCAGCCCTTTCTCGCCGTCACGTTGGTCCAGAAACTGCGCGATTTGTTCCAGTACTTTGGGATTTATTCTGAACAGCGGGACCAAGTGTCGAAAGTGCTCTACGGTTTGATATGTTCTTATATATGAAGTTCTTCAATGGAGCGTTTTTTCCGTGAGTAAGGTATAATTTTAGATTCTTTGCGATCGTTGCCGGACGACGGTGAACTCCAAAAATAAGGAGAGCTACCTTTGTCCGATTTGCTATCAGGAACGGTGAGCTTGGACTTTAAATTTCAAGTTATGCTCTCCTAAAAAGTATGTGAGTCAGACGTTGGAAACGCAAATTGGACTTTCTGAACCATATTAGTGATCACTTAAGTGTCCAGACGCTGTTAAAATAATCATTCAATGGCTTAGAAGTGGCTAGGGCACGTCCGGTTGGCGGTACTAATAAGAGAAAATCACAAAAAGACGTAGCTAGCCAATGAGAACCTTCTGAAGCAAACTTGGATTTTTTATATGGATATTCGAACTCTCGGTAACGCGAACCGGACGCGCCTCGACGTATCTGAGCATCTCTAGTGATCCCTATAGCGGTTCCCGCACTCTTAAGTGATTACTTGAAATGCTCACAAACGTCCGAGACGCGTCCGGTTTGTCTTACTTAGAACCGAGTAGTAGGCTGAAAGAATTGAATAAAAGTGAAAATATAGCGATTCTTTGGAAACTCATTTACGCTACGTAAAGCTTCATGCGTATCGCCTCTGAAAATAAGTTCGACGGATATATCTAGAGAGCTGGAAGCCGCCACGAACAGCTGGACGAGGTGCAAAGAAGAGCCCGAAGAAGACGTCGAACAGGCTTCCGAAGCGCTTCTGAATGCGTTGCGTCGTGTCAATTTCGAGAAGCGGATGAGCCTCGACCCGGCGACAACTTCAACGGTCAGGAGTGAGTTCTGAAAACTGCAACTCTTCGAGAAAAAAAGCTTTTTCTGTTTGTAGTTTCTTTTTGACAGTTTTCTTATTGCACCTATCTGCCATCTTTCAGATTAAAAACTAATATAAAAACTTTGAAATTGGGCCCGAAGGCTTTAAATTTGGTGCAGAAGGGTTGGGAAAATCTATGAAAAAAGTTCGATATTTTTCAAGGCCGAGCTCCCTTCATTTCACGCCGAAACTTGACTCTACCGTCGATTCAGACCAATTTTCTAGGCGTCCCTGACGAATCGGAGGTTTATCCAGTTTTTGATGTCTTTTAGAGTTTAGAACTTTTTTCAGGTAGTCGCTGATCAACGGCAGGCGACCAGTCAGAAGTTCTGGGGCGGAAGTCCGTCGCCAAGAAGTCCTCGCCGATTTTGTGAGCTTTTAAGAAGGTTTCAGCGATGATAGGAAGCTCAGGCTCTCCTTGCGGTGACGTCATCAGCTCGGCCAAATCTTCTCCGGGACCCACGACGACGTCTTCCTCAATGTTGGTGGCGATGCATCCGAGGTGAATGAGTACACAGTTCGTAGTCTTGGGCTTCTGAAAGTGTTCCTGAATGTTCCAAAAATGATAGTTTGTTCAAATTAGTTTCTTTCTGTGAGATTCTATCACTTTTCATGGTCTTTGAAAGGTTCTTTACTTAGTAACAGGAAGTTTCCCTAAAAGGCTCGAAGATTAAAAAAAAACTTATTAGGGAGCTCCGAGGTACAAGAATATGTTGAGGGAAACACTAAATGTTTAATTTTTTCGGCTAGCTAAGAAATATCTCATAATTTTTGGATATTTGTTTATCTAATGATCTTTTTCGAAATAACTTTGAACTAGATTTCATCAATTTCGTACTTTTAGAGAGCCGATTGGCAGTCCTGCACCAAGACCCTTCTCCACTTCGCCTCTGTCGGGAGTTCCAGAAGAGGAGGTGAAACAAGGCGTCAACGTCGCCGAGGTGAACCTTGAGACACAATATAATCTTTTCATAACCTGAATTTCATGCTAACTTTCGCGTAGATTAATTATCGCGCGCGACGATGATCCTCTAAAAATACCATTTTCTCTTTAAGTTTTTTTGTTCTAAAAACATAAAAAAGTAGTTAAACAATGTAGCACTATTAAAGGATCACCGCAACGGCGATGGAAAAATCGAAAAAAAACAAAATCGAAACTCATATTGTAGCCTCGGGTTCGGAGTTAGCTGCTTAAAATTCTAAATAGGGACCATACTGGGAAAAAGTCCAGTAGTAACTTTTCTTTTGGAGAAGCCACCAAATTGGCCCCTATAAGAGTTTTCAGTGGCCTAGTAGTACCAATTTTATTGGACCTGAAGTGTCCACTATTTCGACTACTATTAGCCACTAAAACGGCATAAAGTGGCCATCTAAAATTTTGCCAGTAAGTTAGAAAGATAAGGCCTGGAAAACTGATAAAAGTTCAGTTCTTGGTTGAAATTAAGATAATGGAAAAGTAATGAAATGCTGGAGTAGGAAAAAAGTAAAAATAAACTTAATAAATTTACGGATCTCACTCTGAAACTATCCTCAACTTTGCAGAAGAATACGACTACTTTTTAGTGAGCTCTGAACTGAATAATGAGAAAAATTCAGCAGCCGCAACGCGTCGACCGCCGCCGCAGCGCGTTCGAAGGAACTCGCAGGTCGGGAAAGCAACGCCGTCAGAGCGAAGTCCCGGTGCCGTCGTTCCGCTTGAGCATGTGCTGACCATGTCCTTTTTTGCTTTGCTTCTGCTTTTTTTGGGGTTGGAAACTATTCCGGCACGTATACACGTCTACCAATAAATGTGTTCTGTTTGCTTTCGCGCCCTCCCTCTGTTTGTCCGACGTCAGATGTTTCCAAAGTGTTGCAAATTTGGTTTAGCCATTCGATCGGATCCGGCAAAGATAAAGAAATCGTCAAGAAACCAAGCCAATTCGTTTGGGTTGAAGTGAAGGAGGAAGGTCGGTGGCTTTTGGTTTACATCACGGAATGCCGGATTCCGCCGGTCAATCCTGAAGTTTTGCAGGTGTTCTTGCAGGTGAGTAGGTTGAGAGAAGCTTCATAACTTTCCAGGAGAGCGAATTTTAAGTCAGATATTTTTAATAAAAAGTGGTCTGGAATATGGTCGATTCCGTGTTCAAAGTTATTTCCGCAAAAAAGTTTTTACCGACTTTTCCAGTTATCTTTTTCACTGTTTGACGGCGTTTTGAATACTGCGGAATCACTTTGAGCACGGCATAAACATCGAAAAAACACATTTTCTAGTTTTCACTATAGTTTCCCTAAAGCCCACTTTTTGAAATTTAACCTTTGATTCGGAGTACAAAATAAACCTGTTTTTTATTCTGTTATGTGTTGTAACTTTCAATTGAAAGTCAAAATTTCGGCCCGACTATGTAAAGAGCAGATAAATAAAGTCCACACAGGCTATTTCAATAGTCTTATTACGGCTTTTGGACTGGGCAAATGGGCAAATATTCAGCGTGAACAAATATTTCGATTTGGCTGAACTTACTGAAACGGTATATTGATTTTTCGATTCTTCGCAGCGTTTTTGTTTTTCGGGCGACTATTTTTGATTGTTTTCGGGTTCTTATGGTAGCGAAATGGAACTATAGTTTTCTTGAAAAAGTTTAGATTACAAAATTTCAATTATATTTCATGGGATTCGGTTCAAAAGAGCTTGCTCGGTATCCATTTCATTGGATGGGTTTTGGTCTTCGTTCTAGGGAGAACTTCTGACCAGAAAACAAAGTTACATTTAGTCATATCTTGTACATTTTATAGCGTTGGTTCATCAAGGAATCCCAATTTTTTTTGTGGAGATAGGCGAATTCCTGTTGATCATGAGAAAGTACAGATGCACCTGAAACCAGTGAAAACACTATCAAAACTCAAAAAAATGTACCCTAGATGCTCTTGACTTTCGACGGTAATGGACAAGGAATGCGTCATCGAAGTTTGCGTCACTGCGTGGGCCAATGTATCACGTTCAATGAGATTTTTCGGGTAATCATTACTATTTTTCATTAATAACTAATTATGTTGAAATGATATCAGTTCCCCAACAAAAGTGAAGTGAGGAAGGGAAATATACGTTTCACACTGTTTGGCTGCGCATCCAGATACGAGTTTCCAATGGGACAGGTTGGTTTCAGTAGAAAGAAATTCTTATTTCTAAGTATTTACTTCTGAGAGACCAATCTTGCATCAACTTTCTTAAATGGCTTAAGGATCAAAAAACCTTATATTTTCTGCCAAAATTACAAGAAATTGGCGTTCAGACACTGCATTATCAGGCATGTTTAAGATAGTGTTACGGCGGTCGGTGGCCGATCAATATTGCGCTGTCAGTTTCGAAGCTAGGAAATTTTTAAAATTTTTCTTCTTTTTTTGCAATTTGTTAAGGACCTATTTCTCGAGGTTACAAGACAAGTTACGTCACAAAAAGTACACAAGTTTTCATTTTATTACCCAAAAACCTAGCTTGATTACCGTAATACGACCGGCCGCCTTAAAAAGGCGTGTTATGTGAATGAAAATTAACAGAAAGCATCGATTTTACTTTTTTTTTTTTTGAAATCTCGCACTTTTAACAGCTTATCAAAACTTAACACTTTGCAACACTCTTATCTTCCTCCTTGTTTTTCATTTTTTCGAAATTTCGTGATTAACCTCAGTTCTTATCTGCTCAGTTTGCCCCGCTAATTTGAGAAGAAATGTACAAGCTGTTGAAAACGTGTTTTATGGATCACATGTGATTGAACATTTTAAGGTCAATTTTCAGCTGTCAAATTTTGGAAGAGTTTTTGTATGTTTCGAGGATTTTTGGATGTCGAAACAGAACAGTTACAACGATGAAGTTTTTTCAGTGTTTTTTTTTGTTGAAATTTTCTCTTTCAAGTTTTACAGCAAAACAACTTTTTATGATGATTTCGAGGACATTAGGATGCCTTCCTATTATAAAAACGTGGATAATTGTTTCAAAAAAAAAGTGGACTTTTTGCAGTACTCGACTGATAAAGCAATTCCAGGCGATAGTGCCGGTGCGGGACATGCTGGCTTCATCTCCACAGTCGTGTACGAAAATGGTCGTCGGCCTGTCGGTCAACACGGCCCGACGACGCGACGAGAACGACAACACCCGCAAGGAGCCGCGCTTCGACTGGATCATCTCTGTTTGAACTATTTTTAATCATTCCGCGGGCCCAATGAGAACTTTTTCGCTTGTTGCTGTTGTTGTATACCTAGCCAGGGGCAGATTGCTGAGTTTTTTAGCCAGGAGCAGAGATAAAATTCGTGAACTTTTGCCGGTAAAGCTCTTTAAATAACGAACTCTGTTCAATGGCTTCTGAAGTTGCCGAAAACTCGTATGACTTAAAATAGTTCTAATACGGGCTCTTCAATACAACAGTTTCATTAAGTTTTTTCATGCTTCTTTAAAATCTCCAGAAGTCTTATTTGAGAGATTTTTCACTTCTAAGATTTTTAAAAAAAAAACCTCAGAGAGATTTTTTAAATTAAGACATCCTATGGACGATTAAAACGAGGAAAAAATTTATAGTTATTCCGGCCTTTTTAAACGTGTTTCTCTTAATTTATCCTTTTTTCCAATCATTTCCCAAGCTTGCACTTTTTCTAGCATTTCATTAACTTTATGAAGTTTTGTTGTACGTCAGGTCAGTAAATTTCTTCAATTCGGTGTTGTTCTCTTTTTTCTTTCTTTAATCTAAATGGTCTTCAAACCCGAATCCTTCATCACACCTTCAATCAGCCTGATTTTGAATTAGGCTTGAAATTTGGACAGGAATGCAACTTTCTGAAGAAGACAGAAAATGAAAATGGGCAAGAGGAACGATGTTGGATAGTGCAAAATAATGTCGAAGGAGGCGGATTCCGGTGCGTCTTTTTTTTCAAATTATTCCAAGCAACAGCCTTCAAAAATTCTATATAATGTTTGAAAAAGAGCTTCTTGATAAAATTGGCGTCTATTTCTAATAACTTCTTTAAAAAAATTATTTTTTTTATGGTGCAACTAGAGGGAAAAAAATTCCCCAGTTCTTTTTTTATTCGTCTCCAATCGACCCCAACAGTTTTTTTAGATTCTAAAATCCAACTCTACTGGTCCCTGGACTACTCAATTCTCCTTCGTGACCTCATTTCCTCTGATCCAAATCCAAAAATGATTCAATCAAATTTCGTTGGAACAAAACATTGGACCTCCGTTTTCCGAAACGCGTAATCCGCTTTGTGGATTACAATAATTTTAAACCAGAACGGAAAGTGAAGGGATTCTTTTTTTTCGAAACTTGAATCATTCAGAACCTTCGTGTCAGAATTGAGCAGAAAATAAGAGAAAATATTTTTTTCTGATTTTTTTGGGAAATTTTATTTATTTATATTTAAAAAGCCCATAACGAGTTTCAAAAAAATTTTTTTACAATTAAATTTAGGTATTTTTTGCTTCGGGTGCATATAAAATTGATATTTTGCAAGTAGTATTCAATAAATCATAAAGAATTCGAAATGGATTTTTTTTTCGCAGACATTTTTTTCTTTGGCCTTTCACGTAGATTTAGGTATTTTTTTCAAATATAATTAATGAAGTCTCAGTTAAAGTTTCCTTTTTTTCCTATTTTTTTAAGACGATATTGAACTTTTTTTATCCTTTTGAAGTTTTTAAACCAAAAAAATACTGTCCAAAAAGACGACCATTTCAAGTAGAAATTAAAGAAGGGAAACTAATTCGTTTTTGAAACTATTTTTCTGAATTTTTTTAATTTCATTATTAATATTCGAGATCTGTCACTGCATAACCTTTCGAAGCTTTTAAGGTGTTTTTAACTATTTCTACCAATTATCGGTCTCAGAAGGGCCAAAAAACCTAGAGATAGTTCGGAAACCCTCGATAAGGTTTTTAAAGGAGCCTAGACCAGATTCATAAAGGTTTCAAAGAAAAAGTATCTTTCCAGGCTTTCAAGTCTTACAGCTCTGAATGATCATTTCTCTCTCTCTATGTTTCTCCAAAACTTAAAAAACTCATCGGAAAGTAACAAAGTGATGGTCAAAAAGGGTCGTCGTGCGAGAGACAAATGAATCGGGTCAGGGTGGATTAAAAGCGGCTCTCAGGTAAGACGGGTGGAGAATGAGAGTCAGGGTGGACAGGTATATATGACAGAGACGTAGGGTGGCCAAATAGGACAGCCGACTGGCGCCTCTTCGCCTCCCTCCTCTCTACCTCACCGCCGACGTCGAGTTTTGTCGACTCCACTCCACACACTACACCTTTCTCCGACTCTCATTGTTACAAGTTGCCTCGTTTCGGAGTTGTTTTGAGTCTCGAGTCGGTCTGAGTCAGGCTGGAGTTGAACTGACTCGAAGGTTTTGTAGGTTTTTTGAGTTTTCATGAGACTTGGTTTCGTCTTTTCCGGTTCACTTGAGAGTAGGGCTCCCCCTTTTTGAGTGTTCTAAGTGGTAAGTAGTTTAGTTGGTCTTTTTGCGAATTCTCTTAAGTTTCCAACTCATTCTGACGCTTCAACTGGTCCTGATCTGTAAACTTATCAGCTGAAAATGTCCCTTTTCATCCGTTCTAGGTAGGCCAAACGACTGAAAATCTTCCAACGGTTTGGTAGATCCTTAGTTGTTCCTAGGTAACTTTAGATCATAGGAATATGACTACGATCTTTCCGCCACCTTTTTTTTCTTTAACTTTTATTCTTCACTTTTGAAAAATTTTAGAAAGCTTTATTTTCTATTTTAAGTTTTTTCAAGTGTATTTGACTTTCTATCAGACTTTCTCGTTTAATTTGGTCTTCAGAGATTTTGATATGTTCTTGCGACCTATAATTCATGCTGATTCGCTTTTTCTAGAGTTGCGAAAGTTCGTTTTTCTTTTTACTTTAAGGTTTGTATTGACCTGAAAACCTTTTTTTAAGGACAGCACCTGTATAAAATTGTTTTTAAAAAAATTTTTTTAGGTGCCTTAAAAAGTCTTCCAACAAGCAATTCCTATCAATCTTATCACGTTTAGGACATGCTTTGCATTGTTTTCTTCGTGCATGAATCACTCGGACTTTTTTCACACTTTCAAGAGTTTCAAGTTTTTAAGGCTTCAGGAAAATTTATATGGCTTACCTGTCAAGAAATTTTAAATTTTCGTGAAGTTTCATTTTTTTTTTTCCTAAATTATTCTGTTCATTTTCCCATCACTGATTAAAATTTTTCCTTTCTTTCAAATCTTCCAAATTGACTAGGAAAGCTCTTTTTGGTTGCTTTCAACTCCGAAAGCTTTCTTCGCACCTCTTTCTTATTCGATTATCCTCCGTTCGGAAGTGAAGTCAATTTTGTGTGGAGATTTCAAAGCAAATCAAAAATAGATGTTTATAGACCCAAATAAGTACGAAAACATTAGAAACTTGAAGAGGACTGATTTTTCCTGGTTTTATAGCGTTTATATGGATATAATTTAAGCGAAAACTGCAGCGAGCGGTTTTTTTTTTTGACTTTTCCAGTGAAATCTGTTATAGTCGATTCACGGCTAACTTGAAACGCTGAGGAGGCGTGGCCTGTCTGCGCTCTCCACCAGACAGGTACTGTCTCTCTTCTCATCGTGTCAGGACCCTTTTCCGATGACTCAAGCCAGCCATGAATCAGCTATAATTATTTTTGATGAAAAACCAAAAAGTTCAAGAATTCAAAGTTCAAAACTTGAATATTGGAACAAATTAGCGGGAGATTTTACAAGAAAAAGAGAATTACACGTTTTTTTAAAGACGTTTATTGAATTTTTTGCTGTGTAGAGAGAAATGATTATTTTTTCCATTAGAACTGACCCAAATTTCCATGGAGCATAGGAACTTCTCGAGTTGTGCCACGCGCCTTTAATCACCTCGAAATCGGTTATCTATGAACTATTCCGGAAATGCTTTTCATTCCGAAAACCTGTGTTCAAAAACCCCGAAAATCAACTTTTAACAAGGTTCCAACGCCAAAAACCTGCTCAAAAGTCATATTTAATGCAAAACCGACATCTCACTTGTCACTCAGAAAACTCAACCAAAAAAAAAAACTTGTCAAAAAAGTTTTTAGGTTACTGTGAATAATTCACAGTAAGTTTCTTTTCAAAAAATTCTCGTTCTGCAGAAATTTGTGGAAAGCTGACAATGAATGAACTATCGAAAAAACGCCCACAAAATCTCGATTTAAGAACTTATTTTTCTTTATCTTAAAACCCCGCCGTTGCGGTCACTTTCCAATTTCGTTGCCCTCGGCTCGAATCGTACAATTTTGATAAGAATTTATGGTTTGGCTTAGTTTCCGCAGTACAATGTCGGTCTTTGAATGGGTTAAAGTCGGAAAATGGGTGATTTTTGAAACTTTTTCATAATTTTTCTGAAGCTTGAGAATTTTTGAGCCGGGAAATTATTTCACTGACTAAAGAGCTTCATTTTTAATTTTCATTAGGTTTGTTAATTTATAATTTTTTTCGAATATTTTTCCTGTTTTTCTAAAAAAAGGAAATTATGAATGATTTGCTCCCTAATTCAAGATTTTTTTATATCCTAAATTTCAAAAAAACGTGTTTGAAATAAAAACTTTGGCTTACTTTGTATCATTTTATGATCTTCGCAACTCTTTTATTTCATTTTTCTGTCCGTTTTTATCAAAACTCGGAATTTCGTTCATTTCATCATTTCTCCCTTGGCTTTTTCTTCGTAAAACAAACATTTTTTTTCGAAAAGAACAAACTTTTACCCCACAGCTTTCGACAATCTTGACTCTGTTTTTTTCTTCTTTTTTTTTCTGTTTTTTTCGACTTTTGCGACGAAAATAATCAAGTATTAATGAGTTTGAATGGAGGATTCTTGTTGTTTTTTCAGTGCTAGTTGAAATTTTGGGCCTTTTTTCAAAGAATAAAATATTTTCTTGTCTTTCGAAAATTAAGCCGGCGATACCTTGTCTTTTTCTTCAAGGATAAAAAGCGAAGGCGTTCAGAAATAAGAGAAATATCGGATAAATGATAGATTACGAGGGCTGAAATCCTTTGATTTGGATTAAAATTTTCAAATAGGCTGAGCGAAATGCAGCGTTATTTTCTCAAAAGTCCATGAACTTTCTATTTTTTTCCCCTAAATTCCGTTAATTTTTCTTAAACCTTATACTTAAAATGTAACTTGTTTTTTTTCCATATTTTCTCACTGAAAAATGTTTAAACGAATTTTGATGGGCTTTTTCAAATATAAATTTTTGAAGGATCTCATCGAAGTTCTTTTTGTTGTTGGAAAAGTTTTGAATTTTTTCCTATCGGATCCTTAATGAAGATGGGTGTAGTTATTTGGGAACTCGGTCAAGTGGAAAGGAAGTTTTGAAAAAAAGCTCCCCTGGCAACGGCTCTGTACTTTTTCCCCTTGAAAAAGTGTCCAAAAAGGCACCTCATTCCACTTTTTTTTTTGCTTTCTAGCGGTTTCAACCCCAGTTTCTCTCCTCGGTCTCCCATTTTTTATCCTTCTTTTTCCATCGTCGCTTTTCCGCTCAACGCTCCTTTTTTTGCGTCGTCGTCTCGATTGTCCACTTGTCGACACCGGACCGAATTGACACTGGCCACCCGAATTCGAGGCCATTTGGAGTGAAATGTTGTTGCCTTTTTTTGTTCTTGAGTAGTTCGGTAGTGTTCTTTTTAGAGTGTCCATCTTCTTTTTATAGTGGAGAAGATTTTAAGATTTCAAGCCTTTCACAAAATTAATCAAAACAAATGAAAATGAAAGATGAAGCAAAAATCATGTTCATTTTTTTATTTTCTTTTGGGAGCAATGAGATTATTTCTTTGAGTTCAAGTTATTTTTTTATTGAAGGAATTTCTAAGTATCTTGAAAAAAATTCATAAAATTCCTCGGAATCAAGAAAAGTTAACGACGGAGCGGAACCGAACCTTGTTCATCTCTTCTTTTTGTTTCGAGTCCTATTTTTTTCATAGATTTAATTTTTTTGTATTGAAGAACGAAATGTTGCATAAGAATCAGATTAATGAAAAATCAAGTACTAAATTCTTTTTATTTCAAGCTGTTCACATAAATCGTCAAAAGAAAATTATGAAAATTTTCGACAAAATTCAAATTCGAGAGAGAACTCATAGCATTGTTCATCTTCCACGGGGTTTGAAAATTTCAATATCATTTGACAGATTCGATATTTTTGACCTTTTTTTCAAATTAGTTCAAGGCCCAATAAAATTCTCGCCATTTCTGGTTTTTTTAGAATATCCTGAAACTAAATGGAAAAACTTATTAGCTTTAACTCTGTTTCATACTTGCGTTAAAGCTGTACCAACTTCTTTTTTTTCATAAAGTGTGTTCGAAAATTAGTTCTGGGGTGTTCAAAGGAGCACAGGCAAAACTAATGAAGGCCTTGAGAATCAAAGAAAAAATTGCGGAAGAATCAAAGAAACAGTGTTCAAATGAGAAGATTTACAGAAGCTTATGAGTTATTGTGGAATTTTTCTTTGAGATCTCTCAACCTCTTCTTTTTACCCACTCTTTTTTTCTGAGAGCTCTCTGAACCTCGATTTTTGACTCAAGCTAGCGCTGAATCAACTGTACATACATTCATTATTAGAAACGACCTTTGAATGGCCAATTTTTCATTAATTAATTATTCATCCTCCATCGCATGTTCCTTGCCTTCGGGAAGAATGAAAAAAACGGCATTTTTGGGCAATGCGTCAAACTTTAATCAAGGAAACTAACAAGTTCAGGAACTCGAGGAAGAAAAATTGTATATAAAATGAGAGGAATGCCTAAAAATTCTTGCTCTTGGGCGGAAGATGTAACCTTTTCCTAGTTCTTTCTTTGTTCGCGGGAAGTTTGCGGTTGACTTTTTCAATAGAGCGCAATTTTCAACCGACTTCCAGAGAGGTCCAGCAACCTTTCTTGAAAATTTTTGGTTCTTTTTCATCCAAATTCTGGTTTTTTTTTTCAGTCATTAATACATTTTCAGTCAGCCTAACTTACCATTTTTGGGTTTATTTCGAGAAATGAGACTTATTCATTGGTTTTTTAATTTTTTTCGATGAACTTGTTCATGTGTAGAAGTCTTAAAATAAGGTGCTTGTTTTAAAAAGTTGTTTTAAGCTTATCCAAGTATCACGGCACCCGATTATTATTTTGAATATAGTCAATCCTAAAATTTGAGTTTTGTGGACACTCAGATCTGAAAGGTCTTGCAATTTTGAAACTGATTTGAGAAAAACCGAATTGACGGAGGGTTCCCTACTTTTCTTGAAATAGCCAAGACCTATTCCATTGTTCCCTTCCAGACACATCCATTCAAGGAAATCTGTGACTGCGTACATTTCTGGGAAATGATCGCTTATCACTCGGTTTCACTTCATCCTTCGACTTCACTTCAGTTCATTTCCATCAAAAGCGTCGCCAAATACAACCAGTTCTGGTCCCCCAGTGGCGCCTCCACTTTTCCATTTCGATTCGGCGCTCGGAATCGATGACTTCGGCCTCGGGAAATCATTAAATCTTAGGGGCGAGCGACCCACTAACTGTTCCGTTCTTCATGCTTCATTTCACCACCTTAATTCCAAAATTTTCATCATTTGCGACTCACTTGAACAACCGGCAACAAAAATCCACGGAATTTTGGCCTTTCCTGGCTTTTCTTCCCCTTTGAACTACTTTTTTTTCTGTTATAAATAGCAAATGCGGGGCCTCCATCCATTCAATTTCCCTCAAGAAACAAAAGGCCAAAAATGAACTTTCTTCGGTTGATTCATCGACATCTTTCTAAGGGTTTAAAGGCAAATTATTTTGTTGCGAATTCACTAAGCTCCTTTTTCCCTTTACTTCTGGATCGTCTCTTTCTTTTTCGTCTGCTTGAAAAAAAAAAAAAACAAAAAAAAACTTGGCAATTTTTTTCTCTTCTTACTTGAACTAATCAAGTTAGAGAAATCAGTTCATTCAAAAAGAACAGGAACCAGTTTTTAACAATGATAAAAAGTAACTCTTTTTGATAGTTCTTGAACGTCAACTCGTTGGGGTTGACTCTTTCCCGTGTATTGTTATTTCTCTGCCTATTCCTTCACTTGATCATCTATTCTTCAATTATTTTTATGTTAAATAATGGCAGTGAATAAACTATCTATTAACGTTTCGTCATTTGCGGAAACTTTCTTTCGTTCAATTTTGAGGGCTTTTTTCCGATTTTTAGAACATATTCAGTTTCCGAAAAGCTCTCATAGAAATTCCCGAATGTTGCAAACAATCTGAAACTTTTTTCTTGCAAACCTTCTTGCTTCTCGTTCCAAGACCCTTTTTTCAAAATATCTCTGTTGCACGGAGTATCGGCTCGAGTCAGCTGTTGGCAGTTGGACTGCGAGAACTTGTAGTGGTCACTATAGTATTTTATCTTTTCAGTGGAGCTCATAAAATGCGGAATAATTTTTTTTAAGGATAAATAAACCTCTCTGAGCCTTTGGATTTATTTGCTCAAGAATTATCTTTTTTTGAGATTCGCTTAATTTCTAGCTGGTAATTCAAAGAGTGTACTGGACATCATCCAAGAGCTCAACCGTGAAAAGTAGGTAAAAATCGACGAACAGACCTTTTGAGATCATTCACAAAACATTTTAGAGGTGTATTTGAAAGAAAAAATAACCGCCAAAAAACTAAAAGTTGGGTCATTTCTTGATATCCTACCCCAAGAGACTTGAGACTCATATCTAGAGAGAAGTTTGGATATTTTTTTCTTTGTTGTGATGGAAATCGTTTGGTGAGCAGATTATTTAAAACCAGAATAAAGAGCTTCTTACTAGTCCTTTTGATCCGCATAAAAAACAATTTGCTCAAAACGTCAAAAGTTGAGTTTTTTCTTGAAGCTGTACACCGAGAGACTTGAGACACGAGACGCCGATAGAGACAATCGAGACTTATTTCCCAGGAAGTGGTGGAAATGGTTTTGTTGGCATTGTTTTGATGGGACGTCTCATTACAACTGCCGTCGGTCGCCTCGCCGCCGTTGTCGCCAGGCTTTTCATTCCGCCATCCATCCGCCTTTCTTCTTCTTCGTTCATTTTTTCGTTCTTGTTTCTTCGGACCACACATCGATCATTTCCTGCCCACTTCATTGTCAACGTCTCTCTCTCTGTCGTCGATGTCGTCGTCGTCGTTCTTCTTCTTTTTGCTTCTTCATTTTCGATGTTTTTGAGCTTGCGAATATCGATTCAAGTTGAATATCAGTTTTTCGATAGATTTTTATCATCGCGTTCACTCGTGTGGGCTGTTCTTTCAACGATAAAATTCCGTCAGATTTTAGTTTTTTTAATCGAGTTATCTAATGGCCATAAGTGCCTTTTCTTACTTTCGTGCTAACAGATCAATTTTTCGAATTTAAAATCGTTTTATTCGTTCTTTTTTTTTTGTCAATGGAAGAAGTAAGGCCTTATTTCTACTAGAAGTTTATTTTTTCTTGACTGGTTTTGCTTTTTTTTTTCTTTTTTCAATCTACTTTTGAATTATTTTGCGACTTATTTGAGAGTTTTTACTATTTTTCTTTTTGATTAAAATTTGATCAATAATTGTTTTTTAAATTATTTTCAATAGATTTTTCAGAAGCAGGTTTCATAATCAGTTTTTCACAATCCTAAATTTTTCTAGATAGAATCAAATAATAGTTATCAAAATCTGCCTCAAACTTTGTCCATTGTTCTCATTTTTTTCCTTGAAATCTATTCCAGTTTTTTTCGGGGCAACGGCCAATTCCCTCACTCACTCTGCCGTTTAATTTTATGACCCTTTTATTATTTTGAATAAGAATTGATGGGAACCGTTTTAAGTTTGATTTGGAATAGGGAAACTGATAGTTTCTGAGCTCAATTTGTTGAGAACAGAAGTATTTTTAGAGTATTGATTACTTATCATTCAGTTTTTGTTATCAGAACTTACGAATTTTCTGCCTCAATAGGATTTTTTTCCATAAAAAGCGTTTTTTCCCTATCTTTAAGATAATTTTCATCCTTCTTAGATTTTTTCTCACAGGAAATCGGCCTTCTATCAGCCATTTTGCCGCTGTAATCACCCCCTTTCAGCTTTCCCTTTCCCACTAGAAGTCTTGTTTTGTTCCTCATGTTAGCCAACAAGTTCATTCATTTTGTACACAACGAGAAGAGGCGAAATAAAAAAAAGTCGGTCATGTGGACTATTTTCTTTCTCTCTTCATCTGACGTCGTCATTTCCTGTTTCCAGGCCTCCCCAAAAAGTGGCGCTTTGTCAAATTCGGCATGATTTTTTGACGAATAGATACTTTCATGCTTCTAAATGATGTTTATTGCGTTCATTATGTCGATTTTAACATTTTTTACCTGTTTTTCTTCATTTTTTTTTTGTTTTTTTTGCCGTTTGTGGTCAGATTATATGGGAGTTCGAGGTAAATTTTCATTGGAATGACATATTCAAGAGAAATCTGCTGAAAATGTGCAATATAGATTGATTCGTTATTACTTTTAAAGTTCTTTTATCGATTTTTTGAGTCAAACAATTATTTCGAAGAACGTCGTTTTTCCATAAATTTTCACAAAAAAAGAAAAAAGCCACGAAAAAGGACAGATTATACGCTCCATGGATAAAATTCGGCGAAGAAACATTTTTCCGTCTGCTACCTTCCAGTTTTTCTTGTTTTCTTGATCCAGTGAAGTTTTTATTGAGGTTAAGCTGAAAATATGTATTTTCCTTCTAGTTTTGAATATTTTGAGTTTTCGGAGCATTTTTTTGCCCTTCTTTGCACTATATAAATCGAAAACGTTTTTGGGATGCCTGGAACCTTCTTCAATTTCTCACTAATATCATTCACACATTCATTCAGTCTTCAGAGAGGATTCTGAAGAGTTTTTCCTCGGGTCGCGAAACTGTTAATTTTTCTAAAAAGTCTTCTCTTTCAACCCTTATCATCAGTCTGTATGATACAGACTTGATATGGCCTCAGCTCACGTATCCTTATGAATCAACTATGTTTGAGACGGCCACCGATACGTGGCAACCGGTCGACCGCGTCCGCAGGGCTCCTGAATGGAGCAGCGGCGCGATGAGAACGACCTCACATCAGACAGCTGCTCCCGCGACGTCGAGGGCAGCTCTTCCGACGGCGGCGGCGACGTCTTCGACTTCCACCTCCACCTCTTCGGCTGCCGTCTTCGATGAGACGCCTTTCGAGGACGTCTTCGACGTCGGCCAGGAGCTTGGAAGGTTTTTTTTTTCATTTTTTGAGTTCATGAATTTCTTCATTTCTTTTTGCACTAGCTGAAGTATAATTTAACTTACTTTATTGTCAATTACTGTTGACATGATACTTTTTGAAAATTATATCATGAAATATTGAGCATTTCCAGATGTTTTTCAAAAAAATACCTGAAAAATTTTGCTCCGAAAATGTTTCCTTCCAGTTAAGAAAGAAATCACTAGAACGGCTTTGAACAGATTCTGATTGTATTCAAAAAAAACGTTTCTTTATTTTTAAAAAAATTTTTTTAAATTATTCATTTTTAAGGTTTTTCAGCGGTCAATTCGCGGTGGTTCGTCGGGTGACAGAAAAAAAGCACGGGAGAACAATTCGCAGCCAAATTCATCAAGAAAAGGCGATACGCAACTTCGCGGAGAGGTGTCACCAGGCAGAATATTGAACGAGAAGTAAAAATTAGTTTTTCGAGAAAAATTGTGGCTTGTAAAACTACATCTAGTGAAACAGGTCTCATTCAGAAGTTGCCTAAAAACTCCTTGTTCAGGTGTAAAATTCTCTTTTTTTCAAAACCTACTTTTTTGTGTTTTGAGAATTTTCCCTATTAACAAAATCCTTGTAAATATGAAAATATAAATCTCTTAGAGAAATTGAAAATTCTGAAAATTTTGCGTACTATAAACTGGATAAGTCTAGTTTGCTTCTTAAAAAATCCAAAAGAGGTCACTTGAATGTAGCCGCTTCAAGAGAACCGGCTGATAAATTACAATTATTCGGGGATCTACAGTGGAAGCAATTAGGTGTAGCCTCTCTGCGCTCTCCACCAACAAGGAACTCTCTCTTTTCGTGTCAGGACCCTTTTTTCGATGGCTCAAGCCAGCCGTGAATCGTTTAGAAGCTTGACAATCCTTCCAACTTTCAAGCATGATTTCAAGTATTTCCAGGTACAAGTCCTGAAAACGATCAAAGGTCACTCGAACGTCATCAATCTGCACGGCGTCTACGAGACGCCGAGCGACGTTATTCTTGTCTTGGAATTGTTTGTGGCGGATCGAAAGGATCGCTTCTAAATATTTATATTGGACAGAGTTTCGGGAGGCGAGCTGTTCGACCACGTGTGCGCCAAGGAATGCCTGGACGAGGCCGAGGCGGCCGCCTTCATCAAGCAAATCCTTCTCGCCGTCCAGCATCTCCATTCCCTCCACATCGTTCATCTGGACATTAAGGTCGGAAGAAGAAGTTTGAGGGACCAATAATGAAAAAGATCGGATCGATGAACTTCCTGGTTTGAAAATATGTAGAATAGTGACTGAGAAGTCCAGAAAAGGGCTGAATGGGATCCTTTTCTTGGTATGCTCAGTTATTTGGACCGGATGATGCAATTTATTTTTTTCATTAAACAAAATAAGGATTTTCGAAAGTTGAAACAGTATGAGAAGGGTTTGAGGATAGCGTGAAATGGAGCATAGAGGCCACAAAACAGCCTCAAAATGTTCCCCCGTAGAAGTTTAAGAATCGAATTCCTGACAAAGCCGGGAAATATTGAAGATTTTTACTTCAAAAGTAGTACTATACCAGAAAAAACAATATTTTTCAATCATAGTCTCAGGTGGAATGGCTCGACGCATAAAGGTTGCGCCTTGCTTTGAGCCATTCCACGTGCGACCACGGGAGTCGGCAAGACAATATTTTTTTTTTATTCATCAAATTTCTTGATCGATGGTTCTACTGTACTGACTCTAAAACTTGAAACTTGAGTGTGAACTCAACCAAGGTTTCGAATGAAACACCGGAATTTTTTTCTAAATAACTTATTTCAGCCGGAAAACGTGATGCTGAAGAAGCGGGGCGACTCGCAGGTGAAGCTCATCGACTTCGGCTTGTCCAGAAGGATACCGCCGGGCGTCGTCGTCAAGGATATGGTTGGAACTCCGGAGTTCGTTGGTCAGTTTCTTTGATGGCGATTTCTGTAGGAAAAAAAGTAAAAGTTCAATAAATTATTTGAAACCTTTAAGTGTATTTTTCAATTCATTTCTCATTCTGCTGTTTTTCTCTCAAAGGGTAATGTAGCTGAGACATCGCTTAAGTAGAAAATTGAACTCAACTTCTTCGAATTTCACTAAAGTACTCCCTTGGTGGAAGAGTAGTTGGAAAAGTTACTCAAACAGACACTTGAGTCTTTTTCTCTTAACTGGACACTTAGCTGTAATCTGGAGGAATAATTCCTGAGAGAAGTCGTGTAAATGATTAATAATGGAACTCTTGAGTAGATCCTGAGTTCAGTTTTTGAAAAAATCATTGAACTACCAGTCTCCCTAATAATTTCCAGTCGAAAACAGTTTATATGTCATCAGAAAATGCCTATTTTTCAGCTCCTGAAGTCGTAAATTACGAACCTCTCTCGCCGGCCACCGACATGTGGGCTGTTGGAGTCGTCACCTACATTTTGTAATCCTTTCTCGTTTTTTCAGTTAATCAACTTTCAAACTTGAGGTTATCCGGCGGAAGTCCTTTCCTTGGCGACACGAGGGACGAGACGTTCTGCAACATCACGCGGGTTAAATACTACTTCTCTGATAGGTCTTTCTGGGAAACGAATTTTAAAATGAAATAGATGTTTCCAGATACTTCAAGAACACTTCCCAACACGCGCGGGACTTTATTTCGCGCCTTTTCGTTCGAGATGTCCATGAAAGAGCGACTGTTGAGGAATGCTTGAGGCATCCTTGGATTCGAGGGGTTCGTGTCGGATCAAACTGTCTAAAAAATCTCTTTGAAGAGAAAACTCCTAAATTAATCGGGACTACATATGCTTAAAAATCAGAAGATTCCACTGCAAATTTCACTTTTTTGAAGAGAAAACTAGGACTTCGATTAACGCAACGTTCTTTGAACGTTTATAGTGTTTCATTTAGCGGCGTCAGCACTCTTAAGTGGTTACTAGCATGTCTGAGAAACGACAGGGGCACGTCCGGTTTGCATTGCCAAGGTCCGAGAAAATAAAAGTCCTCACATCCATTCCATATAGCGCAAACTTTTAAAAAAAACCTTGGTCTACTGTAATCTCTGGGTTTTTTTTTCAGCCGGAAGGCAACGCGATCGACATTCGGAAGGCCTCAACCATCACAATTTCTCATATTCAAGCTTTCAAAACGAGGCAAAGATGGAGGGTTCGTTTTTCAGGCTATTGAAATGAACAGAAGAGCAAGGAATCTTCAGAAAAAAAAAATCCTACGGGAAATTTTGTTTTTCTGGAAAAATCTCAAGTTTTGCAGCGGATAGTGGACATCGTGATCGTCTGCAACCAGGCGACGAAGCGGTCGCGAGCCGCGTACGCGATGCGCGACGCCCTGTCCGCGAAGAGTCGCTTCGATCCGGAAGACCTGCTGACGAGCGCCGTCCTGTCGGCCAGCGAAGAGGGCAATTTGAGGGCTTTGAATCAACTTTCCGCCCTGCATCGGCTGTATCCAAACACGGCCGATAAGGTGCCTTCATTTGACAATTTTATATTCTGTCAATATTTATTTTCTGTTTTAAAAAGTAGGCGATGAACAAGAATTTTTAAGCATTTACTAACAACCGCATTTGGCGAACTAGAAGTCAAAACGTGTAGTTGATCACGCTGAAAGCATGGTCTTTCGCCTCGTTCTTCTGCGCGTGGTCAACCTAGTTGCGCCTTGAAAAGCTCAGTATGTAGCGAATGTTGTAGCTCGAGCCCGGAGACCGTGTTTAAGAAGGGTTGTAATATCTAACCTTCTTCTTCTTCCTACGCCTTTGTACCGCTTGAGCGGCGTCGGCGCCCCAAGTCGATTAGCCGAGGTCCTATCCTGATATCAGTGGACTGGCTCGAGTGACATATCCGTCCTTGTGTGGGACGGCTGGGGATTTTGAAGTCGTGGTTTCCCACTACCAACATTTCTTAAACCCCTTGGTTGGGTCGGGGCGGGGATCGAACTTGTGACCCTGTGGACCGTAGACAGGCACACAACCTGTTGCGCTACGGCGCGCCCTGGTTGTAATATCTAACCAATATAGCTTTTTGTAGAAGAACGAATCGGCGGTCCATGTGGCGGCGGAGGCAGGACAGGCAGAAGTGGTCAACTACCTGCACATGAAGGGAGCTCACCTGACGACGCGCAACTCCGAAGGTGACACTCCGCTTCACAAGGCCTGTCGTGGCGGTCATTCGACGGTGGTCGCCTACCTGGTCAACGAGAGGGCGGAAGTCGATTCCATCAACAAGGTACTGCCCAACTAAACATCTCCACGAGTCCGGGAGCAGAGTTCAACCAAACTTTTAGGAAAAAAAAACCGCGTAAAAAGGTGTTTTAATGAGGGAGGTAGTGTTGACTAAAATGAAATAAAGCTTTAGACTCACAAGGAAGGTAATTTTACTTTGCGGTTGGGATTATCTTGAAAATCAGCCAGAACACTCCTTGATATACCAGTTTTTCAAAGCTCGTAAAATTCAACTGAAAGGTTTTCCAGCGTAAAATATGAGATTTAGTTACGGAAATTGACAAAAATGATCAAACTTCATATGTTTCTAAAGTATACTACAACTTTTGGATACAACTTTTAGATAAATTATCAAACGTTCCAATTTTTCTCTGGTCTTGCTATGTCATTTTAGTGGGTAGCTTAGAAAATCCCTAAAAATTTTTCTCAAATGTTTTCTGGTCTGAAAAAAAGATTCATGTCGCCTCGAGCAAATTTTTAGTTTTTGAAATTTATAACAAAATCGAAGCCACTGATTTTCATAGATTTTTTTAAAGCCGAGATTAGAATATTTGAGAAAATTTTCAGTAAATTCCAAACTTCACACTGAAATTGCCTCACTTTTTAGACCGAATAGCATTGGGAACAATACTTCAAATTCCCACTTTTTTTTTCGATTTCTAATTGTTTTGTTTCTTTGTCCCATCTTTTAAAGTTGATGTTTTTGTTTTGGGTCGAAAACTGATTTATGGCTTTTTTTTCGTTTCTGCTTTTTTCCAATAAGAAGAAGCTATAATGAAAAAATTTAGGGGTTGAGAAAGGCTGAATTTGAGATTATCTTTTGAGATAAGTTGTTTTGATGAATGAATCTGAGAAAGATCTTACCACTAATTCGTATCAAAGATTTGGAAATCCAAGCAATATTCTCCGTTTTTTTTTTTTTGCTGGTTTAAGCTATTTTTTTGAAAAAAATCGAAAGATCACATTTTCATGAAAAATTTTATTTTTACGCGGCACTTTTAAATACCCAAAAAGTCCATAAAAGCACCGGGATTTCGATTTTTCAATCAAAATCTTTCAGAATGGCGAGACCCCGATGCATTGTGCTCTTGAAAGCGACGTCGCCAACATTGTCCGAATGCTGGTCCCCCTGAACCCGCGACTGGACCTCAAAAACGCGGTCAGTTTCGATTTAAACTAGGAAAGTGGCTGGAAGATAACATCATGAAAATGCTTGTTAATATAAAATCTTTTTTTTTTGAATCCATGACTTATGTTCAAGTTCGCTCCCAAACCTTTCGTTAAGAATAAAGAAGTATGATCCATATTTCCCTTCATATAATCTTTCGTCAGTATGGTTCTTGTAACAAGAAATGAAAGATTTTTATTGATCTATTGACTTGTGACGTCACCCATTCTCCAAAACCCTGCTGATTTTACAGAACGGCGACACGGCGATGCACTGTGCGGCTCGGAGCTCCAATCCACAGCTCATCACCTTGCTGACGTCACTCAAGGCTCCACTCGACGTCATCAATCTGGTTGGTCTCTTTTCGAATCATCGAATTAGCGCGTCTTTTTGAGAAGCCTGCAGATTTTTGGAAGATAAGGAAATTCAGAGAAGATATTTGTAATAGGCGAGCTTTTGAAAGACCAGAAAGATTTTTAGAGAATATAGAAAGATTTTTGATCACTTTTTTTGATAGAAGGTCATTTTTCGATTGGTAGTGGTTAGGTCAGGCCCCAAGGATGTCCGAGTTGATTGGACTTTTTTTTTTTTAGCTATCATGACTTCAAGACCTTGAAAACTCTTATAAAAGGGTTGCTTGAGAACCAAAAACTTTTTTCGAATAATAGTTATTGAACCAAATGAAAAAATGGAAGGCAGAGATCAACGGCGGTTAGAAGAGACGGCAGAGAAGAAGAGAGAAAATGTTCGACTGAAATTTCTCGGGAATACAAATGATCTCTCGCTTTTGATTTTTCAGAAATACAAAAAAAACTATGGAGCTTTGAAAGTCAGAGAACACTGGAGAGAAGAGACGCCAGAGAAATAAATGTTTCTACTTCTCTGGTGCCTCTACAGACCTTTAGTGATCTTTCGTTCCTTTTTTGAGAAGATCATTAGGCTTGAAGACAAGAAAGTTTTGGAGCAGAGGAAAATGTTTCTTACTTTTCTGGCGTCTCCTCAAACTACTGTTGATCTCTCGCTCACCCTTGATTTTTGCAAATCTTGCTCAAGTTTCTAGAAAATCTAGATTTTTTTATATCGAAAAACGATCTTTCAACTTCTCTACCTTCCCTCCGTCGATGGTAATATTTCAATTCAAAGAGAAGAGAGGGAACGTGGTAATATATCCGAATATAAATGTGAGCAAACGCACTAATTTTCACCGCCCAACAGCTATGGACCTGACAAATGGCCACAAATCCCTCGAGGGAAAGTGGCTGGACGGAAAAAAAGTGCGTGGCGACAACAATGGACCAAACCGATACGAATCAACCAACCAACACAAGGAATGGAATGGAGGAAGGAAGCCTCCTTCGCCCTTCAACCACTCGTCTTTTTCCGAGATCTTTTGCCGTTTTCCTCCCACTTCAGATGACCAATTGTCCGTTAGGATTCCGAGCCATTCAACATTCGACTGCTTGTTTTTGGCATTTTTCGACGAATTTCGAATCTTTCTCTTGGCTTTGTTTCCTGATAGAAGTTCGATTTTGAACAAGTTTTATTTTTATCTTCAACTCGACTCGAAGTTTTTTTTTCTCGATTTTGACTTTCATATGGGAATTTTGAGAGGGGAAGCCATTTTGCTCAGCGAGAAAACGTACATATATTTTGGTATATTTTGGATTTTTTTTCGAATTACAGCATAGATTCACAGAATTAACCACCTTTTTCAAGTTTTTATGAACAAAAAAAACTTCAACTTGTTTTTTTGAACTTAATTTTTTTAAATTTCTCATTTTTCAAAAGTTTATTTTTCTCGTTTTGAATTATTTACTTGAATTTAGAGAAAAAAAATTTATTAAAATTTATTAAAAAGGAAAAAAAGGCATATTTACTGGCTTTTGTAAGAAAGTTTTCTAAATTTTATAATTGAACTTTTTTTCAAACTTTTTATTTTTTTCAGGCTTGAGTTTGATTAACTTTTCAATCGATTTCTTCCTCCTTATTTATGGTGAACTGGATTTTTTTTTAGGTAGAAGCCTTTTTCGGAAGTGCACTTTAGCTATCTTGTTTCCATCATAAGCCCTTAGTCATAAATGTCGGTTTTTTTTCAGGCGGAAACCTCTCAAGAGGAATTTTTATCTGTCTTTTCTCACTGTGTTTCTTATTCTCCACGACTTGAGACAGTCTGATCTGTCTGCGCCTTCTTTTCTCTTATCTAAAGACTCGAAAATGAGACGAGAACAAGATAGAGCAGAGAAGTCATGAAAAAAAGGAAAGTCAAATTTTTGAATAAAATCTTCATCAGCTGAGCGCACTTTCCCGCTCATGAGAATGACTTTTTTATTTTTCCGAAGTTCTCATTTCGAATTGTTCCTGAAGTTCACTAGAAGGACCACTACAACTTTATCCAAACCCATCGAACTAGACTAATGAAATTGTAGAAGAAAACGAGTCGTGTGAAAACTGAAAATTACCTGATTCGGAGGGGAATTTTTCTGCGACCTCCGACCTCAACCCAGTCTCTTCTCGTCCCTCTGACATGAGGATATCCAACCACCTGGTCGTTCCTCTGACCACGCCCACTTTTGCCTCTCTTTCCCTTTTCATACCTGGTGGCAGCCGTCGCCAGGTGTCTCCCTGCGTGTGTGTATGTAGTTAATAATCGATTCTTGCCCAGGTCTCTTTGCTCCGCCCATCGTTTTTTTTTTTCTTTTTTTTTCATGGTGTGGAAAGTGTTGGAATGCGACTCGTTTCACTGCATTTATTATTTTATTGCTGGGAATTTTGGGCTTTTCCTCTTTTTTTTTTGTACATTCCTGCAGGTATCCAAGTCACTGGATTGTTTAAGAGATCACTCGATTTTTAAATTTTGATTGTCTTTTCTCATTTTACAGTACCTCTAGAGTCGCTCAAGAGATCACTTGAACGTTTTTGAGAATATATGAACTTTTTTAATTTGAAGGAATCATGTGCAGCCCCGATTCCTCAGAATTTTTTTTTTCTAATTTTCATTACAATCGATCTGGTTATTGAAAGCGATTATGTATTTTTTTCTGAAGCGACCCTAAAGGGACCACTGAACATAATTTCTGCTGAGAAAACCCTTCTTCTTTTTTTCTGAGTTTCGCAACAATTTTCGATTTTCCGACCATCATTCATTATTTTCGTTTTTAAGATTCCCAGTTCGATAATTCGTTTTTGAGAGACAAACTGAGAATTTTGAGGAGACAGAAAGTGAAATCCCCAGTAAGAATGGATGAAGAAAGCGCTGATTCTCTATTTCGCGGCTATTTTATTATTTTTCAAAAACATCCTTTAAAGGGATTTTTTTCACGGAGTTCGTCTCTTTTCGTTCTTCTTGTGGACTTTGTTTCAAAATTGCTCTCCTACTTTTCTTGACACTCGTCTCAAATTTCTTCAGCACTTCCGTAGAACTTCATTTCAGCTCAGCCCTCAGAATTTACCGGCAAATGAGCAGCGTTCGGGGGGAGTCGTCGTCGTCCTCCTCGTCGACGGCAGGCACGTCTTCTGACATCGAGGAGACGACGAGCGACGAAGAAGGCACGACGCCGTACGCCATCCCCGGCTCCGTCATGGCCACGTATTTGGCTGACCCTGTCGCCAATCCCGCCGCCAAGGCTTTCGTCGAGAGTCCCAGGCCTAGAGCCGCCGATTTCGTCTATCCCGGCCACGACAAGTACTCCAAGCTAGGATCAGTACCGTATTCCTCCACTTCCGCCTTTATTCAACTCGTTCATGATATTTCCAACTTTTCGGAGTGCGACTGCTTCTCGGTAGAGATTTTTGGACTTTTTTTATTTTTTTGGTTCTGTAACTTGGATAAAAGAGAGTCTTGAGCATTTAAAATTTTTCTGTATTCTTTTAATTGTTTCAAAAAGTTTAAACACAAATTGAATTCCTCAAAATTTCAGAGGCTGGCTTGTTTTGAACGTGTTTCCTGTGAATTCTCATAATGTTACGGAAAATGTTCCTTTAGAATAGCTAATTTCCCTCAAGTGACTTCTCAGTTTCATCTCTAATTTTTGCCGAAGTTATTTGGAGGCCGACGTGAAGGATTTCGAGAATGTACTTTAAGACTTTGAGTAGATTGTGAAAATAAAAAGCAGTTTTGAAATCCATAACGCTGCGTTTTTTGTAATGTTAAGCTTTCAAGAGAAGTTTGAAGGGGTTTTGTAAATTTAAAATCACTTATGGGTTTTTTTTTTCACCTTTCTTGTCATTTCAGAGAGAAGAAACGGCGCTGCACATCGCCTGCTCTCGGGGACACGCCGACTGTGTTCACGCTCTTCTGGAGTCCGATGTTCCAATTGACGCCACTGATGAGGTGAAAATTAATTTCTTCATTGTTTGTTCAGATCTTGAATGTCAAGTATAATGACGTCATTTGAAAACACTCTGTTGACGGCTCGCTCTGATTGGTTTATCGCTCCATTAGGGGCGGAGCTTGAACGCCGACCTGACAATCAGAATCTGAACAGACTATATTTATTTAAGATGAAGCCTCTTTTCTAATATTAATTTTCATGAAAGTTCGGGTCTACTTCCTTTTTGGTCTTTATTAGTAGTCTTTTTCTGAATTTCATTTCTTTTTCTTGTCACAAGAACCCTCAAAGTTTCTCAAACTATTTTTCCTGGTTTCAGAACAGAAGAACGGCTCTTCACGTGGCTTTGGAACATTCCCATGTCGACATCGCCGTGATGCTCATCACCAAGGGCTGCCGGATCAACGAAGCCGACAATGTACTTTTTTTTTCTCGAAAGTAGTTCTTAAAATAGTTTCAAACAGCTTGCGTCATATTTTGTTGCAGAATTTCAGTTCTCATAAAAAGATTAATAGGAGAAACATTTAATATAAGAAAAATCATACAGTTTTTTCAATTTTTGAATGTCAAGCCGTCGCTCAAGCTCCGCCCCTAATGGCGCGTTAAACCAATCAGAGAGCGAACCATTCACAGAGCGTTTTCGAATGACATCATTTGACTTGACATCCAAAATCGGAACAGACTATATAGTTCGTTCCGGGCGGGACGGTCACGTATTAAAAGAATAGCAGAAAACTACTGTAAATACAGCTTTTCTTACACTTTTGCTCTACAAAAACGCAAAAAAACACAAAAAATAAAGGTCTTGAAGCGAAGTGCGGCCAAATTTGAGCTAAATTTGTACACGGTTTTTTTTTTGGCACAAATAATGAGACAAGCTGGCGTGGAACAGACTATATAGTATTCACGTTTATAAAAAGTTTAACGAAACGTATCTTAAATTAGTACGTTCCGCGAAGGTCAATACATTTTCCATCCCAATTTGCTTCCCGTTTTTCTCGCCCCTTTTTAATTTCAATCCGACAGCTTCGACTCAATTATTCATAGCTTTTTGGTTGGAACGGAGGCTATTTGGGTTCCATGAAAATTTCGATTTCGAGAGCTGAATTTTAAATTCCTTTGAAAGTTTGATTGGCGAAGAGTGGTTTTTTTGAAATAGTTCACCAAAATTGATACTGCGCTCAACTTATGAATCTACGTCGGAAGTTTTTTGGTTGATATTTCATTTCTTGAAGTAGTTTTATGTCTTCAAAAAGGTCGCCGTCGATTTTTTGAACAAAGTTCCTAATGTATTTTTTTTGAGACGCAAACATCGGGCTTGATCTAAACGAGCTTTGAAAACGGCTCAAGACCTTTACGAAGTTCGTCTGAGATCCTTTGATAATCCTTTTAGCTTATGCGAAGCGTTTATATTTTATCGAAAGTTCAAAAGAGCACTTTGAAAATGTTAAAACTGAAGTTTATGCATCATTTTTCCACTTGATACGGGAAACTTAACTTTTCTGCCACTATCAAACGACTGAAACCAGGAAAAAACTCTCGACAAACACTTGAAAATGTAATAAACAAGGGCTTTTGTGTGGGAAAAGCCCTGGGAAAAAGCAAATATTGATCCGTGTTTTACAGAATGGGAACACGCCGCTCCATGTGGCTGCTCGATGTGGACTTTTGCCGGCCGTTCAGACTTTGTGTCATTGTTCGGCGAATGTTGACAGCGTTAACAAGGTGATAACTTGAATGTATTAAAATAAATATGCAACGAAAATAAAGAAGAAAAAAGCAATAAATTATTAAAAGATTCCGGGCTGCATTTTTCCTTCCTAAAATCCGTTTACAAATTAATGATAGGATGTTTGGAAGTTTGTATACGTAGGATTAGATCTCTAACGGTTTGAGTAAGTCTATTTATGGCCTAACCTAGTTTTAAACCTGATTTTTACTCATGAATTTCTTTTTTTTTCTCATTGTTCGATTTTTGTTAATATTTTTTCCAGGCAACTCTGACACCACTCCATGTCGCGGCTCGAGAAGGTTTCTTGGAAATCGTTCGAGTTTTTTGTTTGGCCAGAGCCGATGTCCTGAAAAAGACCAAGGAAGGCATGACAGCGGAGTTGATCGCCGTGGCCCAGGAACACTCGGCAGTCGCCGCGTTTTTGGTCAAAATGAAAGATGTCAGTAATTTGATATGCGGGTTATCGCTGAGGGGTTTTAAGGAGCGTAGAAAATATTCTTGAAGGTGGAGAGGCTAAAAGCCGTGTCTATCATTATTCAGGATCTTGTAAGACTTGTGAGCCTTTAAAAACCTAGCGAGGATTTTCTGAGGAAACGATGATCAAATGGAACTACGTAATGAAGTCCTTTACAGAACGAATCTCGTGAAACTTTCATCCAACAACTGTACCCACTGGACGTCCCGTTGAAGCGCATCAAGCTGAAGCTGTTCGGCCACTCGATGAGCGGGAAAACGCGGCTCGTCCAGGCGTTGCACTCGACTCGCGGCATTTCTTCCTTTATCGAATCCGTCTCCCGGAGAATTTCCGACCATTACAGTCCCAGCAACAGCATGACCAAAGGTAGGACTCGAAAATGAAAAAAAAAGCCGAGTTGATTCAATCGTTTCTCCAGATGATGGAGTTCATTCGGAGCAAGGCTCCTTCGCGTCAGAATCCAACAACAACTCTTTCGAAGCCTTCCAGTCTTTAAGACATAAACCACCGCATTCTTCCTACACCAGGGGAATCGATGTCCAAACCATCAATTGCACAGGTTTTCGACTAGTCCCAACTGAATCCATTTCTATCATATCCTCAGGAGTCGGCGAGTTTTCGGTCTGGGAGTTTGGCGGCTACGACGTTTATCACACGTGCTACGACCATTTCGTGGGAAATACCGATTGCATCCATCTCGTCCTTTTCCGCGCTTGTGACCCCACCGAGGTTCAATACAAACAGATCTTGTACTGGATGAACTTCCTCAAGGGCCGCGTCACGCCGACGGAGCCTATCGGTTAGGCTTGAACCTTCTTCCAGAGAATTTAAGTAAAAAGGTTCAGGTCATTGCGGAATCATTTCACGAAGATCCAAAGTCATCATCGTTGGAACCCACGCGACCCCACAAATGTTCTCTCAGCGAAATTCTGACGGCGAGTACGTTTCCTCGGACACGGAGGCCATGCTCAAGACGGTCCGTCTTCGCTTCGAGACCCATTTCGACATGGACCAGCGACTGATTCTTCTGGATGCCACCAATCCATCGTGCATCGGGATGAAGTCGTTGAAGCAGGAGCTCATCAAGACTAGAGCCACTATTTTGACGGTTCGTTGGATTCTGAAGCGTTTTGCTACGAGTTTGTATTTTCCAGAAGCTTCTGAAGCCCCTCGGAGTCCTGGACATGGTGATGACGCATCTGAACGTCGTCAGGAAGCAGCACGCCAATTTCCCCGTCATCACATGGCCGCACTTCACCTCGATCATCCGAAACGAGATCAATCCCTTGACTGGAGACACCCATTGCCGGCAGATTATTCAACAACTTCAGCTGGTTGGAGAGGTGAATCGGGGGATTTTTCATTGAATACTTGAATTGATTTATTTTGTGGGAGATCACAGTGGAATTGATACTCTGAAATTTTGATAAATTTATCACTGAAGTGAAAAATTAAAGCATTTTTATATTTTCCGGATTTTCAGGTGGTCTATCTGCGAAACGAGCAAACAGAACTGGACTACGTCGTTCTGAACGCTGAATGGCTCGGAACTCACGTCATCGGACAGCTTCTTAGTCCGGAATTCCTGTCCAGGGCCAGGTATCTTTAAAAACACCAAGGGCTCGTAGTTCTACAGATCAGTTATATTTCTGTAAAAGATACTCGATTCGAAAAAGCTTGTAGAGCTTAACAATTCACCAAATTCTTACATAGGGAGGCTGTTTTCCGGTGCTATTTGAAGCAAAGTTTGACTCGTGTACCTTATAAAAAATAAAATTGTCTCGAGTTGGTTTTTGGGGAAGGTTTTTTTGAACTGTTATTGTATTTTTTTCAATTCATCATCGATAATAATAATAATAATAATAATAATGTATTCACTGCCATAAAAAAACATTAGGTAGTATAGAAAAAAATTATAAGTAATCAACATATGACGGGCAGAAGAATAACAATACGCGGGAAGGAGTCAACCCCAACGAGTTGACAGGTACCCGGAAGTAAGAAGAAATTTTTTTACAGTAGGCGAGAAGGGATATTTTTCATAAAAAAAGCTTGATTCGGAAGATTATTCAATTTGTTCCGAAGGGTTTCTGGGGTGACGTTAAAATCTAAATATGAAGTTAATTTGTTCCAAAGAGGAATAGTCCTAGAAAAAGTAGTCTTTAGAAAAACTGACCAGCTGTCCGTAGTCGAAGTGGATTTCTCTGTAACAGGGATTGAGTGAAATACTTATTGCGATCGAGACAATGATCAGAGCCACAGACAATTTTATGTAGGGTGATTATATCACAAATTTTACGGCGAATGAACAAAGGTTTGATATCAAACTGATTGAGGCGATCGGAATAAGAAGAGAAGCTGACATTACAGCGAATGAAAACTTTCCGACTGAAGAGACGGAGAGATGATTCGAGTTTGTAGGATAAATAAAATTTTTCTTTCCATGCTTTCATAACCAGGTTCATTTACTTGGAGTAAAATTAACTTTAAAATATTCAAGTATAAGTGTTCTTAACTTCAGAGCCAACGGGATCTACAGCGTCGCGAACCTGGCGCCAGTCTTCCCGGAAATTCCTGAGCCGGCCGACCTGATGCACATCCTGGACACGCTGCAACTGTGTGCCCCCGTCGACTCGAACGTCAACGAGACTTTTGAATATCCGCCATTCATTCACCTCGACGCGCCTGCCGACGTCTGGCTCAAAGACAAGCCGACCTACGTCTACGGAGGTGTCAGGATCATGCCGATGAGAGGCATGGAGAAGTCCCTCCAGAGCACTTTCCCAAGGATTCAAGTCGCCTTGAGGAGGAGCATGAACGAGTTCCAGGTCTTTGAAAAAGTCGAATTTATTGTAAATTTTGCAAGTTGTAGGATCCCATGGACGCTGAACTGATGCAATGGTTCGAGAGCAGCAAGATGTCGTCGGGCAGAAAGGAGGCGCTGATCAAACTTGTCGGCGACGCTGTTGAGGTCCGAACCCAACCAGAAAACAACCGCTGAACCTGCGCTCCATGGATAATTTTGAAAAAAATGACAATTTTTGTGGTTTTTTTTTTCTGAAAGCTCATTCACTACAATATTATAAGATTTAAAAAAAGTATAAAATATCAAGTAAATTCAGTCATAAAGTTGTGGACGATTTTTGATTTATTTTTTGTTTGCTCCTTTTTTAAAACCAAGATCTATCAAAGAAGTAATTTGTCACGATTGGAATATTATTTTCCAACTAAAACTGTTCAAAATCAATATTTCTTCACATTCCAGATCAAAGTGAGAGGTCCCAGTGACCGAGCGACGTCGTGTTTCTACTTCATGGAGGACCTGATCAACCTCGTCGAGCAGACGGCTTGTGAAGTGGCTCCAGGCATCGCGCTGGAGCGACATTTCCTCAGCCCGAAACAGCTCAGGGCAAGAAAATAAGGCTTCCGTCTCGTCAATCTCATGATTTCCTTGTAGGATCACGTCGAGACGCCGGCTCAGTTCCTGCCGGAAGCCATGATGGAGATGCAACAGAAAGAGTCGCTTTCTGTGAAAGGCACCCAGGAGCAAGAAGAGCTTTTCACTGGTCAGAAAACTGTCCGAGGAATCTTAGACATACGAAATAAGTTTCAGATGTTGTATGTTTTGGATCACGGGACGTGGCACGTCTTCTAACGCTTGGAATCGACGTCAGCGTCGCCGAACTTCAGATGACGTCACGGTGCGAACTGGCATGTCTGTTAGATCCGCCAGACGCGATGGGACGTGATTGGTCGATTCTGGCGGTGAAGTTGCAGCTCACCGATCAAGTTCCTGATGTGAGTGATGAGATAGGACGAACGAAGTTGTAGCAAAAGTAGAAAATTCTAAAATTTTTTTACCGAAAAAAAGTTGCTTGAGAGACAGGCGTTTTTTCGGTGAATATAATTTTTTTTCTGTAGTAAGCCTTTCTCATAATACATTGAAAGAAGCTTGAGATTCAAAGAAGGGAAAAATTAAATAATGACTCTTCTTGAAAACAGGAAAATCTTTTCGCTCCAAGACTACTGCGTACAAAATTTACTATACGTCTTTAAAGGCTTTTAAGATCGAAATTTTGAAGTGTGCTTATTCTACGCTCTCAGGTCGACTCCACAGGTCAGTCTCTATCCAGAACAGACCAGCTGCTCAACGAATGGGCCATCCACCATCCGGACCAGGCGACTGTCGGCAACTTGTGCCGGATTCTCGTCGAATTAGGCCGAACCGACGCTCGAGACGCCCTCTACCGCACTGTGCCTTTGTACCTTTTCGCTCCGCTCGACGATCAACTGATGATGGACGGAAACGATTCTGGTGTCGTTTCGTCGTGCCATTCATCGGCTGAGCGTGGAATCTTGCACAATATTTAGAAATTGTTGTGTGTGTATGAGAAAAACTTGGTAAAAAAATGGAGCATGTCTATGCGTCCTTGAATATCATTTTTTATATTAGATTTAGATGCATTTTTGCTTAAAAAAATGTATCAAACGCTCAGTTAAAATCAAAGGCGCATGGGTAGCCCCGACTGTTTTTTTTTTCTCTCATTAACTATTTTTGCTCATTTGGGTACTAAGAATATTTGTCTTTCAGGCAATATTCAGAAAAAAAATTTCTTCCCAAATACTTCACTTTCTAGTACCTCGACGGGTCCCAAATAGCGTGATCAATTCCAAAAACTGCACATTTCTATAAATTTAATACTCCGAATTTTTTCTTTCATTCATACCGTTGTCCTAATTTTTACCGGTTACGCATCGAAACACAGCTTCTTTTTCATTTTTTGAACTTGTAACGCATAATATGCCTACGCCTTGAATTCCAGTCACTTCGAAACAAATATAAACGATATTGCATAGTCATTTGTTGAAATCTTGTCAGAGATATTTATTGTCTCATTCTTTTAAATAGAGAAATAAAGATTAAAAACCTTTTTTGTACATTCCCCGATGACTTCGTTACTTTTGTTCGCCCGCCAAAAAGTGTGGGATATCTCTTATGGTCTTGTCGGAGATAAGGCCATCTCGAGGCGGAGCTGGTGGATCGAAATCGACTGATCGCAGGGTGAAGGGCGAATTCAGACACTCGTCGATGCTCTTTTTGGAACGTCGACCGTAGCGAGTGATCATTCGTTGAAGGGTTCGGAACTTTTTCATCTCAAAAACTTTAATATTTAGATTGAAAAAAACACAGCTTAACAAAATTTCTAAAACGAAGTTCATTTTTCCAGTGATAAGATAACCTGAAGTGATAACTTGAAGGGGTTGAATTTTCTTAAACAGAACTATAAAAAATGAGCGAAATCGAGAAGTAACTCAAGGAAAAGCTTTGTTTCAAATAGCCGTTTTAGCAAATTTTTTGCCTTTTCAAAATTATCTCAAGTTATTTATTTACTCCCATTTCTTTTTTTTTCTTGCTCTTAATCGATGTTCTATCTTCCTTTCTAACATGAGTAAAGTTTTAAATTAACCCTCTTACTGTTCAAATGAAAGAATTAAATCTATGAAAACCTGATGGGACGTTTCAGGGAGTTCCTTGATCACTGAGTGTAGTGTGTCAAGCTGAAACTTTTTCTTATAATCTTTTCCAGTCATCTTATATTCACCGCTTCCTCAGAAATGCTGTAGTTTTCGGTGTCGAAGAGTATCTCCTCGTGGGTCAACGTCCTTTCTAACTCTTTCAGCGCCTCGTCGACCTTCGCCTCCTTCGAAAAAACGCAAACACGAATGGATGTTGAGATTATAGGAGGGCATTTGGTCGTCTGCTCCAGCAATACGTGGGCTTTGTCTAGTCGCATCTAGTGCATGAGAAAACAGAACTTTGTTTTGATATTCAATTTATACCGTTTTCAAAGCCAAAGCTGCGCCGAAAGCGGCGGTCCTGGCACGTAATTCATTGTCCGCTGAACTTTTCTTCAATAACTTGGCTATTCTATCAACATTCGCTTTCTTTCCCTGTAATAAGAGTAAAAACGCAGCCTGACAGATAACGAACTTCGGAATATAGAGACGCAGCAAGAAGGCATTCTCGGCTTGACTCTCGCTCTATTCGATCCAACTTTTGCTCTTTCAGACGAGTTAATTGATCATTTACAGAAGTTTTTGCGAGATCTCCCAATATCGATACTGTTCTTACGCTAGCTCTGTTAAAGGCTAATAGCATGAAGATGAACTGAACTATCTCATTCTCTCAGATTAGCTTACTTTCAAATTCGATATGCAAAATGTGAAAACAGTGTGTAAAAGAATCTCGCAGGGATAAACAAACAAATATTTATCAACAACAAATTCTTAAAACTCTCCACGAGCCAACTGACGGCGTTGTTTTCTCTTGGACTCCTTCTTGACCTTAGGGACATCTTCAGCCGGCTTAGAGACGACATCTTCCTTCTCGGCGAGGATGACTTCAATGTGGCATGGAGAGGACATGTACGCTGAAGATTTATGGGATAATTTAGATCATCTCTTTTCTAGAACTCACGATTAATTCTTCCGTGAGCGCGGTACGTTCTTCTGCGCATCTTAGCAGCACGCTGCACGTTGATGTGGTCGACAACGAGGTGGTCAACATCCAAACCCTTGTACTCGGCGTTGCTTTCAGCGTTCCTTAAAAACTTGGTTGTTTGAAACTAATAAAACTAAATATTTCCTACGAATTCAATGCCGTGCTCAAATCAAGTTCCGCGAAATTCACAATCATCTCTAAATCTTCTTCAAAATTTAGTTCTCTTTTTCACTCTTTCACGGCTATATTGAAATCTGCGAAAGTACTTTGAACAAGGCATCACCTTTCCGATCGAGCAAAACTAAAACGCCAATGAAAAATAAATTGAAACTTTATCGATTATTCAAAGCAGCAGTCGTTCAGAATAAAATTCATACCAACTCTTTAAAAATTTTCAAAATAAATTAAACGTGAATTGAAAAGAAAAATCACTGCCAAAATGACTAATTTCAGAGCATTATGCCGTGTTCAAAGTAATTTCCGCGAAATGCAAAATACCCATTAGAGAAAGGAAAAGATCACTAAATTTTGGAGAGTCAGAGATAATTTTGCATTTCGCGGAAATTACTTTGAACACGGCATTATAGAAGGAAGTAGTATCAAAAACTTGTCAAGAATTTGATACTACTTCCTTCTATAATGCTCTGAAATTAGTGAAAAAAACAATAAAATACAAGGAGTTCACTTTCCACCGTGAATATCACGATTCCGTTTTAAAAATAAAAAAGAAAACAATTTTTAAAAAAAAGTATTCAAACTCACTTTAAAAGGTCGAGGACGAAGTCGGCGGACTTGGTTGGCCAGCGACCTTGGGTGGTGTTCCAGTGCTTAGCCTGGGCTTTACGACCAACTCCACCGTTGAACTTGAAGAAGGGAACGAGCTCCTTCTGGTCTTTAACGTTCTGGAGGTAACGCTGAGCTCTTCTCAGGGGCATGCCGCGGATGGCCATGGCGGTCTCGTACGTGTTCTTGAAGTGAACACGGAGATCGGATCCGCGAGCCTTGCACGACTTCGTGCTGTTTTCGGGTGCCCGAGAATAATGTATCTTCGTCATTGCGACAGGAAGGTACCCTGCAAAAGTATAAATCTATGTGAAAAAAAGTAGCGAAAAAAAAACGATGGGAACATATAAATTGTTTGAAACCAACTCTTTGCAAGTCACAATTCAAAAAAAGTTCTACAGCAAACCACTAAAAAAAAAGGGGGTTTCAATTTCGACAACAATAATTTAAAAGTAAGTCAATTCGGGTTTCTTTCTTCTTTTTTTGATTTTTTTGAAAAAAATAAGATGGAAAAAAATTTGTCGAGCTGATCGGGACAATGAGAAAAAAAAAAAAAGAAAAAGTCCCATAAATTTTTTTAAATAGTGTAATTTGGCCAATCAAAGTTTTTTTCAAGTGTTTGACAATACGTTCAACAAGATATTCAGGAGCGAAAATGGAAAATGGGTAAGTTTTTTTTGGGTTTCCGTTCATAATTTCGGTGGTATGGAAAAAACACCAGCGAAACTTCAAACGGCGACTTTCCCGATTTTTTCATATCGCTAGGGAACTTTCCGACGGATCTCTTCCCGACTTTTTTTCCCTTATGTTTTTTTCGGTTTAAAAAAACATTTATAAACATTTTTTTCCTATTTCTTTGTGTTTTTGATCATGAACCAACTACCTACTTTATATAGGAAGATTTAAAACGAAGATTTTATCGAGAAAAAAAAGTCGGAAAGTTCCCTAGCGATTTGAAAAAATCGGAAAAGTCGCCGTTTGTTGTTAAAACGATTTTTTTTTAACCTGAAGCTTCAAAAAAGCAAATCGAAGAAGTTTGGGAGAAGATCCCAACGTGGTGGACTTATCAAGTCAACGCACCGAAGATGAAGGGCTGTTATCAAATACAAGACCATGCTACGGAGCATTATATCTAATTTCTTTAATTGTTTCAATTTAAAGTCATTAATAGCAGTTTACTGGCTTTGTTGTAGTTTCATTTTTTTATTATATTCTTCACTATTTTTCGCAAACAAAAAAATATTTTTTTGAAATTGTACTTCAGAATCAATCCAAACAATTCTTTCAAATTGTGAATTACATCATTTCACTCAATTGGTTGAAATTCCAAGTCGAAATTTGACCAAGTTACGGACGAAAAACAAAAAATACTCACCTATTTTCGCTACTGTATAATATTACAACATTGCGAACCGCTATCACGAAATCCCAGTTTTAATCAAAAATGCTCAAAACCTTGATTGATGCAAAAAACTAAAAATCAAGTCAGAACTGAAGTTTTGAAAATAAAAAGCAGGGAGAAATTCGAACGATGATTTAAAACGAAAAAAATTGATACTAATTGAGAAAAAAACAGCACGTGGGGATTCAAAAAAATTGTATTTTTTTGATAAGATAGCAAAAAGAAACGAATTAAAATAATTTAAAATAATAAAAAAATAATAGAAAATCTTTTTTTCTGGCCCAAAAACCTACTGCGGCCGAGAGGGTCTGACCGTACTTTCAAAGGGGTTTCAAAGCGAAGAGCAATCTTGCGCTCCACTGAGAACCTCTTTTACGCGAATGTTTGCCGATACTTTCTTTTTCTATCGCTCGTTCCTTTCTTTTTTTTTTCTCCAGTTTTTCAGCTTTGTATTCCTGAATTCAATTTTTTTTTATCTCGCGTTCAAAGGAGAGTCAGAGATAATTTTGCATTTCGCGGATATCACTTGGAATACGGCATAATTGTTCATGAATTGATAATTACGGATCCAGGCTTTTCTAGAATTTTCTAACTTCCTTTATATTTAATACGCCACACAAAACAAAATATTTCATGCCATGTAAAGAGTGGCTCCGCGAAATTCAAATTCATCTCTGACTCTCCGAAGTTCAGTTATATTGCTCGCTCTTCTATGGCAATTTTGAGCCTCGTGGCATCACTTTGAAAATGGCGTTATCAATATAATTATACAACTGAACATTAAAGTTTGAGCTTTACTTTGGTGTATGTAACTACGCGGTTCATTTCGTAGTTGAGTAGAGGCTGTCATCAAATTCCATGAACGCCTCATATTAAAAATAATCTTTCTTCTCTTTATATCGTATATACATAGTAAAAGCTTAACATTCCTCCTCACTTGTCAAACGAGAGAAGGATACAAGTAAAGCCTTCCAGGACCTTATTTAATAACGCTAAAATAAAAATAAAAAATAATAACTACCCGGAAAGCATTGCCAGGCTACCCGATAGCAATCGCAAATGCCTTGTGTAAGCAATTCACGTGAAATCCAAAATTATCTTTTTACTCTCTAAACTGTAGTTATATTTTTTTCTTTCTTGAACGGCTTTTTTTCGGATTTTTGCGAAATCAATTTGAACACGGCAGGAACGTTGTATTCTACATTACCATGCTCATTTCTCTTCTTTTTTTCTCTCGACCATTTTCTAATTTTTGATTGTACCTTCTAAATGTACAACCCTTTAAAAATATGTTCAAAGTGAGTTTTTCAGATGATCAAGGCGATCTTAGTGATCAACAATCATGGGAAACCGAGGCTTTTGAAGTTCTATCAGCATTATAGCGAAGAGATGCAGCAACAAATTGTTCGAGAAACGTTCCAACTCGTTTCGAAGCGAGACGACAACGTGTGCAATTTTCTCGAAGGCGGCACTCTTATTGATGGAAACGATTATCGTCTAATTTACCGTCATTACGCTACACTGTACTTCATTTTCTGCGTTGACTCGTCGGAGAGCGAGCTCGGTATCTTGGACCTAATCCAAGTTTTTGTTGAAACTCTCGATAGATGCTTTGAGAACGTCTGTGAACTGGATCTGATCTTCCACGTCGACAAAGTTCACCATATTCTTGGAGAAATCGTGATGGGCGGCATGGTTCTGGAAACGAACATGAACGAGATTTTGCTACGGATACAGGAACAGGAGAAGCTTCAGAAGCAGGAAGCAGGACTCTCAGCAGCTCCCGCTCGAGCTGTCTCAGCCGTCAAGAACATAAACATTCCCCAGCAACTCAAAGACATCAAGCTTCCCGATTTGCCTTCTCTCTCTAATTTAAAGAACGCTTTTTGAGTTTTCGTCCTCCTAATCCTTATTCCTCACTATTCACTTCACCTAATCTCGCAATCTCATAATTTCGACGTGATTTAACTAGTTCCATGTACATAAATAACTATATTGCAATAAATATTTATTTTTCAGGGGCAAAGAAAGGAAAGGAAAAGCAGTCCCTTCAAAGTCACCATCTTCCTCAATGAATGGTTATTTTTTGGGTTATAAAGGACAGATTTCGGTGGAAGAAAGATTTATCCGATTTCTTGGAATTTTCCAGGCTTTTTTGGAGACTTTTCTGAACTAATGTGTTTCAGAACGCAGAAGTTTTATAACCTGAAATGAATATAAAATGAACGGCTCTTCATTATGAGACTTTATCAAATCTTCTCTGATATTTCTGTTAATTTTTTTCTTTCTGTTTCTTATTCGTTCAGATTTGATATAGCCTTCAAATATCTCAGAAGAAAAAAATTGTATTATTAAATAATTGATTTGAAAAATTGCTCCAATTTTTCCTAAATTTCGCAGATGAGGCCGCCTATCACAAAAACGAAAACTTGGGATTCACAAGAAGCCGATTATGTCCCGAATTCGAATGAGAAAAAAATGTGGAATATGTAGCAACCATACATGGCAACGTAATATGAAATTCAGAATGCCATGAAAAATATTATTTATTTAGACATATGAAATCGTGGTCCAAAATCAAGAAAATGAAGAGGAAGAGTTGATTGAAGACCGTGGGGAAGAAGAAGAAACTTATCAACAGGAAGGTTTCTAAGGAGAAAAAAGACTGAAATTTTACGATTTCTCTTCAGAATTTGTGGAGTGTTATGAGCAAGCTGAACCTCGTGTGGAATATATTATAAATGAGCCGGTGGAAGAGGTTGTCGACGAAGTTGTCGAAGAAACTGTTGAAGAGCAGGAAGAAGCGGTGGTTAGAGTTTCAAGTCGATCCAACAACTTGCTTCCTATTTTTTTTGATTTCTTTAATTATCCATAACAACACGTTTTTTTTTTTTGCGGAAACCCGGCACATGAAATTTTAAAATTTTCAATTCAATATATGTAAAAAAATTCGGAAATTAAGGAGCTCCCGAAAATTCACTGTATGTTTTGCGACGCCGTTGTCGACCTCGAAGCTGGACACAGCCACCACATGTGCAAATCGTTCTTGAGAAAAAATTTCAAGTTAAAAGCAGCTGATTTTTCACCCAGTTCTTTTTATTCTCAGATGCAACATGTGTGATGAACAGTTCAACTTCTCGCAGAATTATGAAGTTCATCGTCAGGTGTGCCACTTCGAGAAGGTAGTTCACTTGATTTACACTAGGATTTCTGGAAAGTCAACCAGTTTTTGAGTATAATCTTTTTACCCATGTCTTCGTGATTTTTCTTTTTTCTGGATACCTGAATCCTTTTTTTCTCATTATTTTTTAAGACTTGGTTGAATTTAAAAGGCTAGAGTCTTTTTTTTTCTCGCCGATTCTTTTTTTTTTGGTTGATATAGCTTTTACATGTCCTAGCAAGCTGTTATAAAAGTTTTTAGCTTTTAAAAATGCTGGTTAGACTGTTCAAAGCCGCTAGAAATTGCAACAGCATACTAAGATTTTTCTCAGAATTCCTGAGCCCTTAAACATCTCAAAAAGTTTTAAAAGCTGTTTTAGAGTGGATCATAAGCATTAGCGAAGCTCATAGAAGCTTTTGAAGCATAATAAAATTTATGGTAAACATAAGGGTGATGCTCTTAAAGGGGAAACATTTTTTCCGAAGTTAATTTTTCTCAAATTTTAAAGTAAGGAGCTTTTTATTTTTTCATCACTTTTTCTTAAAAGAAGAGTTTATTTTACCTTCGGTAAGAAAAAAATACTTTCTAGGAATCATTTTCCGGAGAGAAGACCTGCGAAATTTGTTTCCTAAATAATCAGCCGACTTTTTCGCCGTTATCAAGCATATATCGGACATTTGAAGACGCATCTACAGTCAGATAGTTTCGTTTGTAAAATTTGCTTGCAGCAGTTTGAAAACCAGGTTTTCAGAATTCGAGAAAATATTTTTTTAAAATTTCATTTGTAGGCTGTTTTCAAGCGGCACAAACGACAGGTTCACCGCGACGAAGGCTCTCAATTGAACGAAGTCGCTTTTTGTCCCAAATGCGAAGTTCAAATTCCAGTGGAAGAAGTTTCAATCCACTTGAAATTGCACGATACTCATAAGTGCTTTGAAAATTAGTGTCTTAAGAAAAAAAAAACTTTCTAGAAGTTTGTCAGTGAGAGAAGAAGTTCGACGTGAGAAGAAACTGGATTCCAATTGGACTGGTGAGATTTCCAGAAGATTTCGAAACGGAAGAATGAGATTCTATTTTCAGCGGACGGGAAGAAAAAGCATCAGTGTCCGACGTGCCAAAAATTTTTCAGAAGGCCAGCTGAGTTGAAGCGACATTTAGTTATCCATGTTCGAGAAAGTATGGTTTTGGATTTTTTGTGTGGGGAAATTTTAAAATGAAAGAACAGTTTTATCAGAAAAACTGGGACGAAAGCCAGAAAAGAAACGTTTTATGTTTTAAAAACCATGGAGATTTTGACGAATTTTTCTCTTAAAAAAATTTTATTGCAAAATTTTCAGCAAATGCGAACCTTCCCAAGTGGAAATGCGCCATTTGCAGCAAAGAATACTCGCATGAGACCGGCTTGAACGAGCATAAAAGGGTAGCCCACGGCTCTGCTACCGAGTATGTCTGTCAGATTTGCGGGTTTTCCTTCACCAAGGTTGTTTTCAGTTAGAAGGATCATAAGAAAATTCAAGTTTTGCAGCAGTCGAATTTGGAGCGACATCTGAAAAAGCAACATCCTGTGAAACTGAGCTGCGCTCAAACTGATTCGAGTTTGGAGTGTAGTTATTGTCCATCGGTTTATGCGTCGTTTCACGCTTTGGCGGCACATCAGAAAAGGAATCACAGGTCGACGAAAGGTATAGTCATTTTAAGGCTGGCTTGGCTCATCGAAAAAAGGGTTTCGAAAGATTAAAAAGAGATAGTGCGCGGTTGACGGAAGTCGCAGACAGGTCACAGAGAACTTTTCAGACGGCAACTACATGGCTCCGAACCAATGTACCATCTGTAAGCTCTCGTTCCAAGGAATGGCGATGCTGAGAGCCCACAAGGCTCAGTACCATCCGACGAATCAAAACATCACGCGAGAGGAGCAGACGCCGATGTTCGAATGTGACAGGTGTTCGAAAAAGTTCTCGATTTTACTTGAAAACAGTTTTTCACCCGGTTAAATCAAGATATCTTCTCCGAGCTTCTCTCCTTCTGCACTTGGATATGCACCGTCGGAACGAAGAAGTCCCGGTGGCTATCAAATTACCTTCGAATAAAGGGTTTCAGTGTGAAACTTGCAGAGAGGTTTGAAAAGGAAAAAAAAGAGAAGCTATACAGTTTTTCAGCTTTTTGCGACAAAGAAAGATTTCAAAAGTCATACTTGCCCAACGACTTCTCGAAACGATGCGAGGACCATTCAAACTGTTGTTGATAATCCCAACAATATCAACAAGTACCTGAGTTTATTCAACAATTTTGAAACCTTTGTTATCCATCAGAATCGTCTGTCGTCTCTGCACGCCTTATAAGAAGTTTTCGACGATGCGCGAGTTTCGAGAACACAACAGAAGGCATCAACAGCGAAGGCCCCATTTGTGCTGGATTTGTCACAAATCTTTCAGGACTGAAGGTGATAATGATATGATTCGCGTGTTATAGCCCATCCCGCGTCACTTGTCGCGTTTTTTGTTCTGCCAAACAGAGCGATAAGAAAGACTAATTCCGAATAATTTTGACCGCGCTACACTTCAAGATCTTTCTTTCGAAGCGTGACCGTCTTGCGCGGGGTTAGTTTCAATTGGAAAAAGACAAGATTAACTAGGAAACTGCTTCGACTTTCGATAGGACTTGTAAGTCACGTTAGATTTAGGGTATCTATTTTTCAACGCGTTTTTCGAAACGTTTCATTTAATCTTTATTTCGGTGTTTCAAATCGCAAAGATAGAAAAAGTTATGGCCTCTCGAAGCCTCTTTTCAAATAGTTGAACAGTTGAGTGTATTTTCAATGGTAAATTTATAGATTAATTTTTATGTATATTATTGATTCAGCAATTTTTTTTATCCATATATTTTCATTGACGAGTCAAATTTAGAAGTTCATATAAGACTTGCCTCGTCTAGTGATTTTTTTTTTGGTAATACAGATACTTCTAAAAATTTCGAAATTTGTCGTTTGAAGGCCATGTTGGGGTCTTAGAACTGGTTAATTGAATAACTTAGGCTTTTCGATCTGAATTTTCGGTTTTCCGTGCAGTTAATCGAGGAGAAATGTTAAAGTTTGAATTTTTATTTCGACATTTCTGTTTTCCGTGCTATTCATTGTTGAAAAACGTCAAAGTTTGAATCTGAAAATAGGCTTCATTTTTCTAGATCTCCTGGTCCTTCACAAAGGAATCCACAACCGAGATCCGATAGCATGCGAGAGCTGTGGAATGGTTCTCTATGGGCGGACGATGTACCGGCAACACCAGAGGACGGCTCATCCGACTGGAGACGACGTCTGCGTCCAAGTCGTCATTGAGCACGACCGAGTTCGTGGTCAACTTCGTGCTCCTTTTCATTTTAAGTTGTTCCAGAACGTCGCTTCGGCTCAGTCTTTCCCTGAGTACAGCCTGAGGGATGTGAACGGGACGAGTTTTGACGTCGTTCGGGCTCAATCCGCTGACTGGATGGAGCCCCAGCAGCAGCAACAGCAGATTGTCGTCATTGAGAGTGAGTTCGAGGAGATTGGAAGACTGGAAATGTGATAAAAATCTTCTGGAGACCAAATCACCTCACCCTATAGGGGCCTCTGAGGCTTGCAAAAGTGACCCGATATGAGGGACATCCTATTCGATTATTGTTATGAACTTGTGAGAATTCTTTCCTCTACAGGGTTGTCATCCCCTAACCCCTATAAGGACCACTCTGGCGTTCCTAAGATGTATCACGAATTATACAATTGATCATTTTTTTGACTGAAAATTAAAAAGAAAGCAGTTATCTTCAAAATGTTCAGCTGCGGATACGACTTCCATGATGAACGTCCCCATCCGCTGCGATGTTTGTATGCATCTCTACGATAATATGAACCTTCTCATACATCATTGGAACGAGTGAGTTAGATTGCTCGCAATTGGAATGACCCAAAGTGGTGACCCAAAATCACCATCTTTCTTTCATGCTTTTCAATGCTCCCGCGCAAAAGTCGCTTCGAGTCGGTCAAAATTGAAAGAGACCGCCAAGCCATTCCTCGTGCGGCCATTGAATTTCCCGTTTTCAGAAGCGCCTCGGAACGCGATCATTCCTTCTCGGTTCTCGGCTGTCCAATCTGCAAACTCAATATCCGGGGAGCCTCCGAAGTTGCCAAACATATCCAAACGCATCATTACCGCAGCTCCGTGCGTCCTACCTATTCCTTGATGTTTTCGATTTGTATGAATGTTCGTATGAAACAGTAATCTAGGGCGGTGAACAACGAGGAGAGGAACGCTTCGAGGTCGAAAGACGCCGAGAACAAGACGCACGTTTGTAGCGTTTGCTCCAGGGGATTCGGAAAACGATGCGATTTGAGCCGTCATTTGTTGATTCATACAGGTTTTTTTTTGAAGCGAACATCGTGAAAATGATAGACAAAAAATATATTCGATCATGATTTTTGTTGGATGCAGTTCAATAAATTTTTTTTTTTAAGAGTCATGGGTAAGAAAGTTTTTAACTCTAGCTGAAAGCGGCCGAAATTTTTGATAAGATCGAATATAAACGATTCTTGGTTTTGAAAAGATTTTGAAGGAATCGAGAATATTTTTATGATAATATATTCTGAATAAAAAAACGTCCTAATTTACGTTTTTGAATAAGACGAAATTGAACTAAAAGCGGATGACCGTGGCTCAATTATTTGAATTAAAGCGCTAGTTTTTCGAAGTTTTTACGCAGATGGTTTTTAAAAAAAATTCCTACGAGTAAACTTGAAAAATTTTAAGAATCCAGGTGATTATGATTCAGTAACAGGTTGCATTTCAGGCGAAATACAAAAAATGAAAGTTAAAGAAAGGAGACATGAAAGTTATTATTCTTTCCAGGCGAGAAGCCGTTCCAGTGCGAAGTGTGTTTCATGGAGTTCCGAACGAAGAACACACTCGATACCCATCTTCTGAGGCACAAGAACGAGCCGACAGAAGTCTGTATGGTGTGCCGGAAAGTGTTCTACGGGAAGAAGTCCCTCAAACTCCATCTTCGGATCCACACCGGCGAGACTCCCCTTCAATGCCGACACTGCAATGTTTCTTTCAGGTCCGGTTATTTTCCTAATTATAGAATGAACAGACTTTTGCGTGGGCCGGCCCGTTTTTTTTTTGTCCATACTCTTACGATAAAAATCATGTTTTGGCTTTTTCCAGTGACAAGAACTATGGTTTAAGATGAAAAGACCTTTTGATGGACTTCAAAATTTTTTTCGAAGTTTGGCCCGGCCCGAGCCCCACGAGTCTTACGCAAAAACTTGATTATAATTTCTCGATTCTTTACAATAAAAACGCTTGAGTTGGCTCGGAATGTAGCTCTTTTGGTTGTCATTTTATTGCTGCATCCGACCTTCGAAGGCTTTTTTTGTGTGCTTTGATATACCATAAAGCTTTTGTTTTTGTGAGTGTTGGTTTAAAATTACCACAACACATTCAGCTTTCTTTGCGAATCATTCAACAAGAAATTGTTCAGAACGAGCTCACTTCGAAGCGCTCATGAGAAGAGAGTTCATGGAGTTAATGGAGAGCCAGTCGATCAGACAAACGTGAGGAAAGGTCAAGAGAAAACAGTTATTATTGAATAGTTTTCAGTCGATGTTGGTCATTCCTCCGAGCCAAGTTCCCAGTAGTCAAAGAAAATCGAGGAGGCTTCAGATCAAGGTTTGGCGTAAATGGGGTTTTGGGCCATGTGTGAGAATGTTACCTGGGAAATATTTGTAATCGACTTAAAAAATGCATAGATTTTTTTTTTTCAATTTTCCTTTTAAAGACCGAATTATGAGTCCTATGAACTCGGCACATTTTGATGTGCTATTAATAATATATTCTCCACATTTTTTTCCAATTTCGAACTTCGGATTGCTTCAAACGAGGGTAATGGACTATTGAGGAGCTATATAAATTTTTTATGAAAATAGGGGAAAAATCATTTTCTTCTAGGCTAGAAAATTAAACTTTTCAATTCCCAATAAAGTCTCAATTTTCAAGGAAACAATCGCTTCAAAGCCATCATCCGTCCGAACTTTGCTGCCGGTTAAACGGAAATTCGTTGAAGAGGTGCGTTTTCATCAAAATGTCCGTTTTATTCGTTTTGGTTCCAGAAAAATCCCTTCATCCAAGGGGTGGAGAAGACCATCTCCCAGATTTCGAGCTTGCCATCAAAGCCGCTACCGTTGTCGAGCTCTTCGGCGTTTTCTTGTCCTAAGGTTTGAAAAAAAGAAAAGAAAAGGTGTTAAATCATTTTTCTGAAGTTAAACTTTGGAACTCTTACAAGGGTTAGATTAAAACGACATTTAAAAATAGTGGGAAAAGAAGCGGAAGAACAACAACGGCTTGAAGAGGCGCCAGAGAAAAATATCGATTTCTTTCTCTAGCGTCTATTCTGGTTGCCTTATGTCTCTCGCTTATGCTTTGTAGGTTGAAAACTGTTGCAGCTTCATAGGTAAATTTCTGTAACTATGTGATTTTCCTTCCTTTCCATTAGTCTTAACAACGGTAACAAAAACTGGACGTCTCTGAGTAATTCTAGGATCACTCAAGAGCTCTGAAGCTACTAAAGGGTTCACTAGTGTAGCTCCGACACGTCCGAAAAGCGTTATCAAGATCCGAGAACGGGTAGAAGAAATATCGAGTTTTTTTTTCCCGTTTTCAGACTCGAAGAACCGGTGGAACACTTTACATCGTCGCGAAGAAGGTCTTCATCGACGAGTACGTCATCAACGTCAGTACGAGACCTCCCCCGAAGAATTCCATCCGAGAATCTGTGATTTTCAAGACAGTAATCAGGATGTTATACTGAAAATTCAGGTGGACACGTTGAGCAGCATCGAGATCAGCGCCGTCGAGGAGTTTGTCAGCCACGGATTTCCGTTCCGGATCATTCTTCACGATAATCAGTACTTGCACATTGATGCGCCAGCTCTTCTGGCCATTATTGAGGCGGATGGACAAGGTTCAGGGGGAGACAATATTTTCTTTTCAAAAAATTCATGAAGAATCCGAGTAAAGTTTTGGCGTACTGTATCTAGCTTCTGTGCAAGTTCCTACACTGCAGATGCTATTTTCGAGTTTTTTCTTTTTTAGGGTGCGAAATAATTTTTTTTTCTTTTATTTTTTTGTCAATTCTTTTCTCCTTCTATTCAGCCTTATGCTCATTATGAATAATGGGGAAAAATTTAAAATCCGGTTTATGTAAAAATTTTTTTCAGAAAGTGCTCATTTGAAGTAATAGTAACATATTTTTTTAAAAAAAATTGGCACAAAAACATCGAACTTCAGAGAAAACAGCAGTTTTCAGTAATTTCTTTCAGTCAGCGCCAAGACGAAGATCACTTCCGGTTTGTCGGCCCAACCGAAGCTTTTCGAAGTTGTCCGCGACACGGAGACCTCCTTCGTCCGTCGATGTGAAGTCTGCGAGATGGACTTCCAGTCGAAGGACCTCAGTGATGAGCATTTCGCTTCCGAGGATCATGAAACGGCTCAGGTTTCCGGCAAAATCCTCCTTGAAGTTTCAAAATGTTCTCATTCCAGTTGATGAACCCGCTTACGAGTATCGTCGCTGAGGGAATCGTCGCCACGAGTATGACTGTACCTCATCCGGCTCCGACAAGGTGGAGTTTGTGTCAAGCTGAAGGAATATCAAAACGGATTTCAGGAAAGAGGAGCTGTCGGACTTCACCTGCAAGCTGTGCGGCAGAAAGTTCCTCGACATGGAGCCCCTGGTGGCACATATTCGGAGGGAGCACGAGCGCGACGGCGATCATCCGCAGCATATCCCGCCGAGGCCCGCAGCCCGAACTGCTCCCATTCATTAGGTTTTTTCGACTTGAATAAGCTCTTGAAGCAATAAAAATGAAAAAAAAAAGAATAGTTCCGAGTTTTACGGGCGCCAAATTTGCCAAATGCTCTTTGATACTGTTGGGTAAAGTTTGAAGTTTGTTATTTTTCCGCCCATGACTTTACCGGTGAAAGAAAGTAGACGCAGAGAGGTCAGGCTGCTCCAATGCGTGGCCATATAAGTTTTGAATTTTAAATGACTTATAAATTTTTTTTTGTTGAAGACAAGTTTTTTTTGACCCCAATTTAATATACTATCAAGCTTCTGATTCCCAATTGTATCTTTTCTGCCCAATGACGGTTTCGTGGGCGTTTTACTGGTCCTTTCGACTGTTCCTAGAGTTCTCTTGATGGTTTCAATGAATTTACAGCGGTTGTTGACGATTTTGTGTCAGGATTTGTATCAGCTTTTGATCTAACTAGACCTATCCAGTTTTCAAATCAGCCATACCCAACGTTTTTCTATATTGCTCTTTTTTTTTTTTTTGACAATGTTATGTCATCAAGTTAAACAGATTAGAAGTTTTTTTCACAGTTAAATCGTGCTCTGAAATTTTTTTTACGGGTTGTGGACTATTCTAGACCGCTTTTCGATATCGTTTTGACGATGTTATGTCAGCAACTTGTCAAGATTTCTATGCACCTACCCTATAATCATCACACATTCTTGCACGGGTGTCTTACGTTGACAAATCAAAACACTCGATTCATTCGATTCTGTTGTATTTATTGGCAATTAAATAAACAACAGCGAAATCAAGTGGGTGCGCCATTTTTTCGTCGTTTTGAAGTAGGTGCGAAGATGCGGAAGTCTTGCGTCAGATGTATTGTACTTGGCAGAGGATTGCGCGATTTGCCATCCTTTTTTGTTGTTGTTTCGAAGGATGTGGGAGTTAAGGAGCTGGTTAGTAGACAATGGCAAGGTTCTAGAAAGTTGAAGGGGTTTTTAACGGTTTTCAAATGGATACGCCAAGGAACTGGAAGTTCTACAAGAAAAAGTTATTACGAAGTGTTTTGAAAACTCGTGGTTCATTTTATATCCGAAGACTCAAAGTTGATCTAAGCGAAAAAGGATTTTCTCGATTTTAGAAAAAAAAACATCCCATTCTTTCTTACTTTCTTGTTGCAACCAGCAAGCTCAACAGTTTATCCGTTCCTAAAAGGACCCCTTGAGCTGGTACATTCAAGTGACCACCGAGTGTTTCCTCCCCCAAAAAGTTGGTAGCCAGCTTCGCTTCCGCTCGGGCCGCGACGATTTCTGTGCAAACAGTGAGCCCGAGCGCCGTCGTCATGTCGGAAGGCGTCGACCTCGTCACCTGCTCTCAGCGGGGTAATTCGCGTGTGGCGCTTCCTTCCCGACGACAACCTCCGTGTTTGCAATGGCATTAACAAAACAAGCCTAAGCCTCTGTCAGATGCTCTGTTTTTTTACACCTCTAGGATGGGCTCGTGTGTTTGTTTCGGTACACGTGGAGAGAGAACGTTGGACTTTTTTTTGGAACTGTATATTCAAGTTAGAACTGTTGGAAATGAATTTTAAGGTTTTTTCTTCTTTAAGAAGATGGTCCTGATAAGATTAGAGTTTGTACAGCCCTTTCAGATGCTATGGATCACTGTTGATTTCTTTTTCAGGGAAGAATCATCTTAATTTTCACTATTTGTCTGAATTTCGGGTTAAGCAGACTGTGAACTCACTATGTTTGTCTTCCGGGTCGATTTCGCGAATTTCAGTTGAGAAGGTTTGAAAAGTTAGTGCTGGTGGGATTTTGATACAAAATAACGTCCCGCAGATTTTCAACTCTAAATTCCAGACTAATCAGACTTTTCAGTTTTTTGCCGTCAAGAAAGTTTTTCATAAGTCGGCTTTCTTTATTCCTTTTTTCTTGATAATTTATATTTTTTCAAGGCGAAAGATGAATATTTTAAAACTATAACTTGTTCACAGCACCTCTCTGAGTGTTTCGAAGGCTCCTGTTGCCAAAAATAATTTTGAAAAACCTTTTCATTCAAATTGACCAACACTTCTTGAAATTAAACTCGATTTGAGAGGAAGTGTACCGGTAGGAGGTTCTGGTTGAGGTATTAAAGGAACGATGAGGAAAAGATACCTTCGGGGTGGTTGGTATATCGTTGGGGAATCTTTCTGGTTGGCTGAACCGCCGCCCTACTGCGACATACGGCCGGCCGACCTTTTTGAGGTGCCTGCCAGTCGGTCCTCAGTTCTGCAGATTCCAGTGTTTTCTCTATCATTCATTCTTTCATAATTCATTCGGTTAATTCGATTAATCGTTGAAAGAATTGAAATGTTCAGCTCCAACAATTTTCGGTTAAAGTTATAGTAAGGCTTGACCCAAAACTATCCGATGTGTCAAAAAGTTTGAAGGTTAAGGAAATTTTTAATTTTTTTACATGATTGAAAAAATCTAATCTTATCGTAACCCAAACTTCCGAGTTGAGAATTTTTCCTGTCAAGCTCTCTTTTTTTTTAATTGATTGAAATTCTGAGAAAAAGTTAATCGAACATCGGCTTCCTCTGCCATGAAGTTTGATCGTCCAAAACCTAAAAACGACCCTAATTTTCATCTAATCCTCTGTCTAATACCCTTATTGGGCGGCGGCGGTAAAAATTCTGTCGTCCGTGAAAACGGCGACAACTTAATTTGATTAGTCTCTTCTCGTGAAAAGTGTAGGCCTACTGTAGGAGATTATCGCCCTAAGAAAGGACTATTCTTAGAGAGAAAAAAAGAAGTCGACTTATAAATTTTCTTATCAACTTTAGAAGTTTAACAGGAACTCTATTTGAATAATAAGCAGAAAAATTAGCTTTCAATTGGTCCTACAATGAAAAAGTACTGTTTGAGAAATGGCATTCTCCATACAATGGAAAAAAAAAGCACAGAATACTTTAACCGATGAAATATCCGTTACAAGGCCTTCTCTCCGTACTTTCAAGCCTCAATTCACTGGAATTTTTTCACAAGAAGTCTTTCATTTACTGTAGATCAGACTGTTGACGTTCCAGAACCATTTTTTCGCGACATTTCTTGATCCTTTTAATTTTCGGACAAGCTAAAGTTGAACGAGTAGAGTCCTCGGCCAATACAAACACGATAATGCGGGGCCATTGTGAGGCCAACACTGGATTTACAGCGACCACCTCCATAGAAGTAATCCCTAATCCTTGAGCCACCTTCTTAGGAAGCACCACCTAACGTTAATCTCTATCGCGGGTTCACACAGTGACACCACCGTTTGTTTTGTTTTTCTTTGGTTTTGGCTTTTCCCCCTTTTTTTTTTGAATGTTGACTCTGAATTTTTCGATGAAAAAGATCATTTTTTGACAGGCCCTTTCAGACTCGTATCTTTTTTCATAAACCTTTCCCAACTTCATCATACAGTAAGAAATCCAAATTGAAGTATCTCAATTTAACGCAGGGAAATGTCTGAACTTCAAAATTTTTTGGTTCGAAAATTCTTTGAAAGCTAAATATGTCTCGTTTTAGAAGAAATATTAAAAACATGATTCTCATTTTTCGGCTTTTTTATAATTTTCCGAAAACCTATTTTGTAAAACATGCTTGAACGTATTCAAGAAGTCACTGCTTTTTTTTATTGAACTAAAATGTTTTTCACTTACAAATATTCTCAAGAACTGTGATTAGATGTGCTGAACGGTCTGAAGAATCATAGGAACCGTGGAGAAAACAAAAATTGAGATTGGGATCTTTAATTCATATATTCTAGTGCTGTAGATCAGTTGAACGCTCATGAAATAAGGATTTTTCCAGTCAATTCAATCTTTAATAGTTCTATTTTTAGTTGAAAATTGACTTTAAAACAGTCACACTTCGAAATGTATGGCTTTAACTTTTGAACTTCCATTCTTCCACCTCTTACTGTTGATTTCAGACCTTCACACCTTCAAAAAGCAGCCGACGTGACACCTCCGACACTTTTTCGGTCTCTTTCAAAATAAAAAAGGCAACATCAAGGCAAACAAACGGGAAGAAAAGTGGGCGGCGCTGCGACGCAGCCAATGGAAGCGCTGCTGGTGGGCGGAGTCGGAACGACTTTGACGACCACGGTATTCCATCCAGCGACGGCGACGACGGCGACGATCAAAAAGAAAAAGAGCCCACCGCAAATGTCGTCTTATCCCTATTTTCTGCCCGATCATCACCATCACCGCGCCATGGCTTCTTGTCTGAGCAACGTATCGGCGCCGAGCAGGTGATTGGACTGAATTTCTGTTCAGTGTAGATTTTGTGAGATTTCCGAGATCTTTTAAGTAGGAGGTTTACGTTAGGTTTTTAGAGCAAGCACGGCTCCTTGAGCGTTCTGACAAAGTTAGAGAATAACAGAATCATTTTCATATTTTGAGTTGTGAGAAAGATTTCAACGTTTTCTCTTATCTTTTCGTTGAAATATGAATGTTTTGAAATAATCAAAAATCGGTTACCTTTGTCTCAAACTCACAAACACATATTGATACACCTAAATCAATATATGAACTATTATTAAAAAAAGAAAAAAAGAACTTTTTGAAAAAGTTGTTCTACGAATTTAAAGCTTAACGATCCATTTTTGAAGTTTTCCATTTTTCTGACTCGGTAACTGATTCGATTAGTCGTTGTTTGTAAACAAAAAAATTGATTTTTTTACTGGAGTTAGATTTTTTTAAATGTACTTCACGTAAGTCGCTTTCGATTGGAGTTTCCTATTTTTTTGCTATTTTTTTATTGTATCTTTCTAACATGAAAAGTCAACAAAAAAATGTTATTTGCAAAATTCGAATCTTTTGGTTTTTATCTCGAAGTTTTTGATTTAAGATTGATCATTTTGCCGGAATGAAGATTTTCTTCTTGAAGTTGAATTCGTAAGCTTGCAGTTCTGGCACGAATCCCTTCTCGATAGAGAACATTCTGTCGTCACGCGTACAGCTGCCGATTCTGCCCTTGCAAGCCGCCGCCGACTCGTTCCAGTTTCCCTGGTCCTTGCCGACGTACCCTTTTGTTTGTAAGTTTAAAACTGAGATAAAACTTTCCTTTCTTCTGAAAACACCTAAAAATCAAGGCGACACAAATTGATGACCCCAAAGAAAAATTAATGTTAAATAAATCAATAAGGATGTAAAAAACATAGAAGAAGCTAAATTTTTTGATTTTTTTAAAAAGAGTTTCTTTTTTTTTCTAGGTTCTCTTCTTGGTCAATATTTTTCAACGAACAGCGCAAGTTTTCTAAAAACCTTGAAAGAATAATCTGAGAAGCATATCTGTTTTTGCGGTACCTTCTGTTCATTCTTTAGTTGATTTTCCAGCTCTCCTGTCCCCGATGATGCCGACGATGATCCCGCCATACCACCTCCTGGCCCGACGAAAACGTCGCCACCGGACCATTTTCTCAGAAGAACAACTTCAGATCCTGGAAAACACTTTTGTCAATACGCATTATCCTGACGTTTCGACCCGGGAAAAGCTCGCCATCCAGTGCGATTTGAAGGAGGAACGAGTCGAGGTAATAGTTGGAAAAAATCAAAAAATAGTTCAAAATTCGGCTGGATAGGGTTGTCACTCTTTAGCCTTTTTTCAGTGTTGAAACAGTTCAGTAGTAGTGGAAGTTTAAAGTACAAAACAGTTAGGAAATTTGATTTCGAAGTTTCTTTTCAGAAATTTTCCGTTTATAGGTCTAAATAGAGCTTTTTAAACTGATAAAAAAAAGTAAATTTGTTTGTTTTTAAAAAAAGAAAGGTTAAAATTTTTGGGAGTTCCTAAGACGATTTTTTCTTCGATATCAAAAATCTCCAATTTTTCTCAGCTTCTAGAGACTTTTTTCATTCCTCTGGTTGCTCTCTTGCGATAATCCTTCTATTGTTTTTTCACCAGTTTTTTTTTCAAGGGTACAGTAATCCTTCCTGACGGCGCGTGCGGTACGATTATCTTGCAAAAAGATTCGGCGGAACTTTTGGAAATGTTTACTTGGGAAGACCTGAAGAGAATTCGCCATTGCACTTATTCTTCAAGTGTGAGAAGATTTAGTTTGACTTTTTGTTGCTATAAGGTGAAGAACAAGCTTTTTGGATACTTAAATCAAGTCTGCGTTCCTTTGAAAACTTTTGATTCCTGAATTAGCTACTTAAATGTCTTTCGACTCCAAAACTGTTGATTTTTTAAAAGTGTTCCTCATACTCAGAAATTCTTACAAATTTTCAAATAATTTTAAACCTTTAGTCAACAAAATTAGAAGAACTTGACGAGTTGTCCTCGCAGAGAGGACGATAATTCTGCGAACAACACAGACACACCAAATACAGTAATCCTCTCTCTCCGTGCGCATCATCCTTCTCCACCACCTTGGAATCAACTGAACCGGAAAAGTGTACGTCGCAATCGATTAGAGGCGCGCCGCCCCGTGTTGTTCTGGCTTCTCATTATCGTATTATCGGTTCGATCCCCTTTTTGCGGAAAGAGAAGGAAAAGCGATATTTAATACACATTGCGCCATACAGTTTAGGCTGAGCCCCCTAATTTTGAGTCGCCTTTCGCCAGCTGTCAGTTTAGGCGAGTTTAGGTCAGTGAGCTATTTTCTTCGAGGAAATTTTTGGAAGATTATGAAAACTCAGTCCTCGATAACGCAAACCGCACACGCCCTGTAAGTTTCTGAGCATTTCAAGTAGTCACTCAAGACTACTGAAGCTGCTGAAGAAATCATTAAAAAAAAACTCAAAAACGTTCGAGTCCAGTGGGATGGTAGAAGAAAAGTTTTTAAAACTGTTTAACACTTTTCTTTTGTTTTCAAGTTAGCCATTCTTTTTTCCCTATAGTTAATAAATCGCTGTCCTGGGCCTTCAAATGCTTTCTAACTTTGATTAAATCGCCCTGGAACGGTTAGTAACTGTAGGGAGTTTCGAACTTTTGCCTAATCAACTTCTATTACTGCTTATTGAAACCTTTTTTTTATTAAGCCCCTATTTTTGGGATGTCAATGTTTTTCAAAGTTTCAAAGGACGTTATTATTACTATACAGGAATTTTTTTGGAGCTTATCAATTTGATTAAATGAAAAACTGAGCAAGTTGGACTACGGACCGACTTTAAAACGAGTTTGAAGCTTTGGAAAAAAAAAATTTTCTTTCGAATTTTTTGATTGAATAAGTATCTTGATAATGTTTATATTGAAAATTAAATCCTTGAATCGTCAATTTTCAGGTTTGGTTCAAAAATCGAAGGGCGAAAGAGCGTAAACAGAAGAGAGATGACGTCAGCAACAAAAATATCAAGGTGCGAAATTTATAAAAAAAAAACGATGGAAAGAAGTTGATACGTGATACTATAGTTCAAAGTTGATGCGCAGTTAAATTGAGACTTTTCAAAAATTCTTTTTTCATGTGAGGACATACTAAGATATGTTTAAAAAGTGGGTGTACCAGCATTTAGCATCTGGCTCTACTTCAGGGTTACTTTCCAAACCGTTCGAAATCCGTGGAGCGCGTCTGGTCAAAGGCCAAGCTTCTTTGATCATAATGATAAAGAGAAACTGAGTTTGTCTCTTAAAAATTTCGATACTCAATTCTGTGCTCAAAAGCTCAGTCAAAAAAGCTCTTCAGGTCTCGCTGAGCGACGATTCTGAGTGTGACGTCAGTGACGACGAAGAGCCACGATCCGCGAAGCGACGTCGCCTCGAATCGAAAAACGTTCAGTCGTCGTCCCCGGAAACGAAGTCCTCAACGGAAAAATCCTCTTCATCGCCCAATAAATGATCCCCGGAGGGCTATAGTCGATTCATTGCAGACTTGTTACGGTTACAGTACTCATTTTGATTTGGTAGTTTCCTATGCGTCATGGTAATTTGCATTGATGTCCTCCTTCAGTTGAATTTTCCAAATATTGAAAGAGAGTATTCAAAGTTTCCGAAATGTAAAGATTCCGATGAATTGACTATTATGTAGATTTTTCTTTCTGCACACATTTTTAGAGAGCTTATATTTTTTTTCGATCTCCCCTTCATTTGATTTTTTCTTCTCGTTTTGCGTTGCTTATTTGGAACTCAGTTTTCCTGTCGAACTACCCGTTGTTTTTTTTCCAATGTATTCATAAAAAAATTCTATCGACTTTTCTTTGGTTTTGTTTTTCTTGCTCGTAAAACTCCGTATTGGTTATACTTGATGAAAAAATTGCAAGAAGGATTTAGAATTTGGATATTTCGGCTCAATTTTATTCATAACTGCTTACTGAGGCGTTCAAAGGGGCTAGGAGAATTCTATCAAGATTCTGGAGCAGAAATACTCCGACTTTAATTACCTCAGAAGGCTTTGAAGAATTGATTTTTCGACTTGAGTTAGATTTTTTTTTCATTTTGGACGATAAATGGCTCAACGCAACGCGGCTGCGAAGCGGATTCTTTGAAGTTCCGACTCCAACCGTTCCGTGATCGCAACGCCTTTAGTCATTCAAACTGCGACCGGAAGGGTTTAAGGCGTGGCAAATGAGGTCTTACACAGTCAGAAAAGCCGCAAACCGTCTCTACAGTAGCCCTTAATCCAATAAGATCAGCATTGATTTATCTGACGTCGTCTGAGAAAAATAATCGCTTCAAGACCTAAAAAAAAAAGAAGTTTTTTTTGAGCATTGAGCAACCAGCCATCATATTCCTTCAAGTTTTCAAGCTCCATATACTGATTGGGCGTCTAAACCTCCAATTTTTGAACACTCTTCGACTGATCGTGATCGGTTGACTCCTTGTTGAGAAGGATACAAGTAGCTACCGGGTAGCTACTGCAAAATCGTATGCTTATTATTAGCTACCGGGTATCTCTATGCTACCTGGATTTTACCGGGAATTTGTGATTGCAACCGGCTGGCAAATCTGTCCTTCATTTAACGCCAGTGTTTTTGGTTTTTGGAACCATTCGAGTCTTCCAAGATCTTATTTAAAAAAATAACTACCCGGTAGTAATTGAAAACGTCAGGAACCTGCCCCGTATATCCAGGTACCATAGAGATAGTACCCGGTCGCATAAAAACGACCACCTGTAGCTACTTGCATCTTCCCGTCAAAAAGCTTCAACAAGAATTAATGATATTAAAATTTCTTCGGCGCTAGAAGTTGTTACCTTTATAAAATAGTTTCAAAAATACAAGGCATAACAAGAAGAAACAATTTTCACACGAAGATTTTGAGCCGCTCCTTCAAAACCGCCGACTTATTCAAATCGCCGCCGGCCGGGGAGCGAGGCGCGGATTTGATCGCCTTACGCTCTTATCTTTTTGCGCCACTAATTAGGACTTAATTTGGCTGGGGCTGTTTAGTTCGCATCTTTTTTTTCTTTGCCAAGGATTATTGCGTCAAAGAAGGAACGAAAGAAACTTTTCATGCAAGTTGTGGACTTTTTGGGATATGGTCCCGCTGAAAAAAGAGCATAAAATCGGCTGTCCACGTCCCCTGCGCCTTTAAAGGAGCATTGGTGGAATCCAAACTATTTACAAGATAATTGATATAGATGTTTCGTTTTTTACAAAAATTTTGAAGATCAGTGTTTGGTCCGCCAACGATAAGCAAAGTAGTGCGGGAAAACAAGATGTTCAAAATAATCTAGGTGATATTTTATTTTTTCTTGTGATAGGAGCAGTAAAAAAACTTTTCTGTTCTGATTTTCCTAATTTTCCTGAAATTTCGAGAGTTTTTTTCATCTTCTCGAAAACTCAAGAATCAAGACAGTTTCAAGTTAACTTGCGAACCGAACTTTGCTTGAATTTAGTTAAAAAACTGGTATTTGATTGGAAAAATGAGCAAAATCAGAGGTCGAATCGTCTCGGCCAAGTGTGGGACACCCGCTACTCGATTCGTAGATACAGGATATTGCTGTAGGTTTTTTTTCACAAATTCGAGGAGTGTCATTTGAAATAGCTTTAATTTAAAAATCCAAACTTGGACAGCAGCGCGACCGCAACGCGTTAGGAAATTCCATGCGCCACCAAGTCTTATCGAAATAACCAACTCCATTCGAATGTTTCTGGCCTCTCATTTGCCAAAAAAAGACGGTTCAAAATTCGTTGCTCCTCAAACGATTCCGCTTCTCACGTTTCCATCCATCCAGCTAATACAAACACGAATTTCACACGGAATCGCATGTGACATCTGGAGACAAGGGTTACGGTAGCCCTCTAGGGAAAGGTGAGAAGCGACATCGAAAGTCACACCTGGCGTGAGCTCATCTCAGGTGTCACTCCTCATAGTCCGTTTATCAGCAGCATATCGCCCTGTTTTCCCTTGTTGACTCAGGTACCTCGACATGTTTGCCGAGAAGATTTAGGGGCCTTTTTTCATATTAATGAGCAGATCGGATGAGGAACAAATGGGATTTGAACGCGAAGAATGTTTGATTTAGGATGAAGCTAAAAAAAAATTTTTCTGGAAATCGCTCGATTTTATAGCTGATTCACGGCTGGCTTGAGACATCGGAAAAAGGGTCCTGACACGATAATGCACGAGACAGTGCCTGGCTCGTGAAGAGCGCAAGCAGACCACGCCCTCTTTGTATCCCAAACTAGCCGTTCAGCTATACTGTTGTCTTTATTGGAGCTTTGCAGCTGATTGCCAAGTTGGCTTTTACACGCAACGCTTTGAGCCATTCCAAGTGCGACCAAGTTGTGAACTTATAGCATCGAAGATTCGCTCCAACAATGAGCCAATCAGTGAAGTTCTTGGCTGGAGCGACATTCTCAAGTTGACTTTTTCGAAAAAAAAAAAAAGCTGTCAGCCTGGAAACCGAAACTTATCATCAATAGACGGTCAAACATGACTTGACGAGACGGCTGAGAACGGAATTATTTGCTCTCCGGATTTGAGTGGAGTCACACAATACACGGAAGCGCATTACCACCTCTACTACAAGAACAGCCTTCCCCTTCACACTTGAGAAATGCGCGTAAATACAGAGGGACATCGTGCGTTAGGATGTATGTATACCCAATTATGAAACACAAGACGAAGCTGCTCTAGTGGCCGGTCAAGAGCACGACGAGGTGCTGAACGTCGCCTCGTCCGACGACTCGACTTGCATTTTCGACCGCTGCAAAACGGCCTGTCATTCGAGATGACTGCAGTGGAATGTTGGACTCTCGTGAAGCTACAGTGAGAAGGAAACATCGAGGGACAGTTTTTTCCCATGAAAATATCACCAAGAAAGTTCTTTAGTCAGCTCGGTCGAAGGCCGCGGTCGCCCTTGGAATGGCTCAAAGCGTCGCAGCCGCCAAGCGGTTACCGCAGAAGGGTTTTTGACGAAGCAAGTTTTTTTTTATTTTGCTAGAGCCCTGATTTGCAAAAGTTCTTCCGAGGCTTTCATGTTGACGCCCTTCATTTTTTCTTGTAAAAAAAACTTTTCAACCAAAGGACTTTCAGCGAATTTCCATTGCTTTTTTACAGGTTTTTTTAAATCACCCCCAATTTGTTACTTGTTTTAATTTGAACAGCAACGCGTCGAGCCGTTCCACATGTGTACATGCCCTTCCAAGTTAGGTCAAATCGTTTTTTATACCGAACAGTGTGTAAGTAGAATTCCAGAGGGATCCAAAGTCTGGAAAAAAAAAAACTCCTATTTCCGGCTTTTTATTTAATGTCGTCAGCCAATCTGCAGCTCACCAAGCCACAAAGGAGTTCCCGAAGACGTGAAAGGTCGCCTCTGAAGACCTCGACCTGTTTGGAGATCCGATCGTCTTCTTCAATGACACTCAGGGCGACGGCGGCTTCGTCGAGCCTCGCAATCGCCGACTTCAAAGCTTCCCGCGCTTCGGCACTTCCGTAGATCTCGGCAGTCAAACACTTTTCACCAGTTTCTGAGATTTATTTTTGTTTTCCAGAGCTTTTGAATTTAGCAGGTTTTGATCAAATTTAGTCAAGTCACCTATATTTTGCGAATCGTTCCGAACCATTTTTGTGAAGATTTTTCTTTTTTCAACCCTAGCTCAGAGAAAAATGCCTAGATGTGACGTGATCGCTCTCCTTTTTTTTTTCAAAGTTTCCATTTTCTCCAAGATTTTGACAATCTCAAGATAAAATTCCCCTTTCAAAGTAAGACAAATTAAATATTCGAATAAACCCTCACCCATATGTTTTGTGAGAAGTTTATCTGTAATGATCTCGAATTTTTCTTCATAATCGCTCAAATATTTGGAAAATGAGCCTATTCTTGCATCCAAGGCTTCTAGCTCTTTTTCACTCGTCATCTGAATGTTTACCCTTTCATTTGAAAATATATTGATGTAGGAACTCACATTTCAAGAGATATCTGATGGGAATGATGGGAAATTGACGTATTTTCCTATTGAGTTGAGTTGACGTCAAATTTTTCTGGATTCTGGAGTCATTTCGTCAGGAATGAGCTCATCGAACCAGGTGAGACGATTTCAGGAGAAAACACGTTTTTAAAACTAGGTTTTTTTTTGATTGTTTGCTTGTCAAAAAGTCTTAGGGGAAGGGAAAACTTGAGAGAAATGGTCCTGGAAAAAACCGCAATAATCTATTTTTTTCCAATAAATTAGTTGATTTCTTGAAGCGATCAGTATATCGAAAATTAATTCCTTTTGTAAAATGTCCATTTTTCGTTTCAAAACCAATCTTCAACTTCTCAAACTTTCATCCCAGAATCTTGCCTGGTTCGACATATTATCGGCGCCGTTGCTCCTCGCCTGGTTTCTCGGCACATTTTACGCGTTTCTCATGCTCGTCGTCAAGCCCTTCCTGGTTCCCAAAGGGACTGTTAAACAGGTTCAGATTCGCTTCAAAAAATCGATGAAAGGAAAAGATTTGCAGCCTTTCCTGGTGTGTGGAGAGGAGCCGCCGCCAAGAAGAACCCTCAACATTACTTGAATTCGTCATCTTACCGAATAAATTCTGAAAATATCTGAATGTTGAATAATTTGCGTGTAACGTGTGAAGGCAAGTAACGGGAGGATCTGGCATTACTTCTCTTGAAAAGATGCGCTTCCTGTGCATCCTGGCGGTCGTAGGAGCCGTCGCCGTCTTCGCTAAAGGTTTTCATAACAAATTATCGTACGTTCAAAGGCGGGTCGCAACTGTCGTTTCTCTTGAAAACAGCACAAAAATTTGTCTTAATGGTGCTGAACGGTGGTTGGCCTTCCGAACTCTGAGATTATGCTGGTTTTTGAAGGCGTGTAGGCGGAGTTTGTAGAGAAGTTTACGGTGAAAAGGCTCGACAGCGGTATAGTCTGTTCAGATTTTGAGTGTCAAGTCGTCGCTCAAAAGTCGCCCCTAATGGTGCGTTAAACCAATCAGAGAGCGAGCCATCCACAGAGTTTTTTTGAATGACGTCATTGCACTTGACATTAAAAATCTGAACAGACTATAGTTTAAGTTACGCAAGACTTTCGCGTGTAGTTTTCTTGATTTTCAATATTTTGTCCTAGGAGCAGAGCTTTTCTGATACAACTTGCAGGATAATAAAATTCGAAAAACAAGACTTCGCGAGAAAAAGACGAAATAATTGCTCCATATTAAGTAATCACTGAAGAGATTTTGTAATAAGTCACCCAAAAAGGGCCTTTTACTCTTTGTTTATCAATTATTAAGACCGGCTACTCCTTCTGTCTCACACGAGGATTCTCGTTTCAGATGCTCCAGGACTGAAAAAACCTCTGGGTAAAAAACCTTTCGTTGTTCCGACAAGAGAACCCAGAAATAAAGAGACTTCCAGCCAAGCACCAGTCAAAGGAAATTCCGATCCAACTTTGACGGGTTGGTGTTTCAAACTATTGTTGAAACTGTTTTGTCAAATTTGATTTTTGATTGGTCAATTTTGGAAAAAAAGGGGCGTGGTCAGCCAATCAAGGGTGTAGTTCTATCGAGCCAATTTCGAAATCACTGCGTATCAAAAGGAACTAGAAATAATTGAAATACGATAAAGTTTATTTTCTAACTTATTTTTTTCAGATTCTGCAGAAAATCAGGCCGACGCTGGTAACAAACCTGCAGAGCATGACTACTTGACTGATCCACCGGAGAAAGTGGAGTCTTCAAGCGAAACTCTGGATAAATCGGGTCCTTTTTTTGTTTATTATTTTTGAATAGAAATAGAGTGCCAGCTGGTCAAAAAGCGCAGTTTTTTTCAGAGTAAGCTTTATAAAAGTTCACAGGGTTGTTCCGAATACAGCTTTTTTTCTGGTCGATTTAACAGCGGTCTTTCGATTTATTTTTAAAAAAAAAGTTCTATCAGTCAGTTCAAAAGTGAATGGCGATGATTTATATAATTTTGAATATTTGAATAATTTTTTCAGTCGGATACATAGGAAATGAAGCTACTTTCTTCTACCCTTTGAAGATTTCCGATAGGCTGGTTACGTCCTTTTTTTCAGTGGATCGATTTTTATCGATTTTAAGAGCTACCATGTATGCAGCTGTTATGGAAAAAAAGTTCAAAAAAACAACTTTTTTCTTCCTTTTCTGAAAATTTGCACTTCAGATGGTCTATCGCCTAATGATTTTGTCCACAAACCTTCCGATGACTTGACGGAATCGTCTGAATATCATTATAAAGACTACAAGGGCTCCGATCCGACTTTGACTGGTTGGCATGAATAGCATATGCTTCATTTTAAAAAGAAGTTTTCAAGAGTTTTGTTTTTTTTTTTCCGCGGCTTTGACCGTCTGATTCATACAGAAGGTTTTACTCGCTCTTTTTTGCAGTTTGAACGTTTTTTGATTTGAAGAAAGTTTAGGGAAGCTTCATACTGTTTTCAAAAGGTTCACCTGAAATTTCATAAAAGTTTTAACATTCAGAGAGAAATAATGTCGACGTACGAAATTTGAAAGGGCTTGAAAAAAGTTTCTCTAACGAGCTGAATGTTTCTAATGGGTGGACTGAGTTCTTCCTTGAAGTGGAGCAACCTCAAAAACCCTAAATGCTGTCTTGAACACACTGATTAAAAACAAAGATGCTTGAAACAGGGCATGAAGAATCGCAAAAAAGAAGGCGCTTGATAAAAATCTGTTCAAATGGTTTAATTTCAGATGAGGAAGTGAAGAGGTTCATTACCTCGGGCAGTCTTGCTCTGGAGGTGAGTCTGTGCAAATCTGTCTGGAAATCACAGAGGTAGAAAGTGTTCTCAGACCCGAATTCCGAGTAAAAGTGAAAATTTAGAATCTTATTTCACTTAATAATAAAACAGAATAAAATGGCATTCGTATGCGCTGCTCATTTCTCAAGTAGTTGAAAAAAAAAATGAAGAGACGTCGAATCGTCTCTTTTTTACTCACTCTACCGCTGGTGGTGAAAGAGAGAAGTATTGAACTATACTAGTAAAAGAAGTTCGTCGCGTCGTCTGACTTGAAAATATTTGATCTTGATGCGAACTGCAACGCGATCGCGTTGTTTTAAGCCATTCCAAGCGCGGTCGCGACGCATCAAACTTTCGAAAAATCGTGTTTCCTTCCAGGGTGACCGTCGCGATAGGTTGGAGCGCCAGCGCTTTGGTGAACACCTGCGAGAGGTTTTCGGAAGGGTTTGATGATTTTTTTTTCCTTTTTTTCCACATAGACAAACATTTCCTTCCTTTAAAATCTATTTATCTCTTTAGAAAGAACCCAGCCCCGTTGGCGAGAGTGGACTCTACCTCATGCTCAGAGACGCCTTGGCCGCTGTAAGTTCATTTTATTTTTTCAGTTTAACTGTTTCTTTTCTATAATATTTTCGACCTAATTTTTTTTTTTTTTTTAAGTTTTTTTCATGTGCTCAGAAGATCCTAGCGAGGCAAATTGTACTGTTTTGGCAAATTCGAACAGTGAAAACTTTTTTCAAAGTCTTTTTTGGCATTCTTAAAGATTCACAGATCCGGAAACAGAAGACGAAAATTTCTTTGACAAACTTGGTTCTTTTTGAAAGTTGTATTGCTTCTTTTTAAGAATAAAAATGTGGTCTCGTCGAAGGGATGGGCTCTGATCGGTGGATTGTGCAGGGTGATTTCCATTTCTGTCTGCAATTGCACTCGCTCATTTTCAGCAATTCGGAGAACGACTCAAAAAATACGATCCGAAAACGTCGAAATTGCTGTGTGGATATTGATTTTCTGTCCTTTTTGTGCAATGAACATTTAATTTTACCTGTGGTTCTTATGCATTTCGTTTTCCGTCATGAAGTTGTGTTGGTTTGCAAAGGTTTGCTCTCTTTTTCCTTTTTCAGTTGGTTTTTCTATTTCTAAGCATGCTCATTTTGCGTTCCACAGAAGCATTTCTAATTGCTTGAAATGTAAAAAAAGAACTAGTTTTTTATGTATAAATTCGTAGTATGAAATAGAAACCAGCGACTTCTCCGATTTTTTCATATCGCTCCGGAACTTTCCGACTAGCCGTAGGCAAAATCGGAAAGGCACGGAAGGACCCTTCGAGGGTCTATGAAGGGTGAAAAAATTGTTAACAGGTCTTTAAAAAACTAAAAAAAAAAGTGAAAATAGTTAGTCGGAAACGTCGTCGTCGAAAAGTTCCCTAACGATATAAAAAAAAAATATATCGCTAGGGAACTTCTCCGACTAGTCGACGTGGCGATGAGACCGACACGTCGACTAGTCGGTATCATTGCCGCTCTCTCATGGGATAATATTCCGACGCCCGTCATCCCTGGACAGGCTGGGCGCCGTACTGTCCCAACATGGTGAAGCAGTTTATTCGCTGGTACTACCAACGGACCAACATTATTTCCCAACGCTGTCACTCCGGGACGTATTGGACAACGGTTGTGGACCGTAACCCGCGCCGACGACTAACTCTTCGATTATACCATGATTCAGCAGAGATTTTCTTCATCTTACTCTGAAGACTGAATAAATTGAATTGAATTGAAATCGAATAAAAAAAATCGAAAAAGTCGACGTTCGAAAATTCGCTGGATTTTTTTTCATACCACGTACAAATTTTTGGGCGATGGCGCATATATAGAGATAATTCCTTTTGAGAATATCCAAACTAGCCTAAATCAAAAAAATAATTTCGAAGAAGATACATTTCCTCCAAGTTCTGGTCGCAGAATTTGAGATATAAAAGTATGGGTTCTAATTCGAAATCCTTTCTATTGATTGCAGTGCCTTGCTGAATTTTTTCAAAATTCAACCAAGATCTTCAGTAAGTTGAAAGAACTATACTGACTGACTTCTCAGCTTCAAAAATCTGTCTTGCAGTTTTTTAGAAACCCAATTTTTGTGATCTCGGAAATCTTTAATCATTTTAGCAAATAAACTTCTGAGAAGCGCAAAATTTTGCGTGTAACGTGTGATAAGGAAGTAACTGGCGAATCTGGCATTACTTCTCTGTTGAAGATGCGCTTCCTGTGGACCCTGGTGGCTGTAGGAGCCGTCGTCGTCTTCGCCAAAGGTTTCAGAGCTTCTCCTCCGATTCTCGTTCTGACAGCTTCTTTTCTGTGAGGCAGATTTCATAAGAAGCTCTCACGGCGAAACGCCTTTTCAGCTGTTTTTTAAGCTCTGAAAGATAATAGAGAACCGACTATATAATCTTAAACTTTAAGGTATACACAGCTTCCACGAAATTTTACATTCTTTGATAGAACGAAAATATAACTTTCATGGTTCTCTTCCTCCACGCCACAGATCTGTCTGTGAGCGAAATAAACATTTCATTCATAAAAAAAAAGAAAGAAAACAGTTTAAAAGTGATAGAATATCGAGTTCAGATGCTTTTAGGCTTTTTTAAGACTCTGAAATTCTACCTTAGTGTGTTCCGCCCGAGAAGGTCCCGTTTTGAAATAACAGAAAAAAAAGTTACCGTAAATACGAACTTTTACTCTACAAAACGGCTAAAAAGACAGACAGCAAAAAAAAAAAACAAGGTATTGAAGCGAATTGGGGTCAATTTGGAGCTAATTTGGTTAATGGTTTTTTTTACAGAAAAAAATTGTAAAAAGCTGGTTAGGAATGGGTTATATGGAGTGAATTCAATGCTTGCCGTTTTTCATTATTTTTTGTTTGAAAAGTCAAACATTTACCTTACGCCCTTAAACGGTCATTTACAGATGCTCCATCTCGATTTCTGGACCAAATGACATTGGCAATCCTCCGAGGTGATGTCGAGACTTCGCCGAAAGCACCTGGAACTAAAGAAACTGAAGTATTCTTGAACCAGACCTACACGAGAATTACGAATCAGGACCTCATGAAGGCGAAAAACTCGCTCAAGTGGCTTTCTACCGCCCTGAGTGAGTAGCAAAAATAGTTAGCTCGAGGCGGCTCTTCCAAAAAAAAAAAAGAACTTCAGTTAGCTTCTCGAAACGTCAAAGATATCTTGAAAGAACTGAAAATGATATTAAAAATGAAAAAATAGTTTTAGCTACGGGAAATCCGAAAAACTTCGACATCGCCATCCGCGCAGCCAGTTTGCTTTGGGTGAGTGGGAGAAAAAGGGGAGATTCAAACTTTACTCTGAAAATGCCTAACAGGATTCTTCAATTTCAGGATGGCCACGCGTCACTGAAAAAGTTGTACTGGATTCTGCGCGTTTTCTTCGATCCTGGATTTTTCAATCCATATTCGAGTGATGATGAGGTATTTCCACCTAAGATGGTGCAATTTCGAATGATAATAGATCTTATTACTTGGAACCATTTTTTTTTTTCTAGAAAAATCCAAACTCATCGGCCGATGAAGGCAACGACAGCACTCCTTCGGAAGTAATTTCATCTTTTTCGATTTCTTATAGCATTTTATTTCGTTGAAGAACGACTATTTTCCGCTGGAGGACGAGGAACTTGAGAAACGGCGCGTGGAACTGTGCTTTGTGAGTTTTTATTAATTTTGAATTGCGCTCGTTCATTTACAGGGGAAGTGGGGAAAGCGTTTCGAAAAACGCAACAAGTCGCTTTTCTCAATGATCTGCAAGAAGAATTGATTGTATTTTTTTTGAAGTGAAATGAAAAAGTTTTGGAGAAATTTCGTTTCTTATTTTAGCAAGCAATTTGTAGCTTGTAGATTCAAGAAATCCTTGAAGTTTCCTCGAAGAAACGAGGCCTCTGATTGGCTTATCCTGTCTTTGAGCAATGCATATAAAAAATTCGACTGAAACAATAAGATTTCATAGTACAATAAAAGCTTCTTGACCAGTGTAAGAAATAAATAAATAAATATATATATAATATTCACAAGAAAATATCTTTCATAAAAATTTTTGAGCCGATTTCGCGTATGTCTTCATAGCCACAGTCTCGTCCTGAAATTTTTAATTTCAAAATTTTTTGGGCGTCACGATAAAACCTACGTCGGCTAGACCCCGGGATGGGCGAATTGCGGCCTATTTCAGTACATTATTGAATTTTTTTTTTCGCGCGCCAAAAGCTCGGGTGGGGGGATCTAGCCAACGTGTGCGATTGAAACCTTTGACTTCGGCTGGCCATCCAAAAAGTAGTCGTCGATGAAGCCGAGAACCGCTACAAGCAATCCGTAGTCGTTTTTTCCTTTCTGGAAGCTTTCCTATAAAAAAAGAACAAAAACGGTTGTTTTTGCAGGGAACTTACAGAAATCAAGAAAAATTCGCTGTCTGGGGAGCTGTGCAACTTTTTTTTTCTTTTTCCTTTTGTTGAACTCATTGGGTTGAAAAAATAAACGTTAAATTTTTTCATACATATAGTAATCTAATTCTAATAGAACACGCTCTTTTTAGTCGAAACCCCATAAAATTAATTATTGGTTGCTTTAAAACAAAATTTGTTGAAAATACCTTTCTTTTTTCTTTCAAGGTGTAAAAATATTTTGTCATCGTCTTTTTTCGTTTATTTTTGGAGCTTTTCCTTTTTTTACTGGATTTTTCCACTCCACTATTTCTATTCAAAATACTGCAAAAAGGTTGAAAAAAAAAGAAAACATGGCTTAACTAATTGCGGTTTTTTTAACACACAAGTTGTACGTATAGCTATTTGAACCATTTTTTCTGACGGCTCGTTTTTCTTCAGTTCTTTCTTCATTTGCTCTTTCTAAGTGCAAACCTTCTCGATGATTTTCTTTTGATCTTGGGCGATTTTTCTAAGCAAGCTTGGAAATTGGAGCAAGTCTACTGACTTCTTCTCCGCCAACTTTCGGACGCATTCCATGAAAACCGATGTATCAATTTGCGCAACTTCAACATTGGCGTCCAAGCCTAGTAAAAATAATTATATCTAATTTTTTGATAACTAAAAACATTCGTCTTCATCGATTTCTTTTCCCTTTATTTGCTCGAGATACTCCATTACGACGCTTTCTGTTTCTGGAAACGAAACTTTGACTTTTTATTTTTCGGAAGAGCAGGTCGAAAACCTTCAATTTTGATCTCTTGACCGGAAAGCGGGAACGTCGCCGGCAATGGGTCTGAGACCGAATCGGACATGACATCTTCTTCCTCATCTGGAAGTTTTTTTTTTCTAATTTATCGATTTCATTATATCTAATTTTTTTCTGTTTCTATCCGAACTTTTCGCGTGAATCCTTCCGGCACCCGAGACACATTTTTTCAAATTAAGTAGTCACTTAAGGTCCTTCAGCGACCCTTGAAGTTACTTTCGACAGCAGCGAGCTGATTGAGAATGGCGGAAAAATAAAAATTTCGGGTTTGAAATGAATTCGCGAAGATTCTGAAAAGCTTTTGTATTTTTACAAAGGTTTAGGATGGCTGCCCACTGGCCGCCCTGCCTGCCAAACCATAAACGCTCAAAAGCAGAAATGACTTTTTCAATAGTAAGTCAATGACTCATTTCTATCGCTTGGCTGAATGGCTTGGCTTGGCCGCCAAGCCAAGAGCTGCCTTCCTAATCCTCAACCTCTGTATTTTTATTTTAGTTTAACGCGAATTTACGTTTTTTTTTAAATTTATTTAGGCTCGCGATGTCTTGAAATTTAAAAAAAAACTGTCATTTTCTTTTACACTGATTTTCTTTTTTCAATCTACCAATATCAATAATTCCCTCGTCCTGCTCCTCCCCGTCATCCTCTTGCTTGTCAGGCTCCTTCTCGTTCGCTTCATCGAGAATTATCTTCACATTCTCGAACTTTCGACCGATTCTGTAAAACGGCGAAAAAAATTATTTGACTCGGATAACATTTTTGTTACTTTTCTCTGATATTCGTGCTCATCGGGATTCCCAGAATTCGATACTGCTTTTCGATCGTTTGCACGTTTTTGGAACTGGGCCGTTCCCACAACTTCACCACCATTTGTCGTCGGAAGCTGAATGAAACTTTGCTTTTTGGGTGTGAACGCTTCTGAAATTTCTTTGATTCATGAAAATCACGGAAAACGTCCAAACGGTCTCAAAAAGAAAATTCTAAAGCTCCTTTTTAAATTCCTTAAAGTTAACAAAAGTTTCGCGGATTCTTCTTTTTCCCTTTCTTCTCGTCTCCTCATTTTTCTTTCTCCTAAAAAGGTCAAGAAAAAAAGAAGCCTGTGAGGATTTTTGTTCCATACGTTCTTTTTAGGTCCTTATGGACTTTTTTGTGATTGTATATTCAGAAAGTTTGAAGTTTTTTCACATGCGCTGAGGTTTTGGCAAATTGGAGAGCAAATATTGAAATCGAAAACAATATATACATATATAGTAACGAATAGAGTTCTCAAAATGACCAATTGAAAAGAATGACATTTTTCAAAAACGAAAAATGTTTTTTTGACATTTCAAACGAATGTCGTTTTTTTGAAAGATCAACCAAAAATTGATCACTTTCATTCTTTTCATTTTGTGACTTTTTCAAATAATGACTGAAAAATAAATGGTCATTTATTAAACAATCATATTCTGACTAGTAAATAAATGTTCGTCTTTATGACCAAATGTTTCAAAGTGAAAAAGTAAATGGTCACTTTTTTTGACCAAAAATTTTTCGAAAACGAATTATAAATCTTTACTTTTTTTGACCAAAATTTTTCGAAACGAATTATAAATCTTTACTTTTTTGACCAAAATTTTCAAAAGTGAAATTTAAATGTTTACTTTTTTGACCAAAATTTTCGAAACGAATTTAAAATGTTTACTTTTTTGACCAAAATTTTCAAAAGTGAAATTTAAATGTTTACTTTTTTGACCAAAATTTTCAAAAGTGGAATTTAAATGTTTACTTTTTTGTACAAAAAAATTTGTTTTTAACTCTGAAAATTAAATGTTCATTTTTTGGCCGATAATTTTCCGAACCAAAATCCGAATCAATACTTTTCCTTTTTCCTCATTCAATTGAATCTCCAGATAGCACCTTTCTTCCGGTCTGCTCCATATAATTTTTCTCTTCTTTAACCGGCTTTTAGCTTTGCCCTTGACCATCCAGATCACTGTTTTCCAACAGATCTTTTAATTTTAACCAGAAATTAGTTTGAATTTCGAAGTAATCGATTCATGATTTCATTTGGAGAAAACTGATCAGGGACGTTTTTTACCCCCCGGTTGAACTTTTGCTGAAACTGTGCTGAAGTGTACTTTAGGACCCCCTGATTCCAGAACAGAAAGAAAATGTCTCGCAATAGTTCTCGTTTTCGAGTTATGGAGCTACAAAGTCCGCAAAATACGCAAATTAGGCCAAAAAAGCGCTATTTCGGAATCAGGGGGTCCTAAAGTACACTTCAGCAATGTTTCAGCAAAAGTTCAACCGCGGAGTAAAAAACGTTCCCTAGTGAGATAGAATTGACTCCGGCACAGATACTGCCAAGTGCCGTAATAGTAATGAATAAATTTTTTTACCTTTTTTTGAAAAAAATTTTTCAAAGTGAAACTTGAATTGTCCCTTTTTTTGACCAAAAAAATTTCAAAGTGAAATTTAAATGTTCATTATTTTTAACCAAAAATTTTTTTCGAAAAAAAATAAGTAATTGTTCATTTTTTTAAATGCTCAGTTATGAAATTTAACCAAATAAAGTTTTTAACAAACGGTTCATGTGAAATTTAACTAATTGGTCGGCTTCAACGTTCGGAAAATGTTTGGTTGAACTTTCGTTCAAACATTTACTTTTGAGAACTCTAGTAACGAACTGTTGGGAAAGAAGCGCCGGTGTTCGCCTGGATCCGCTCTCTTTTACGTAGTCCTCCCAGATTTTGGTCCCTCTGATTTGGTTTCTCAACGACGGGTTCGCTTCGACCTTCCTTCAATTAAATATAGAATTATTCCCTTTCAGTACGATGAATTTGTTTCATCCGAATAAAATATTTAAAGTGGAAAAATAAGTTCGGGTAACAAAAAAATGTTGCGCTTAGTTCAAAACTGAAACTTCAAGAAGTGTTGAAAGGTATTTCGAAATCTTAAGAAATTCAATTAAGTGATTCATCGATTCATTCTTGACGCCTTCTAGGAAACTCATAAGCTTGAAAATGCTTGGAAGCCCTAAAAAACTTTCCTTTTTTTGGAACTTCACATGAAATTCTGTATTTCGTTTTACCTCCTAACACGGGGAGTACAAAAGGTGGTGGGTTGAGAATTTGATGAAACTTGGTATATAGTAGAGTTCTCAAAAGTAAATGTTTGAACGAACGTTCAACCAAACATTTTTCCGAACGTTTGATGAATTCGACCAATTAGTTAAATTTCACATGAACCGTTTGTTAAAAAAACTTCATTTTTGGTTAAATTTCATAACTGAGCGTTTAAAAAAATGAACAATTACTTATTTTTTTCGAAAAAAATTTGGTTAAAAAAATGAACATTTAAATTTCATTTTTGAAGTTTTTTTGGTCAAAAAAATAAACATTTAAAATTCATTTTAGAAATTTTTGGTCAAAAAAAGTGAACATTTAAATTTCACTTTTGAAAATTTTTGGTCAGAAAAAGTAAACATTTAAAGTTCACTTTGAAAAATTTTTGGTCAAAAAAATGAACATTTAAAAATTCATTTTTAGAAATTTTTGGTCAAAATAGTGACCAATCAAATTTCACTTTGAAAATTTTGTTTAAAAAGGTAAACATTTATTCATTAATTAATTCATTACTATTACGGCACTTGGCAGTATCTGTGCCAGAGTCAATTCTATCTCAGTCTCTCCAAATGAAATCTTGAATCGATTACTTCGAAATTCAAACTAATTTCTGGTTATAAATTAATAAATCTGTTGGAAAACAGTGATCTGGATGGTCAAGGGCAAAGCTAAAAGCCGGTTAAGGCCGAGAAAAATTATATAGAACCGGTCAAAAATGAGCAGAACGAAAGAAAGGTGCTATCTGGATTAATTGAATGAGGAAAAAGAAAAAGTATTGATTTGGATTTTGGTTCGGAAAATCCAGGTTCGGAAAATTATCGGCCAAAAAAATGAACATTTAATTTTTCACAGTTGAAAAAAATTTTTTTCTAAGAAAAAAAGTAAACATTTAAAAATCGTTTTGAAAAATTTTTGGTCAAAAAAATGAACATTTAAATTTCTCTCTTGAAAATTTTGGTCAAAAAAAGTAAACATTTAAAATTCATTTTGAAAAATTTTTGTTCAAAAAAATGAACATTTAAAGTTCATTTTGGAAATTTTTGGTCAAAAAAAAGTAAACATTTAAATTTCACTTTTTGAGAATTTTTGGTCAAAAAAAGTAAACATTTAAATTTCACTTTTTGAGAATTTTTGGTCAAAAAAAGTGATCATTTACTTTTTCACTTTGAAAAAAATTTGGTCATTAGGACGAACATTTATTTACTAGTCAGAATATGATTGTTTAGAAAATGACCATTTATTTTTTTCAGTCATTATTTGAAAAAGTCACAAAATGAAAAAGAACGAAAGTGATCAATTTTTGGTTGATCTTTCAAAAACGACATTCGTTTGAAATGTCAAAAAGAAAATTTTTCGTTTTTGAAAAATGTCATTTTTTTCAATTGGTCATTTTGAGAACTCTAGTATATAGGTACTTTAGGACATCCTGATTCCAATAGTTGAAAAAAAGTGCGCCTTTTTGGTTATAGTCGAGTTATGGCATCTCGAAATTTGCATGCGAAAAATGCATTGAATGGAACGGGGGAATATCTCTCGGCGGCTATAGTCTGTTCAGATTTTTAATGTCAAGTGCAATGACGTCATTGACAAACACTATGTGGATGGCTCGCTCTCTGATTGGTTTATCGCACCATTATGGGCGGAGCTTGAGCGACGACTTGACATTCAAAATCTGAACAGACTATAACTATCGTTGTCAGCAGGCAGCGTGGTGTAGTGGCTAGCGTCCTGCGCTGTGGAACCTATGATGCAGGTTCGATCCCTTTTTGGTGAAAATTTTTTTTTGTCATGAAGTTTTTCGAAAAAATTGATGAAGTTTTGAAGATGGAACGAAAAATACCGTTCAAAATGTTGAAACTCACTATTTTATGTCGTTTTGAGAAAGACTTTCGACAAAAAAAGTTTTTTTCTTTCTTTGTTATGCTCTCTGCAGGAAATTTTGGCGTCGAGAATATTCTTTCAAGAGTTCATAGGTTTGTGATATAAATAACAACTTATTGTAGTTCTATGCTTCTATTCTTATTCATCAAAAAAAGGACTTTGATGCACAGTTTTCAACACATAAAATCTTAAAAGAAGAAGAAAAAAGAATGAATCTCATAAAATTTTGATTTTTTTTATCAGAAATTTTTTTAAAGAAAGGGGTCGACCATACGCCCTATGGTTGGAAAAGGAAAATTTATAGCAAAAAAATTTTTGTCAAAATTCTTTCTCAGAAGGTCATACAATGGTGACTTTCAACATTTTGAGCTGTTTTTTCACTCCATCTTGAGAACTTATTAATTTTTTTGAAGAAAAAAATTGGCAAAAATAAATTTTCCCCAAAAAAGGACCGAACCTGTATCATAGGTTTCACAGCGCAAGGCCGCTAGCCACTACACCACGCTCCCCCCTGGTTGTGGAAGTTAGCCGCCGCGACATATTCCCTCCTTCCATTCAATGCATTTTTCGCGTGCAAACTTCGAGATGCCATAACTCGACTATAACCAAAAAGGCGCACTTTTTTTCAACTTTATTGAAATCAGGGTGTCCTAAAGTACCTATATACCAAGTTTCATCAAATTTTCAACCCACCACCTTTTGCACTCCCCGTGTAAGAAGCATTTTTCGAACAAAAAATTAAAAAGAGGCCAAGGTTTCTTGAGCCCCTTTTAGAACCTCAACAAATATTTCCAAATTCTCTCATCTTCCTTAACAGAATATTTCGCCCTGTTTTTCGTTAAATTCCAGGACTTATCAGAACGGCTGGAGTTTTTCGGTGTGCGGACCTACAATTATGAAATCTTTGAAGTTACTCTTCTCGAATTTCGACCTGCTCATTGTCGTCATCATTATCTTCACTTGAAAAGATGCCGACGTCAGAAACTGGACCTTAAATCCTTTTTTTTTCATTAATTTTCAAATTATTCCTACTTGTTTCGACCTTAGCGTCCTTGTGGTTGGCGTGGCGCCTCGTACCTGAGAATATTTGATGAATAACATTTTTTTTTACATGAACTTACCGATATAGATGTAGCTCATCACTCGTCGGTCAGGACTGATCCTTAGTTGTACTTTGAACTGTTTTTTGAGCCTGAAAAAGCGATTATTTCTCACCAAAGAAAGAAAATACCATTGTTCGCCATGGACTGATATTGGGATCTGCAGTTCAATGTAGCCTCGCAATATATTTCTCGCTTCAAGACCCGAAGAAAAAAGTCGGTGTCGTAACGACCTTTGAAAGCTGAAGAATTTGATTCATATACAAAATTTAAAAAAAAAAACGAACTGTTCGAAAATTAGAGATAAGTCGCCGGAATTTTTAACTGGGAATCCTTCGAAAAAACCTTTGTCAATAGGAAGGCGAGATTTTCTTTTGCCTTGCGCAATCTCAATATCCAAGGATCCAGTCTTCCTAGAATGAAAACTGTCCTTCTTTTTCATTGATTTCCCCACCTCAAAATGTAATTCCAGATGAGTTTTTCGAATTCAACCGTGAATTCAAGCATCTGCAAAAACTGGGGATAGATGAGTAAAAAAAAAAGTCTCATCCGCTTTAGGCATCATTTAAATTGTGAAAACATTTTCAAATTCGAAGAAAGTTTGAACCTTGTTAAATTAAATTAAATGACTTAAAACCTTGAAAAAAACAGAAAGCAAAATCTGACCGCAGGACTTAAAAATAACCTTTTTTGTGAAGATTCATGAGCAACGCGAAGCTTTGAAGGTAAATTTGAAAAAAATGAGAAATCGATCAGAATGCAATAGAAGTCGAAAGAGAATCTTTCAAAACTGGATATAAATGAACTTTTTAAATCAGTTACTTTTTTTTTGAAATTTCGAAATCTTTGTCTCTCTTTTTGCGGAATTCACAAATTCTATAATAAGTCAGGAACTGTATGCAAAGAGTGATAATAGTTTTACCAAGAAATGGTAAATGGCATAATCCCGCTTTTCAATTTGAAAAAAAAAAAATGTTCAAAAGTATTTGTATGAAAAAAATAATTTTGCGAGGAAGCTCATTTTAAATTCTAAAAGCGCCTTTGAGCCATTTATATATCTGTTTTTGAGTCAATAACTGCGTGCACCATTTTTTCGCAAACGGCCTAAGAAAGAGTAAAAAAGAACATGGCGATTAATTAAGAGTGAAGGTGAAAGAAAAAAGGAGGGAAATTGGATTTAAAAAAAATAGATCTTAACATAGGTAAAACGGAAAAGTTCCTTTGAGGATCCTTAAAGGATCCTGAGAGGGAGATAAAAAGCTTCCTCTAAAAGCTCCTAAAATGATGTAAAAAAGCTTTGCAGCTCCTTTTCCATAGCCTCAGAGGATCCTTTTTAAATCATCTCGAATCTTTTCAGTTGCTTTCCAGCATCCTTTTTGTTACTCGGGCAAAACTGAAAAGCTCCCCAAAAGCTTTTCTCAAAAAAAGACCTTGAAAGGGTCCCCAGCAGATCTTTTTTATATCGTTTCACTTCTTTGTTGCATCTTTTTCACATCCTCTGACAAAAAGGATGCTGGAAAGCAACTAAAAAGATCCGAGAGGATTCAAAAAGGATCCTCTGAGGCTATGAAAAAGGTGCTCAAAAGCTTTTTTATATCATTTTAGGAGCTTTTAGAGGAAGCTTTTTATCTCCCTCTCAGGAACTTTTAAGGATCCTCAAAGGAACTTTTCAGTTTTACCTATGTTTGGGGAGCTTTTCAGTTTTGCGCGAGATGGCGTTTTCATAGGACAAAACGAAAATTGCTCCAAAAAAAACAAAACGAAAATTAGTACTCTTTTTTTTGCGTTTCAAAGCAATTTCCGTTTTAGCGAAAGAACACGCCATAAAGATCCTAAAGGTGCATATATTGAAACATTTCGTGTCAAACGAGGCGAAGAGGCGATTTGTGAAAATTTGCAATCATGTGCCTTTAAAAACCTCTCTTCGAAAAAATTTTTTTTTCTGGAGCTCTTCTTTTTCTTTTTTTTTTACATAGTTCAACTGGTTTACGGCTTGTGTCATTCTGGTTTCTCAATTTCTTCGAAATCTCTTGTTACAATTGAATTTTGAATTCTTCTGTCTTTTTTTTCAATATTAAAATACTTCATCCTTCTAACTGTATCTTGTAGGGCATGGAAGAGATTTCCGACTTCTTGCATTGCAATAAATGCTATGCTTTACCGCATATCGAACCCCAAAAGTCATTTTTCGTCACAACTTGCATGCATCTTCTGTGCAACAAATGTGTTCTCATCAGTATGATTTTTCAGGTTTTTCGCAATTTTTTTCAATGATTTTTTTGAAGGTGAAGGTGAATGTGTGATTTGCGGACACATGTTTAAAAAGGTGGCAATAAATTCATCCATGAACAACAATGTTAAGTATCTTTTCAAGGTTTTTTTTTATTTTCATGCAAGCAAAGTATCAAGTTTAGAACCCACATGTGTTGTTTCAAGAAGAATTTGGCCGGTTTATGAAACAATTCGAATTTCAACAAAACTTGATGAATGGGTTATTATCGCATTTGAAAAAAGTGGTGCGTTTTTCATTTCATTCCGAGAATGGTTTTTTATGTTTCTTTTTTTTTAGAAAGAAAGATCTAGAGAGCTGGAAAAGTATTGCAAACGTCAAAAAGTGATTTCGGAAGAGAATGAGAGGTAGGATAAAATTAAAAGCATTTAACTTTTTAACTGTTTTTAGAGAACTGACGCGTCTCCGCGAGTGGATAAAAAAGGCGGAAAGTCGGATAACTGAAGGAAACAAGCAAAACCTTCAGTTGGAACGGGAAGTTCAGCGTTTACGACAAAGAATGGGCGATTTTAGGTTAACGAAAAAAAAATGTTTTTTGGTTCAATTTGTTGAAGTTTTCAAACGCCCCTCATGACTTCTCGAAGCGGCTCTTCTGGGTTTTTGAACATGGCATCACCGTTTCCTGGAATCGACGTGAATGGTTATAAATCTGTTTGTTTTTTTCAAAAATCAGGACTTAGTTACTGAGAACTGTGATTTTAGATGAAGAAAATTTTACCTTTTCAAGATTATTGAGATTCGGAAATTTTGAAGAATTTATTTGAAACTCTCATTTTCCATTATGGAAGGGTGCCCAAGCCATAAAATTTTTTTTAGGTTAACTAACAAGAGCAGCCGAAGAGTTTTAGAACAGATTTTTCTCAGTAAATATTTATCCAGTCTTCATCATCTAATTTTTCCCTTATTTCTTTTTTGAACTTACTCATTCATTCCAGAAGCTCCGCCCCCTTTTGAGTCAAGCTTCGGCCTCACTTCCACCTCCAATAAAGTTATGCCTATGAATTTCGCGTTCGAAGATCCCAGCGCCACCGTTGACACCCATTCGTTCACCTCCCCTGTAACAGTGATTTTTTTGTCTGAAATTTGAAAAGCGCATCGGAGAAATGTTTTCAGTTCTCAACGCCGCAGCTTGCCAAAGACATATTCAGCACTTTCTCAACGCCTCAGGACCCAGTAAACCGGACTCATTCGATGGTTTTTTTTTATTAGTTTCGTCACTAGATTCCTTCAAATTGAGAGCTATTTTTGATTGAACTATTCCACAATACAAAAAATACAGACTGAATTTGAGTGAGAAATTGATAATAATTTCAGAAGGGGTGTAAGAAAAGTAAAAGTCGAGTAAATTATTTTCCACGGCTTGAAACGTCCATTTGAATCTAAATATTTTTCAAGTGGTATAACCCTTCCAAATTCAATCGTTTATGACGTATAGACCGAAAATCACTCAACCGGGAGCAGCTGTAGGATGAGCACCAAATTGAAGTTCTTTTTCAAATCATTTTCTGGCCCCAAACCGCAAAGTTCTTTCTTTGTCTGGCGTGAAATCATTCCTGTTGTGGAAAACTGAGTACGGAACAAAACAAAAATCAAATTGCTCCTTAAATTGAAACGTGGTTTTCCAACCAACCAGAGATAGAATGGCTGATTTTATTTGTATTTTTTGGAGGTGCAGAGTATACAACCGTCATCGCTCTCCACGAAACTCACTCGATCCGACAGCTTCTCGAAAATGTTCAAGACGCCCATCACGACCAGGGCGAAAAACAATTCCAGCGACTCTAGTTTCAACTTTCGCACTCCCATCGACTTGAATCGGTCGGCCTCGAGAAGGTTTTGGAAGTATTTTTCTCTTGGAAAAAAATTGTAATGTTCTTTATTCCATTAGTTTCAATTGATTTATGTACTGAAGCTTTTTTGCTTTCTTTTTTTTTTGTCATTTCTCAAGATCCTGTGCCTTGAATTTTTTAAAAAACGGCTTTAAAGACGGTGGTTATGGGCGGAAGACTGTATTTTTCTTTTAACCCGAAAAGCGAATTTTTCGATGATTTCTTGATTGTAAACTCCGTCCAGAATCAAATTATTTAGGCGCAGACTTGTTCTGCGCCATTTGGGTTTAGGATAAGTTGGAAAAAAAAGGGCCTTATGATAACTTTTTTTCTATAAATATGTTGTAAAAAAACGATTTTTTTAGGTTTTTTTGAAAAACTGATTAATTTTTTTCCTTCGGTCAAAAGATTTTTTTAAATCACTTTTTTTCCAAAAAAACTGAAACTATATTTGTCACTCAAATTCTTCTCCGAAACGAATAATTCGTTTGAAAAGTCGGAATACAGATTTTTCGAAACTGAGCGCGTTTTTGAGGATTTTCGAAGACTATAATTTTTGAACTTTTTTTGCAATTGCAAAAATCGAAGAATAAATTTCTAATAACCTTTTGAAGACTTGAATATTTATTTCAGCAGCGAAAATCCGTACATGGAAGTCTTCAACAGCTCGAGGTGAGGAAATAAAATAATGTGACGTAAATTTCGGTTGGCAAAGATAAATTGAAGAGCATCAGCCGATCGTTCGTCGCCAGCTCTCTCCCAGAAACGAACTCCAGCCAACCTGAAATCACGCGCCATTCAAAGCGGTTAATTTTTCCATCAATTCTGTAGAGTAGACTTTGATCAAAGTTCTGTGAAAGTTTAGATTTTCCCAAGATTTCTTAATAATTCAAAATGAGAGAATATTTTTTATGAGGTTTTGAAATTTGAAAGTTTCATAAAGTGTTTAGAAAAGTGGTAGAGGATATCCTGAACTCAAAAAAATTCTTTTCAAAAAAAATTTTATATTCCGAATTTTTGAAGCGTTTTCTTTTTGTTTTTCGTGAAATATAGTGTTCAAGCCGATAAAAAAAGTCATTAGATTTTTAATTTAAAATCTACTCTTGTGACTACTTGATTTGAAAAATTGAAGAAAAATTTTTACCAATTTGAAGCATATTGAGGCGCAAAGAATGAATGAAATTTGGTTTTAAGCAGTTTTTCTTTCCAGTTTTTTTGGAAGATTAGTAGTACTTCAAAAATATGGTTTTAAAGTCATTCCTTCGAAGAATTATTGAAAAAAATCTTTTAGAACTAAAAAGACAACTTGAATGATTGGAAAGCTATAACATCATATAAACTTGAGAAAAAAATGAATGACTTTGTAAATTTTTCGATCTGTGTTTCTTTCCTTGGTTTTTGAGCTGTAACTTCTCATTGTGAACGGAAAGTCGCAAAAAGCTAGCTTCTGTCAAAAATAATGCCTTTTTTGGCCCTCAAACACGTGTGTTGGTTGTGTAGAATGGCGCAAATTTGCACTCGGAATAATCGAGCGGCGATCGGCCTTTTTGGTCTCGATTTACGTGGATCTTTTATATTATTTTGACGAGCTCATTCATATTCTTTTTTAGCAATCATTTCAATCAGAATCATAACTTCTTTCAATGTTCAACGTTCCCCTATTTGAGATCTTGGCAATACTAGAACTTTAATTTCATGAAAAGATTGAGTAGTTTAAAAAAGTGAAAGCCTGTTTATAATGCTAATTCAAAAAAATATATGCCTTATTTTTTTGCTTGTTTTTCTCTTTTTTTATTGAAAAAAACACCAGAGTTCTTGGATCTGGAGTTTGAGGCTCTTTTTTTCTTGATTTCGAGATTTTTCTGTTTATAAATATAGGACTCGAAATGAATTTTTTTAAAGAAAGGCTTTTTTTATTCAAAAAAATTTTTAAAGATTAAAAAAATTATAAAAAAATACTAATAAAAAAAATTAAGTTTTCTATCAAATTAAATGAATTTCAAGAGTTTAGGTTACGTTGAACGTGGCTCGATAATCCCTGCCTCGATTCTCCCATTAAACAATTAATTTTTTTAAATTTTTGTATGGTTGTTATAATTTCATAGTCTTGTACATTGTTGAATGTGAATATAAAAATTTTTTTGACTTTTTTTCGACTTTTTTTCCATTCCTTTTTGATGTGTTTCTTCGTACTTACTTTTCGATAATTTCCCAAAGATTTATAGAGTAATTTCATTTTCCGTATAATGGCGAGCCCTCGAACGAGGCGCGTTCTCAAGGATTTGCGGCCGCTGGACGAGAATAATGTGGGTTTTCAATTTTTCTTATTTATTTTTCCTCCGTTCAAAATTTCTTTACGATATTTTGCAGGAGCTTAGAAAAATTTAATGAAGGTTTTTGAGGCGAGGAGACTTTTTAGTGCTATTTTTTTGACCTTGTTTCTTCGCCCAGCAAGGATTTTTTTAAACTCAATTGTTTCAATTATTATAATTTCTATCTAAAATTAACAAATTCTCACATTTCAATATTATAAATGTTTGAAATAAGTAGAACTCAAATTTCAAAAAGTTTATCTTTTTTTCTTTTTAAGAAAAAAATTGTTTAGAAAAAAATAAAGTCTTTCAACGAATTTATGGTGAAAATAAAAAAAAGTATTATTTTTTTGTGAAAAATTTTTCAAACTGATACATAGGCAAAGTTGGAAGGACCCTCCGAGGGTCCATAAAGGACCATAGAAATGTTCCTTTTAGGGTGACGAAGGCTCTCTTTTTGCTGCCTTTTTGCTCCATTTTCTCAGCCCTTATGCACCATTTTTGCTGCCTCTCCCTTTCTCCACCATTTCTCGAGCCTTTAAAATCCCAGAAAAATGGAAGGTTCGATGAAGGGAGTCTCTTTGCTCCCTTTCGCTGTCTTTTTGCTCCCTTTTGCTGCCTTTCTGCTGCCTTTCTGCGGCCTTTTTTGAGCCTCTCCCTTTTAGCGCCCATTATCCACCATTCCGACTTTGCCCGAGTATGACGATTTCTTTTGAGTTGTACCAAGTCGCCTCATTTAAATCAATTCAAAGCAATTTTGGCTTTAGTGAAGAGTTTGATTAACAGGAGCGTGCTCAGCTTTTTCATGGCGGCAAATATCAGGTTTTTCTTCTCATTTTCCAAGTTCCTCTTTTTATGTTCCTTGAAACTTACAAAGAAACGAGCTTTATTCAACCTTTTAAGGAACGTAAAATGAATTTTTTGTTCCCTTCTGAGGTCCTTGAAATGTTCGGCTATGTCCATGTCGTTCACAAAATTGCCGAGTGAAACATCCTTTTTTTTTCATTTTCAGTTTTGTTTCGAATGCGAGGCGAACAATCCGCAATGGGTCTCGGTGACCTACGGAATTTGGATCTGTCTCGAATGTTCAGGCCTCCATCGTGGTCTCGGCGTTCACTTGAGGTGATTTCTTCAGAAAAAGCTTTGGAAAACAAAAGAAAATCGGGGTTTTTTTTTTACACTTTCAAGCATTTTTAGTGGACTTTTTTTGGTCCATCTCGAAGATTATTTGAGATTTATTTGACTACATTCTCATTGACGTTTCACTGAACTTGTGATAATTTTCCGTGTTTCCTACTATGAAATCGACAATTTTGATTTCCTGAATTTTTGATGTTATACTTAGAATCTTTCTAGGCATTTCTGTGATTTTCACTTAATTTTTCTAAAAATTAGCCTGCGTCTTTGAAAAAAAAAATTGAGAAATGGGATGGTCTATAAGAATGAAAGTCTGTTTTAAAGTTTATAATTATTTTTTTGAGTATTCAATTTCAGTTTTGTCCGCTCAGTAACAATGGACAAGTGGAAGGACATCGAGCTGGCCAAAATGAAGGCCGGCGGAAACAGGAAGTTCCGCGAGTTTCTCGAATCTCAGCCTGATTATGACCCGAAATGGAACCTCCAGCAGAAGTATAACTCCAGAGCGGCAGCTTTATTCAGGGATAAGGTGATTAAAATTTATTGGGGTTTTATGGCTAAAACAGTATTAATTCAGTTTTTAGAAGTCAAGAAATTTGAATAAAAGGTTTTTTTGTAAAAAAATTTTTAGGAGAAGCACGCTTTTTTTCAGTTAAAAAAAGCTCACAAAGTCTTACAAAAAGATTACTTTTTTTGCCAGTTTTCATTAAATTTCCAACTTTTTTTATCTTTATTTTAGTTCCAAGCTTCACGACTGTCTACCTCTCTTGGATAAAAATATAAATCCAAGAAGTTCACTTTTTTGGTATCTTTTTTTTAATCATAGAAAATTGGGATTAATTGTGATCAAGCGACGTCTAATCCAGATGATCCTAAGACACCTTTGCAGGAAGTTGCACAGTATTTGATTTTTGTTTCGATTAAAGGTGGCTTGCGAAGCCGAGGGGAAGGAATGGTCGGCGGCGACGTCCAGGGCGGCCAACTACATGCCGACTTCGCTGGGAATCCCGAGGCCGTCGGAGCAACGTTCCACGAGCAACTCCACGCTGGGATCTTACTACGGCGGAAACACCAACAGCTACGCCGGCAGCGGCGGCGGTGGATACAACACCGAAGGATCTGTGTTAGTACTATGATCACCTGAATGGTCTCAGGATTTTCGCGCATTTGAAAACTTGCGGAAATTCTATTTCGACCCTTTCTATGCGATTTTTCTTCCATCATATTTCCTTTGTGTTTTTTTTTAAGTTCAGAAACATCAAAATTTACACAGAGCGTCCTGGTGTTTTGAAGGAACATGTAAACATATGATACTTATAGCGTTTTTCAGACTATTTGAAGTGATGTCTATTCAAAAACAATATTGTAGATTTTAGAACAGACCATATATGAAAAATAATCATTTTGGGAGCTCATAAATGAAGTTCAGGGAAAGAAGAATTTCCATTCATTTTTTAGGATTATATACTTGATTTTTCAGCGACAATAAATACCAAGGCTTCGGTAACGATGCGCCGAGGTCAGGACCTCAAAACGACGATTTGTTGACCGGCGCCATGTCGTCCTTGTCGATGGTTCATTTCATGAATTTCTCAAAAGATTTTTTGATTGATAGATATTATTTCAGTTTGAATACTGTGCTCTATTGCCATCTTCTTTTTGAAGAAATCTTTGAAAGCTGTTTTCCGTTATCTAGAAAAACGATTTTCAACCGTTTACTCGAATTTCGTATTGTGCAACACATCTGATAAATTTCCTTTAGAGTAGAGATGCCTCTGATGAATCATATTTTGAACGGATTGAAAGACAGAAATATCTCATTTCCAGGGCTGGTCAATGCTTTCGAAAGGAGCCTCTCAAGCGGCCGCCATCGCCAAAGACGTCGGAATGCAAGCGACGCAAAAAGCGTCGGAACTCACAGATAATATGGTAAAACATATGATTTACACTTCTCAAAGACAGCTCTTCAATTAATAGCTTGTGGTATCCTAAATATCAAAACTGAAGTAGAAAGTTTGCGCAAAAAAATGGCGAAGACCTTCAAAGTTTTCTGAGATTTTTCTTTTTCGTCCAGCCGCAGATTCAAAAACTAAAGAAGTTATTTTAGACAAAGCAGTATAGCTGATTCACGGCCAGCTTGGGACGCTGAGGGGGCGTGTCCTGTCTGCGCTCCCCACGAGCCAGGCGCTATCTCGTGCATTATCGTGTCAGGACCCGTTTTTCGATGCCTCAAGCCAACCGTGAATCAGCTATATTTTCTTCCAGATGCATTGTGCAATAAAGCGCAAAATCATTTTTTATTAAGTCAATAATTTTGATTTTTTTTTCTCATGTAAAAATGTTCAATGAGGTTTTTTTTTCACGAAATTCAGTGGTTTTTAAATTTCAGAAAAAACGCAGAGAATCATTTTCCACTTTATTGCAAACGGCCTGTTTTGCTAATAATTTAAAGATTGTTTGTTAAAAACTTCACGAATTTTCGGAACTACGTGAAAATGTATGACTTTTTGAAGTTTTCTTCTAGTTTCTGAGAGTTCAAAGTATTTGTGCTCCAGGGCCAAGGAAGCGGCCTTCTATCGGGAGTAGCGTCGAAGGCCACGGAAGTCAGCACGAAGTCGTGGGACGGCCTGTCGCAATTCGTCAAGTCTCCGTCGCTACAGGCCTTTGGAGGGATCTTGAACCGAGGGTCTTTATCATCCGAAAACTGTCCATTCATCGTTCGCCTTCAGAGGTTATGAAGATATGGCCGGTGCTGGGGGAGGACTCAACACTGGAACTCCTGTAAATTCGAACAGCGATTTTTCCAGCTGGCTGGAGTCTTCCAATTTGTGAGTTATTCAACGTTTTGAGCCATTTAGTACTAGGATAAATTCCAGATGAATTTATGAATTTTTCAGGCCTCGAGGAGCACTACCAGCTGAAGGGAACAGCGTCTCAAGCAAAAGTAGGTTTTCAACGAATTGAGTTCTTTTTTCAAGAAAGTCGACGTGGAAATTACTGGATATATATAGTTCTGCAGCCTCAAAAGCCTGCTAAAATTGAATTTTTAAGCATCAGTAGACCGATGAACAATTTATCTAAAAACTAAACGCGCTAAATTTGAATTTGGAAGCCGTTTGCACCACTTCCGTCCTTTATCTGAGCTCAGCACGGAAGCTAAAACCCTCAAGGGATCACTTGAACCTCAGAAAACTGAAGTGGAAATTTTAAAACACAACGAGAAAAAATAATAATAAATTGGCGTATAGTTCAGTAGACCTTTTTTCTGTGTAGTAAGATTTCTCCTATAGTTTTAATATTATTTTACAAGTTTCAAGGTCTTGAAGCGAAGCCGGAGAAAAAGAAGAAATCGCGCGAGGAACGGTTAGATGTGCAGGTGAAAGCGCCGTCAAGAAACCGAAGCGGCGCCTCTTTGAATTCGGCTGGTGATGAAGGTGAGAAAATGTAGATCCCTCAAAGATTGATCGATTTCCCAGCTCCCCCGACGTCGACATCAACCATCGACCAATTCGAAGCCGCCGTGAACAAGGCGAAAACGAACGTGGCTCAGCAAAAAGTGAAGAAACAAGAAGAGGAGAAGAAAGCGGCCAAAGGATGGGACGACGACGCCTGGGACATTTTGAACCAATAACTTTTTCTAGTTTTCCTGACTGGTTTTAGAAATTGACTGTGTAGAAAATTTGGCGTTGTTGTATTTCATAGGAGAAACAGGAAGAAGAAAAATTGGGATGTACTGTTTTTTAAGATTTTTTTTTTTCAAAATTGTACGGCTCAAAAAGAATTCTTGACCTTTTTTTAAGTATTTCAAACATCATGTCTGTTTAAAATTGTTCCAGCAAGAGGTCCAGAACCCTCCTTGACGTACAATAACGCCGAAACATGTCTGAATATTGGTGACTGGACTTTTATTAGAGATTTCTGTTCTTTTCGAAATATTTCATGTATCATTTATTTATATCTCTCCACCTGTGATTTCCTCTCGTTTGTATGTGTTTGCTGGGTTGGCCCAAAGAATGTAGTCTCTTTATATATTCAACTTTTATCTAGATACAGTTAACATCACTTGCGTTCTTTCCTTCTTCTTCCAAGCTTACTTTGTAAATTTTTTTCTGTAGTTCTTATGCCCATTTTTGTGAAAGCTTTTTTTTTTCGAAGCATGACCAATTTATTGGTTGCTTGCATTCCTTCCAAAATCCTCGGAATCTTTTGGTGAATACTGAAGAACTTGTCTTGAAAGCATTAAACTTCAGACTTTTATCGCAAACTTTTAATGAACATTTGTTATTTGATCTCTGCCTTTTGTATTCAGCAATTTTGTTGCATTGAAAAGGTGTATATTTGATTAGTTTCATGGAAGAAAAGTTTTTATCGGGTTCCAAAAATAGCGATTGCGCGACTGTGCATGCAGAAAATCACGGCGGGAGGCCCGAAAAATTGGATTTGACCGGAATTTTTCAAATTTTCTTAATTTTTTTTTTGATGAAATTGTCAGGTAAAATCCCCTTGTTTGATAGTTTTTATCAACAAAAAGTTCAGATTTGAAGGCCAAACTCAGAAATGCGAAAAAAGACGGCTCGTCTAAAGTTGTTGAGATTCTGAACGATATTGGCCACTTTTTTCGAGATGTAAAGCATGACCCGACGAGTGCTATTGAAGCTTATGTGGAAGGTTTGTTGGAATGAATACAATTCGGGAGAAAAAAATGTTATAGCTGCGGACTTGGCACAGAAAATTGGTGTCTACAACGACGGATGTTTCGCTGTGCGAGCTTTGAGCGAAATTTATGCCGAATTGGGTTTTTATTTGAATTTTGAATGTTTTTCAAAAGAATACCGCGGGTAGGAGATCGAGGTCAAGCATTGGGATACGCGGGAAAGTTTCGGGAAATCGCCAAAACGAGTGGAATCGCTTCTCAGGAACAGCTATCGTCTCACGTCACCGCCTGGGTCTATGAACGGCTTTGGATCTGTCAGAGCTCCGACAAGGCCGATTTGGAGAAAGTTTGAGCTTATTTCATCCTTTGATTGTGTATATTAGTACAGACATGAGGGGACAGATCTAAAGCTGATTCACGGCTGGCTTGAGCCATCAAAAAAATAGTCCTGAAACGATAAAAGGAGAGATAGTGCCTGGTTGGTGGAGAGCGCAGACATGCCACGCCCCTCAGTGTCCCAAGTTAGCCGTGAATCGGGTATAGCAAGTTTTCACTGTAGGGATGAGATTATTTGAGCTATTCTTAGGTGAACTTTAAGGATCAGACAAGCACTTTCGACTAAGATTCGCAAGTTTCTCAGAATTATTAAAACAAAAATTGTATTTTACAGTAAAATATATCCTTTCAAACATACTTTCAAGACGCAGAATGACCTACAAAGGTGAATCGGGAGGTCGATACTAGTAGGTAACAGGTAGCGAGCGCTAGTGTGGTAGCTGCCGAGTATCTACTTTTTAGCTACTTTCATGGTACCGGAAATCATACGCTCGTCAGTCAGGAATCATACCCGGTAGCATCGCGATGCCTTTCATGTAGTATCTAGGTACCATAGGGATAGTACCAGGTCGCATACAAACGACCATCGATTACCATACGATTGATTTGAAGTTGCTTCTTTCCGGTACCTACTTATATTGACCTCCCGATTGACCAGTGTAAAATCACACTGTAAGCGGCTCTTCATTTTAAAACTATAATAAGTTTTGAAATAAACCTTTTAAACATCAAAATATTTCGTTGAATGCCTCAGAGCTGAGTTTTCTCAATCCTCAATTTCTGTTACAGGCCTTTGAATGGGTTGAAATTTCTCTGAATTATTTGAAACAAAACACGAAAAGGATTGACGACGATAAACAGGCTGTCAAAATCGCCTGTGACAGTAGGAGGAGAAAGGCGGGATTGGTTGGTTTTTGAATCTTGAAAGGTTTTCGAATAACATTTTCTAGGAGAGGTTAGGTGCTGGAATCGCGGCAAATTTGGGGAACCGAGCGGCGGCTGAACGGCTCTGGAACTCGTCTTATGATTTCGCCAGGTGAAACGTCGTTTGGATTGTTTTTTCTGGTTAATTGACATCGCTTATGTTTTTTTCTATGAAATAATCTATGAAAAAAATCGCTTTAAAAAGGAATATTTTTCTTTTAAAAAGGCATGATTTATAAAAAATTTAATAAATCGTTTTTTTCATCCTTTTTCTCGGAACTAGTTTTTCTTTTTCTCACCATCAAAAAAACTGAGCTATAATAATTATTTTTGATGAATTAAATCGGATTACACATGCAAACAGAAAAAAAGCTTTTTATTTCACCCAAGGTCGTCGATTTTTTTGAAAAAGCTTCATCGAATCTTGTTTCTTCTTTAGTCGATTCTGGGCCGGTTCAAGCCAAAATTCTGCCTCAAAGGCTCGTGAGGACTTCAAACGCCTTCTGTTTGAGTTATTTCGGGGTTATCTGCAATTTTTGAACTTTTTTTTTCACATTATATTCTGAATTTAACTCTCAATGAAAATTATGAATAATCCCAGCAAAAGTCTTGACGCAAATTCGAAAAAAAAAATCGAGTTCCAATTTCAGATCAACGAAAGACGTTGGACTGATCCGAGTTTTATTGCAATCGAAGCTCGATTTTTCCTGGGCAGACACGATCCAAACGGCTCGTGAACTGTTGCGAAGGGCCGACGAAAGACATAAAGGCCCGGCTCTGATCGAATGCGCGAATGTGAGATTTCGAGTTGGAAACCTTGGTATTTGGTATCTCGGGCAAAACGGGAAAGCTCCTCAAAAACATTTTTCAAAATAATATCTTCTAAGGGCTTCTAGCTGTTTTTTAAATTTATATTTTGCAACTTTTCAATATTCGTCATTTAAAAATCTTTGCAGAAAAAAACTAGATATATGTCTAGAGATGTCTCCGAGCCTATGAAAAAAGGACCTCAAAAGCCTTTTCCCATTCTTTTTGGAATTGTCCTATGATAAAATAGCTATAAAAAGTTTGTTAAAAATGATCTCTGATTTTCAATCTTTTTTTCATTCCGTTTATTTCAAGGATAATGTTTCTGAGACGTTCCAAGGTTCATAAAAGTCTCAAGGCAAACAGCCGTTTTCGAAATAAATAAAAATCGTACATCAAAGCTCTTTCAAAAGTTTCGATGAAAAAATTGAGAACCTCCCATAAAGCTATTAACATATTTCAAATCAATATTTTTAGCAATACGTATTACACGGCCATTTTGAATCCGCCTTGCACGATTTGAAGGAATGTTATCGAACGGAGCAGAGAAAAAAGATGGAAAAGTATTTTCCGAACGATTTCGAGCTTCTCTTGAAACGATTACCCATTTGTAGGTTTTTCTCCATAAAAAAAGTTTTCTTTTTCGTGCAGATTGCATTTTTTACATGTATCCTAGTGGAACACGGGACATCACAAAATTTGCAATTTTACCCCCAATCTAGCCTTTATTGAAATTCAGTTCTGAAATCTCATTAAAATTAAACTTCCAGGCTTCAAATATGTCGATCTGCGGAAAATGCTAAAACAGAGCAATCTGAAAAAGAAGGAAATCCGAGATATCTACGAAATGATGGGCGATTTGGTCTGCGATTATGAGTTAGTTTTTTTGGTTAGAATCGAGGAAAATGAAGAGAGAAATGTTTAGTGACAAAAACTTTTCAACGCCGTTGATGTCCCTCGCTTGCGGTCATTACATCGAAATGCTGAGGTTTTTGAGAAATATTGATCGCATTTGGAATGGCTCGATGCGTTGCGATCGCGTTGCGGTTAGGGTCCAAAAGACTCGGGTGAAAGCTCTTTGGCATTCTCATGGTCAATCCGTTTTTGGTGAGATGATCATCGAACCGTTTTCATGCTTCAATCTTCATGACTACCCGCCTTTTGTTCTTATTTGCAATGGTTCGAAGTGTCGCAATCGCGCTGCGGCTGAAGTTATAACTTTAATAATAAGGCTGGAAGAATAGTTTTCCTTCCGAGTCCGCGAAAGTCGTTCACTGGTCGGGAGAAGCTTTCAGATAACCGCTTCAATTTCGGCCATTCCAATTGAGATCAGGCTTTCAAAGAGAGTTGTGAATTTCAAATTCCCAGCGCCTGTGAAGACGACAAAAGCGTGATCAAGGCGAAAACGGCGATCGCGCTGACTGAAATGGACATTTCTAACTTTGAACGTGCCAAGAAGCTTTTCGTGGACGTCTTGGAGTTGCAGAACAAACTGAGCTTCGATATCGACAAAGTAAATGGCTTTGAAAGGAAAAAAATCCCATGTAACTCCAGATTTTGGACACGAAACTCTCGATTTTGAGCTGCGACCGGAGACTAAACCCATGCCATGAGGAGTTTGAACGGGAAACTGCGAGATTGGAGGCTGCAATTAGGAAAAGTAGTCAGAAAATAGTGAGGGCTTTAAATTTAGTCAGAGTGGAAAATTTGTGAAATTAAGGAGCTCTACCAGATCTGCAAAAAGTACTACGAGGACAAGGGAGATTCGAGCAATGCCGAACTTTTCAAAAGAAGAGAAAGAAATGTAGAGGAGGATGATTCGCAGGAGCTGGAGGAAGAAGAAGAGGATGAGCTGCAGGAGGACGGCTTGGTCGCACAGATGAAAAATCTGACCGACGCCGAGATTTTTGAATACGTTAGGAGTAAGTTTTTGAGCTCTCTTGCTACCTTAAAATCACAGATTCTTTCGGCTGCAGAAATAGTTTTTAAAGTTTATTATAATTAAGTTTTACTCTATATTTTCGAATAATCTTCTTTTTCTCCAGGAGAACTGGAAGAAGAAACGTCTCTAGCCAAACTGCAAGAGAAGCGAGACCGGGTCAATCACGAAGGAGAGACGAAACTGCACGAAGAAGCCAAGAAAGAGGGCTCCTCCCTGCTGCCGAAACTGATCAAATTTGTAACTTTCTCGAAGAATCTCGGGATCCAAAAAAAAGTCTCTCAGGGCTATGACCTCAACAAAAAGGACAATGCCGGATGGACGCCGCTGAGCGAGGCGGTCAACCACGGCTGCGTCAAGAATGTGCGACTTTTGGTCGAAGCTGGAGCCAAGGTGGACGAGGTCTGCGACGGAGAGATCACCGACAACGAGACGAGGGTTCGTTTTCAAGGAAACTAACGGAAGGATAGTGCGGGTTCCGGCACGAAAGACCTTGCCAAGTCTCGCTTTTTTTCGGAGCGAATTTTGAGCAATCATCTCTATTTTTTTCTTCTTTTTTTTCGTCGTTGGCACTTCGGAACTTGAGACAGAGCGAGTATTTGCAAGTTTGTCGATGTAGCGCTCCTGACCTCGCATTTCTGTCGCGGCATATTTGCGAGACCGTCAAACGTTGGTTTTCCCAAATTCGAGAAAACATTTTGACCGTTACAGGATTCTTTTCGAAAAAAAAACTAATTTTTAAACTTTTTTTTCAGTTTGGGAGTGGAGTGACGCCGCTGATGGAGGCGTGTCTGATGGGCGAAATCGAAATCGCGATAATTCTGATGAACAGCGGCGCGTCGGTCGTCAAAAGGAACGCCGATGGGAGGACCTGCTTGGATTGTTTATTGTAATCTTGGCAAATAAGTGAAAGAAAAAAAAATTCGATATCTAGGCTTCACATGGAGACGTTGGAAGATGGAGCAGAGCTGTGGCGAGCCCAAAAAAACTCGAGGAGGAAATCATAAAGAAGCAGAGAATTCGTGAATTTTTTTCTTGAAAAAAAACTAATCTGTAATTTTTTTCAGTGGGATTTGACAACGAGAAAAAAAGCCGCCGATGAGACGAAGATCGTTGGAAAATAACTCGCCGAGGCAAAGGATTGAAGCGCACAAAACAGTGGACAGAATGAGCAGTGTCAGATTTCGGAAACAGTTATCTTGAAAAAAAGAAACAGAATGAGCAGTGTCAGATTTCGGGAACAGTTATCTTGAAAAAAAAACAGAATGAGCAGTGTCAGATTTCGGGAACAGTTATCTTGAAAAAAAAAGAATAGATTTCGGGTTGCCAAAAAGTTAGGAAAAAATCTTCAAGTTAAAGTTTTTTGAGAATTTTATTTCTCACGAAAAAATTTTTTTTTGAAGTCCTAATAATATTTCTGATTTTTCTTCTTTGTAAGGTTTAAAAAGGAAAAGCAAGCTTTGAGAAGTTGGCTGCAACAAAACAATTACGAAAAAGCTGAAACGTTTCGCGAGCTTCTGTCAACGCTATCCTTTTCATTTTGCTCGTTCATCATCAATTTTCCAGTCTCGACGGTCATCTTTATCTCCAACCCCGATGCCTTCCTTGCTATTGAGGGCCAGCCCGTCACATTTCGTCGACACGATCGATATTGATGTGAATTTCAACAAAATAGATATAATTTTTTTAAAATTATTACTGGGGTTTTAAAGGAGCATGGGCAATTTTGATTCTGGCTTCAAGGCCAAAAACTGTTTTTAGTGAATTTAGTTCACGAGAAAATCTGCGCCTGAACTGAGAAAACTCTAGGGACCACTCAAGAGGTTCCTCAAGGACAACTGGCAGAGGACACTATAGCGGCCACTGAAACCACTTCTAGAGATGCCACTGATTCGCGTCTTTGTTGCCCATTATAGTAGTTTTTAGTGGTCTAGTAAACCAGCTTCCAAAGAGTTCACTGAATTTTCGCCCCTTGGAGACTACTAATTAGGATACTCTAGAGACCACTTAAAGGTCAAAACCCTACAAAAATTTTTCCCACCAAAAACCTCAGCTAGAGTTTTTTGACGGTAAGATATTTTGATTTCCAGGACGACGAAACTGAGTTTGAACAGCGGAGATTGACGAGGAAGAAAAGGAAACGAGATGAATTTGAGTTTTCCCATGGAACTGTTCATAAGAGACCGAATAATCCGTTTCGAACGCCACCTGGCACTGACGTTTTGTCAGTTTTCAAGAAAAAACCAGAAATTCACTTTTTTTTCCCTTTCAGAAAGTCACGAGGGAATTTCCTGCCGGAAAGTGTTCAAAGTATGAAAAGTCCTCGCAATTCGCTTGCATCGCCGAATGAGAGGAAAATAACTGGAATGCTCACTGCGAGGTTGATTTTTTTCTTTTCTGAATGAAAATTTATATTAACTTTTCAGGCTTTCCCCGAGCCCTGTCAGTAGAGATAATCATGTCAGAATCGACGATTTCGAGGATTTTTAGGTAATTTTTTTATATTGAGATATGAAAGATTCGAAAAGGAGAGGATTTGAAATGAAGTTGAAGAAAAAACAATCGTGAAGTATTTTTTCGTCAAAAACTGAAAACGAACTTACCAACTTGTTAGAATCCATTTTTGAGAAATTTCAGAGAGGAATTATGTTTCAGTACTTTAGTAAATCCTTAAAATTTTTTATCCTTTCTGAAAATAAAAATTAGTTATAAGTTTTTTTCGTACTTTATTTGATTCAATAAAATGAAGTAAAAATTTTTTCAAGATCAAGGTCTTCTCGGTCGAGCTCCAACATGTCGGCTGGTACGTCGGCGTCGAATTTGCGCGAAAAACCAAAGGATATTTGTGTGAGGATCGATTTCAAGGACCCGAATCGGAGCAACCTGATGCTCATGTTTCCTAGGTACAGCTCAAAGTTGAAGGAATGAATTAAAGGTTGACTTTAGGACCTCAAACATTGGAGACGTCCGATCAAAAGTTGAGAAGGAACTCGGGAAAAAGTACGACGTGAGGCTTTCGCACGACAATTATCAACTGGCCGACGACAATATTCCGCTGTCGAAGGATGGTTTTGGCGATGACGTCACTTTCGGATGTCAGTTGGCGACGTCGACGCCCACCGAGATGTACCGTCACATGACCGAGGGTGAGGCTGGGGAAAAATTAAATTTTTTGAGGAAAAATATGGTTTTAGAAATCCAACTGCGTTAGCCTTTTAGAAAAACGGACTAAAAAAGAAATGAAATCCTTGAAGAAAATCTTATTCATATTCAGGCGATTTAGTCGATTGCAAAAGCCTTTGAAAAGGCCCCCCTAAAAATGCTGAAATTTTTAGGGAGGATTTACCTGATTCCCCCTTGAAAGAAAATCTTGAGTCCCTGATTTTCCAGAAAATGCTTTTTGTTCACCGTTTTGCATGTAACTTCTTGAGTTTCTGCCTTACAGCAATCTTTATTCAAGTTTTTTGCGAGGTCAGGGAATTCTGAGCAGCCGTCGGGGTCAGCCACCACTCGATCAGTTCGTGTAGACGAACGGAGCGTGCTCATAACCGTGGGTTGGCGCGTGGTAGTCTGAAAGTGATTTCCAGGCGTTCGGCTAGGCAAAGAGACTTGCAGGAGTTTTTGCAGAAAATTAGACTCAATTTTGAATTTTTGCTTCGAAATACTTAGGGCTGAATAATTATACCTTATATGGGCTATAAAATCAGTTTCTTTGGACGCTCAATTGTGTCTGAATCATATTTTCAAAGAACAAACCATCGTGGTGCTTGGGCGCATTGTAGTAGTTGCTACCGTAGTAGGGCGTGTAGGATTCGTGGGAGCCGTGGAAGTCGTGCGAAGGCTGGTAGTTGCTGTAGTACTTGTTGGGAGAGTAGTAGCTAGGCGTGTGCACGTCTGCAACCGTTTTGTTTTCCAAGGAGGGGTTTTTCGGAGTAATGACCCATAAGTCCTTAATGCACTAGAGAAAGTTTCTGAAAGTATCAGGTTCTATCGAACTTTTAGCTTTCAACATTGAAGACTAACAACTTTTCCACTGTACTAAAAAAAAATGACCGTCTTCATAGTTTTTCTGCTCTTTGCTGGGTAGTATGAGATAAAGATGCAGAGGAACCCCCTGAATACTGGAAAACGATAAAAACGGCTCTTAAGTTACTTCTTGAGAGCTCTAAGACGTCTTTTCTTAAAACCAAGGAAGAACTGTCCAAGTTGAGGATCTCAGAGTCTTCATCTGGTGCATCGAATAGTGTGATGGCCAAGTCCCAAAATCCCCAAAAATCCCAAAAACGCACCTTTCTCGTAGTCGTTGTACTTTCCATAGGTCGAATATTTGTCGTAGCCGTAGTACGGAGCGCTGTGATGACCACTGAAGAGCATGTTGTAGGGCGTGTAGTAGCTGTTGTAGGTCGGACCGTGCTCTGAAAACGCTCTTTCATATTTTCTGAGGTCTCATAGTTCGTATCTCACCGGAAACGGCTGAGACAACGGCGCAGAGGACGGCTGCAGCGACGAAAATGCTCATTTTAGAGGCGGACATCTTCTGAAAGGACGACGTCGGCTGCTGAAGTGTCTTTGCCAGCCGAGACACCCGCTTTTATACCCTGCCAATGGCTGGTCTCGGAATTTGGGTCATTGGCGCGACGGCGGAGGCTTTTTTGATTCAATATAATGTATTGTTGTGCTGGTGGTTGACTATCAAATGGGCCAGACGTGAGAGAGTTTATTGGAAGGAAAGTTGGATGGTTTTCTTCTTGACTGGAGAGAGTTGGTAGAGACGGCGGTAGAAAAAGATAGAGGTGCAAGTATTTCATAATTTTCGCCTATTCTGTTCTTGATCGATTATGTAAAAACTCGGAAAAACAGAAAGAAAATAAGTTAGGTTTCATTTTTTTAAAAAAAGTTTTTCTCGAGGTTTTTGTTGAAAAAAAGCACAAGAATACTGTAAACTGAGACTTTTGAGCAAGTTAAAATGAAAAAAAGATATGAAAACTGAAAAAGAGGAAAAATTTATTTATTTATTTATATTATTCGAATAAATTTTTCTATTTTATTTCTAAATCCATTAATTTCAGCTGGGGACCGAGTAGCGGAAGTCGAAGAAATGCTCAAGACTTTCGAGACGGAAAATATTCTCAATTTGGAAGGCTTATTCCTGAACTCGGACCGTCTACGGAAGGTCATGGAAATTGTGCAGTTTTCCTCGAAACCTGGCACTTCTGTTGTCTTCACGCGTTGTGGTTAGATCGCTGTCAAAATACATGCAAAAAAGTTATGAGTTTATCCAGAAATCGATGAAAATTCCTTGCAAATGGCCCGGACGACGGCTTCCAAGGCAAAAGCCGTGAAGATGAATGGAATCAGGGCTTGTGAGGACCCGATGGAAGCCTTGTTCGAAGTTTATCCTAAAGGTCGGATAGAGAATAAAACCAGGAGTTTTCAGGGCGAGGATCTCCTGGAACTGCAGAAGTTGGATATTTCTAGTCTGGAATTGAAAGCGACGGAGAGTTTCGAGAATTTACTTCGGAGGGCGCCGAAACTGCGGCATTTAGTCATGGCCGCTGCTCGGATTTCGCCAACTTTCAACCCCTCAAGAGCTGTTTCTGCCATCTCTAGTTCGTATTTTGGTTTTGGTGTTTCACTCTATTCGCCACAGTTTGAAATAGTCTCTCAAAAAAATCATCAAAGAAGCTCGTCTATTGGATTTCATAATGACAAACATTGTTTTCAAACATTCCGCTTTCTCACTTTTCAGAAATGCAAAACTTGGTCGAGCTGGACTTGTCCTATTGCACTTGGATCAAAGGAGATGACTGGGGTTCGGCTTTTGGTTCTCTGGACACATTGGCGAAACTTCGAATCATTTCCGTCGACTTGAAGAACGTCGAGTTTGAGGTTTTCGATTCGAAAGCTAGAAGATAGTCCTTTTTACAAGTTTGAAGTGGAGTCAGAGAATGAGAAAAGTATTAATTCGAGTTCTAACTTGATTCAAAAAAGCATGTCAAGTTAAGAAAGAAATTTTAAAAAAGGAGTGGGCGAAAGAACGAGCATAAAAACTAAAAAGAAAAGTAGTGTCAGAGGGATGAACACTTTTGAAGACTAGTCACGAAGAAGTTGAGCAAGTAGCAGTTTTCGTTTTGGCTCAGATCATGACTGTAAGAAATTTTCCATCATCAAGATCACGTGGCTGCCGAGCCTGACCGATCTCAACGTCTGTGGCAGCAAGCTGGAGTGGAGCAGCTTCATGGAGTGGGTCGGCACGAGCTCGCTGACCCGTCTCGACGTCTCCTCTACCGACATCACCGTCGAACAGCTGGCCGAGGTCGGCGAGCACCGCGGCGGACGTCTTCCGCTGGCTGTCATCGCCCGACGTCTTCGCTCCGTCGACGAGGACCGGCTTCACAGTCTTCTTAAACCTTTGGCTGAGGCCAAAGTCGACCTAGTCTTGTGAAGTTTTTCTTACAGTTTACTCACTACGGTTATGATACATTGATCATTCGAACTTAAAATTGACTAGACATCTTCAGATTGAAACCAACAGCTCTATGAGGATTTTCAAGACAAAAAACTCTACTTATGAAGGATTTTGGTGCCAAAAACTGATTTTTCGAATCAAGTTTTGCCAGCAAGCTTAGAAAACTGTTGCGAATGAACTTACCAGCCAAAACGAAAGCATTTTTTGTACTGGGTGACCCTAATAGCTCTACCAGTGCTAAGTAGATAAAAATTTTTGATTCAGAGAGGTCCTTTTTAGTCTTTTCGAGGCCAATTATAATAATCAAAACTTTTATTTTTATCAATTTTCTAACGTTTCACTTTTTCTCTCACTTTCGGGTATTTTATTGCTCAATTTATAAATTTTCGTTTACCTTTATTTTATTCGATCTTTTCTTGCGCCGTATGTCATTTTCCCCTCGATTTTCTTGTGAATATTTTATTTTCATATAAAACTTTATTTTGGCTTCAATAATTTCGCCGTTTCGAAGAAGACCGGTCAATTTCGCCGCGATTACTTTTTAAAATAAGAAAATTGGAAAAAAAAAGAAAAAGTTTTCGGAAATTGATCATGAAGCCGGTTCCAACGAGCTTTCGTTTTCCAGTGGGATCGATCTCACACGGGCCTGAATAATGTGAACTTTTAATTGTTTTCAAGTGTATTCATCGATAAAGGGAGTTTTTTTTGAACTGGAATCGTTAACAAACTTTATTAAAAAAAGGACTGAGGTTTTTTGAATTTTTTAATTGAAACATATGTTTGCAGAAATTAAAAATAGAACCTTTTGGTCGCGGAATGCGATGCACTGCTCAATAAGCTCAGTGATGCTTCGATCGGCCAAATCTTTCATTCGCCTGTCGAGTTGTCTGTAATTGGGTCTTTGGAAGGCAATGCGAAAAAAAAATATATTTCCGAGAAGAAAATCGCTCATTTGAAAAGAAAGAAAGCGTTGAATTTATAAAAAAAAAAGGTTCAGCTTTGATTTTCTTCAAGTTCCTCAAGCAAACCAAAAGCATCTTTTGATCCTTCGGTATAAAATTTGCTCAATCGTGAACAGAATCGTCGAAAGCACCAACTTGTACTCATCCTGCAGCATGAGGCCTTCAGGATTGACAAACTCGTGGGTTCGGTTGGCGAGCTCGGAAAGTGTCATCGACTTCATGACGGGCAGATTGAAGACGATGGCGATGAACAGCAGATCCAGCAGCAGCGAGGTGATCAGATCTTTCTTCTGTTCAAAGATTCAGTCATTGTTTTTTTTAAAAATGTTTTTGACCTAAAAAAATTTTTCGCATTCGCCTCTATGACACAGATGTCCAAGCTCAAAAGGAATTTCCTCCTCGATTTGTTCTTTTTGAATCAAATACTACTCGATAATCAGTTCTAACAGAAGAAAAATGCTATTCAAAAAAGTCATTTTACTTAACCGTTTGGAAGTTTCTGAACATTTGCTAAAAATGTATTTGAAAACCCTGGTAAAGATCTCTCTCATAGCAGATTCACGGCTGGCAGGAGTCATCGAAAAAAGGGTCCTGACACGATAAAAATATAGACAGTACCTGGTTGATGGAGAGCGCAGACAGGCCACGCCCCTTAGCGCCTCAAGCTATCTGTGAATCGGCTATAGTCCTCACCTGTGCAAACTTCTATTTTGGAAAGTGCGGATTTTCAAAAATTCATATCTCCAAAAAAAGAAGCTTGCGCAGGTAGTCACTATGTAGGATCTTCATTTCGAAAAAAAAAGAGTTTTAGCAAACTTTCAGAAATTTCTAAACGCACATTGTAAAATTATCTCCCTTGTTAGTTCTAACTAGGGAACTACTCGGACTCGGGTACCCGTTTCGAGTTCAAACTTTAGTGGTTTATAGACCTAAGTCAGAACACCTGAAAAAATGAGAGAATATCTGCTAAACCCAATAGAGAACTGAGAAAAAGTTAGTAGAAAATGTGAAAATTAGGCCCGAAAATCCTCAAAATACTGCTTTTTACCTTATTTTATATTTTAATACAATCGCCTTGAATGATCCGGCTGTGATAAACTCTAAAAAAACTTTTTCCAGCCAAAAGAAGGAGAAAAACAGAAATTTGATAATTTTCAAGCCTAAACTGTTCATTTTCAAAAAGCATTTTCTCAGAAGCCTATGGGGTTTAGCAGATAATCTCTCTTGTTTCCAAGTACTCCTACCCGGGTCTATAAGCCACCAAAGTTTCAACTCGAAACGCGTACCCGAGTCCGAGTAGTTCCCTAGTTTACTCTTACAAGAACCTTTCTTAATGTTTTGTTTTATTTTTACTGATTTTTTTTCTTGGAAAAGTTGAAAGAAAAAGTTCAACTCAACTGTGTTCAGTTCGCTGCACAAATATCGTTCGCAAGCACGTTTCAACACGGGCAAATCGTTCAATTCGGCGTCGATGAGAAAGTCGACGAAATCCTCGACATATTCCATTTCGGGCAGCGCAACTTTGTTGAAATACAGGTTGGCCAGCATCTGGAAGTTTAAAAAGGAAAATTTGGGAAACGGTAGAAATTAGAAGTTCAAAACGGAAGAAAACATTCACTGCTAGATTCTCAGAAAATTTGAAGGAATAGGTATTTTTAAGGAAAAATGAGCCGCCGCAAAAGTGGATTGTTTTTATAGTTCAAATCACAACAAGAATTTGGCTTTCGGAGAAAAAAGCTGTAAAATTTGGAAACTCTGCGATCCAGGAATAACTTATTTGTTTTTCAACATTTGCTTCATGAGTTGGTTCTGCGGATCGAAAATTTTTTTATAGTTTGTAGATGAAGAAGTTCTCTATGTTTTTCCAGGGCGTATTCAGAGGCTCAAGTTGTTATGAATCGAGTATTTTAGTTTGAAAGACTTTTTGGACGTTGAAAGTCTTTTTTCTTTTTATTGATGTTTGGATCAGTTTCTTCGTGATTATTTTCCTCCGCTTCAAACTCACATCGTGAATCTGCTCTTTGTCGCTCTGACGACATTCGAAATGCGGCTCGTCACCGTCGGACTCGATATCCTGAGCTTTTCACTCATAATTGGCTGCGCATCGACTTACCTCGCCGTCCGACTCGCTCTCCTCCTCGGTCCGACTGTCGTAGACTGCCGAGGCACGCCGTTGCTCGCAGGATTCGCAGCAAGCCACCAAGATCTGCAGGTTTTAGAATGGCTTGGAATGGATGGCACTATCGGTTTCAATAGTTATGTTCAGTGTTGACCAGGACTGAATAGTTTTCAATTTATGGATTAATTATGATCTTCCCCCTTGGTCGAGTTAGAAATGCTTCAATGTCCAACGGCAGTTACTTTGAAGTTTCGCCTGATAAAAATGTCATAGGAGGCTAAACTGTGAGTTCCGAACCTTCAACTCAAACCACGACGCATTTAGCCAATCTACACGCGACGGTAAATCAAGTGAAAAAGAAGTCAAACCTTCTTGAATATATGGTCGTGCTCATGATCGTGATGGTGCTTCTCGTCGCGGATTTGCTCCATCAGCGAGGAGCGGCGCGAATCCGAAGAATTGACGCGAAGCTCACGGTTCTCCTCGCACCGACGAGCGACGACGTTGTGCCGCTCGTTGTCCAGCACCGTCTGGAACTTCTTCTCGTAATCCGTCTTCTCCTTGCTGCTCATCGCGCCCTTCTCCGTCCGACTTGTGCGGCTGAAACTTCTAAAATCACCTTCTTTATCAGCTCAAAGTGGGAAGAACCTTTTCCTAGACCGCCTTTTCCAAACTTTGCTGTTAACTCGGGCGTTGTAGTTGGTTGTGAGGAAGGAGTGCCGAGGCGTTGGGGAAACTGTGTCGAGGTAGGTGAATGGGTCGAAAAGCTTGGAGTCCATCTTGATGAGTAGATGCACCTTCACCACCTTTCCGATGCTGTCCTGAACATTTTCGAAATGATCAAGTCGTATTCAAAGAAAAAAAAGCATGAATTAGTCACGGGAAGGTCCCTTATGTAGACGTATCTTGGGTAATATTCCTTTCAAAAAGCTTTTTCCGGTCTCTACGAAAACGCAGAAGTCTTGAAGGAGCGCTGAGGGTTTCAATGCTTCTTCGAAAAGATTTCCAACCAGGGTAGGACTTTCGACATAAAAAAAAAGAAGACTCGCTTTCAAGCGAACTGAGACCATCGGCTTGTCGGCGTCGGTGATCTCGCAGCCGACGCCTCGTTGCATTTTGAGCGTTTTGCCTTCTTGAATGAACGGTGTACGACGAAAGAACATGGGCATGTCCGAATCTTTGTCTGTCACTCCCACTTCGGCTTGGAGAAGGACCTGAGTAGTGTGAATTTTCAACCCGAAAAAATGAAGTGAACACTAACTTGACTAACTGGTCCATCGACAAAGTATAGTTCAACGGCGACATAATCCATCGGAAGCACTTCTCCGTCTTCTGTGTCGTCTTCCGACATCATCTGAATATTTATCAGTTTTTGAATTAACTAGTTCAACGGGAAAACCCGGCCAGTAGTAGCGTGTACCCGTAGATTCCACTGAAAGGAGACTTGCTCGTGGACTGTGGCGAACTTCGGAGAGACGAGGAGAATTGTTGCGTCGTCGTCGTTCATTTTTCGTGTTGTGACCTGAGAGGAGAGGATTCAAAAAAAAATGAAGTTATGGGTTTTTTCAGGAGAAAAAGCCTTGCCAAAAAAATGTTTTTTTTTCAAAAGAGACCTTATTTCTGTCTCTTTTTTTCACTTTTTGTTATTATTAATCTTTTTTTTTTCACGACCTAATGAATTCAATTGTACCGTGATCAACATCATTTATATTCCAACGTATGTTTATAAATTGCTTTTTTCGTTGTTCTTTTTGTAGGCGCCATAATATTTCTTTTTTTTTCGAAAGAGATTATCGAGATTAAAAGGATCCGCTCAGTTTTTGACCAAAAGAGAATGTTGATCGAAGTACAAATTATGACGTGTTCAAGCCGTTATAGTCTTGAAAAACTAAGATTTTTGAATTTTTTCGAAATTCCACGTTGGAAAGTTCACCTTAGTTGTCCAAACGTAGCAGAATCCGACGTGTGGGCGTGTGGAAGAAGCCGTCGGCGACGGCGGCGTCGAACCGCTCATCGAGAAGATTCTGGATCCTCTTCTGAAGGCTTTAACGACGAAAATGAAGAATAAGCGGCTTGAATTTAGAAGAAATAATGTTTTTCACGTTGGAATTTATTGAAAATTTCGTAAGGAAGTTGAAGAAATGACTTAAAAGATTTTGGAAAAATAGTTTTCCTCGAGCCAATATTTTTAGATGAAGGTTTTGACACGATTAGCGAGATTCGGATTTCTCACACTTTTCAAAAAAAGCCATCATAAAAAGTAACTCGGAATTTTTTTACATTTATCAAAAAAATTAAGTTTTTTTCGATCAGTAAACTCTGTTCTCTTTAAGGCAGAGAAAGCGAAATATTGTGCAAAATAGGAGGTTTTAGAGAAGCTAGTGTAGGACTCAAAAAAATGATTGAACATTATAAGCTAAATAATCAAAACCACAACGAAATAGTGTGTCGCAAAAGGAGACATTTCTCTGTGACGAACGGGTGAATGATGGATATCAGAATCTTTTGACGTGTAATGTAATTGAGTCAGTCATGAATCCCTAGGAGAATTCCAACAATTCGGAAAACTTCAAGAAAACGGAAGCCGAGCGAGAAATGATTGATTTTCGCAATCTGAATGATTTCTTCTCCATTTATGCACAAACATTTTTGATTTCTGTTTTATTGAGGCCTTGAGAAAGTGGTCGGAATATTGATTATATGCCGTAGAATGGGAAATCTGTTCAACAGGAAGGAATGTGGGAGAACAAAGAAGGAACATTTAATTGGAAATATGGAATGAAACTTCTTTCTTGAAAAAAGTAGGGGTCGAACTGATCGCTTTAGGGTCTCCTCAGAACGTTTAAGGTATCATTTCTGGGCTCTCAACCTTCCAATGACCTCTCCAAACTATTAGCTCATACGAAAAGTGAGAAAAATTGGGGAAACATATGAACGGAGAGAAATTTGTGAGAGCAAAGGGGAAAAATTAATGAGACCAAAAAAATTGATAAATATCTCCAAATGAGAATTTTTTCCTAAGGTTATTTCGAAAGTCTTTTTTTCCTATTTATCAAGGGTTTCCTTAAGATTATCTGATTTTTCGAAAATGTGGAAGAATAACAAAAAAAAAGTTATTTTTTTGTGGATCAAAAACAATTGATATACTTGAAAAGAGAGAGGCGGTTTTTGTGTCCAAAACAAGCGAGTGCGTGAAGAGATCGAGAATGTAAATTTTTCAACCACCACTCTTTTTTTTTTGCTCGCCCCTCTTCACCTCACTTTTCGCAGGGATTATTACGATACATTGGTGGAAAGGGAAAACAAAAAAATTTTCGCGTCGTGTCTGAAAAAAAGAATGGAGAAGGAGGAAATTCCGATTTGAACTTGGCGCCATCTCCTTTTAGGGAAGAAAATTGCGCGCTGTCGTATTTCCATGGCAACCGGTAGATTTACGGCTCAGTAGAACCATTTATGAGGATTTTCCATCTTTCTAATTGGATTATTCCGTTTTTCGTTGACGTCTCATTGATCTGATCAGATCAGTCAACGAAAAGTCTATTTAGACCTGAATAATTGAAAAAATTCAACATTAAGGCCAATATGACAAGTCTAGATTTTGGTTCAAGTGGATTTTTCATCGATTCCAAAGTGGTGTCGAAGAAAAATTTGAGCATTGCCAGTGAAAATTAGTTCGAAAAAAGCAAATGGACCAATTCGGGCTTTTTTTGTTCGGTCTTGTTAGAGCTAAATTTTTATAAATTAGCAATTTTTTTGAAAGTTTTTTTCACCATAATTCGACAAGATTGGTTCGAATAGATGGATTTTTCTCTATTTGAGAAAAAAATTTCCCATTCGCATCGTTTTTCCAATTAGTTTCCAAATTGATCTTTCAATTTTTTTTTTTTTGGGTGAATTTGGAGGAAGCCTGAAGATCCGGCTTCAAATTACGAAATAGAAAAATTCATGGCCCCTTTCTGTGTCTTTAATGAAACCATTTCATTTATGGATGGTGGCAGAAATTCTCTTTTATTTTGGTGGTATTCTGCAGAAATCCTGTCAGAAAAGCTCCAAGGAGTTGGTTCCAATTCGTGAAATTTCAATATTTTTCGGCTATTTTTGTATTTCTGATTGAATCTTTTTTCAGTAAATATTTCAAATCCTTCTCATTGCGTAGCATATTTGGAGTGGCTTTATAGAATTGGCTCAAAACATTAAAATCGCCTTTTTTGGCCTTTTTTCTCACAAGTCAATATTCTTGTCAGAGTTAATTTCTCATTTCATCCCCCCAAATTATTGAGTAAAATCGGTTTTTAAGTTTTTTTTTTTCAGCATTTATGGCTGTTTCTGAAATTTTTCATATCTTTAAAAAAATGTTTAAAATGGAAAACTGTCGATTCGAAGATCTTCGACGTGAAACAATATTGATCACTTTCAGAATGGAAGACGTGGACCTCCACGAGTTTCATCTGCCGAGAAGACGTCGGGACGATCGTGAAGTCAGCTTCAACACGACGTCGGTCCAGACGGAGCCGATTCAGAAAAAAGATGCCCAGACGGAAGCTGATGATCACGTCGACGTCGGCTGTCAGACTGTTCAGCAGCCTGCCGAGAAGCCCGACAACGTCAGGATCGATCAGAAGGTTTTCCGAGAGAGTGGGAGAACTGCAGAGACACCAGAGGCAGATAGTGTTCTCATTTCTCTGGTCTCTCCAAGCCTTCGTTGATCTCTGATCTGGCTGTTTTTGAAGCCGGGCTTCGAACTGCGACAGATTGGGCGATAGAAATGATGCCAGAAAAGAAGTAACTTCCCTTCTCTGGTGTCTCTAGAGCTGCCACAGGCTCTCTTTCAAAGTTTGAAGAGCTAAGATTTATTGAAAGAGAGAGAGTGCGTGCGGAGCTGAAGAGAGGTCAGAGAAAATAAGAGCATTCACTTCTCTGCGTCTCTTAAATGCATAGTTGTTCTCTCACGTTTCTCCGCTTTTTGCCTATTTTTCCTACAATTTTTCACTGGGAAGCTCATATTTAAATACTATCTTTTTCAGGTCGTTGATATGATCATCGAAGCGTTGAATGAGAACGAGAAGATCAACTTTGATCGACTTTTGCCTTTCCATTTGCGGGAAAATGTCCATCTCGAACATGTTGCTTCTTATAAAATTGACGAGGTTTGAATTCGGACCCGAAAGTTACAATATCTTGCTCTCAGATCAATTTCACCGAAGCAGAATCGGATGTGATTGCCATGCGATACGGCACTTCTAGAAGAAGTCTTCTTCTGCTTGGAAGCCGGCATCACGAGACTTTCTGCTCCCACCAACCACGTCTTCTCATCTCGACGTCTTCTACAGTTGAATAGATGAAAACTCTTGACCCGAAGACTCTCCTCAGCATTGTAGACGACAACTGTACCCTTGGCCGTGTGTCCGTTCTCCGTCGCCTTTCGGTCGGCCTCACAATTCGCCGTTGGCGATTCTTCTGGCCGGTTGACCCTTTTCTCAGGACAGAATGTTGTTCAGGAAGAGAAGGTCGGTATACCTCGATTTGGAACTCTTCGGGTCGCACTTAGAACGGCTCTATGAGGCTGCGCCGCTCTGATCTCAACTATGATTTCAAAGCCGGTTCAGAGATTTTCTAAACATGAGTTTCCCAATCCGAGTAAGAATGCACAAATTGGAAAAAGGGTATGGCTAACAGTGAGCCTATACCAGTGCGCGTAAACTGCTTTTGGTCGAGTGCATCTTTAAAGTAACCGCTTTTGAACCGTTGCACGTTAAAGTCATTCTCCGTGCGACATTATTTCGAACTCGTTCACTTTTCTCTCACTACTATTTCAGATACATAACGGTTGCGTGACTAGCATCGACTTCTCCACTCATGGAGTTTTGACTAGTTCCGACGATGGAGAATTGAAGCTTTCCCAGTTCACCGCCACAGAGTTGGTAACAATCAAGGTGATCATGAGGTTCCGTTTCAAGGAAATTCCGAGCTTTCAGACTGTCCGATTGACGGTTGGCGACTTGCCAAGGAACATCCGAAAAGCGTCGTCTTCGTCGAAGAACGTGGCCATCGTCAGCGTTCAGAGGTACAATTTCGAAGTGGATTTTTTAGGAAGACAAAATAGTGATCACTGCAGGGTCATTTTTGATAACCTCTTGATCCCAAAAAGAGAGATTAAAGTTTGAGTTCCTCTAAAAATTATCGAATTTCTTTATCTGTAGTTTCGGAATTAACGTGAAAAACTACATCTAGTAAAGTTGGGCTCATTCAGAAGTCGCACTGCGATTGGAGACCTTATAAGATCAACAGTTGAGAATGAATGTACAATTCGTCGCGTTTGGAAGACCCGGCGTCAAAAAAAACTTTTCTGCGTTAAAATAATTGAGTTTTGAGTGGATTATATACACTCTTTTGGTAAAAAAAGCGTTATCTATTCAAAGACGAAGGATTTATCAAACTTTTGAACACAACTAAAAAGAATTATTGGCGAGAAAGTGTATACGGGAATACCAAAGACTTCAATTGCACGGTTCGTTTCGTACTTTGAAGTCTGCAACTTTTTTTGAGGAAAAAAGTCCTTCTTTCGTTTAGAAGCGCTTCTGAGGCCGTGGTCGCCACCGAAACTGGCGGATTGTGGATCGCGCGGCTGCCGTTGCTCACTCTTCGATCCGTGGCTTTGCCCGCGCAGCCGATCCATTCCGTCCTTTTCCAGTCGCCCTACATAGCCGTCTGCGCTCAGGGCCAGCCCGTTGTCATCCTCACAGCCGAGAGTTTCGTCGAACAGCTTCCAATTTCTGCTACCATCTCAACTAGGTAAGGATTTTTTGTTTAACGGCTCACTGAGCGGCGCGAAGGTCGATTTGACCAAAAAAGGCTCAATTTTCGGACTTTTTCTGAACTTTGTTCTCTGTCGTAGATTTTCCTGACAGATTCAATTTTCAGTGAAAAACTTGATGAGATTAAAGATCTGCTTTGGAATTTTTGAGTATAACTGAAAAAAAATACGTGATAAGGTTGAGGTGAACTTCAGTATTTTCTAAAGTTCTTGCTGGATATTTCAAAAAGCATAGACGATCTTCATAGAGTTCTTGAGGCGAATTGTTATTTAAGGCGCTTTTCCGTTTCGAATGATTTTTATAAAGTCTACTTCTTATCCGTTTCAGATGCGGCTCGCACTTTGTGTTCAGCGACAGCAAACGGATCGTCATCTGGTCGTGTGCCTCGGCCAAGATTTGCTACGACGCCAACTTGCCGTGCACGGCGATGACGTCATTCCCACCTGATACACTTGTGTACCTCGACGATTCGCATAACTTGACGACGTTGCTCATCACGTATTATTAGGTTTCTTTTTCTGACTTTATCGAAAGGGGTTCATGAGACTGGAGTCGGGAAATCATTGAGAATGTTTAGTCAGAGTCTCCAACTTGTCAAATCGATTTTTTTTTTCATTTACGCAATACGGTGTGCTCTATAAAACACATAGAATCTCGGACCTTGAGACCGGTTTCTGAGAATTTCCAACGACTTCAGATCTCTTAAGTGATCCCCTAGAATAACTCAGAAACGTCGGGGGTGCGCCCGGTTTGCGTTACCAAGGTCCGAGATTTAGCTTTTTAGCTTTAAAGCGTATCAAAAAAAAAATGTTTATTCAGTGTTGTAGGCAAGGCTAGGCTATTTCAAATACTGATTTTCACAGAAAGTTCCTGTTTCTGCTTCGAAAACACCTTTTTCTTATCAAAAAAGAGATTTAAAAGTTTCTGAACCTGAAATTTTCTTTCAAAATAGTCAATTTTCAAATGACAGATGGTCTTTTTTCACACATAAATTGTACACATAAACCTTTAAAAACGCATGAAATTTTTATCTCCACTTACAAAAAGTACAACTATGCGTTTTTCTGTTGTTTTTGTTACTACAAAAAGAGAAAAAAAAAGAAGAAAATGTATTGACAAAAAAAGCCAAGATCACAGTTATGAAATAAGCGGAAAGTCTCAGGCAGGCAGCGGTGATGGTGAAGAACGAAAGAATTGCGAAGAACATGTTCGTTGAACATACCCAAAATTACAAGAAACAAAAAATATTAATCTATTTCTGAAGAAAAGTATCAAAATTAGCTAGTAGAGGAGCATGTTAGGATGAAATTGTTGATATGGCCGGTGAAAGTTGAAAATTAGTGCGAATCTAACCAGGATTTAATCAAGATTATAACAATCGAGGAAAGGTACATGGCAAAATTTGAGCTAGAGATCAACGAAGGCCTGAAGAGACAGTAGAGAAAACTATATTGCTTCCCCCTTCCGGTTTTTTTCTCGGTTCCTCTTTTCATTTATTCTTTTCAAGAGAAGAAGCGAGATATCAGATGGTCTGAAGAGACGTCAGAATAGAAGAAAAAAATTCACTTCCTTTTCCACGCTCTCTCCTCTTTCAGAAGCTCATGAATAATTTTCCACTTTTTCCATCTACCTTTTCCTCTTCACAAACTAAGTCTAGAAGCAAATCTCACAAAAGAAATAATAGCCCGTCAACGTGAAAAATAAGCATTAATGATGATGATAAAAATAATATTAAAAGGAGAAAAAAAAAACAACAGATCATGAAGAATCTTAAAAATCACTAGATGCGTAGTAATATTAGACTGAAAAAAAAACTAATCTTAACAACAAAAATTGCTATATCAACGTAAATATGGCAACAGAAAGAGAAACGGAACAAACTATCACAATCAATCAAAAGACGACGAACAAGGCTAAGCGAAGCGAATTTAAAGAAAAAAAAGATATTTTTTGGGATCAGTTAACGGCCAAATTCTCTTCAGAGACAAAGTAATGAGTGACGCCGTCTGCGTCTTCCACCGCTCGAACGCTGAAAATTAGAATTTTACAAGTTTCGAAACTTTCATGATTGGAAAATAAGAAATGATCCATAAAAAATTAATCCAACACAAAAAAAAGAAGTATAGCTGATTCACGGCTGGCTTGAGCCATTGAAAAAAGGGTCCTGACACGATAATGGACGAGACAGTGCCTGGTTCGTGAAGAGCGCAGACAGGACACGCCCTCTTATCGTCCCAAGCTGGCCGTGAATCAGCTATATCAAGGGATTTCTTGGCTTTGTCTATAGAGCACACTTGTTCGTTAGAAAAGAAGAGGCTTGAGTTGAATTAAAGATTATTAATCTATTGAAAAATTTGGTCATCTACAGGACTCTTACAATAAGCTCTAACTCTTTCCAAGTTTTTTTTTTTTAGAAGTTCTCAAAATTTTTCAAGACTATTATTTTTCTTGTATTCGATTCTCAAGAACTCCTGTAGCTTCATCTTCACAAAAAAAAACACGAACTTGCTAGTTTTGGACGATCCATCGCGAGAGGTGACGCCGAGGACTGGCGAGGTGTTGCCGACTTTGGTGTTCCCGTTGGACAGACCGTTGAGCAGCGGCATCGTCGTGCTCTTCACTGTCGCAGCCGCCGCCGTCATCGAGACGGGCGGCCGTCTCAGAAGGTTTGGTCGTTCGCAGTTGAATGACATCATCAGAAGCTTCTGCTGCGCGAAGCACTCGTCGCAGAGGAAGTTGGTGGCTTGCGAGGCGGGCTGGAAATGGGTAAAACGTGATGCGAAGTGGCCACTTAAGAGAGTTCAAGAATTCTTCAAAGTAAAAGTGATCACTTGAGAGGGATGTTAATTACTTGTTTGAAGACCCACCCAAGGGATTACTTGAAGTAGTCGCTTAACAATTTTTACCTGGTTACAAGAGTTGTTGATGCAGGTGATCATTAGGGAAGAAGCGCTAAATGACCTGCTTATCCGTTTTCGGCCATCTGTTGTGGTGGTCTGCAAAAATTTTATTTTGTTTCGTAACAATCTATCCCGAGAATGATTGGAGGTTTTTCTCAATGATTCTATCGAAATTCACCGATTTGTGGTTCTGCTGGAATCGCTGCTGGGCGCTTTTCATGTACTCTCTGACCATGACGTCCATGTATTCGTGTGATGACGTGGCCAACTGGGCGGCCAAGACGGACGTCGTCTTGTTCATCGTGTTGACGCATTCCTCCGCCGTGATGCACTTCTCCTTGTGCTTCCCATTCGAGAACTTGAGAGTCCTCAGAATGTGCTGGGTGATCTCGACGAAGATCCGGCGCTTCTCGTGCCGGCCTTGTGAGATTCCCGACGACGCGAGCGTCATCCCTTTTTTGGTGGTGGCCGGAGGCGCGACTGAGGCCTCTACCAGCGTCGCGTCGCAGTTGACGGGAGGCGCTGGCGAGAGGGCGCTGCGAACGCGGCGACTGCTGCGAACACTGCCGCGTCGCAGATCCAGCCGCACAATGTCCATGTACTCGCTGACGAGAGACAACTTGTCCGTCTCGGTCATGTTGAGTCGCGACGCGATCTGCATGTCCGCCTCGTCCCTCCACCTGCAGAATCTTCGCATCGAATAACAGCTTTCGCTGGAAAAAAAAATTCGGGAGATTTTAAATTAGTGATTTCGCATGGTTTTTTCCGTATCTTTTTCTTTATATGATTCTTATTTTCAATCAAAAATGTAAAAACACATATAATTTCGAATAAGAAAAATAGGAAAAATTTTTCGGTTTTTTTAGAGGAAGTGGATCAATAATATTTTGAAATATTTCCTCCTTTGTAGACATTAAAAAAAGACACGCTAGAACTACAAATCAAACACGCAAAGTAAAGAAAAAAATGTACTCTTTTTTTTTGGAGTATTCGTCTCGAAAACAGCTGAAAACGATTGTAGCAGTTTTTTTAAAAGACCTTCATCATTTTGAATATTTTTTTAAAAAGTGAAATTTGAAACGAAAACGATGAATATATCGAATTACTATAGTATAATTCACATTTAAACTAGAATCTCACCACGTAAAGTCAGGACCAGGGTCAATGGCGTAGTGTACCGGTAGAAGGTTCCTGTTGGCATCAAGAATGGGGATTATCTCTGAAATCGCGAAAATGAAGAAAATATAGAAAAGTTTGAAAAACTCACGTTGTAGGTTAGTATCATGACGCATTGGAACGAGCGGAGAAAAATGAGCGGAATCGTAACAAAGGACGAGTGGCGATCTAATTGAGAGAAAATAAAGATGAGCATCGAAAAGGGTAAGAAAATACCTGTGACATTGCTCCGGTGAACACTCGAGGGGCAGGTAAATCCCACCAAAAAGTACCGGCGAAAGTTCCTCGCCTTTCGCGTTCCTCAGAACCTTGACCAACATTTTTCAGTATTTTTCGAGCTTTTCCACTGCTCACCGTATCGGAAACAATGATAATAGGACGTTTCAAGACGTGCGCCAGCGCAAAAACGTGTATCGACTCGAGGCTTTCGTAGATTTGATCCGTCGAATCCGACCTCGTTTCGTCTTGTTTTCTACAAAATCGAAAAGTTAATAGATGATGATCATGGATATCAGAGTACCTTGGGATGGGTGAGGCCAGAGAAATAATACTGTTCCATTCTTGTTCCCACTCTTCGTCGGATAATGTTAGTGCGAGTTCGCTGGACTAAAAAAAAGAGTTGATTTTTAAATTTGAAGCTTTTTTTATCACAGGAATGAAATAGAAAAGATCCTCGACAGAGCATTTCTTCAAAAAAAAATTCAAATCAAACAGGTTTTTTGTAAGGAGAAGCAATAGAATGAATAAAAAAAGCCATTTTCAAAGAGTTGTTTTTTTAAAAGCGCTTAAAAAAATTTCTTTGACGAAAATTTCGGTCAGAAATTTTTGGAAAGTGATTAAACATGACTACTAAAAAAAATATAGGAAAATATAGTATTTAATCAGAAAAAAATAAGATCTAAATTTAAAAAATAAATGAGAAAAAGGTCTTACTTAAAAATCAAATTCTTCTTGTTCCCTTAGAAAATATTTTTTTCAAGAATTTGTTCCAATTTACAAAAAAATTGATGAATATTGACGATAAGAACATAAAAAAGGAGGAAAAAAAACTAACGTGAATCGCATTATGCTCGGCCCACTTCCAACGTCTCCAAAGGGCAGTTCTACGCGAGCCTTTCATCAACATTTCGTAAAGAGTTTCCCGTAATGTTAGTTGGCGATCGTGTAAACCCCACATGCCTTGAAAAAAAAAAATGAAAACTATGTCATTCAATGAAAATGATCACTAATTTACCTAAAGAAGCGGCGTGAAGAAGGCAATTCCCATCTCCGGTTGTTGATAAGGGGTACAGCTTTTGCCCAAATTGATGCCACCAATTAAGATGTTCTAAAGAAAAAGATTTTCGAAAGTTCAAAATCTTTAATTCACTAGAATTCTCCAGCCGTCTTTGTGTGGACGCTTCAATTAGGTCTTTTTCCAGGAAATTCCGAAAATCCACTGGAAGCCGTTCCAAATCCGGTAAATAAAAAGCGTAGCCGGGAACGTGTCGTGGAGATGTTCGGCTTATTTTGCGCTCTTCCTCGTAAAAATTCCTCTGAAGTTTTATTTTTTCTCAAATATTTAAAATCCTAAAAAGCTCACCTTTTGAACTGCAGGGCACTAGGACAGCAAGTTTTTGCGATGCTGAGTTTATGTCCCAATCATTTTCTATAATTGTGAATCAATTAAAATTAAAATAATGATAGAAAAACCTCGCAAACTGTCAACTGCTTCTTCAAACGAAACGTTTACGATCATTGACAGCTCTTTCACCTTGCTTTTTCTCATCGTCTGTTAACTCGACGTAAGCCATTTTGTCTCGTGAATATATAAGCTTAGTTTTGACGCATCTGTAACAATAAAATTCAATTCCGAATTTTAATAAAAATTTTCAACGTTATTTCCAACGATTTGAGGCTTCTTAAGATGTATTAACTATTTAAAAACAAACAATATAATAAAAGGCTTCAAAAATGTGTAAAAAGCGAACGCTTTTGAGGAAAACAATGAATTGGAAGTGTTGAGTCATGGTTAAAACTGGAATTCTCCCTTCTGGCATTGATCCAATTCGGCCTGAGGCAGTGAACGGGGCAGAGAGTGCGCGAGACGAAGAGAGAAACGCTTCAAGACCATTTGCTCTCATTAAATTCTCGTAAATCCACACCCTCTTTTTTTAAAAAGAGTTTTTGTTTTTGTTTTTGTTTTCATTATAGTTTAATTCGAGCTTTCTATTTTCTACATTGATCTTTTAACTATTTCGACAGTTTCTGAAATGGAGAGTAAAAAAAAGCTATTATTTGCTATTTGTGAAAGTAACTCCCCCTTACAATATATACTCTAGACTTTTAGAAAAGTCGTAAAAAAAACTTCAAAGAGTTCTGTTGGAAATTCTTTTGAATTCTAAAGCATTTCATTCTCACTCTTTTTTTGAAAGTTTGTTTCTATATTTTTTTCTTCCGAATACTTCAAGATTATATCGTTCTTCTTATAATATTCTAATGCAGCTTTTTTTCTTGTTTTTCCAATCGCGTTGAAGTTTTTCATATCATCACTTCGTTCAAAGTGGTATTTTCAGAAAAATCGTGTTTCTCAAACTATGGTTGATCAACCGAGTTCGTCGAAAAACGGGAAGTTAGCCGGTGTTTCTAGCGATGCAATCGTAGCAGATCTTTTGAAAGATGTCGGAAGCTTGTCAGAGGTTTTTATAAATATTAGACAAGTTAATTATTTGTTATTTATTTCAGCCTTTCTCATTTGAAAATTTGACCTCTTCTCGCAAAAACGACGAGGATGATGACGACGAAAAAGACAAGAAGAAGAAAAAACACAAACATAAGCACAAACACAAGTCAAAGAAAAAGAAAAAGAAGCACGAAAGGGACAGATCGAAGGACAGGGAAAAGACGAAAGAGAAGAAGAAGAAAAAGTTGGGGGATTGAGAGGATATTTGTAGCATAATAGTTTTTTACAGATCAAAGAGCCGAAGCAGGAGCTCAAGTCGGTCTTCTGCAGCCGTGCCGACAACTTCCAACGGCCTTCCAAACACTGCAGAAGCAACTGTTCCAAAGAAAAGTGTCCTGGAGGAGGAGGACGACGACCTCGAGCTCCCAGTTGGTGCCGACTATCGGAGCGTCCTCAAAGAGGCCAAAATGTCGATTAATATCAAATCGAAGCTGCCTCCCCTTGAACTGTGTGGGTCTTATTTTAAAGTAACATATCATTTCCAGAAAGAAGAAGTACCTTTTTTCATTTAGAATAAAATATTGAATTAAAATTAACTGTCTTCTTCTTAACTTGACCTTTCAGAGAAAAATTGGATTTATTTATCATCCTCAAACCGAGCGTATGGAAAAAGTATATGATGAGTCGATTTCTAGTGGAAAATTCTAGGATACTTAGTTTTTTTCTTGATAAATACTGTGATTTTTAGCCAAATTACCTTGCGATCCAAACGTTCGCGAAATCCCAAAGCAAGAAATTGTGCCACTAACCAAGGATGATTCCAACGAGAAAAATACTTCGGAAATTTTAGCAAAGGTGAATTTGTTAATTAATTTCCCCTTCAAATTCATTTTTCCAGGTTATCGAAGCCAAAGGAAAAGGCGATTTTATTCCGAGAAATGTGAAGATTAAATCTGTTGAGAAGGCAGAAAAAGCAAAAATCGAAGAGAAAGAGTGCGGAAATCTGAACGAATTTCATGATTTTTATCTTTTTAGGCCCCAGGAAACAAAGATCAACGGCAAAGTTGAAGAAAAGTTGGTTTTACTTTCAAAGTATTGTTGAGAAATATTTCTTTCAGAACCAATGTGCAGGACATCGAAGTCAGTGAAGTTGAGGACGGATATGCGTCGAAAAATGGGAAAAATATTGTTAGAACCTTTCACTTTTATCAGAAGAAATAATCAATAATCATTAAGTTTTAAGGAATCCGAAAAAGTTGAGAAATCTGACGAGGAAGACAAAAAGAAAAGAAAAAAAAGAGATCCAGGTTTTGAATGAGGACAGAAACCAGGAAAACAGAAACTTTTTTTAAGAGAAAGAGAAAAAGAGTTCTAAGCGAGCCAGAAATTCAAGAACGAGGAACGAGAGCCCGAACACGGACGATGAAATAAAGGAAAAGTTCGTCTTTCTTTCCATTTATTTTCAATCTTTTCCGTGTGGAACCGTCAAATTTCACAAATTCACTGTATTTTCTTTTTGCGTTTTCTGCACATTCTGTGGTGTCATTTCGAGTCATAGATGGGCTAGTGCAGAGCTCATTCTGCCCGGGAGAAGAAGTTGGCTCACTGAAATTTTGGAAAATTTGGAATAACATCAAGTTTCAACATCAGGGAGGTAGTTTTGGCCACAATCATACAAGTTTTGGTCTCAGGAAGGTTTTAACTTTAGTTTATAAAAAAACTCGGGAGGAGGGGTTGGCGGCCTTTGAAATGATCTGCCCATGTATGTTTCGAGTTTTTGATGTTTTTTTATGCTTATGCAACTTTTTTCAAGGATCCGAAAAAGGAAGGATGAAAAATCGAGAAGTCGTAGCAGAGACCGGAGGAGGATCTCGCCGGACAGGTTAATAAACTTATTATTTGTAGAATTTCACTGTACTTTTTGAAGTATCTTAGTAATAATTTCTTTTTGTTTTGAGCTGTAATTTACAAAAAAAGAAAGCTCGAGTATTTTATGTTTTTTTTTGTTTCTATCAAATTGAATAGATCCGAACAATTATTTCATTTTTCTAACTTTCGCTCTTTTTTTATTCGATTTTTTTCTCCAGATGGGAAAAAAGGAAACGAAGTCCGATCAGATCCTCCTGGAGGAGAACGTCAAGGTCTAGAAGTCGCGACCGAAGGAGCCGGAGCCGTTCACGAAATCGAGATCGAAAAGCGAGTCCCCCAAGGAGATCAGATCGACGTGGCCGCTCTCGCAGCCGAAGTCCTTACAGGAACTTCTTGAGGTGGTTTCCTTCGAATAAACTGGAATTTATATTGTTTTTTTCTCAGAAGAAGATCCCGCAGCGACGACCGACGCAAGGACTCGATTGACAAGAATCGGTTGCTGGAAATCGCCAGGAAGAAGGCCCAGAAGATGCAAATGGTGATTTTTTCTTTTCAGTGGTCACTTGAAGGAGGCTTTCTTTCAGAATCTTGAATCGTTTTTCGAACTAAATTTGCTTTTCGTTTCAGTTAGGATTGGATGACCGAAGGAATCTGCCGAGCCAGTCGATCGATGACTTCGTTTGTTAGTTTTTCAAAATTTTTTTGTTTGAAAGAAACTTCTTGGAAGTTGATTTTGTGTTGATTTTTTTTACTTCAATTACGTGAATTCTCTAGCCTTCGGTCTTCACTTTGAAATAGTTCAGCTATTAAATTATATTCCCGACTATTGTATTGTCTTTCTTCGAAATTTTGCCATTGATTTAAAAATGTTCTAGCTTGGTTTTATTTTCATGCTTTTGAAAACTTCTGGTCTCTAACTACATATATTTTTTGATTTTGAAAGTTCCTGGCTTCTTTTTCATTATTATTTTTCCAGCCTACTGTCAACGGATACAGAAGCGACAGGAAAAAGAGGCCAGGAGGGAAAAGGGAGAAGCGGTCAGCAGCGGAGAAGACAGCGATGACGGCGAGATGCACTTCAAACACCCCTATCCATTGCCAAAAACTGAACCCATCCGAATCAACATCATGGTTCAAACCTCCTATGTGGTTTTTCGAACGAAAAAGCAGCGTTCAGAGCGCTGCGACGTCTTCGAACTCGACCCAGAAAGCCATCACGGCAAGCGAAGAAGTTCTGGACCACACGAAATTGCGCCTGGTTTTCCCGGTTTCCTCTGGAGTTGTCCACAAGGAAAGCACGGTTTGAAGACTTCTTAGAGAAGAAACTCAAAGAATGATACGAATTTGAGGAATGGAAGCCGATTCTGAAGGATGAGACAGTCCTGAAAAGCTGTACGAACGAGCAGAAGAGCCACGTGGCGATGACGAGTCTCGAGGCGGAAAAGTGCAAGCAAATGGGCCTCGTTAGTCTTTCTTCGATCGAGTTCGACCAATTTTGACTTTTTCTTCAGCCTGTCGCGTTGCCGGCGCCCATGGCTCCGCTGCTCTCGGCGATCCTGCCTCCACCGCCACCTCCGCCCAAATTTGTCCGTTTTCCTTTGGGAATTTCCATTTGTTGATTTTTGTTGATTTATAGTATTCATTTTCATTTTTCCTTATTATGGCGCAGAGCGTGAGTTTGTGACGGAACCAGGTCTTGCTAAGGTTGCGTAACTTTTTTTTTCAAACTGGTTTGACGCATGTTTGGGATAAAGGCAGTGCTAACAGGGAAGGTCATTTTACTTTGCGGTTGGGAATTTATTGGGAATCGGCCAGAAGTCAAGGGCTCAAAGTCACAAATTAGCGTATTTAAATATATTTTGAGGGTTTTCTTTGAATTTTATGTGTCCTTTTTCAAAAAATAAAAATTTGAGCAGATCGGGAGGTTCAGGATCTTCATCTGGTACACAAAAAAATGTTCTGACCAATTTTTAGGACTCTTCCGACCGTAAATAAATTGATCTTCCTTGTTAGACGGTCACGTCTTGAACAAGCATAAATGTTAATCGCTTTTTTCATCGTATTTTCCCACAGTTCTAATTTTTTTAGTTACCCGAACCTTCGATGGCCTTCCAACGGCCTTTGACGCCACCACCTCTGCCGCCAGTTCTGTACGTTCCACCGAAGGACCATCATATTCTCACCGAGCCTGATGAGCTGAGCGATGTGAGGAAAAGGACGAAAGAGTCAAAATTTTCCATTTTTTGCAGCCCCCACCCGGCGACCTGACCTTCGTTCTGAAACAGAGAGCCGACGCCCAGAAACGGCTTTCCAGAGACCCCAATGATTTTGGGGCGCTGCGTGAATTGAAAGATGCTAACGAGCAGGTTTTCCTTGGAAAATTCATGGAAAAAAACAAATTTTTTAGATGGCAACATGGGCGGCGTTGAAAAGCCTTCCCGGAAAGTTCACCGGCTCCACCGGTGTCAATATTTTGAAGCCGGAGGAGCTTCAGCCACATGATCCACGATATCATGCGTGGGTCAAGAAGGTACAGTGTTACAAGAACTAGAAATTATTTCGTGTTGTTGTTGATTTGTATAAACATTTTGTGAGGTGATCCCCAGAGAGGTGTCGTCCTTTCTTGTCCTCCTACGACAGAAAAGAAGGCGATATCGCAAAAGTGTCAATTTTGGGACTTGTCAATTTAGGAAGGTGGATTCGAAAGATTTTCAAGTTTGCGATATCGTTCACCATGTTGGGTGACTACTTATTCGGAATTTTTTTCCACTTTTCTCAAAATTCCAACCTAAAGCGCTTTCAGTTCCATTATCAATTATATTTTTCTTCTAGAACGAGTTTATGGAGAAAATTTAAGAGCCGTTCGAAATTTTTCTTATTGAGTTCAAGAAAAAATTTTTTATTTTCCGATAATTATTTTCCATGAAACTTGTAATTAGGAGCGAAGATAATTATATAGGGGAACTGAAGGGAAAGGACGACATCTCCCTGCAGGTCTGAAGGCTCTGTTTCTTCGTCTGAGCGGCGCTGATGACTTGATTCGTCGTCCCATCCCCGAGCAACGTCGACATTGTCCCCACCGACCCCCGAATTCGATTCGGAAACGTGAGCTTCGTTGAAATTTTGTTCATTGATTGAGAAACATCTCATCCAATGAACTCCATTTCAACGATGATCTCATCTCACTTTATTTCAGGGGATTCGCGGCGGTATTTGGACTTCAGTTTTATTTCGGATATGAGCTGCGCGATGTCGCGAAAAAGCTCAGGACAGCGTTGCTAATATTAAAATGATAACTTGGGAAAAAACCTTGGCGGCATCGCGTTGTTCTTTTTGATTCAGTTAAAAATTGATTTGATTCTGTTAAATTGATTATTTAATCGGAAAAATTGTTGCGGACTTCAAAAATTTGAACGGAATTTTCAGTCTATTTTGGAAACCCAAGCCGTAAATTTGAAGTTTTTAAGTTTTTCTGCGATTTTTCTTCCAGAGACAATTTCAAATCCAAATTTATTTCATTATTTTAAAATCAAACTTCCTGAAATTTCGAGAAGAGCGATCAGCTTCTGCCAGATTATTTGGAGAATATCTTTCCTATTCATTCGGCTGTTCATTTTCCAACTTCACGATTTCAGGACATGTTCAAGAATGCGCAGCCAACGACCGGCGGCGTCGGCATGCGAATGTTGCAGAAAATGGGCTGGAAGCCCGGCGAAGGACTTGGCAAAGAGGCGACCGGCAATATTGAACCGCTGATGCTTGATGTGAAAAGCGACAGAAAAGGTATAATTCTGAAAAAATGGATCCCAGCGAAATTCAATAATTGTCAGGCCTTCTGGCTGAAGAGGAGATGCCGGCCGGAAAACGATCGAAAATCGCCAACGTCGGAACGGCTGATCTGACTGGTGAATTTTGCTCTCATTTGGTTATCTGATTAACTTTTCAGGAAAACATCCCGTTTCTTTGCTGATGGAACTGTGCGCAAAAAGAAAGTGGCCCAACCCGACCTTCACTTGCCAAGAATTCGGCCCTTCGAACTGCAAGGAGTTCCTCTGGAAGGTGAATTAATAAAGCTTCTGCTAATCATCAAGAAAATGATTTTAAGCAAAAAAAATTGTTTTTCTCATAATCAGTCCAAATTGCAAATAAGCTGTTAAAAAGGCGCAGAAGGTGTATTTTTATCCCTTGTGAACAGAAATCAACTTTTTTTAAAGCGTGAAGAATATCAGAAACTTTGCAGGTGGTTGTCAATGGAGTAGAGTATCAACCGGTGAACGGTTCTCGTGTCAAGAAGGACGGAAAATCGGTGGCGTGTCAGGTTAACGTGACGAAAGTACCTTGGAATTGATCAACTATCCACTTCAGGTCGTTCTGCAGTCGATGGGGCTGATTCCGCGCGACCCCAACCTTCCGGTGGTTCTGTGATTGTGAAAAGGCGTTTCACATTGTTATTTCATTTTGTTATGTCCAAGAATTTTTGAAGTTACATAAAGTTTAGTTCTCTTAATTCCTTTCAATGGAAAAGCGTGAACTTCAATAGTCATTTTGAATTATCAAACTGAAAAAAGCTGGAAAGAAAAATTAGTGGCCGCTCTTTACTTAAAATTAAGCGTGAGGTTAGAATGCAAATTTACGTCGAAATCGCGGAAATTTTTTTTTGGCGCAGGAAGGGAACTTTTGAGCAGCTCAGACTCGCCATTTAAAAAAATTTTGAAGCTTATCTCAATTCATCATAACCAGAAATAGGGTTGAAAACAAAAAAAAAAGAACTTTGAGAAAAACGAAAACCATTATCATTGTTCTGATTTGAAGGTACATCTAAGAATGGTGGAAATGGGCATCAAAACGAAGAGCGAAAACAAGATCTTTTTTTTTTACAACTTTTCCTCTACAATTCCTGGAGGCTTTCAAACCTAAAAAAAAATGAAAAAAAAAATTTTAAATTGATTACCTGCAGTCGAAGCTTCATATCATTTAATTTTCCGGTCACTTTTCGATTAAAAAAAAATATTTGAAGGGGGAAAAAAACAAATATTTAGATAAAAATTTCATTGCAAAGCGTAGAAATTTGTAATGAATTGGTCTAAAATACCCGTAACATGGCACGCGACCCGGATAACAGCAAAGGAAAATTTAATATACACGTAAAGCTGAAAGCGTAAAAAAAAAATCTCGGTGAGCAAATCATATGTCAATTGCAACAGCTAACACGTTAGAAAAAAAAACAAGAATAATGAGAAAAGGATGCGATTAAATCAAAAATCGGTAGCCTGAACGGTCCTATTAGGAAACAAGGACATCTGGAATGTGTGGGGCGCGAAGTAAACGTCAGCTTCTCTCGACTCCCGTTCTCTTTCCTTCAGTTTTTCGTTGGAGATGTACCGGTAACAGTCAATAACAACTCGTAGACACCAAATCTGAAAGAAGGAAATATAACATGTTTCCGGGTAAATTGAAAATAATGGCCTTTAAAATCTAAATATGACTATGTGCATGAACGGTGACAGTGAATGCGGCAGCGTAACTGAGTTTAAAAATAAATATCTCAATTATTTTTAATTTCCTTTTCAGCACACAAGCTTTGAGTTTTTAATAATAATAATAACTCTAGAGATTGGGTATCCGATCACATTTACACATTCACATGAAGATCTAACAAAACTTTGAAATGAAGATCTATGAAAAAAATCAGCAAAGTTTTTTTGAATAATTTAAGATTTTTTTGTTACAATGGTTTTCGTCCCAAAGAGAATAAAAAGTTTCTTCACTGAAGCGTTCGAACTTTCATTCCCCCGGGCGTTGTTAATGGAGCGCACATGTGCAAAAATTGCGCTGAATTCTCTGTTGGCTCCATTTTTCCGTCTTTTCTCATTCTTTTTTCTTTGTTTGGAGACGGAAAATAACAGAAACAAATTGCCACTCACGTTAATAAGAGCGATTATGAGGTAGATAAGGAAAAAAAGGACTAATAATCCGCACAGGAAACTCGAAATCATTTGCGAATTTATTAAAGGCGCCGTCAAAGTTTCCTGAGAAAAAGAATTATTCGTTGAAGTATTATGTTTTTGGAATACCTCGTCTCTGGAGGAATATTGTGGAGGCGCAACGGTCAATCGTATTCGGAGAGTGGTGCCAAAAAATAAAGTGTAGAGGGAGAATGAAGACAGGAAGAATAAGCTCAAGACGACGGCGATCTGTTGGATATGAATTGGATTTTTCGGACGGAAAGCAGAATTGTTACCTGCATCACGATGTGGGGAATGAGAAGCATAGCGACGCGGCAGAAAATGGCCGCCAAAAGGAGGGCGATCACCACGAGGAGCATGACCGTCGCCAATCCCAGCACCGCCGCTTCACTCGACGTCGTCCACTTGGAGAGCGACGCCTGCAACTGAAAAAGTAAAATTTTGTAAAATAAAATTTAACATTTATGCATGTTATAATTTTGAATACTTTCAAGGGTTTTTTTTCTGTCTGTATGGCGCCTTGAAGCTCAATTGAGAGCTTGAAAAGCAGAGAACTAAAGATTTTTCATTTTCTCTGAAAAATTTCAATCTAAAAACTCCGTGAGTGGTTTTTTCTTCTTTCAAAACGCATTCTAAAAAGCACTTCAGAGAAGCTTGAGAAACTCGACTTGAAAAATAAATCATAAATCTTGACATGTGCAACAGAAACAAAGAAAACGTCCTTTTATACATTCATCTCGAAATTCATGACTGAAGTTCATTATGATGGCCTTCAACATGGAAAGAGCCACCAGTTTGTTCAAAAACCCCATTATTTCGTTGTCTAGACGAACATTGTAAACGACGACGGCGATCTCGACGACAGCGATAAAAATCGCGAGCGAACGAACGTGGAAGAAACCGACGCAACGATTGTCTTTCACTTGGTCGTTCATCTGAAAACAGAAAGAAAATGGATATAAATAAACTTTGAAAAACAAATTGGATCAATTTATACTCAGGAGGGGACTTTTTTTCAGCTTCCGATTGAACTTTTGATGAAACGCTGAAAAATACTTTAGGATCTCCTTATTTCAAAAAGAGAAGAAGGTTTCTCGCAATAACTCTTATTTCCAAGTTTCAAAGCTTCAAAGCCTCAAAGAACGTATTTTTTTGTATGAAATGGAGACTTCAGGGACAAACTAAACTTCCCTAGAACTTTCGTAATAGGAATCTATTAAAAATCAGCAGAAATATACCATTTGCCAGCTGTTCGTGGTCAAAAATCCTCACTCACAACGTCTTTTTTGGGCTCGCCATTCTCTTTTACCATCGCCAAAGATGTTTGACCATTCTCCGGCACCACACAAATGGACCTTGTACGTATCATTTGACTTTGAGAGTAGGAGTCCTACTGGAATCGAACGATTTTCAAGGTAAAAATGGCGAATTTCACACAGGATCAAAAGAAAAACTAAACGAGTTGAAAAGAAGAAAGTACGTCTCGAGACAGGGATAACTGATAACGCTTCAAAAGATTCAAAAACTATTCCCGAGAATTTAAAAAAAAGTTAAAAAGGAGGAAAATTGAAAGAAAATGTTTTTTTCTGATTTTTTTATAGATGCGCCAGGCGGTATGCAATAAAGTGGAAAATCATTTTTCCGCCACAAGTCAAAATCAATGATTTCCTAGCGAGTTTCAGGCCTTTTTCTATTTTTCAGGAAAATAGAGAATAATTGTTTTACATTTTATTGCATACGGCCTCAGCTTTTTTTCAACAATCCGAAGGCGCAGGTAAAAAAAAATATTAATTTTTTTTACAATTCTTCAATAGAGTTACAAAAATCAGCAAAATTTTATCTCAGAGCGTTTCAAACTTTGAAAAAAAAAACTGTATATTTACGGCAACTGTTAGGAAATACGAAGGAGCATGGGCGGAGGAAGAAAGAAAATCGTCACGAGACCGGATGATCTCCAGATGAAAATGAACAAAAACAATGGGAACATCTATTCTGAACGTAGTTCTGAATCAACTCCATCAAATTTTTCCAAAATACTTCCGCAAGGGATTTCTGGTGTGCCTGGAAGCAAGTTTCATTTGGATGTTGTTCGATATTCATAAATTCGCTTTTTGCATTAGGAAGATTTTTTCAGGCTCCTTCCGGCTCCTTCAAACAGATAAAATAAAATTTCGAAATTACCCAATATTTTTTAACTTAAACTAGACGCGTTTTTCTTTCAAGGGAACACTGAAGAAGCGCTAAAGTCTCTCAAAAACGTTTTTTTTTTTTCACCGAAGAGACCAATATCTGGGACAGTTAAAACGGAACAAAAAAGTTACTGTAAGAAGACGAAAATCAATCGATAAACATGGAAATGACGGAGGGAAGCGTGAAGCAGCAACAGAAACAGAAGAAGTGGTTGTTGGAAAGGCGGCGGAGAAATTAGAGGAAAACGAAGGAAGCGAGGTCGTCACTGCTGCTGTGACGCAAGAAAGAAGAAAATTGTTGAATGAGGTGACTGAGGAGGTCAAACTTTTTTCTGAATAAAAAAGTTTTTTCGTGAAAAAAGAGTCAATTGAGCTCCTGTTGGTTTCGAGGTCCGTCAAGGTCCACACTACCAGTTTTTGGAAGAATAGAGGATCTGTTGTTTTTCGAGAAAAGACCCTGAAATAATGTAAAAATGGAAGTTTTTTTCTATTGTTGACCAAATACCGATTTTTCTCTAATTAAAAAAATTTTTCAGAATCAGACCATTGATGTTGGAATAATGGTTTTAAATCGTATTTATGGCTCAGATCGAAGAAAAATTAGAAATCAGCAGAAACAAAATGAAAAAAATTTTTCCGTGAGATCAACGTTTTTTTATTTTTTTATTTTTGACCAACTGATGATCTCGCTGCTCCTTTTCGAGGGAAAATTCCTGTTTTTCTTTTTTTTGAAATTGGCTTTAACTTAGGAATTTTAATAAGGAAGTCGTTATTTACTTTAAAAAAAAACATCTAATTAAAAAAGACATGAGTCCAACGATCTTCTGATAAACTTTTTTAAGAAAAAAGAAATCTTCCATTATGAGTTTCTTTCGAAAATTCCAAAAGGACCTGATTTCGAAAGTACCCAGCTTATAGGTAGTAAAAACAGGAACACTCCGAAAAAGAGCTGTATTAAAACTAGTATTCAGGCCAAACGACAAAAGTACAAAGAGATTGAAGTCTAAGCCTCCAGGAAAGGACGTTCTCTCAGTGGGAGTGAGGGATTCCTAACCGGTTGGTGACGCATTTTCGTGAGAACCTCCGGCCAGTGGGTCACAAAAAACGTGCCGTCCGTGTTCCGAAAATCCTGGAGGAGAGGGGGAACAACGACGTTTAATTCAATGTTGCGTAATTTATTCACATTATGCCAAACATGGCGGTAAATCGGAACGGGTTGAAGGCCTTGAAACGAAGGAAAAAACAGAGGATGAAGGAAAAATTCTGTGTTGAAATAGTCTGTTTGAAAAACGGTACTAGAAAGTTTGAAGGCGTATGGACGATTTTAATGAAGGTTTTGAGGCGAAGATTGAAAGTCATGCAAGAATTCAGTTCCTTGAAAACTATCCGAATGGTGTTTGGGATCGAAAAATCAATACAAAAAGCACAGTGAAATTCTGTGAAAACTCTCCAATCTGTTTCTCTTGATTCATCAATACTAATTTTCTGAATTTTTAAAATCGGATCGATTCGAGAGAAGTTGACAAATTCAAAAAGATTACAGCTAATTCCAGCTGGAAAATATCACAACAAAAGAAACGAAAGGTTGTCTTCAAAACAAAAACTCCATTTGACCTTTGTTCTTTCATTCGAAAACACTCTTTTGACCGCTAGTTGGGGAACAAAGGAGCTCGAAAACCTCCTCTTACACATTCGCTAACTTTTTAGAGCATCTTTTCCGGAATTTATTGCTTTAAAAATCGAAGCCAGAAAAAAGAATCGTCAAGCTGTTACCATGTTAATAATTATTATTAACACATTTTTCCCTCCCGGCTCACTTTCGCCTGAGAATCAATTCGACACCCGTCAAATTTTAAGAATGTTTTCTTGCTAATAAAATAATCATGAATACGAAAAAAGCAAGTCCTAAATAAATAGGAGAAAAAAACAACATTGAATATTTTTTTCGTACTAATAACTAGCATGGTCAAAAAAACTGGTTTTTGCCTCAATCATGAAAAATCAAGAACCTTTTTATTTTTTTTTTTTTACAGTCCTTAACGTATTTTCTTATTCAGAATTTCCCTCTAATGTATAAATTCATCAAAAGGATACTTCTCCTTCGGAAATCCGAAAAATCAATAGGACTAGATCATTCTTGAGACCACCAGTTGGGCAGGTTCATAAATCTTCCTTGAAAAACTGAAAAATCTATTTTGTGTATTTTTCGAAGTTCGTAAAAGCAGTTTTTCCGTTCAGAATTTCCCGCTAAATTCAAAAATATAATTTTCATCGTGAAATTCGCAAAACGAACAAAAATTATAACAAATTCAATAAAACCTGTTTTTTTGAAAAAAATATAAAAATTGCAATTTTCGAAACTTCAAAGCTTTTTTTCTTGAAGCGCGACACTAGGCCCCCGTGTCGGCTCCACCAAAAAAGTTCTTCCAAAAATGACCGGTAAAAAGTCATTAATTTCACGACGACGCTTGAAAATCCACTAAAAAACACTTGAAAAACGACGACAATGCGTCTTTTCGGAGTTGAAAACGTTGCTAATTTCTGACGGACATGAGTATAAAATGTATAAAAATGGTGGTTTTTTAACCGCTACTGCTTGTGGCCCACTATTGCGATGAATCATCCGTGGCTCATGAAACGATTTGAACAGAAATGTCCCCAAAACAAAGCAAAAGCATGAAGTTTTTTCATTTTTCTCCGTCAACTTTTTAGGTTTCAGGACACTTTTGTTAATCATCGCAAAAAGTTCGAAATGAAAAAAAAGTGGAAATGCTTTGAAATTTTGTTTTAAAACATTCCGGAGAGCCCGATCTTCTGTTTTAAGACAGCTCAGCTCCCTAGCATTGCAAATAAAGTTTGATCACACTTTTGGAAGACAAATAAAGTCGTATTATTAGAAATTAGGATCAGGCCGAACAGAAGAAATGGTTCCAAAATAACGAAAAGTCCAAGAAATCAAGAAACGATAAAAGAAATGAGAAAATTGGCGGGTAGCCAATCGGGTGTCATTAAGGCGTGGGAGATCAAGAAGAGAAGTCCTTCGTATGCGTTCTCGTGTATGAAGGTCGGACGGTCGGCATATCTGTCTCTGATGTGAAGAAATACGAGGAGGAGGCCCGCTGGGAGGCAACTAGGCCAAATCCCAAGGCTCATAAAGACTTGAGAAAAAAACAAACGAACTTCCCAAGGAAACTTTGATGTTTCTTGGACGAATCTCGGAACAATGTCTGTCCAAAACTTCTTCCTTAGGCGTTTGAAGAAGAATCGATAGAGTTCGAATATAATTTGAAGGTAAAGAGTCGTTTTTTAAAGCTAAAACCTTACTTAACGTTTTAAACTTTGTGAAATCAAGACTCTGTCCGTATGACTTTCCTATCAAATGAAAAACTCAAAAATACAACGAAAGTCCCTGACGTAAGGTAAAATTACCTCTTAGACACCTGAGAATGAAAAAGCGGGATTTTTCGTAGCTCAATGTCCAAGAATCATTCTCAGCATGAAGTCGCTGGATTCAATTCCAAAATCATTTCGACTCATCGAAAAATTCAAATCAGGCGAAAACTGTTTCTCTTCGTTTTCGAGGTTCTCTCGAGTGTTAACAGACAAAAAAGCTCAAGGATCGGAAAAATTATCCCAGAAAATGTCTATTGGCACCCACTGAAGAAAAAAAAAGCTTCTTCTAAATCGAAATAGCCGAAAAGCTCAATGGAAAAACAAGAATGAGATCGAATCAAGGGATCGAGTAGCCCAATGGAACGGTTTGGTAAAGCGACAAGATTGAAAAGGCATCCGTTCCTCCTAGGAAAGAGGTGGCCATTTGGATAAGGAAAAAAAAAAGAAGGACGCGTTGCATTTCTGGCTTTGAATCACTTTCGCGCAACAAAAACATTCGTCCTGTCGTTCCTCTGGCAAACTGTTTGAGTCGTCAATTTCTTGTTTGGTTGGAATATTATAAAGACATGTTTGATATACATATGCTCGTTTAAAATATTGTGTAGAAAGGACCAAAAGCCTTAATAGACTTGAAAAAAAAAATAATGAAAACAGCTTTTATCCTCGAGACCTTTATGAAATTGGTCTATGCTCCTTTAAAGTGGCAACCGATGCTCTAAAAGGTCCAAAATAGTCTGTAGTCCATTAGAAGGAAGAGAAAAGCTTTTAAAGTACTTCCAAAATTGCACACAAGAGCCAAAGTCTAAAAGTATTTTTTTTAACTTGTGTGACGTAATAAATGTTGCTAAATCATTTCATAACAAAATCACAAAATGGCAAAATCCTGCCCGTTTTGTAGCTACCGAAACTCAAAAAATTTGCAAAATGATGAAGATCTGAAAAGAAACTGAAATATATTGATAACTGTAGTTGCAAACCAAAAAAAAAGGTCAAAAAATTATCCAAAATTTTTTTCTTAAGAAGAGATTTTATTCTTTCGAAAGAATTAATTCTTTCGAAGTCAAGATTTTTGTGAAATTAGGGGTTCGGCAAGTCAAGTGGGTGAAATTGAAAAATAGAATACAAAAATATTCATAACCTAGTTGTCCCCGAAAAGTCTGCGTGAAACATAGGAGTAAAACTAAGAGAAAGGGCGGAAAGTTTAGGAAAAATTAGAGATACCGTTACAATGGAAAAAAACAAAAGTATATAGATCATTCTAACCTATAAAAAGTCACTTGTAGCTCTTACATTGATTTTTAAAAAAATTCTGTAAAGCGTAAATGTAAAAGAGCTAATTCTTGGGGAAAGGTCAAGCTGATACAAAAGAAAATTCAGAAGCCTCACTCAAGGGTCTTCTCTAAACAAATTGGGCTTCTTTCTAGAAAATACGGCTTTTTCAATGTTCCACCTCGGGCAAAACTGAAAAAGCTCCTCAAAAGCTTTTCTCAAAAAAGACTTTGAAAGGGTCCCCAGCAGATTTTTTAAAATCTCATTCTATTTCATTTTTGCATCTTTTTCTTATCCGCTAACTAAAAGGATGCCGGAAAGCCACTAAAAAGATTCGAGCGAATTCAAAATGGATCCGCTGAGGCTATGAAAAAGGAGCACAAAAGCTTTTTAAGCTTCCTCTCAGAATCCATTGATGATCCTCAGAGGAAGCTTTTCCAAACCAAAAACTAAGTAAACTTGCAAAAAATTTTAAGAAAAAAATTGTGATTTCAACTCACAAAAAAAGTTCTTTCCGGTCCCCATTGTTCAAGCATGTTTCTTTGAACCTTTTATCACTGATTGCAGGCTTTTTTGCACCTTATTTTACACTCTTTCCTTCCTTTTCCAATCAATCAACGTTATCTTTGTCCATTCGTGAAGATTATGTTTCTCTCAGGAAGGAATTCCACATTCTTTTGAATTTCCTGTTTCATCATTTTTCAACTTCTTGCAGAGACAGCGAGCCCAATAAAACCATAAGCCCTGTCCAAAACTGAAAAAAGAATAAAAAGGTACCTCAACTGTCTCGGTCAAAATTCGTCTGAGAAGCGGCATTTGCTGTTGTTGTTTGAAAGTGACGTCAGTTGTCATCCCCCGTTCAGAATGCGTCTTCCTTCAAAAAATTTTTTGTTTTAATAAGTTCTAAAAGTTCTTTGAAAGCGTTTTTTCCTCCAAAGTAAGAAGAGGAGCAATTTCTTGCGAAATTTTTACAGAAAACTCTCAAAAAGTTCATTAGGTTCAAGGCTCACTTGAGATAGTAACTAAAAAGTTCAGCAAAATTCCAAAAAGATTTTTTTATTGATAAAGATAAAGAGACAGATAGAAAAATCAGGAGGTTTATGGGTTTTTATATATAGCGAAGACTGAATTAGGAGATAGCTGACAAAATTTAGCTCAAAAAATGATTCGAACTTGGAAAACAAAGGTTTTTGTGGTTCACTGAATACAGCTTATAAACTTTTTTAGAGATTGGAAAAAAAAGACTCATCTCTTTTCAAAGTTATCCCTAATTAAATCCAATAGGTTCTGAAAAAAATGAATGGACTATCATTCTTCGCCAAATGCGCAAAAATAACGACCTCCAAGTCTACAAGGACCAAAACGGAACCACTCAAAATCACATCATAAAGGACTGTTTATCGATGGGGAAAGGTGGAAAAGGAAGAAGATCGGATCGCCGTTTCGGGGTGTAGATTTCCAGCAGACAAGATAAGGTCACGAGATGCGCCCGAGAAGAACAAGGAGGCGGACGATTCCAAGAGAGAGAGAAAGACAAAACTCATTGATATCAGGTCATGGGGAAAATATAAAAGTTCTTGATAGTTTTGTGTGAATAATTGGGTTGGAAATTCAAAAATTGAATTGGAAAAAAAATGCCAATTTTGAACCGAAATTCATAGCTGATTCGCAAAATTCTCATGTAAGGTTAAATCACCCATACTGTACATCCTATAATTAGATTCTATTTTTTTAAAATTGAGTTCAAAGATCGCAGAAAAGCTTATAAAATATGTTTGAATCAAGTATTAGAGTGTTCAGAAACTTTTCGCGACAAAAAAACTTTTCTCCCCGAGACCATTATCCAATTTACTTGTGCGCCTTTAACTAGGATTTTAAAGGACACATCAAATACGTAGCCACACCAAAATATGCATTTTTCGGTTCTATTTTTGGCCCTAATGCCTTCAAAGCCAAATAAAGAGGCTAGTGAATCGACTGTACGAAAAGTCACAAATGCTTTATTTTTGTCGTAGTTTTTCTGAAAAACCTTGCTGAGGTATTTAAAGGAGCACAGCCAAACTTCTGAAAGGTCTCAAGGCTAGGCGTGATTTTTTGTCAATGCTTTTAAAGCAAAAACTTTTGAGATAAACCTCTAAATTCACAAGTGAAACAAAAAGATAAAAAGATATACAAAATGCCAAGCCACAGGTTCTGGGTGATTGGCCAGACAACAGAGGCTGAATTTCTTGTTTTCGGGCCTTGGCCCCGCCTTTCTCCGTTTAATATATCAATTTCGGTGAATGTCCTCCACCTCCTACTCGAAACTGGTAGCGTTTACTACGAAAGGGACGGAGAAAAGGAATGAAATGATCCACGGCCTTTCACATTTCCACTAATTCAATGACACCAATCACCGTTGCAACTTGGAGAAAACCAGTTTCATAGCTAGTTTTTGAATTATCTTGAAACTTTTGAACTCAAACAGTATAGACTCAAACAGTAAGATAAAGGGACAAACAACGAGAAAACGAAAAATGGAAAGTTTTATTCGATACTCAATCATTGCTAGCCAGAAAAAAAAGATTTGTTCTCCTCTTCTTTTCGCACACTGTTTTTCTAGTCATGAAGGAACAAAAAGTCAACTTTTTCTCGATTCAACAGTAAAGAACTATACCAAAAGAATAAACTTGGATAAAAAATCTAAATATTTTTTTCGCGTTTTTATTTTCTAGGCCTCATGAAGTTTTCGTTGGTGAAAACCTGGTGATTTACTTTTAAAACTTGCGTTTCCGATTCTCAATTGACTCACTTCTCTCGGAAATTCGGAATGTTGCCAAAGGTATCGCATTTCCGGGGTTAAAAGAATTTTTGAAGAAGACATACCTGAAAGATCACCATACTGATTATTTTCAAGTAATCAGCGGACCAAATTGAAAGGTCAGCAACGTAACCAGAAAAAGCTTCCAATTAAAAATTTATTAAATAGAGCATACTCTGAGGGAAAAACAGAACTAGGCCAAGATTATAAATCATCGCAGGCGACGGGGTTCGCAGATTGTCGCGGCGACGACGTCGTTCCGTGCAATTTCATATGAGAGTCGAACTTGGCGACGTCGTTAAACGCGATGTCGCACCTGACGCATTTTAGGGATCGTCTGATCTGCCGCCGCTCGTCCGCCGGTCGCTGCAACGTGTTTTTCTTCTCTTTCGATGTTTTTTCGTTGATTCGATCAATTTGGAACGTTTTTTCAAGCTTCACTGCTCAATGGAAAGTCCTCACTTGAGAAGCTATCCATAAGAGCGTCTGGCGGAAGAAATGACAAATTCCACTTTTTAAAAGTGAAAGTCAGATAAGCCAGAGGTGGAGAAATGGCGCCCCTAAGCGTTTTAAAACGTTTACATTTCTAAACCGACGTAGGCAGCCATGGCCATTTCTTAATAAGTCGCTGCCCAGGGCGCCCGGGGCCAAAGCCACGATGGCAAAAAAACGCCATTGGAAGAAAAAGAACGCGAAAAAATTGGAATCTTCTAAAATCTTGCAAAATCGTCGTTTTCGAAGCTTTAGAACAAGGTTTTTCGAATTTCCAATTTGGTGGCGACGGAAATTTATTCTCTCACTAGTCAGCGGGTTCGTAACCATAAATCTGGAACATTTCGCCTAAAGAAAAAAAAACAAATATAACCGTACTTCACATAAAAAATTCAACTGGACATCATATCCACTGAAAAATTAAAAAAATTATTGGAAAAATGCGAAATCCACAGTTTAATGAAAAATGAACAAAAATGACCATTTTCGCCCTACTTTTGCAACGTGGTATTATACGCCATCGACACATAATGAAGCGGCTCATTTCTTCTCAGAGGCCTGATGGCTGAGGCGGGCATGTTACGCCCGGGAGGGCCCCTCATTTCATCCACCTCTGAGATAAGCAACATTAAATCTGACAACTACCTAAATTCTCGAACTTTGCAGAAAGACCGAAGCCCAAGTTTCCTTTTTTTCTAATATTTTTCTTAATTCGAAAAAAATCTAAAATTGTTTATAATATCAGCGCTTTTTGTAAAAAAAATAAAAAAAACAATGATTCTACGGGAAAAAAATTTAGCGGAAAATCTGATTGAATTCTTCATGAGTTCGAAAGAAAACTGACTATTTAAAAAAATTTTTGAAGGTTTCTTTGAAGCGAATTCCTTTCTTTTCACTAATTTTATCGCTTAAAACAGCTGTAAAGTGGAAACTTTTCTAACCTCGACTTAGTTCTCTGAAACCTCTGAGTAAACGTTAACGAGATGCGATCAAAAGTACTGAGAACCAAAAAAGGGTCAAAAAGGACTTTGAAAGCAACAGTCTAATTTGTTAATTCTCGCTGTATTCCTGTATTTCTTTGTTTTGGTGACACCCATATAATTTCTATCTTCGAAACTTTTCAAAGTATTTATCATTTAAATGAAATTTTGGAAGAGGAATTTAGACTCTTCCCTTATTAACTCACCCAACATGGGCAAGCAAAGATCTCAGTTAGGGGTTGACCTACGAAAGTTCACGAAAATAACGAGCAAACGTTATTTTCAAGCTATAAAGAGGTGCTGTTGTCATAAATAAAAGCTATTTTAATCTCAGGACGGTGATACTGACTTCAATGAAAGAGGATTTGGGTGAAAGTGATGACGACCTTTGAAAAAGCCATGTCTGATCCTCGCTGACCTCGACTTCATCCTGCTCTTCCTCGACTTCCCGTTTGACGAGACAGTTGGCGGTGATCGGAGGGCCGCCGACCATGTGGAAGTTCTTGTGGGCGTGCACCTGAGTCTCGGACCTCAGCGACTGGCGGCAGACGGGGCAACGCATCGCCAGGTCTTCGGCGTGGCGACGGCAGTGCTCGACAAAGTCTTCCTGGGTGTTGATTGGTTCTTGGCATTCGGCACATTTGTCGCCATGAGGCACCTGAAATTGAAAACTTCTTTCACGTTATCAACAATTCCGTGCAAAGTTTTGACTCAAAGGGGCTACTCTCATTGCTAAAATAAAAGAGAACGAAGATTTATATTTTATTCCACAGCTAATATTTTCATATTCAAAAGCCAGAAGCTTCTTGAGCTGACATAAAAAAAAATTACTCGATTATTATTGAAAAAAAAGCCCCGATATAATTTCACAAAGTTCATGGTAGGCCCTGTGAGCGTGGTGCGGCCTCAAAATTTCCTTCTCCTCCAACAAAAAAACCCCAACATTTGTATGTGATTGAATTAGGTAATGTTTAAAATTTTCTTTAAATTTTCTCACATAATTCCGCATCAGTTTCTGAGGTCAGATTTGCAACCAGCGGGAAAAAACTACATATAGTGAAACTAGTCTTAATCAAAAAGTCGATCAGAAAACTCCAGAGTAACATTTAAAAACTCTCTTTGATTTCAAAACAAATTTTAAAAAACATAAGTCTCTTACAGAACAAGGAAAATTAACATATTTTTCAAGGTTTTCGTACCAACATCTGGACTAGCCCTTGTTTTTCCGACCTGTCTTTTTCCTACCTTGCAATGCATCAATAGCCGGTGCTCGTCCAACGAATCCTCCCCCAGCAACGCTTCATCACAAACAGAACACTGGATCAATCGCAACTGGAAAACCATTTTCAAAAGATTAACTGAAAGCTTTCAACTTCAGGAGACTTCAAGGGTAATCGCCTTTCTCGGGTGTCTTTGATGTCCTTTTCGTAGTGGAAAATTTCTCTGAATTGAAAGAAATGTATAAGGAAGCACATGATTTTCAAACCTATCATGAATCAACTGAACATGAATAGCAACGAGTTGAGAATTGGCGAAAGGAATCCCGCAAACGCGACAAGTGAACATCATCTCTTCGGAACTGTGGTCTTTGCAATGATCCTGAAATTTTCATGAGTTGATTGAACACAAAAAACTGCAGTCTTTTACACTTAAAACAGCCCTAAAACACATACTTAGAAAATATCTGGTCCAAAATTCTAGTGAAAATGTTAATTCAGGAAGAAATGCAGCGTGAACGTGACCCCAAGAGCTTTGACTTAGATATCCTATAGCTTAAATTGAAGGTTTGGATTTTTTTCCAGCAGCATCATTTTTTTTTAGAATTATAGTTATTTTCTTTTTTGTGACTTTTCATAAAAAATGATGCTCATTCATTTCTCCAGTGAATTTCTAAAACTCACCCTGAAACCTTTCTCACTGTCCGAAGAAAAGGGACAGCCCGTGCATTGGTACTTTAACCGTAGATGAGTCTGTGTGAAGTGACTGGCCAGCGCCGAAATCGTCGAGAACGGCAAATGACATTCTGAGCAGACGCGGTGAGGTACTCGGACTTCGAAATGGGATGCCACGTGCTCCAGTCGCGACTGAAACGGTCGAATTCATCATTGAATATTTTTAAATGATGAGAAAGTATGAGCCCTGCAAAATAGTGAGTTTTTGCACAATATTTTCCCAATACCTTCTTTGGCTGTAACTCGCTGATTCTCAAAAAAGTTATCACTAACGAATATAATGAGCTAAAACGGTTTCGGGGAAGTTGACCACGTCTCAAGGGGAATAATAAAGCTAGACTTTCCCTCAAGAGGCTCAAACAAGTAAGACTTAAAAAATGAGGAGATTTCGTTTTTCTCTTTTCCTACTACTCATGATCTCTGGAATGGCTTCTAAACTTGAATGTACTTCTTCCATACCAAGTCTGTTTATAAATCAGGAACTACAGCATGGTCCCTATAGGGGCAACTTTCTGAAATCGGGAAGGTTTCCCTCTAGGGACCACTTTACCTCCCCTATTATGGCCAAGTGGCCTTTATAAGAGTTGAGTTAGCCTCCCATAAGGGACACTTAGGTCGATTATCTTTGTGAACTCTATGAAAAGAAGCACTCGATGAATTAGCGTTACTTGAATTAAATATATGACAAAACTTTTTTTTTCTTCACAGGTGGGGTTAGTTAATCCACCTAGTGGTCTTTTTCCCTCCCTGCAACATCACCATACCATCCCGATGTTGCGAAAATCAATTGATTGAATTGAAAGAGTGATTTGATTAATTTTGCCTTTTTAGTTTTCATCTCTGAACGAAAAATTGAAAGACCTCATAGGAATATCTTGAGCTTTAGGAGACTAGAAGTCGGGATCTAATCCCTTACAGGACCACCTAAATTATACCTCTATTAGGAAAACTCTTTTTGTCCTCTATGGAGGCTTTTTCCCTAACCCCTATAGGAAGCTCCCTGGCTTTCCTAAGAAAGGTTCAAAACTATTTCACGGATTTTCGGGTGGCCCCTTCTCTTGAAAACTCACTGAATTATAATATTTTTGACGAACTACGATATAAAGTACGGTATAAAGCAAAATATTGTTAAAAGTTGACCTGAACATCGCTGAAGGTGAGGTTGGTGCAAAACGGGCAAGTGAGTTTCGGAGATGAACTTGTCGAGGAAAGGTGACTTCGCATATGGACGGCAAATTGCATGAATGAGTCAAAGGAGGAGTCGCATTGCTGGCACGAAATATGGGATTTTTTGGTTTTCTGGAAAATAATATATAAAAATAACCCGTTCGCCAGCTTGTCAGCACAACTTTCCTTTTCCTCCAGGCTATAGAACCTCTCGTTTTGATGCGCGCGGCCTGCCTGTTTGTATGCGCCTTCCATTTAGCCAAAACTTCGATTATATTAAAGGCGCATACATAGAAGTAGACCGCGAGGTTGAAGGGATGCCTCCCGGAAGGGTTCTGTAGCTCGGAAGAAAATGAAAGAGGAATTATCCCCCCACATCTTCAATTGAAGGAGCATGGCTATTCAGAGTATGAGTCTGAAGTTGTGCAATGGAATTGCAGACGACGTCGCACAATTGACACCTCAAACATTGAATTGCAAAACAAAACCATGTAATTAAATTCAAAATGACACCAAAACTAGCAAATGCTACTAGTATATAATATGTTTTATTTTGAAGCAAAACTAAGAAAGAAACTTTCAGTTTTAATAGAAGAGTTGTATCTATAAATGTTTCATTCGCAATCAGATTTCCAGACACTTTTTGAACTAATCGAAAATTCCTTACTTGATATCATAGACCTCGTTGCACTCTTCCTGTTTGATTTCTATCAAAATTCTGAAAACCAAATTTTTCCACTTTTTGTCTAATAACCAAACTTTTTCGCTGGCGGTAAGGAAGGCGACCTCGACTCATTCTCTGAAAAAACAAAAACAGATAATAAATCAAGGGTCTAATATAAACGAAACTATTTCGCAAGTTTTAGATTCACCCAACATAATTTCCGATATCGCAGCGGGCCGCACGCGATATAGTTAAGGCTTCTCGCTGCGATATCGTCAACATGTCGCTGCGACCTCGTCAAAGTCTCGCTGCCATATCGCTCCCTCTCAAAAAAATTGAAATTTGAAAAAAACATTTTTTTGCTTTATTTTTTTGACTTTTATGATGAAATCAATCAAATTCATTTCTGAAGAAAAAAAGTTTTTTTAGAGAGCGATATAGCGCAAGACGTTTGCGAGGTCGCAGCGAGAGGCGAGCGATATCGCTCGCGGCTTCCCCGCGGTATAGCGTTACTCTCGCTGCGATATAGTCCACAAAATTGGATGTTATCTGTTTTAGAACTTATTGCGGTCAGATATCAGAATAAAATCAACAACACTTCGAAGGAAAAATTCATGGTTTTTGGCTTGATTTTATACGGAAAAAGAAAATTTCGATTTCGAAGCTTCAAACTTTTCACGGGATCTTCAAAAAAAATTTACGAATAAAAGCAATACTCCTCATCTTTCACTCTAAATCCCATAGGAACATAAAAAAAAATTTTCACTTCTTCTTAAACCCTAAAAATGTATTCTGAATTTCGTATTTCGAAATTCTTAGCTGAATTTATGATACAATTCTAGTCAAGTTAAGTCTCCAAAGAAATCAACGCCGAAATGAAAAACGGACTAAAAACAGAACCTCTCGAGCTTCGGCCAGATTTTTTCCTGGAGACGACGCTCATGATTTTCACTAATTCCTTGTCAGAAAACGGAACGAATGACGATGGGAATAGACAAAAATGAGAGTCTCGAGAGGTTCTGCGTGGATCCGAGACGAGCAGATGCGTCTCCAGGGACCCCGGCTGATTGTGGTGGCGGCGTCTCCCCAGGGACTCCATTTCATTAAAAACCGCCACCCGCCTCTCGGCTTCTCCAAGTGCTACCAGAGTCTCATGAGCCCAAATTGTCTGTTCACTTTCATAACTGAGCAGAAGGCGATAAATAGGTGTGGTCCAGCTTTTTTTCGGGTGTTGAAAGCGGGGTTTCGAACAAAAAATGACGAATCGTTATGCGGTTCTCAAAGTAATTCTGCGAAGTTCAAATAGGCACTCAGAGTGGACAAGATAACTATGTTTTGTAGAGTAAGAGACAGTATTGGATTTTACAGAAATCACTTTGAACACGACATTACAAACTCCAAAAATGTTTTGAACGCTGTTCGAAAAGCCTTTATTGAGGGCCTCAAAAAAAAAAACCAAAACTTTTTAAACTTTTTCTAAAAAAACTGCAAAACACTTATTCATTTCTTTACAAGAACAAGCACTTTAACAGCGTTTTTACTATCAACTTCTCGTTTTCAATTCGAAAAAAATTCACCCTCTTCTTCTTCTCAAACTTTCATTGAAGGTACACAGGCCAATTTCAACGTGTCCCATAACAAAAATCTTATACAGCTACATATATTTATATTACACCAAAAACAATCAATAAAATTCCAATAAATTCTTTTTTTACATAATGAACAATTTATTTCTTGGTGGCGTTGTTGTAGCGCTCGGTGATATTCTTCCAGTTGGCAATCTGGAAAAAATTGGTTTACTTTTCATTTCGCTTTTAATTTGAAACCTTCCAAATAGCATTGACATAGTCTGGTCGGACGTTCTTGTACTGCAAATAGTAGGCGTGCTCCCAGACGTCGATTCCGAAGAGCGGAATCATTCCGGTCGTCGGCTCTAGTGGGTCTTGGTTGGCGCAGGTTGTGATCTGGAATTAAAAATTTCCATTATTGAGAAAGACAGAATGAACAATTTCACCTTGAGTTTCTTTTGCTTTGGGCAATATCCGAGCCAACCCCAGCCGGAACCTTGAACTCCAACGCTTGCAGTGGACAGCTGCTTCTGCAGGTTTTCGAGAGATCCAAAGTCGCGCTGAACATTTCAGGACTTTTCTTGAGCTACTGAAAATTCGTGATCTTAAAAGAAAAACACAACTTGATACTGACAAATGAAGTGTTTCCACATTTTTTTTTCGAAGTTGTGTACGGTGAAAAAGATCTTTTGAAGACGCTTTATCAAACTACTTTTTTTTCGAGAATCAAAAATCAACTAATTGGTTATTTAAAAAAAATATATGGCCTTTAAATAACAGTTTTCTTTCCCTCAATTCAAATTTTTTTCTTTTCCTCCTGAAACCTACATTGATAGCAGAAAGAAGCTCTCCGGTTGGTTCACCGCCATCCTTAGAAAGGTTGGTCCAGAAAATCGAGTGATTAATGTGACCTCCGCCGTTGAACTTCAGCGCTTGCTGTAGAGAAATTACTTCCTTGAGGTTTCCTGTAAATTTTTCCAATCAGTTTGATTTTATCTTGTGTTCAAAGACCTTTAGCTTGAGCCTCGTGGATTTTCTCCTCGGTCTGGTTAAGGGTATTTACATAAGTTGCGTGGTGTTTCTGGTGATGGAGCTGCATGATCTCGTGGCTGATCACGGGCTCCAAAGCGTTGTAGTCGTACGGAAGGTCGGGTAGCGTGTGCTTGCTTCGTGTGGAACTGAAACAAGAAAAAAAATGCTTTTCAGGATAAATGTTTTCTATTGTTTGAGCAAAGTTTCAGGAAGGTTATTTTTTAGCTGTTTTTTTTTAAATCTCTGCTTTAAAGATCTCTCCTTACGTTTAAGTCTACTTTTTTCTTTGTCAGTTGGACACACCTCCAAAAATCGACCTACAACATACCTTGCCGAGATCTTGGCGGCGTTGACCACATTTGGTCGGAGAGCTCGCGAAAGGATCATTCTGCAAAACATCAAAGTCAGACTTTCATGAAAAAGAGGAGACGGATGGTATCAACCAAGTACGACAAGAAATGAAGAAGAAAATAAAAAACGGTTCAGCAAAAGTTGTTTGCTAGCGAGTCGGAAAGTTGTTTACTGCGCGTTTTTTGTTGTTTGGTGGGTTGCGCCGCGGGAGTTCAAATTGTTCACCAAAAACGCCTAAATTGACGACAGCTGCACACGACGCACCGGACCTCACGCTTAAGTTTTTTTTTTTTGCAATTTTTTTTTTTGAAAATCATGTTCCTTTTATAGCTGTAAAATCTCTATCATAACTCTGATTCTAACAGTGGTAATTTTTTTCTTGATTCATACTCATTTGACATCAACATTTCATGCGAGACTGATCTTCATTTAAAAATGTTTTTTTAGAAAAATAACGTGAGAAATTGTCAAAATGTCATTTAGCCTTCTAAATTCCAATTTTTCACGACTTCTGTTGAGATCACGATTTTTTCGAGAAACAGGGTTTATTCATATTAATCAATTTTCTACATGCATTTCAGTAGTTTCAGGGTGTTGTCCAGGATCCCACTTTTTAACTCGAGAGCGAATATGTCCTCGACGGTGGACAGAAGCCTTTTCGTTCTGCCCAACGAGTCGCCAGTGTGCCTTCTCGATTGTACAGACGCTTTCAAAGGTGGAAAAGCTGAAACAGAGAAAAATACGTTGAATTCAGGTTTAACTGACCAAGAGAAAAAGTACGCCCATTACATATCCAAGGCTTCATTTGACGGCGCATTATCCGTTTTTCTTCAAGTCTCTCCCGAATCGCCGGCTATATTCTACGTTCTTTATCATTTATTCAAAGCCGAGCCAATTGAAACCTTGAAGCGTAAGTACTTTTATTATTTTTGAATTCAGTCAAATTATTAAGAAAAGGCACTAACCGTGGGTTTTTCCGAAGACGAGTGGACAGCTCTGTTGGTTTACACCGCAGGATTTTATGCGAATTCTGGAAACTACAAGGGATTCGGTGACTCGAAGATTGTGCCACACGTCGAGACGGTTCTATCTGAAATCTATGATTTAAAAAGAAAAAATAAATTTGTAGTCGAAAATCACCGAATTGGTGAAAACTTCCGCTGCTTCGTCGATTCCAGGCGTTGTCGAGGCCTGGTCAGCCGTAGAAGCGGTTGTGGGTTCTTTGGATCAGGGACAAATTCAGTTGGGCTATGGCGAAGAGGTTTGGGAGCTCTTAAATGAGTTTTTAAGTGTGGAAATTCATCATTATTCTTTTTCATCAACGTTAACAATTTACTATTTTTCATTTTTTTTTCTGCAATGAAAAGTCTTCTTAAGTATGTTAAAATATCTCCATTCGCAAAAAAAAAGTTATTTTGTCCGTAAGGTTTTTAAATTTTTCATAAAATTGACCTCATTTTAAGGGCGTGACTTGCTACCACAGTGACAATGTCACACAGGAAGACGCCAACAAAATCGGCCGATTTTTTAAGGTTTCATATATTTTTCAAAATATGAGTTGCATTCCAATTCAGGCTTATAACATGGAGCAGTGGAATACGCGTCTTTTCAAAGAAAATTGTGATGGAAAAGTCGTCTATAGAGTGAAAGTAGCCAGTAGCGAAGTCGGTTAGTTTTTGAACTACTTTCTCGAATTTATTGTCATTTACATTCAGGAGCCTCTAAAGAACACGCTTTTGAAGATTCTACCGTTATTATTGAACGTGGCGATTATGCTCCAATCATGGGGCTGGTTCAAAAATGGCTCAAAAAGGTTGAAAAAAGTCCTGACCTTTTGAATAAAAAAATAAAATTTTTAGGCAACCGAATCTGCCGCAAATGACAACCAAAAGAAAATGTTGCTGAAGTATGTGGAACATTTTGGAAACGGCGAAATTTCGGCTCACAAGGTTGGTTTTTGTGATTTGGCATGATTATTTTGGAATCAAGGACGGTTCCCGATACTGGATTAAAGACGTTGGCCCGGCCATTGAGAGCTACATTGGTTTCATTGAGAATTATCGTGACCCGGCTGGAACTCGCAGTGAATTTGAAGGTTCTTTTTAGAGTGAAGATCAAAAATAGGAGTATCCGCTTTCACAGGATTCGTCGCCGCTGTCAACAAGGAAACTTCGAAAAAGTTTCAAGCGCTCGTTTCTCGGGCCGAGGAAATTCTGAAGCGTTTGCCCTGGGGTGCAGCGTATGAAAAGGACGCCTTTTTGAAGGTTCAAACAAAAACAAAATTAAATTGTCTTTCCGTTAATTATGGGTTTTGAATCCTAAAGAAGTCATATTTTAGAGTTGAAAAAGTTACTTTCATCTGAAATTTGATGAATTGTTGATTAAAGAACCTCAATTCAATTCTTCCTAAAAATTTTTCGAAACTCTAAATTTTCTTAATGCTCTCTAATTTTATCGAATAAATTGCTTCTAGCTTGGAAAAAAAGGACCATGAGGCTGTTGTCATAGTTTTCCTTCGGATATTTTTCGAACGGTTGAAATTTGAAGAAAAAACCTCGGACAATTCTCAATTTGAACAGTATTCCAGCCCGACTTCACCGCCCTTGATGTTATCGCCTTTGGCAGCAGTGGAATCCCATCAGGAATCAATATTCCTAATTGTTAGTTTTTTTTTTTATGTAATCGAGAAACTTGTTTTGAGGAATTTTCAAGAAGTCTTCATATTTTTTTAAGAAACAGTTTTTTTATTTTTTTAAAATCTCGATTTTTTTGTATTTTTATACTTTTTCCAGATGATGACATTCGCCAAAAATGAAGGATTCAAAAATGTCTCTTTGGGAAACGTCATTTCGGCGCAACCAAAACAGAAGATGAACTTTTTGGTTGAGGCTGATGAGGTTTCAGAATCAAAAAAATTGGAAAAAAGTTATTTTTTTCCAGGATATGATGTACAAGTACCACAAAGAGTCGTTCGAAGTTCAAGTTGGCCTCCACGAACTTCTGGGCCACGGAAGTGGGAAATTGTTCCAGAGGAACGCCGACGGCGCTTTCAACTTTGACAAAGATTCGACCAAGGACATCCTGACGGGTGGACCGGTGAGAAGTTTACCTGAAAAAGGCAGGAATGAGAAATACAGTTTGGTTGAGATAGCAAAAACGCCCAAAAAATAAGACGGGTTTTTGAATTTCATTATAATTTGCTGAGAATCGCGCGATGGCATTCTTACCTGCGTAGAGTAGCGTCAGTTAGCCAAGGTGCCATTGACCCCTTTTTGCGACTATTTTTTCTAGCCTTTTCTTTCATAATCTTCGCTATCATCAGGTCTCTCGCTCTCCAAAAATAATCTTTGCTAGGTCTCGAAATGGTACGAACCAGGAGAAACCTGGTCCTCAAAGTTCGGCGCCCTAGCATCGGCCTACGAAGAATGCCGAGCCGAAGCCGTAGGATATTTCCTCTGCTGCGACCAGGACATTCTTGAGTTAGAGTGGCTTCTCATGCAAAATAAACAAATCTTCTTTTCAGGATTTTCGGCTACCAGGGCGACGTTGCCCAGGACGTGAAATACACAAATTGGCTGAACGAAATCCGAGCCGGACTTTTGGCTCTCGAGTTTTACCAGCCCGACCAGCAGAAATGGGGACAGGTAGAGATGAAAAAGGGGAAACGACAACAAAGAATGAAGGAAGAGTGAAAAAAAGGAGATTTTAGAAGTCCGTAGAGGAATCAAGATTAAAAAAATGATTACGCTCGGAAGTCTTCCAAATTCGCTTTATAAAAACTTCATTTTTCTATAATTGTTTTCTTCTTGAAGGCTCATTGTTACGCTCGCTACGTCCTAACAAAAGTTGTCCTGGAGGCTGGACAAGGTTTCGTCACTATAACGGATACTACTGGCGAGGATGGCAAACCAGGTATTTTGTCTTTTCAGGAATGAAAATGTTGAACTGTTTTGAAGATTTGAGCTTCAAGCTTGACCGAACTAAAATTGACAGTGTTGGAAAGCCTGCCATCGAAAAGTTCTTAGCCAAACTTCAGGTTTTTTTTTTTGGATTTCTTAAGCTCATTTTAGAACATATTTTCCAGGCTTACAAATCAACAGGCGACTTTGAAGGAGGCAAGGCGATGTTCGAGTCTTACGGCGTTGTTGGACAAAAGGTTGGTTTTTAGTGGAAAAAAAAATAAAAGATTTGGCTAGAAACGTTTAATGGAGCCAATAATCTAACACATTTTCGACGCAAGGATTATTATGAAATTTCTCAGTGAAAATTTGAAATGAAGTTTAATCGTCAAAAAAAAGCGAGAAAAGCAGCTCTTCTATTGTTTTGATGACTTGCACTCTTTGTTAAAAGCTGAGGAAAAAGTGGAAAAAATAATTCAAATTTTAAATTCATCTGTTCCAGTTTTTAGTTGGCCGTTTTTTTTCACTTCATCAGAACCCCATTTTTTTTGTATACAGTCAACTACTCAAGTCTTAAAAACGTTTACTCTCAAGGAAATCGGATGGCGCAACATTTGTGTGGCGCGAAGGAAGCCGAGAAGGATTTTCGTCCAGCCCAACACTATCGAAAACAATGGAGGTTTATTCCACATTGAAAAAAAGTGAGAAAGAAACGCTTTTTTTTCTAGAAATCGAGCTGAGAAACTACCCAAGCGACTTTGGAGGCGTCATTCGTTCATTCGTCGAACGTTATGACGAGGATGCGGTCCAGCACATGTTGGAATGCTGGAAAAACGACCGAAAATGGTTCCCGCGGTGCTTCAACAAGTGCTCTGCTTAATTTATTGATAATAGTATTTTTCATTAGTAGATTTTCCTGTTTGAAAGCATAATTGTGATCATTTTTGTCTGTTTTTTGATCGGTTTAACTTATTGCGTGTGATATCCACTTGTCGGGATAAACGATTTCTAAAATGCTTTTTTTATTTTTTATTCTTTTGATTCATGGGGTTTGTGACCCAAGTTGATATGTGATCAATTTGAATATCCTAGAACTGGTGAAAGATTTTCGTGACAAAATATGTTTTTAGGGCTTTTATGGGATATTTAGTTATTTTCCTCTAATGAGAGGAAAAATAAGCTAATAAGAAAGATTATCAAAATAGATGTGCGTTCTGTAGTTGTAAATATATTATTTTTAATCATTAGATGGTCGTTTTGGACGATTCGATGGCCGACGATGAGCAAGACGTTGAAGACTTTGGTCATGTCGTAGAAATTTCCGGGAAAACAGAGAAAGGTTCTTATGAAAACTGATAGAAATGATGAAGAACTTCTATTTTCCAGCTCACAATCGAGGCGTCTGCGGCCTTTGGTCGTTCAGGCAGGAAACCGGCCCGATCGGACTCATCTCAGTCAGTCACGACAGCGCAAAACTTTGGAAGTTGTAAGTTTTACTTTTCTTCTACTCAATAATCTAAGTTTTGTTTCTCACAGAGAAGAAAAATAGCGATAAATCGGTCACCATTTCCGAAAGGGAAGTTTTGGCCAATTGGCGACCGGCCGTACAATCTTGCGACGTGACGAATGATGGAAAAAGTTTATTTTGGAACTTTTTCTGTTTTTTAATATTTTGATAACGTCAAAATGTCGAATAACTAAAAAAAAGCTCTCATAATCGGACTCCAGATTTTAAAAGAATGAACTTTCACTTGAAAACCAGTCTTTTTCAGTTTTTAGAATCCAGTTTTAGACACAAACTTCGAAACTCGAGAGCTTATTCGCTTCTCGGTAACTGGTTGAAATTTGGAAAACTTTGTTGAAGTGTACTTCATAACCTCATAATTCCATAACAAAAAATTCTCTAGTTTATCCTCATAATCGAGTTACGACGTGACAAACGCCTCGAAAAACATCCTTATAAAAAACTTGTTTCTTTGGCAAAATCAGAAGCGTCACAAATCAACTATTGAGCAAAAGTCGAAAATTTTTATTGTCGTTCTGGAATTGTACATTTCAGCCAAGTTTCATCAAAATTTCGACCAGGAGCTGAAACTTTCTCATCTGAGAACCCTCTCTCTTCTCTATTTTGTGTTGTCCTGGGCCAAATTTGTTTATTATTCATCAATTTTCTCTGTGGTTCTCGTTTTCACCCATCAGTTTCTCAGCGGTGCTGGCCGTCGGATTGGATTCGAGAATTCATCAAATTGCCGTCGGAGGCCTTGGCACCAGCCACGAAACTCGCGACTTTGGGTACATGGAGACGGTGTACGCGACGATGGCGCCCGATCGTCGAACCTTTGCCGCCGGTTCAGACTTTCTGTCGGATTCTCAGGATTTCGAGACATTTCAGCAAGTTTCTCGGGTCATTTGTCGGAAGGGATGATCGGAGAGAATGAATATGGACGCCGCGAAAAGTTTCCCAACATTCGCAACGTCTCCTGCCTGCAATATGTAAGTTGAAGGGTGTAAACAAGTTTCAAAATTGCAGGTTCTAATCCAAGTCATTTCAAGTTAAATCAATTTTCAACAATTTTTTAAATTCTTATTATCTGTTTAAAAATCCGTATTGAGTGTTTTATTATTACTTTGAGAATCAAATTTTTTTGTAAACAATAGTTTTCAGTCCACGGATATGCAATACTTGGCGGTTGGTCAAACTGACGGCGCAATCGATTTATATGAGATGAACACATTCAAACCCGCACGCAAGTATGAAGGTTCAAAAGAGGGTTAAAACATGTCAAACATTTTCCTTTTCAGTTCATTCCATGAGGATCAGGAAGATCGTGTTTTTGCCGGGTGGCGAGCAGTTTTTGTCGGCGAGCGATGACAAGCTGATCAAACTACATTCGTTGGGAGATGTGTACGTTTTGGAAAAATGAATGGGTTCATGAAATGGAAATTCTTTTTTTGGATATATTGTTCCTACAGAAATTAACTCTTCTTGAAACGTTTCAGAAACCTATGGAGAAAAAGGCTTTCTGTCTTGAGAACTCTTGAATGTTCTCTATAGTATGTTCAGACTCTGAATTTCAAGTCAAATGACGTCATTCGAAAACGCTTCATGAGTGGATATCTCTCTGATTGGTTTATCGCGCCATTAGGGGCGGAGCTTGAGCGACGACTTTAAGTTCAAAATCTGAACATACTATATGCACCACAGCAAGCTTTTATAAATATATATATTTATGAAGCGCAGATTTTTCGAAGGTACTAAGTTAGCATACACACAAATCTGGAAAAATAAAATACGTAACTTTTGATCTTTTTCCCCAATTTTTCAGAAGCCTTTTCCGATTCAACGCGCACCAACCACGCGATTCGCGTTTTCGCCGGCCACAAATCTTCAGTTTTGAGTGTGGCGGTCGATTTGCGATCGAGCGGAACGCGCTTCGCCACGGGGTCCGCTTGTGGAGAGGTGAAGTCCAACCAAGTACATAAATAAACAAAAATTTAAGATTTTCATGTGGCATTTGGAAATCGCCTCGCCAATTTGCAAGGTGCCAAGTGTGCACGAGGGAAATGTGAGTTTAAAAATATATATTACTCGGAAAAAAATATATATTACATCATTTTTTTATGTTTCCAGGTAACTGCTCTCACATTTTCACCAAGTGGACGGCATTTGCTCGCTTCTGGCGAAGATAAGATCATTTCTTGCTACAAGTTGGTTTTTTCTTTTTCGTAAACTAAAAAGTTACTATTGAAGTCACGAAATTTCACCTTCTATGGCTCTCACCTTGATAGAATTGAACTTTAGTTATTTTTTTAAGATAAAAAGATAATTATTTAATAATTAATTTGATTTTTCTAGTCTTCAGGTCCCCTCCGCATAAAAATTGATGAAATGAAAGTTTTTTTCTTTCAAATATTAAAATATTTATTAATTTATTCTCACAATTTTTCTCCGAAAAAAATATAAATTTTTTTCAGCGTCCCTGCTTCTGGAGAACCCTCGCCTATTCCTGAAACCTATCCCGAAGATGCTGAAGAATCTCACGCTGATGATAAGGAGAACTATCCGGTATAATCCTTATAATTCATTTATTTCAATTCGGCCCATAAATGCTCTTCCTTTACAGTACTACGAGCAGCAAGAAGGTGAACCGATGGATCACAGTTCTCAGAACTACGAACCGACGGTCTACGCCAGCAACAGTAGTTACTATGAGGCTTATGGTGCTCCTGGCGGACAATATGCCCCCGAGCAAACTAATTACGACTATGGAGGTAATTAAAAGATTCCTTTAATCCAACAGAATACTAAAACTTTTGAGAACTGAATTAGTGATATATTTTAAAAACAAAATTATAAAATTCAAATAAACAGAATGATAAATTTGGCGAGTCGAATTGAATAACGAAAACGAAAGAAAAAACAAAATTATAACCATATTCACTCTTTCCGCTGCTCTGAAAAGATATAGCATCCTTAACGCGACTTTACAAAAAATTCATAAATTCGAAACGATGAATAACATTTTTTAATCAACCTAAACAAAAAATTATCATCGCGATATAATTAAACTCAAAGCGTGATAATTAAACTTGAAGGAGATTAAATCTCTGAGCTTCAGAATCAAGTGCTCATGAAGGCGTAGAAGGCGAGACTCAGCTTTACGAGCCCGGAAACGAAACTTCTGAAGCATTTGAACAAACGACGGTTGGCGGAGAAGCTTTCATCGAGCCACATCAACATCCGAATATCAAATATGAAGGTGAATAGAAAATATATACGATCCGTAAAGAGTTGGAAGGCTGGAAAACTTGAAATTTGTGCATGAAAACGCGATTTTCTTTAGTTCGATTATTAACCAAACGTTTGTAAAGTAAAAAAATTTCAATATAATCAGATTACATTTACGGATTGTAAACTTTCTTTCATTTCGATCCTATTTTTCATTTTCAGAAGGACCAGAATACTGAACTATTGATGATGAGCTGCTCCGATTATCTTCATTAAAACACTTTGTTGAATTTATTCATATTTTTTTATCATCTCCTTTCTTTTTTTATGCCCAATAACATTTTTTTCATTAACAAATGAGATAAAAAAACATGGAAATCGAATTAAATAAAATTGAATAAAAAAACAAAAAAAGTAAAATTGCAATTGAAAAAAACTTCTTCGGCAACTCGTCACGAAACAAAAATTTCATAAAAATCTAAACATCTTTCTTGTTTTTTTGGAGGCTTGCGCAGGAAAATTTTACATTTCGTGACAAGCTGACAAGGAATCGATTATACTCTTGCGCCAGGTAAATTGAGAGATATATAAGTGAAAAAGAAGATGAAAAATAAAATTAGGTAGAAAAGGGCTTCATTGCTGTTTAGTTGAATACCAAACTTTTTTTTCGAATGTTTAAAGGAGCACAGACGTTAAGGGAGTTTTCACGAAAAACTCTTTTTTTTTTAGAAGGCCCTGTGCCTTAAACAACCTTAAATGTTTCTTTGTTAAAACTGTTTACTAAAAAAACTTAAAAATAAAGGAATTTACGGAAGCTTATGTAGTTGAGAAAAAATTATGAAAAAAAGAGAAGTTCAAAGAGAAAAAAAAACGAAATAGTACAAGGACATTCAAGAAAACAATGGAACAGAATTTTATAATTTTTTTTTAAAGAAAATAAAATTCAAAAACATTTATGTTAAGACAACATCGCAGAAACGCAGTGAACGAAATAAATAAAACAGGGTATAGAAAAAATTGAGAAAAAAACAAAAATGGAAAGATGGAGCCGAAGAAATGCGCTGATCCGCCGATTCTCAACGCAAAAAGCGCCGGATTCTCGAAGCCCTGCGTAAATATTCGTTGTATTGAAATAAAAAATGTAAAAAATAAGATAAGTACAGCGGTTTAATAGAATGAAAAACTCTTTTTTTGAAAAAAATTCCCCCAAAAAAATTTCACGAACGCAACTTTGAAAAAAAGTAAAAAAATAAAAGTGGAACGAAAAAAATTTCGTAGGAAAAAAACCAGTTTTTTTGATAGAAAGTTCAAGTAGAAAATAAAATTTCGCGCAAACTCTTTCAGCAGAAAAAGAACTCTCTTTAAAAAGTTTCTAAAAAAACGTGAGCTTAACTGACGCTTCAAACTTAGTTACGGGACCTCGCGAATTTCAGACTCTTTTCAGAATATAATGTTTTTCCTAAACTTCTCTCATATAATTATTTTTTAACGTTGATTTTTTGGCGGTTTTGGTACATTTTCGACAAAAAGACCATGATAAATTTCACCAGTTTCCGCTTCAAAATACTTTCTTTTTCTCGAAGAGCTTCAAATTATTTTTGGTTGAAAAAATAATAAAGAAGCATAAAAGGCACGATCTCTTTCTGCGAACAATGGCATTATTCGCGAACCCACATTTTCTGAAACCAACCACTTAATCATCGATGTACTCATCGCCGGGTTCCTCTTCATCAACTGGCTTGACTTCTTTCGGTTCCTCCTTGGGTTCTGCCTTCGGTTCCGCCTCGATCACGCTGTACAGCGTCATTTTGTGAAAGTCGGCGAGATGCGACAGAACCGCCCAGCCGGTCGTGAAGATTTGTCCGCACGAATTACACTTCAGTCGATGCTTCTTCTCATCTGCAACAAGCTTCAATGGATTCATCAAGAGAATTTTAATTATAGTATGAAGAACTGGTGGAAGCTTTTTCCTTCTGTTTTTGAGTTTTGACTTTTGAGAAGATCCAGCTTTGGTATTTCAATAATAAATTTACGACACGTTTTTTTCAATATAATCTGTTTTAAAAATGTTGCTATTGTTTTTAGAGGATCAAATAAAAGTTTCGAGAAATCGCAATATAATTGAGACTTTAGCGTCTCGCAGAAAAGATTTGTTCTGATCATCAACAGGAATTCTCATGTAACCTACCGCTGTCCTGGCCTTTATCACAGCCAGCGACCCGATGGCTCTTATAATCCTCGAAATCGCTAGTCACAAAGCGACACGAGCCACAAATCAGCGTATCTTTGAAGCCAGGAGCTGGAAAAAGATCTATTTGGTACAAGAACCAGGCAAGGTTAGAAATACGGTGTGGTTTGAGCATTTCGTTGTTGGTTTTGTCACCGATGGCGAATTCCCGATTCCTTTTCTCCAGCAAATCCGTCTCAATCATAGACACTTCCATGGCACGTTTTCCACTGAAATTGAGAGATTTTTGTATTATTTTTTTAATATGACAAATTCTTACAGAATCTCTCCTTTTCTGGGCCGATTCGGAGCCAACGTGGCAAGGTGGACGTCTGAAAAATAAATGATTTAAACTGATACATTTTTTTGAGATCCAACCTCTCAATCGAATGGTAACGTTTATTTCAAATCTAATCGTATTAGGCCTCATTATCAAATTTTTTTTCAAATTTTCTACTGTCTATTTTTTTGGATAGAAAAAAACAAATTTTTGATCACAGGTTTGAAATTAAAAAGCTTCTGAACGTCGATCTTTTTTTTCCAGCAGTTTCGTGCTTTTTTTTCCTCAATGAATTTTAAAACACGTTTTGGCTGTTTTAAAAGTGAAACTTCAGAATTTCTTTAAAACGAACCAAGAAGACTTCCTTTCCAGTGGGTTCCATTGAACATCTGAACGGCCTTTTCGGCGCTTGCAGGCTCCAAATATTGCACGAAACCATAACCCTGGAAAGTTACTTATTTTAACTCGTTCCAAATTTATCTTATTCTCACTTGTGGCGCGAAATAAGAGACTGAGAGCAATTTTCCGAGAGGGCGGAACAAATCGATGATTTCGGTGCGGTTGGTGTTCGCGCGTACCAAATTCCCGACAAAGACTCGCGACCTTCAAAAATATGGAAATTAAATTTTCTAACTTTCGTTCGTTTTTTTTTTAATTTAGAAATTAAAGACTTTCAAAAAATTAGGTCCCAGTTGAAATCTTAGCTTTCAAATGACGTTTTCTGGAACCTACTATAGTGTGTGTACCACAACTTGGAACTTCACCGAACGAGATTCCGCTGTGCCGCTGCGCGCCTTTGAGAAACTGCCTCGCGCTCTTAATTTTTTTTTCTTTTATGAAGGTTTTCTACTTTCATGTGCTCCCACAGCAATAACAATTAATTGAAATCGTGACATAGATTCAAAAGACGCTTCGCGAACGCACACAGCGGAACAGCGGAAAGTCGTTCGGTGAAATTTCAAGTCGTGACACACAGACTGTAGTGTAAATAACTTCTTTCTCAGTGAAAACTCGAAGCAATAGAACAGGAGAAAATACCAAAACTCAGAATATGAATTTTTTTCAATTTCTTTACGGCTTTCGAATTGAACAACTATAACTGTTGCTCAAAGCTCAATTAGATCAAAAAAAAAAAATGAAATTTTGTTGTATGAAAACTTAAAGTTCACATCCCTCACTGGAACTCCGCTGTACACAACAGCACAAAAAATACAAAATACATTTTTTTCGAAATGAAATTATTTTTTCACGTCAATGTCGCTCTACTGACCGAACCATAGAAGGGTCGACGGAACTAGTGTCAAATCCAACTGCATTATAGTCGTACGGAACTTGTGGCGCACTCTGCGGGGCAGTAGCAGCGGCCCTGAAAAATTTAAATCGTTTTTATATCCTAACAATCTGAAAAACTGACGGTTGAAAGTTGGCCGACGCCTGCTGCGCGTTGATTCTGAGAAAATCAGAAAATTATCACGAAATCAGTCACAAAAAATAACTAACGGTGTATAATTGGCCGAGCCTGGTTGACCTGAGGGCATCCTGAAAAAAAGTGCTCATTAAATATCTGAAAAAAAACTCCAAGAAGCTCTAAAACTAAACGAAAAGACTAGAATCTTAACTAAAAAGCCTTAAAACTAAAAATTCACTAACGCTGTGAAATTCCCCGATGGCTGCTCTTTCGATGGAAATCTAAACGACAGAAGATAAGAAAGTTCTCTTGTCAAAAGTCATAAAGCTCAAACATGCTACAGAATGACCACTAAAAGTTACTACTAAAAACTTTTCTGGAATTAACCAACTTTTGACCAAAAACTTTTTTGGAGAGATTGATATACAAGGTGAGCGAAATGTTCCATTATTTTTTTTTCCAAATTATGCAAGATTTTCGTTTCGAGTTTTTCGGAAATCTGCTCTAAAACTGAAACTTTCACTGACGAGGAATAACTGGACTGTGGAGCGTATGAGGCAGGACTTCTTTCTCTGCCCTGATAAGTTGGATTTATTTGAAGTTCCACGACTGGAGGATATTTGTTGGGGAAACCGGCAGATGCACGGTTCTCGAATCGTGGCTGCGGCTCCCGACTTTCGTACTCATAATTCGGGGCAGGTGGTGGGCCTGGTTGCCGAAATTCAGGCCGCGGTTCGCGAGAAGTGAAATATGGATCTGAAAGAAGGTTCGATTCGGGAAATAAGAATAAGAGGAAAAACTTTTAACGAGGTCCACAATGTTGGACAGCGTGTTCTCGAAGGAGTTCGACATGTTGGACTTCGATTAGCTTTTTAGACCTTAATAAAATTTGAGTGAACGAGCTTTAATCGAACACAAAAAAAACTCAATAAAACGATAATATATGCCGCTTTCCAGCTGAAAAGAACCCTCCGAGTGCGAAAACAATAACGAAAATTTTGAAAAGCCAGAGATTTTTAATTTCGCAGAGACCACGTTGAATGTGGCACGAGAGAATACTGAGAAAACATTTAGAGAACTTTGAATTCATCATTTTGAAGTAAATTAAATGAGAACTTCTATTGAGGCTTCTATAGTTTGGTAATCAAAATTCCTTGCTGGATTTCTTACAGCAGAAAACGCGTCCAGCGTTATTTCTGACTTGGAAAGCGTCTGAAAAAAGAAACACATAGTTTCAAGGTTCGAATGTACACAGCCTCGACTTTTTTTAACCTTTTCCTTCCTTCTAGCCTAGATTTCAAATTTTCATGCGATTAGATAATATATAGATAGAAAATAATAAGAAAGTTCTGAAAGCAAGTCAAAAAAATAGCTGCAAACTTGCAAGGAAAGCTCGAAATGAATTGACAAAAACATTATCCCTTTCTTAGATTACATGAAAAGTTCTTTGAAAAACGAGTAAAATGAGTAATCAAAGCATAGAAGAAAATAAAGCAGATTTTTTATTTTTCAAACTTTTGTAATCTCCAAGAAAACTCCTTTTTATACCAAATTTCTAAACGTGATTCTTATTTTCTTCTACTAATTTTTCAAAAAAAAAAAATACATGTACCATTGTCACATGAATCGGAAAAGCTTTTTCAATTAATGGCGTGTTCATTGGAGAACATGCTTCGAAACGAAAAATCGTGTTCATTGGCGCGCCAAAGTTGCTTCAAAACAGTACTAATTTTTGTTTTGAAGCAATTTTTTCGCGTTTCGGAACAATTTTCGTTTTGTCCGATGAACACGCCATAAAAAAAAGTCTTCCATGGCGAAGCTGAGGCGCCGTGGTTGCACGCAAGAGAGTTACCGTATATTTATTCTGGGTAAATTGCGCGTGGCCCAAGCAGAAATGACGCCCCAACTTGGCGTGGGCTCACTTTTTGAAAAATGTTCGCGCTCAGAACCTCGTTTTTTCCTCTTTTCTTGTGTTCTGTTTTTATTGCTTGCTGTGTTTCTAGTCATTCCGAGTTCAGGGAACTGAACAATTGAGAAATATTGAGTTAACCTGTCTCATTATCAAGTAAGACTCGTTCTGAATTAGTTCTAGCTTCTCTCATGTTTCTAGAGTTTTCTGCGAACTTGATCAATATTTAAATTTTCGTTTCTTCGCGCAGTTTAGAAGCTAATAGTCGAAAAAAGTGACGAGATTCGTAGGGGGACATAAAACTCTAAAAAGCGATAGGGATGTATTAAGACGGCGTTCAGAATATTACACAACTTGCACCGATGCATATGTCGAATACGCGCTCTGCAGTGTGCTTTCTTTTGGCTCCTGTCTTTTGGCATCCGTTTCAATATCATTGCTATTTTACGAGCTCTTGTTTCTTGTTCTTTCTCATGGTCCTATTTGTCCAAACATATTTTGATAACTAGGCTATAAATCATTTAAAAGGAAAAATACTTCAGAATGAGATATTGAGAAAAGGCTCCAAAAATGACAATATCTCTAATTTCAGATCGTTTCTCTCGAAGTATCTTTGCTGATTAGTGTAATAATCCAAATAACCTAATTTTCAGTAAAATGGTGCTCGCTACAACATCGACCCCATTGAGACCACTACCTCCAAAAATCAGCGATTACATATTACAAGTTTTTTTTTTACTCAAATGCAAGAACGAAAAAGTTTTTTTCAGTGCGAGGCTTTTCCAGCCCGAAATAACTATAACAAAAGTAATGGCTTTTCAACCCCTTTGGAGCGTGCTGGAAGTCAAAACTCGGACCCAGAATCGAGTCAGCCGAGTGACCGATATGTAAGTTTGTAAGATGCTTGTCCGAAAAATCCTTTTATAAGGTCAAATTGAACATCTTCTATTTGGTCTCCATGACTTTTGCTTCGATTTGCTTCGCATTTCTCGCAATTTTATTCGCCTATCGGCCCGATCCGATTCACAGACAGGGAAAACTAGGAACCACGTCTTATAATAACTATGTAGTGAGTAATGTTTCAAAAAAATTATCTCATTTCGTTATTAGTAGAACATTCTACGCGATATATTGCACTGCCTGGACATTTCAATCGTCATTTTCTCTACAGCCACATTTTTCACCAACTTACTTCAACTTTTATTCATTTTGAAGTTTGCCAAGCGCTCTCCTCCATCCCTGTGAGTTTTATTATTTAAAAAAGGAACCAAAATTTGTTTCTAGATGTCGCAAGTACATCCGGAAAACGAGTTTCCTACGAGTCGTAACCTACTCTTTTTGGTTCTTCTCTGTGATTGCTTTCATGGCAGGTATATAAAACTTTCACAAATACTTTCCACCACTAAAATTATTCTTCAGCTGTACTGATCACATGCATGATTGACAACACCCGTTCGTTGGCTTCAAGATGCGTTGGAGTAACGCTCGGAGTATCGGCCATCTTTCTGTGCTTCGCCGCGGTTTTCTTCACCATACGCTACTGGAGTTCTCACGTTTATCGTACCCGTTACGATCCGAGATACGACCATCTATCTACTTTGGTGTAATAACTTCAAATTTTCTTATCAGGAATATGTTGTCTTCCACCCTATACAAAAACGTTTTATTGGAAAATTGAGAGGTTCGAAAAACATTGAACCAGGTCAAAATTTGAACCGCGAAAAAGTTCGTTAGGATGCACATGTTCCTGTCGATTATGATCTATACAACTTTCGTTCTTCAAAAATTTTTGAATTAAAATTTGTTGATTGATCTACGTGTAAAAAACATGAATAACTTCTCAAAATTCTGTAATTTATTCTCTTCATTTGTTTTGTTTCCAATAGGTAATTTTTTTCTCACGTCTTTTTCATTTTTCATTTTCATTTCACTATCGCTTCTGAACAAAATGAAACAAATAAATCCTTCTCATCCTAACGTGTTTCAACTAAAAATAGCGAGCGACGCGGCTCGCGTCGCGGTCAACTTCCAGCGTAGCAACGCATATAAATATCGCATCAGCTTCCGTATATGCATCTTCACACTTAAAAGTGCAACAGTTTTGTCGTTCTTTTTTCGAATCATTTTTTAATTTCTCATTCTTTCGTTATAAACTAATAAAAAAAAGCTATTTCTTTTCTAATATACAGATGGTGGAGCTCGGAGGAAACACACCTTTCCGGCAGTCTTTCGATAACTACGTCTTCATAATCCCAGCTGTTGCCGTGGTTATCTTAGTTGGTTCGTTGATTTTCTTTTCTCGTTACTTGGATAAGTGTAACAAATTTGACTTTTTTTCGGAAAAAGGATTTTGTGCGTTCAGTGTCATCATTTAAAAGAAAATAAATCTGAAGACGGTCCGGAAATTCTTGCGAGGGTCTTCAAAAAAAATTTGTATCTTATCGACATATTATTGAATTTCTGTATTATATAAAATTATTCTTCGAACTTTTTTTCCTGATTTGAAACAAAGAAACATTCTTACTTTTTTTCAGCTTACGTTGTACTCAAACTGAAAGAAACGACGCAGTCGAAGGAAAAAAACGGAAGGAAGTGAAAAAAACAAGAAAGTCGTCAAGTCTCAATAAATTTCTTCTATCAGAATCATCAAATTTCTATCATTTGTAAATTATTTTATATCATGATTTTATCGGGCTTCCTTGTCATTCCAAATATACTCCCCCTTCTTAACTTATTACGATTAGAACTTTTATGTACTTTCTTGGTCGGTTTTTTGCGAAGTTATGTTCTTTTGCAATTGTGATATTCGTGAATGAATATTTTTTTTGTTTTCAAAGCTCATGCATCTTGACGAGAGCAAAAAATGCAATAAAAAATTATTGAAGAAGCGAAAAAAAGTCTACGAAAACTCACAAAAAGGCTTGAATGATACTAAATATTGCTTGAAGACAGTCTGGGTTTTCAAATTAAAAAAAAATTTCTTTGAAAAATCTCGTATAAAGAAGTTCAGTATGGAATTCAAAATCATTTCGAAGCTTAAAAAGAATTTTTGCGTTTCAAGGTAGATTAAAACTTATATTTCAAAGAAAAAATTACCAAAACTTCGAGATTGTACTAAAAATTACGAATTTGAGATATATAGATCATGCCGCGCTAGCTTGTCACGTTTTTCTTTCCGCAAAAAGGTCAGGTCAAATTAAACCAACTTTCGCTTCAAGACCTTTGTTTCTTGCCGTTATAAAAGCAGAAATTTGATCTCATTCGGTACACGGTCTTATTGGCAAAAAGAAAAACGTGACAAGCTGGCGCGGAATAGGCTATATCTACCGTACTGAATCTTTTTTTAGAATAATTAAAAAAGAAAAAAACCGAAACCTCTCAAAGAGAATAAAATGATCTGAAAAGTCGAAAGACTAACCAGCCAATGTTAAATCATAGAAATTTAAAATTAACAAAAAAAAAACAACTCGACGTCGTACCTAAAACTTTGAACAAAAGGCCTTTTTATGAAAAAAAGAGAAAAAAAATGGAAGAAAAAAATGTTTTTTTGAAAAAAATAAAAAGTCGTGAGTGGCCGTGCTTTTTGTGTGCTTCCTGTCGACGCTAATTCACATGCTCTCGGAGTTTCTTTTTAAACCTGTTAATTTAATTTTTCTCTTTCATCATTTTTCACTTTATGAGGAGCGTTCAAACTATTAGATTCCAGCTTTATCTTCTGAAAAAAATATGCGCTCTTTGTGCTTTAGTGCGTAACTTCCTTTCTTTCTTGTATTTGACACTGAGAAATAAATTTTTTTCAAATGTTTTTTTCAATGATCTGAGTTTTTTTACTCGGGCTTCAAATTAAAACTTACCTAAATTTTGAGTATGGCGACGCAAGGTAGTCATGGCAACATTGGCAACGCTTTTGCGTTGGCGCAATTTTGGCAACCGTCGTAGATGTCCCTGTTCAAAATCGTCGAATGGAACGCTCACCATATTCCCGAGGCTTCAGCCATCACAACAGGCCCATTTTTTTCGAGAATCGTGGTTAGACTCTTAAAATTTTTTCGTTTGATTAATTATAAAGTTAGTTGAATCTTTTCCTTGAGTTTAAGATTTCTCGTTTTTAAGTTTTTGTTTTCAAAGAAAAAAGTTTTTTAGAGCAGTTAGTTGTCGGCGGAGAGGATGGTTCGATATCCGTCATAGATCCTTGTGGAACCAAAGATGCACAAGTGAGAAATCCACGAAAGTAACTGATAATTTAAGATTTTTCTAGGATACAACTGTTCTACATTATCAAACCAAACGACCAGTCTTGCAAATGAGAGCCGGGGAATTTTTACCTTTTATGGGCGTTCAGTTGGCCGTTTTATCGCCAAACCGACTCTCTTACTACCGTATTGTTTATGGTTAATATGAGAAAGGATTTCAGAATCGAAAATTTTTTTATCTTTCAGACGAAAAAGATGAGACGTCATTCAACTTTGAGGAAATTTACGGACACGAGATTGAAGAAACTGCTTACAACATGTGCACTTTACCATTTCAAAATATCCATATTCTTGTCCAGACCGTCTTGTGCAATCTATATCTTTATCAGGGTCGGTTATCTTCATAATTAGAAAAAAGTTCATAATTTTTCTAATATTTCGAAGTACCCTAGAAAACGGTTCTTCGTCTTGAGAATTCCGTACAGTTTTGCAATAGACGTCTGTTCTAGGAGACCAGTGCATTTTCTCGAAATCACCATTGCCTTTTCTGCTCCCGGGGCCAATATGCTATTCACTACCGTCCTCCTCCTTACTACTTGGCAATGACGGTCGAATAAGCTCCTTGAAATTCAGCCTATTGACCAGCGTCTCGAATTCCTCCAAGAAAGTCACGGTTTTCCTGAGAAAAAAACTTGGCCGGAACCTTAATTTGGAATTTTGTTCAGTTTGATTGGGAGTTCAGTCTCGGTGATTACGCGCTGGACATCGAGGTCGAAGATCGGCCTCCGATCCAGCCGTCGCTGGTTGTTCTGTGTCGAAGAGGCGTCAATTGTTTCACCACCGGGGGAATGATTCGTTGGCAGATACGGCTGGAGTCTGTCGCCACAGCCATGTGCCTGTACAGATTGCCAGGAAGTCAGTTATAACAGTTTTTTTCAAAAAAAATTATGTCTCAACGGTAGATAGTACTCGCGAAGGTCTGGTAAGAAATCTTTTTTAATTAAGTCAAGCAGGATTTTTATGCGAAAACAAAAATAGATCTTTTTACGCTAGATTCCACTCAAAATCTCTGTGTATTCATGGGTGTTGAGATCACAAGACATTATTAAATGGGCCTACTTTGAGAAATTTTTGAAAATTGTTAATTATATGCTGAAAAATGGCGTTTTTCAGTTGAAACTGCATACATTTCATCAATAATCGCCACTGCCGATGAGAATATGTTGGTTTTCCGTGACGAACGGCTCGTCTGGAATTGTAATGCTCACATGGCGCCGGTTGCTCTTCTTGTGTCGACCTATAGGTTTAGTTTTTTTTTTTCAAGTTTACCGATTTTTAATGGCTTAATTCTCAAGTTCCCGTCTCATTCCCGAACACTTCTTTCCTCTCGACTTTCAAATTAAAAAATTTGAGCGTTAAAATTTCCATGTATCTTTTCTCGAGTTTTCGTTCATGGTTTTCAACAACTTTTCTTGCAGCAGCCTCTATGAAAACGTCCTGACCTTGATGTCATCGAATGGAAAAGTTATCATCGGTTACCCGGGCACGGAGCCAAATTTGTACAAGGTTGAGGCTATCGAAGATCTGTAATAATGATAAAAATTCCCAGCTGCCGCCAGAGAACCGCATAATCAATTATAAAGAGAAGGCCGAGCAATTGAAGTCCTTGGAGTCTAAAATCAAAGAAACGCAGGGAAAAGGGGGTTTTTCCATTACGATAAACTGGTCTTAACTTTGAATTTCGCAGAAATTGAGCCAAGGCTGGAGTTTGGCATCAAGTTGACCTGTTCGGAACTCCAGAAAGCATCGGTAATGGTTCAGATCATTCAACTCTGGTTTAAAAAAAACCTAGACTGAAATCTCCATTTGAATTAGAAGGGAAGCTCTTTCTGTGGGCTCTTCTCTATAATATTTGATTTTCGCAGCTTTTTCTACAATTCCTTTCTTGATCTGAATCTAAAAATGTAAAACTGCAGATGGAGCACAACACGAAAGGACCGGTCTGTATCCTCACAGTTCAATTCAACGGCGTCGCGGAGGCTCAGAAAATCCACATTAATGTCCGTTCATCGCTCTCAACTCCGTCTCGACAGATTGTTCTTCATAAACCGAGTACATTTTTCTTTCTTGAATTTTTTTGGATTTTTTTGAAAAATTAATTTGATAGCTATTTTTACACGGCAGTTCGTTAAATTTTTCTTTATTATCTATACTTTTCACGTTTCAGACAGGCAAAAACTGAAATTTTTTTAATCGGAGCCCTAAAAAAAGCAAACTTTTTTTCAGAACTTGTTAAAGCTTATAGTAAAAAAATTTAAAATATCGAAAAAAACCTCATTTGTTCACTTAAAGTATGTCGTACAAACTTTGAGGTCTTATAAATTGAGAAAAGTTGAATTCTAAAGATTCATTCTTTTCTAAATAGTTATGAAGTTTTTGCCGGGGAACTAAATTACATTTGAATTTTAAAATTTCAGGAGAAGGCTCCCAATTGAAAATCCCATTTTTCGTCGGTAAGGAGCCTCCAACCAGCTCCACCGTCAATATTGCGGCTCATTGTTATCCATCACAAGGTACATTTTCTGCTCATTGTTTTATTCGCCAAATTTCAGCCTCGAGCTACCGATCAATCGAAATGCCAATGGAACTTTTGTTCCACGAGTGCTCCCTGGACAGGAATTCCAAGTATAAATTCACGCTGGACACTGATTGCGCGGTCGTTCCCATCAATTCTCTGTTCCCAGGTTCTTGACTTGATTTTTTGAACATTAATTAGGAATTTTAAGCTTTTCAAACGGATAACCCCTTGACGATTGGCCTACAAGTTCATTCCAGCGACGCGACCGTTTCCATTTTTGCGGCCAATAAATCAAGTAAGAGTTTGGAAAATCACATCGTTCAATAACCAATTTTGATTCTTTTCTTTTTGTAATATACTCACTTTTTTTTATACTATGGACCAAAAAATGTCCTTCTCCACATTTATCCAAAGTTTCTTTTTTTCAAATTTTAAATCAACAAATCTCTGCAAGTTGTTTTCAGCAATTTCATCCTTTATTTTTTTTAATGTTTTTTTTTTCTAACATTTGCTAGATATTGAATTCAACCTCACCAGTATGACCTTGAATAATGTTCTAGATATTTTCTTCCACAAAATAATTTGGAAAAACGCAAAAGGTTACAGATCGCTACAGAGTTCAAAGCGACCGCCTCGGTTTGCTCCAAGTGGCGACGGCTGCCTTGATCCAAAGACTCCGAGAAACAGTCCCCAACATCAATATTGGTGGCAAGCAGCCAATCGAGTACATTTCTCTTTTGCTCGATAACATTTTAGAGGTTTCTATTTCTATTTTCACTGCTTCATTCCATTTATTCAGCACAAAAAGTTGCTTGACGCGGAAAAAGAGAGAATGGAGTCGCGGATGCGAGAAGTTCGTTGTATCGAAGCGCTACTGCTGAACAAGTCGAAAAACACGAAATTGGAGAATTTGGACCATATCGATGCGCTTTTCAGCAAGTCGCACCAACAGGTCAACTTTCGGAAGAAATCAAAATTTTTCCTTCTTAGAAGCTTTTCTCTCTATTTTTTGAATATTTTCTACAAAAACCTTCGCCGAGGTTATAAAGGGTCATACCATATTTGAGTCTTGAGACAATAATGGCGAGTTTAATATTTTCAGCTCCTAGCAGCGATGGACGCCTACACGACGTCTCAAAATAAATACAAAACCGAAATTGAAGCTTTAGGTTGGTACAAAATTGAATGTTTTGAATGATATCGCCACGCGCTGCAAATTATTCTAAATAACCTGGAATATTTCAGGTTCATTATTCCAGCTGACGGCCGATGTTATGCGATGTCAAAAAGCCGTGGCTTACATCGACGGCAATTTTTATGTCAATACTACACAAGTGAGTTATTGGCGTCGGAAAACTTCAGGCGTTTTGAATAAAAAATGTGTGTTGTAATTTAATGATCTCCGCAAGTTTAAAATGGTGCAAAAAAAATCAGAACTTTTCAAATATCAGTTCTTACTTTTCAATAAACACAAGAAAAAGACGTTAGATTGTTTTATTTCAAGGTTAGCACTCGTTTTTGATTCAAAACTGAGTTTTTCAAAAATTTTCTGTTCTCAAGTTCAAAAAAAGGCTCATCAGTTCCGTTTCAAACTTTTTTGAGCTTCCTTGAGTTAAATTTTTTTTTTCAAAAATCTTTCACGTCAAACTTAATTATCTTTTTCAGTCCCTGAAAGAAAGGCTCCAATGGGCGTCGAGAATGCACAGATCTGGCGAATCTTCAATGGTGGAAGCGCTGTGTCAGCACGCTCGGAAAGATCTGCCGCAAATCACCGAGGAAGAGGAACCGTCCAATGAACCAGTTGCAGAGAACGCAGAATGAAGAGATAATATTCATACATAATTTTCGAGGAGTTCTGAGTATCAACAACAACAATAACAACGAGAAGGCAATAACAAGGAAGATAAACATATGAAAAATCAAATCATGAGATCGAAATCGTCACGGGTGTTGTTGTAGTCCAAGACGTGTCTCTTGATCTTGCTGGCATTGGTCCAAGTGACGGTGTCCTCGTGTAGTCGCGTCACCATAAATGCCGGGTCCGTCACGAGCTTCGTTCCCACGCGGACGTGGCCTTGCTCTACCTGGGAGTATTGATCGGTTATTATTGTGACAAATAAGGCAATTTGTGACGGCGCTACAGAAATGGATTCATTTAGCACTTTTCCTCGTTCCATTTGGAAGTAAACAGACAATCTATCATCTGGAATCGATTTTACACATAAAATAGCATTTATAATAATAAAAAAACTTAAACGGAGAAAGTGAAAACTTGACTATAAAAAAACTGGGATTTTTCGTTGGTTTTTTTTTCGAAAATTTTTTTTGAAGGAGAAATAATAAATAAACACCCAAAAGTTAAATTCTTACGTGCAAAACCAGAAAATTTAAAAAATGTTTTCATTTTTCGAATACGTTCTTCTTATTTTTTTGTGTTACAAAAAAAACGAATAGAAGACCATTATATTCTCAGGTTGTCTGGAGAGAAAAAAAAGTTACCAAGTCACTGGCGGTTTTCACACTGTCGACCATTCCACTGTTTTTCATGACAACAGGAAGCCTCCTTCGGGCAAAACTCGCACCGGAAACCGAAAAGATTTTCTATTTATTTCAAGAGTACATGAAAAATAAAACCTTTGAAAGCCTTTCCAAGCCATCGGCGGTGGGTATAACGCCGGCGGCGTAAAAACGATCCAAAAGTTGTTTTGTAAACTCATTTTTCTTCAAATCTCCAGGAGGCAAATTCTTGATCAGTTCAGCAATGGCTCGAACCTAGAAAAATCATCATTAATTTATTTATTCATGCAAAGTACACTTGCACTACTCCATTCAATTTAAAAAAAATCGTATTTTGAAAACTTCAAGCCGCAAAACCCTCATAATTATAATTTTTGTTGATCAAAATTTCATACATAGGATAATCGAAAAAGGGTATCGCGAGACCCTCTGAGGTATATCGCAGGCTCTGAAGTCTCACGATGGTACTTCGAAGATACCTTTGAGGATTTTGAGCTAAATGATATATACTTGAGGGAGACTCTAAAATACCTCCGAGATGGCTCAGATATAGCTAAAAGGTATGCTGAAGGTCTCACGATGGACATGTTATAGCTTATTCACGGCTGCCTTGAGCCATCGAGAAAAGGGTCCTGACACGAAAAGAGACGAGACAGTGCCCTGCTTGGTTGAGAGTGCAGACAGGCCACGCCTTTTTGCGTCCCAAGCTAGCCGTGAATCGTCTATATGGGGTCTTCACAATCCATTTTGAGAGGTATCTTTGTGGACACATTATAGTACCTTGTCGATTTGTCTGTGTAGCTTGTAAAGCTCGAATTATTTTTCTACAGTAAGAAACAAAAAATTAAAAGGGCCAATAAATAACAAGGAAATTCTGACCTCGGCGGCAAGCCTATTGTACAACGCGTAGTGTTCTCTTTTCGTGACATGAAACCTAGGAAAAAAAAAATTGGAAATTTGAAAGAGTGAAAAATCGAAACTTTCTCAGCATTTCACCCTGTCGACCTTGTTGGTCCACCTCCCATTGCATGAAATCAGTCTTTTTGAGCAATTTCTGCTCGTGCATTTTGAGCTTTCGCACCATCTTGAAAGGCTTTCTAGAAATAAAAGACCTTATCTGTCGTGTCTTCCTCATTAAATAAAAACTGGCAAAAAAAGCCCTTTACAGGAATTCGCAAGTAAAAAAATGAAGTAAACTTTTATACATGATGGATAAATAATCATTTGCATTTCAAAGGTACAGATACACATAAAACTGGATAAGCTGTGTTCGGAAAGCAAAAAATTTGTTTGAAGTGATCAACATACTTTGACAAAGTTCTCAACGGATTGGTCAGACGCCAGCGACTTTCCGCAAAAGAGAAAAGAAAAACAAAACAAAACACGAATGAGATTCGCGCAGAATTATTTTTAATTTGGGTAAAAATGGAGAGAACTAGAAGCGCGAAAATGTCACGGACACACTGGATATTCAGAAAAATGAATAAAATTGAACTCGAGGGATTTGTATTCCTTTTCAGTCGTCTCATTTTGAAAACAAAAAAACTTTGATGGAGATCAATTCTTCGAGTTCATTCTAGAAAGTAATGAAAAAGTTTTTCCTAAAAGTAGAAGAAGAAAAAATCTATTCAGTAAATAATAGACACCGAATCAATCACAAAGAAACGGACGGAAGGGATCACATAAAGCAAAACGCTAAGAACACAATTGGAACTGGGTTTTTGGTTTTCGAAATATAGCCGGTTCACAACAGCTTTCTGATGACAAGACGCAAAATTTTTAATTCAACTGACCAGAAAGCTCTCATGAATCAAATATAAAAGCCTAGTCGGAAAAGATTATGTCAACCGTGCAATATGTACAAAACGTCGATTTATAACAAATGGAGAGAGAATTGCAGTTACGGAAAATGAAAAAGGCAAGGGTCCTTTGAACTATCGACATAGTCACCCTGGAACCTTCGAGATCGTTCATAACTTATTTTCCGGATAAGAAAATCTAGATGGCTGGATTTGAATTTTGAGAAGCTGAGACAAGGCCTAGTTATATTGTGAAGTCGAAAATTCCACCCATACATGTATAGATGAAGTGTACAAAACGGCCTGCCCAAAATTGATAAAAAAGAGGAACCAGTAGTCAAAGAAGAAGAAGATATTCCAACACAGAATACATATTGCAGCTGATGAAAGGAAAGATAATCATTTGAAAAAAAAGCGGTTAGCAGCATTTTACTTTTTTTGAAAAGGAAATTGTGATTTTTATTTAAATTATGCCTTCCGTTGCCGCTTCATCTGTGACGAAGGCGAGGTTGGGGAGCGCGGGCGTTTTTCGATGGCGTTGTACCTATATTCATAAATTATCCCTTTTTCGGTGTTACAATAAAACTTTCAAGGAACTTATTTATTTTTCTAAAAATGAAATTTATTTAGGATGAACTCTAAACGTTTTTTTCAGACCTTTTTTTCTGCCTTCCGAAATTAATTTTGTCAAAAAAATTAATTTTGCAATAAAAAAATATAAAGAGATCGTTTCTAGTAAGGTTCGGGTGAATTTTTCAATGTGCTAGAAATCGCTCAAAATCTTGAAAATTCAACTGTTCTTCGAACAACACTTCGACGAAAATTACTGAAAAAATTATGCAAAAATGGTACGAATTGGATGATACTAGGATCCAGAAAAAAAAATCGGAATGAAATTAAATTTTTATTGTTCGCTCATAGACAGAATTCTATGGCGAAGAGGAAGAGTACCAAGAAAGTTATATTGCCACCACTTCGATAAAGTACCAATTTGGTTCAAAAAAATATTTCGAGTTGAATCAAATCAAATCGAAGAGAAATAACATTAAAAAAGTAATCTATGAACGAGTTAAATCATTTTGTGATATTTGAAGCTTCCGTATAATTCTACAAAGGGTTGAGTTACACTTTTTTCAGTGTTTTTATTAATTTTTTTAACACTTATTCCTATGCACCTGTGAGGCGAGGAAGCTGTTGAGATCGGGGGTACGGTCACGATGCGGCGAGGAGGAAGTGGTGTGCTGGGTGAGCGCCTGTTGGAAAAGCTGCATGGCGGCGGCAGTTTCGCTCGAAGCGACCATTGGCGTATTCAGATGCGCACCCTGGAAACTTCCGTTTTCTGTGAAAATTCGAGTTGAAAATTACCTCATCAGAAGACATCCGCATGTTCTGATAGAGAACTCCCAGAAGAGAGTTGAAGTCAAGTTTTGTGCCAGAAGAGAAAGCGGCCAATATTTCCTGAAAATGTGGTTATTTTAATAGTTATTTCTAGCGCCAAACAAACCTTAGCCAATACACTGCGTCCAGCCTGAAATCCTTTATCGAAACCTCGCTTGTAACTGTCGATTGAGCTCTTAAACAAGTTAAAACATACATTTTGAATATTTTCTAATTAAATTACTTTGTACAACTGTGTGGTCCCGGCGGCCGCAGTCTGAAGGCTTTTCCATGTCGGATCGCCGTAAAGACGAGTCACAGCTTGGGCGCAATGCTGAAAAAAAAAAATAATTTTTGACATTTTGTACTTTTGAAATGGCATCATTGACATTTAGAAAGAATTTTTGTTGAAACTAAAAAAGGTTCAAATAAAATGGGATCAGAATAAAATTAACGAAAAAAATAAACTGAAATTCAATTTCCATCGTAAAAAAGAAGCCTGAAAAAAATAAGCACGACAAAGTAATCATAAAACTAATTAATGTAATCATAACGTAAATTTTTCTGGTCTTTGTAAATTTTTGGATTTCAAATAAAAATACCTCAAGTCTTTTTTTAAGTTTAATTCCTAATAATAATATTTTTTTCTAGTATAGTTTTTCTAATAAAATGAATTTCTTTTTGATGTTTTTTTAAAACTCCGAGTACAGATTCTTGGTGTGGATTTTTGTAAAGCAAATGGAAATGTTTCATGAAGTTTCATCGGGTCATTCGAAACTTGCGCTTTCAAAAAAACTTCAACAATAATTTGTGAACATAAAAATTTTTTTGAAAAAAACTCAATTTTTAAATTAAAAACGACTGCTGACCTTTAAATAGAACAATCTCACTTCTTTCTTTTATTCAAACAATAAAAACCTCGAAATCGTTCCAAAGCTTCTCATTATCGCAGCCGTCTTCGCCGCAATCACAACGTTTGGCGGCGCCACCCGCGCCGCCCGAACAGTTAGAATGATCATATGACATTAAGAGTCTTTGCACTGAAATGAAATCTTATCAAGCTTATTACAAAAAAATAATAAGGCGAACAAATATAGTTGCCAAAAATATAATGAAGACAGGGCGGCCTGGTTAAATGAAAAACATGAGCGGCCAATCAATATCGCTGGTGTAAGAGGGGAGAGCCACGCTTTTCATCATTTCGTAGTTCGGAGGGTACCGTAGTTTGGAAAGAAGCAATTCAGGTTGGATAAAAATAAAATAAGAACTGAAATAACTTCACAGTTGTGTGAGAAAGGAGGTAAGCATGAAGAAAAGCATACTAATTTTGATTTTGACTGTAAAGTACCGTAAATAGACTTGAAAAGGAAACGTTGGAAATTCAACTTTTACAAACACGTAAGTTCTAAAAATTTGAAATTTTAATCGAGTTTTTAAGCTACAAATCCATCTAAACCGTGAATCTTCATACACATTACTCCAGAAAAAAAACAGGAAAATGCGAGAAAAAATTTTGCAATATTTCAATGGTTTTCGTAGAATCTTTATAATGGGAAACACCTTTGTTGTCATGATCAATGGGCAGGCCAAAAAGTCGCTAGAATCAGAAAGTGACTGATTTCTAAGATAACAAAGTTTCCTGCTTCTGTTCTTTACGATGGACGAAAGAGCAAAGGAAATTTCTCAAGAACTTGCTCTAATTAGTACAAACTAATACGGAAATTATATATATTGAAGCTTTTGCTGGAACCAAACTCGAAGAAATACAAAACTTAGAAATAGAGATAAAAAAATAAATAATTATCTTCCAGAAGATCAGAAAAAAACCACTTACCCATGCATTTAATAAAAAAAATTGGTTTTTAACTGGTTTCTACATTATTGAAAGGCTCTTAATCAAGAGGAGAAAGTGTGAAAGAAAAAAAAAAACACGCTCATTTAATCGATTCAAACGTTTGGAAAATGGGCTAACTAAAAAACAACCTTTGCTCAGAAAAATTACACAGTTAAAACGATAACCACCACGACTTTCATCAATCTATAGCTAAAAGTGTATTTATTGAATAAAATTAGAGAAAGCGAGACGAGGAAAATCGAAAGTTTTGCGTAGCGGCTGGACGACTCGAGAAAATTGCGATCGCCATCGCCTCCCTTCACCGTATGACTTTTCTCTCCGTGGAGCGCGTATTCATCTTGCAAAAAAATTTTTCAGCTTTTTCAAAAAAACTAATTCATATTCCCAGTTTAGTTTAGTTTTTTTCCATAAAGTGTAGGTTTAAATTAAAACTGAAACCATTCGTGAAAAAAATCTAGGTAAAAAAATTTTTCAAAAATACTCACGAGACTAGTTAAAAAAGAGAGATTTTCATTTGTTTTTTATTTTTCTACAACTTTTATTTTTTTTGTGTACTTTGATTGAAAGAATGTGGTTTCCGTGACGATTTCCAAACAGACTGACATTTTTTTCATCAATTAATCTGACTTACTGAGCGTTAAAAAAACTTATCAGGCTCCTCAAGAAGTCACTATTAAATTTAATATTTTTATTTAAAAAGTTCGTTATTGTTCAACCTCTTTCAGTTGTTTCTCTTATAAATATTTTCAATTGACTTTAATACATCTTGTATGAAAATCAGACTGAGTTTCCTTAAAATACACGGCTTTTTCAAAGTTTTTGTTATATGAATTTTTTTCAATCAAAAATTTTTTTCTCTCAACCTTTTTTTACCTAAGACTGCAGCTAAAAAAATTCTCACTTTCTAGCTATATTAAATAGTTTTTTTAGCTGAGAAATTCATTTAAAGGCGCACCAAAAAGGTCGTCTTTAAACGATGACCCCTCTGTGTAGAAATGATGTTGAAATCTAACTTGCCAAATGGAATTATTGTTTTCTTGTCGTGTTCATTATTTTTCCAGTCGTTCGTCTGTACGGGTTTATTGGTAATTGAGAAGTTCTTCACCAATATGTCTTTTAAAGTTTTCTTCAAATTCATGTTCAGCATCACCGATGAAAAAATTCCTATCAGAAGAAAATGCACGTTACTCAAGAAAATGATTTACGATCACTCGTCAAAAAGGTACTGTTCCAAGTTTTTTTGTAGAAGGCTCAAGCACTATTTTTAATGGCAGATCAAAGAAAAAGGGACGCTGAAAGATGAAAAAATAGCGACGTGCTCCGAAATTGCCGAGTCGCTACTGAAAAACGCATCAAACAATGTAGTAAAACACGAAATATTTTTTTATAATTGTTTTAAGGGATTTTTGCCGACGTCGCTATTGGATGAGCTGTGTTGGTCGATTTTATTGAAAATTGGCAATACTGACTTGAAAAAAGCTGTGGCAACTGTTGCCACCGCTGTTGGAGTCCTTGAATCTTCGGGATCTGAATACTTAAAGTACGACTTTTAACTGTAAAAGATATTGCCGTGTTCGAAGCGAGATCCAAAATAGCCGTCAGAGAAAGAAAAAGATTAAATTTCGGAGCGTCAGATACGATTTTGCATTTCGCGGAAATTACTCTGAACATGGCATATATTTCAATCTTCTTTAAAATTCTTTCATAGGTGTATACAATTGTATTGACAAGTTTAATAGCATTTTCTAAACGAAAAACCGTTTTCAATATTATTTTCGGGTTTTCAAAAACGCCTTTTAAATCTGTTAAGATTGTGTTGTTAAAGTGCAATAATTAAAAAAGTCCCTGCTACATACATTGCCTTTCTTACTCAATCATTTAGCAGTTACAAAAAAAATTCAAAGGCTTTGAAAAGCCTTGGATAGGTGAAACGTTTTCGGAAAGTTATTTTTTCCTCAAAGTTTTCAACGGAAAGGGCTTTTTACCGGCTTTTCAATCACTTATTTATCAATTTTTAAAAGTCATTTTTTTACTTATTCAAAATGATGATTTTTCACGAAAATAATGGAAGGATTAAAAAAACAACCTGAATATTCTTAGTTTTCTGAAGAAATTACCGTATTTTCTTCAGATTCCTAACTTGGGCGACGGAAGTTTATCAAAAAGTTCCTCTTAGAGTGGAAGAAGAACGGGCGAACGTTGTTCGCTGTGTTGCGAATGTCGTCACCGTCGATCGAGGCCGATCTTTCCATCAGATGACGCAAGAAAATGCCGAAGTTCGATTTTTAAGTCTAAGTTAAAAGCATTTCAAGAGTATTTTTGAATTCATCACTATAAATCCGATTCACGAGGGTCTTCAAAGCGCTATGATCCTGCAAATGAATTCATCCTTCCAGAAAACCTTCGCCTGGTTGATGGAACGCTACGACACCAGGAGTCCGGCCGTTTTCGCCGAGTTAAATTTGGGGATTGTGGTTTTCGGACAGTCCTACGCTGGTATCTTCTGCAAAAGCGAATTGGTATCAATTCGAAAATTTCCTCTGAAAATCCTCATTTTTCCTAGAAATACTTCAAAACAGTTCTGAAGTGGATAGCAGACAACTCGAAAAGTTCCAGCGATATCGTGACTTGTGCCGAAGCGTTCAAGCAGTTGTGGGAATTTTCCAAAGAAGATAATTTAGTGGATTTGGTCGACTACGGATTTGCCACTATTGACGATGTTGTGGTAGGTTTCCTGGTCGGAATTTGACAAAATAAATTGGTAGATGTTCAAAAAAAGTCCGAAATTGACGCTTGATTTTTTTTTTCTTTTGAGAAGTTTGTGTTTCAAATAAGCTGAAGCTGGAGGGGGCGGCATAGCTCAGCTGGCATAACTCATTTCTAACGTCCGCAAGGTCGTAGGTTCGAGTCCCCCCGAGGTCGACCAAGCCTTTCATCCCTCCGGGGTAGATAATATTGGAAGCTGCATGCAGCGAAAAGGCTCAATCTCTGTCATCGGCCTTTGGAAAGCCGGCACCGTACTTCTTCCTACGACCTCTCTTGTACCTGATGTTCTACGAGCGAAATTCACAACTTCTCTGCCTAAGCCACAGCTCCTGCCGCCGTTTAAACACAGTTGAAATCAATGAAAGTCGATTGCACATGTATTCTTACATTGAAGATGCAATAAACAGTAAACAAAAACAGAAGGTTCATAAGGTTCAACAATGAGAAAACGTCAAAATTAGTGAAAAAATCTATTCTTGAATTTTCCAAGCTTTTTCGCTAAACGTTCTATCCCAGGAAAAAATTATAGGTATTGGGAAATTTCTGAGGTTTTTTTCTTGTTTCCTCAGAACAAAAGTTTGAATATTCATACGTTTTTATTTTTTTAAAAGCTGAAATAATCGTTTTTCCAATTTTAGACAAACTCGACGCGCAAATTGAACGGGGCCATTCGCATGATAGAAGCGTTTGCGGAGTATTCGACTCTCATCGTTAATGTTTACCCAAATCGGCTGCTGGAAATAATATCTCGGGTTTTTTTTTCGGGAAAGAGAACTTTATGAAAATGATTTTCCAGGCCCAAGAACTGTTCAAAAGACATTGGAATGATTTCTCTGATGCGGCTGTTAATTATTCGCATGCCGAATACTTTTCGTCTTATTTCGGGCTTTTCGGTGTCGTCGTACAGTTGAAGAGTGTCGAGGTTCGTACTGTGACCGTATGAAATGAAGTGATTTTCCATCATTTTCATACAGATAAGGAAGGTCATCTAGGTGAAAGAGAATAACTGAGGACATTATCCAAATAATTCTCCACTTTATTGCTTTCGGCCTTTGGAACGTTAAGATTTTTTCGAACAGTATTGAGGGTTATACATTGCAGAGATGAACGGAAATGAATTTTCAAGTTGCGGAATGCAGATAAAAAAATTTTTTGTGCGACCATATTTTTTTTTTACGAAACGCAGAACTTCACAAAGCGCGAAAAGCATAATGCGGAAAACCTTTCTCAGGCAGAATTTTTCGAATTTTGAAGGTGATACTTATGTATTTTTCGACAGTTAGCGAGTAAAAAAAATGATTGGACTGTGAAAAATTAAAAAGAATTGAAAAACGCGAAATGCAGAAAATTTTTTTTAGCGGAATTCCGCTCATCTCTGATAAATTGCTAATAGAACCCGAAAAAAGCTATTTTCGAAATGATTCAAATTTACAGCAAGCTCATTGGAAAGAATCCTCTTTGGCTGCATCCCTCGCTTTATTACTCTCCTCATCGGCTTTTCTGATGTCGACCGATAAAGCGATCAGAAATGTTGTTGGGTTTCTGATCAAGGTCTTTTCCTTCTTCTGCCTCTTAAATGATCCCTTCTCAGGCAAGCTCTTCTATCAGCTCTCAAGAAGGGCTCGAGAAGCTGGTTCAGTTTGTCTTTGATGAGAAAAGCCCGTTTTTCGGTCCTGAATCAGATGGCTCTGCGTATTCGTTGATAAGGTTTCAACGAAGAAAGACTTTTTAGCGAAAAGAAATGGAAAAGAAAAGAAAAGGAATCAAGATAAATTCTAACTCGATATTCGAAAAATTCTCAGTGCGAAATAAGTTTTAGTTATGAGAAAATCAGTTTTTTTTTAATTGGTAGAATAAAAAAAAATGTATTTTATATACATTTCTATATATAAACGAACAAATCTTAACTCTTTCAATTTTGAACAGAAAATAAAATTTTTGGATCGTACCTAGGAAAAAATACATCTTGCCAATTTCTCAATTTTACGACTTGAAGAAGGAGTACATACTTTTATACCAATAGAATATTAAGGATTTTTGAACCGAACTTTAAAAAAATATATATATAATTTTTTTCCAATTTTCGTGTATTTCAAAAAGACTTTTTTTGTCCAAATATTCTCTTTTTTTCAAAAATTTGTACTAACCACAGTGTTTTTCCCAGAAGCGACCACGTTGGAATGCTGACGGAACTTTTGCAAACGATGCTTTCGCCGATAAACTTGCCCAGTCTTCAGGCATCTTACAAACCTCTGAGAACTCTTGTTATTGGCACGAGAATTCGAGAATGCTCCCTTAATTTACTCTGTATTCAGACATTCTTGAAAAGTTGGCATCAAACAGTTATTCGAACGCCACATCGGTTCGATTGGCTGAGATACGATTTCTCATTTGTCTGACTTCTGTCGAGAATATAGCCACCAAGAAAAACTCACTTATAGTGGTTCGTTTTCAAGAGGGGATGATGAATATTGTCAAAGTTTCATTCCTTGATCAATTGACAATTTATATAGTTCATTCCGCGCCAGCTTGTCACGATTTTCATGTTCCCCTGACAAGAAAGGTGAATTTACTTTGCGGTTAAGAATTCTCTGAAAATTGGTCAAAATTGTGAGAAGCTGGCGCGGAATGGGCTGAATGTACCTGATAAATCTCCAATGATATCTCTTCAGATGATGGGGATAAAACCTGCGTTGTTCCAATTTTTGCTAGAGGAAATCCCAATTGCTGAACAGTGGCTGAGCGATCGACATCCGGCCGTGTACCATGTCGCCCTTCAAATGCTGGTCATGCATTTGAAAGCGTACGTTTTTGGATGGGAATACTCAAGTTAAGAAACATTCCGTCCAAAAGTTCCTGCTGGGCTCTCAAATCATTATTGTAGGACTCTAACTAGCTCTTGAACCGGCTCTTGATTTAGAAGGATCTATAAAGCTTCCGAAAAAGAAAAAAAATATCTTTGATAGAACAACACCGTCCACTTTGGATTATGAACTTTTAACCAGAATATATCAATTTCTTGACAGAAGAGCATCATGGCAACCAGGAAGAATAATTTATCCAATTTTTTTTTCTTTAACTTTTCGAGCTCAAAGATCTATTTTAACATCATTTATCTTGTTCAAGACAGAATGGCTGCAAAGATTATGGGAAGAATTGGAATCATTGAAATTTTTAGGTTTTTTTGAAGTTTCATTTTTCGAAAACAAGGAAAACCTTTTTTTCCAACCCAGCCTAAACCCAAATGGCGCAGAACAAGTCTGCGCCTAACAATTTTTTTTTTTTGATCATTTTTACATCAATTCTCCTCAGACAGAAAATTTAACTGAATGGTATTTAAATTTTATTTTCTCTATCAAATATGTTGGATTTTATTAATTATGAATTTCCATTTGGGAGAGTTCTTGGAAAACGTGGCGTTCTCGTAACTTTTTGCGAGGAAAATAATTGGCTATTTGCTTTGTGTGTGCGTTGAAACCAGTTCTCAACGGGTTCTCGTTCATTTGACCATTGTTCATTTTTTCAGTCTATCACTGTATATTTTTTTTAATTTCTTGAAAATAGTTAAGATTGATTGAAATATGATTGGAAAACTTTAGCCACGAGTTCTACGTGACGCAGTCTTCTTGGCTCGTTCCAGCGACTTCGCCCGGGATTTCGCAGTCTTCGAAAAGCGAATATTTCCGACAGCAAATTGTCGCTCTTTCAAAGATATTGAAGTTTAAATCAGATCGGATTTGGAAGAGGACAAGGTGATTAGAAGAATAATGATGTGAAAGGATTTGCAAACATTTATATCTTAACTTGAATAATGACATATTTTTCGAAATATTGAATCAAGCTGGAAGTCTTCTCCTAAGCCATCGATTGAAGCCAAAACCCCTTGAATCTAGATGGAAAAAGATATTCGTTATTTTAAATCATCGAAATGTAAGGATTGTTGTATTTCAGAATATCTATAGGTTGGAAATCAACCGACGTTTATTAAATTCTTTCAATATTGAGGGATTTTCATTTGATTTCTCGTATGATTCTCAGAAAACTATTTTCAGTGCTCTGATAATGGAATGGCTCGAAACAATCATAGGAATCATGGACGAGACGTCGCTCCAACGTGTTTTGAACGAGAAAGAGTTCTCAGAGCTTCGGGTCACCATCCGACAAGCTCTTTTGAACGAGGGAAACATCGAAATGTGAATTTTGGCCCGAAAAAAGTGTTTTGAAAGGATTTTTCTTCAGTTTACTTCCATTGGCTCAACGATTGTCCGTGTTTTCTCAGGGCGACTTCGAGTATAACGTGTTTTTGGACAAGGCTTTTGAGAAGGTTCTTCAATTTTCAAAGATCTGATGCTTTTTAATCTTCTTTTTTCTGGGACCTGAAAATAGGCTTCATTTATTTTTTTTTTTTCGAAAATGGTGTTTTTCGAAAATTTTGAAAACGATTTTGAGAAGTGTACTTGATAAATTTTGGTTTAGGGAAATTATTTCCCCAGAGAATTGATGGAAAGAATCGAAAATGAACTTTTCTGTAGTATTTTGGATTTTTGAATCATTCATGAACATTCTCACAAAACTTTTTCCAGATCAAAAAATCGGACGCTGCTTCGGCGAAAAAGTTCTGGGCCGCTTTCGACAAAAAACTCATATTAAGGTTTTCGGGACAACTTGCGTGAATAGCGAAATTTCCTCGATTTGCAGGAAATGCCTGAACACTCACAGTTTGATTTCGCAAGAAATCGTCCAGAAACACATAACATCGAGCACTTTCGGCGTCGAAGAATTCGTTGTCATCACCAACTTTTTGGTCAAAGGCGTCTTGCCTTTGCCTTTCCAGTTAGTAGATGTGCTTTGAGAGAAAAAAAATCCGAGAAAAAAAAAGATCGACGGCTTAGTCATCTAAAATTATGGGAATGCTGTGAAATTGATAGATGATCAACGAGGTGCCGTGAGAAAAGAAATTAAAAATTAAAAAAAAATTTTTTGTCTAGATGATCACAAGCTCAAAATAAAACGCCATGAGGAGCTGAATATTTCTGAACTTTTGAGATTATTTCTCTAGAGCCAAATTCAAAATTGATCGCAAGAAGAAAGAAAAAAGTTTTTCAAACTTTTATCTGCAGGTTTCCCGAGAACGACTTCATGAGCGAGACTTTGGAAGTCCTGGTGGCAACTTGCCAATCCTTGGAAGAGGGCAAAACGGCCACCGAGCCGCCAATCGACGGAAACCTGATGGAAAAATGGCGCTGGACTTTGGCCCAGACTGTCATGTTCTGCGTCTCCAACAAGATGAAGACGCCTCTGGGGAAGCCGATGCAGACTTTTTCTGTATTTTCCGGTGAGATTATATCCAAAAGAAAGATTCAAATAGAGGTTCCAGGAGAGTTGGTGAGACTGGCTAAAGAAGCGCTCCGAGGGAAAAAAGACAAGGAATCGGAGGAGAAGAAGGAGATTTCGATCGTCAAGAACACTTTGAATGACCGAACTTTTTCGGCGAGTGATGCGGAGAAAGAACGCGACAAAGAGACAAAATCGAGGTGATTATTGGGTAGAGTGTACGGAAAGATGTAAAAGGGTTCTCATTCAAAAAAGGGCGGAAATAGTTTTTTAGTGTATTTTTTTTGTAGGTTCGTTTTATCTTTGGTTCGAAGCTTTGAAGATTGTATATTATTAACAAAACTGTCTCAAAAATGTTATTTAGATGAGGAAATTCATTCAAAATATAAAAATAAAAAGAGAAAGAAAAAATCTTTTTCGCCGAGGACAGCGAGGAAGAAACACAACAGTTTGATATAGTTCAAAGGTTCAGGTAGTTTGCCCCTTTGGGATAAGAAAATAAAATACATTTCGAGCAATATTAAATAGGTGCTACCACTAAGAATAACTGACGAGATAAACGCGGGGTCGGTGGCGGTACATTGACGAGCTCGCAAACATCTCGCTTTTTTCTAGGCGCGATCACGCATTTATCTTGCATTTCGGAAATTTTCAAATTGCGGGAGAAATGCGAGCTCGCGCCTAGAAAAATGCGAGATCGCGCCCAGAAAAATATTAGACCGGCGCGAGAAAAAAAAAAGCGAGTTGTTATTTTTGTTTGCGAGCTCGTCAATGTACCGCCAGTGTCTCGCGTTTATCTCGGCAGTTATTTTTTTAGTGACGACAAGAACGCGTTTTTTTCATTTCCACGTTTTTTTAAAATGGCTGTTTTTTTAAACTAATTTTTTTAATGAAATATAAAAAAAGGGTAATTGATGCATTTTAACGGATTCCTGTCGTTATTATCCATTTCGATGAAGTTCAAAATTAAAATGAAAAAAAATCGAGATGGAAAATGCACTTTTGTCGTATCACCATTGCATAAAGAAGCTGTGGATACAGCAAGTATCATTGAAAAATAACAGTTATAAAACTATTTTGAGTTTTGCTCAGACCTCTTACCGTGGCTGAGGAATGGTTACGTGTACGGCTTCTCATCGAGTTTGTCGAGATTCTGGAGAAGATGATCGTCAACGCCAATAACAACGGCACAATGACTCCGTTATGCACTCCCTTGACTCAACAAGCTCGGCAGTTCTTCACGACCAATGCCAACAGTTGCAACGAATGGCTTCTCCGGACCTACTACTCGGCCAGCGTTGTTTCCTATTATAACGGATACTATGCGCAGGTGTGTATGTCCGTCAACCGAAAGAAAGATAAGCAGAGGATCTCTTTTCTGTCTTAAATGGATCAACTTCAAAAAAAATTCAGGTCATTCGATTCGGATCAAACTCTCTGGCCGAGTACGAGAAAAAGGCTTTGTTGCCGGAGAAGGAGGAAAACGGGCAGGGCAAGGTGCCGCCAATGGTCCTGCTGACGGTGATGTGGATGGCGAGGGCGATGGCGGCTCTCGGATTGGAGCAGGCGACGAAAGGACTCTCCAAGTGGTGCTCCAAGGTCTACGGCGTCGAGAAAGTGCCCGTCGTCGACGCCATGGGACACATCGCTTCTGGACGGTTTTTTTCAAAAGAATATGGTCTTGGGCCATACGTTGAATGTTTACGCACCGTGTGAATGAGTTTGAAGCAGGAAAACTAGAGTTTTAGGAATGTATCTCGTAGGCTGGAAGAGTTGGAAAAATTTATATTTACTTCTTGAAGCCCATTTACACCTCATGCGTAAACGTTCATGCATCTGACCGTTGTTTCTCAACCTTCTTTTCTAGATTCGAAGACGCTCTCACACTTCTCGAAGCGGTTTCCAAGGAAGACTTCTCAGACTCGGCAAAAGTTCTCGTCCGAGACACTGTTAGGATCCCTTCAAGACGTCACAAGCCTTTCTTCCATTCCAGATGGTCTATGCGTTGTCTTGCGTCCGTCTTCCGCAAGCTTTCGACTTTTTCCAGCACAGTATCGAGGATAACGAGTCGGATGAGATTAAATAGTAAATTCTTACGGTTTTTCGTTCTGGGGTCGTTCATATATCATGATAATAAATCCCTGAAGACTTCAAAACTTCCGATTTGGCTTTCTTATGAAAATTTGAATTCTCATGAAAAATTGAGAATATGTTGAGAAAGTTTTTAGTGGCCACTGTAGTATTCGGATTAATATCCACTGAAAGAGAACGCTAAGAGGGAAAACAGGGGCTTTTGTATAGGTGGTTTTAGTGACCATCTCAGCGACCTCTCCTAGTGGTCCTTGAAAAAACCTCTAAAGTGGCCATTAAAGTTTTTCCAGTATATTTTCATAGTTACCAGCTGTTAAAAAAAATTTTGCCTCAAAATCTCAGCTTTCAAACTTGAAGGAAACATATTTCGAAATATTATAATTTTCGAAAGTGTAAGAAACACTCGGCTGTGTTGATATGTAACTACTAGTTGCTTCTGAAGAGTTTTGAACTAAAATTAATTTCACGATTCCATCTATTTCCCCCCTTTGCAGTGTCCACATGCTCACGAACTTTTCAAAGCCGAGTAATCCACCCCAGAAAAACAAGCTCAACTGGAACTTGTCGAATCATCTGATGGCCCAAGAGGCAACGTTGACGCAGATGATTAAAAGGTACAGCTTTTATTATTCATATATTTCAGGACAATACCCTCAATTTCAACTTTTTTAAGTGGCACATCAGGAAAGGGATGATTTTATAGATCCGAAGTCGTCGAAATGAAAGAAGAGCTATCGTCTTTGGCTCGTTGCGCAGTGTTGGCTGATGCAAGTGGGCGTGTCCATTCGGGTATCGCCACGAATTTCATGGTGGCCAGTGCGGTTCTCGACAAAATCAACAGGAAGAATACCAACTTGACGGATGAGCAGATTGCCTTTGTGAGTTTTCCTCAGAAAAGATACATCTGATTCACTATGACTTGATCGTCATGTGAACACATGATCGGTTCCGGCTTTAGTAGCGAAAAATGAAAGGAAGAACATACTTACTCGATAGCTGCGCCCGACCTCGAGCGACTTTTCTCCGCTTTGCTAGAAAGATGCCGGCGCGCGCAAGTCGTTTTCTTGTGTCTACGCGCTGGAGTAGTATGTTTTCCCGAATATCGCAAGTCTTTCAAGTTTCTCTACGTGGATAAATGAGTGTTAGTTAAGATAAAAAATTGCGGAAAATAAAGAAGGGATGAAAATCCAGAAAGAAATGAACCATTACCGAGAGTTCTCTTCCTTCAAATATGTTTTTTCCAATTTGCAGAAGCTGGTCAATGGACTCAGCACGTCTTTCTTGTTGGAAAATGGTGATCAAACTGAAATGACGGAACGATTGACGATCGGCCGACAGTTGATCAATTGGGCCGCTCATTTGAACTCACACCGTTAGAAACAATTACTGAAAGAAAGATATTTTGAAGTTCAGGCGTTCCGAACGAGATGCATTTGGACTTGTTCCGTCTGGCGAGAAAGTCTGAAAACCGCAAACTCGCCTATTTCCACCTGACTTCGTTGAATATGGACCTCCAAAATGGCCTGATGCACCTTCACATGGCTCGGCAGGCCTTCAAGCTTGTTCGTCTCAATTCTTTCCAGAAAAGTCGTCGATGTTGAACTTTTAGATTGAAAGCGATCCGACCAACACGGATGAGACCATCGTGCCGGAATTCAATTCGCTTTTCCTGGCCATGGCGACGTCTTTCCAGTCGGATTTCCATTTCAAACAGACCATTGGGCTTAGAAATGTGAGTTCTATGAGTTATAGGCATAATTGAAATGGGAACTTCTTCAAATAAGGATCTTGTTGAAAGAGTTTGTTGAGAGCAAAGTGTTGGCACAAGGGCTTTATCGGATTCAGTTTCTTTAATTGAGATGAGTAATTTTTTCAGTTTTATTTTTAAGTTAAGGACTCAATGAACCCTTTTCGTAGGCTGTTTGTTCGAACCTTTTGAAAATAATTTACTTTCCAGGAATTTAACGTCGATCGCCTGTCGGAAGCTATGCAGAACTTCAGTATGTCTTTCCAGATGCTTCTCAAAAGTTATAATCACTATTTTCAAGATATCCAGCCAGGAACCGCCGAAATGATGGTCAAAATGAACGAGGCGATGGCCAGGACCGGAGTTCAAATCGCTGATTATTTGGTCGCCAACCCAGCCGCTTGCTCTTATTTCGCTCCGAAATGTGCCTCGACTATCCTTTGGGTTGACCAACGAGAAGTAAATATAACCCGGGTGTTTTTGAAGCACGAAATGCAGCGACTAAGCATGGGGACGTCGGATTTCGTCGGTTCTTTGTTGGTTTTGGCGACGCGGATGTGTCCGAGACTCTCCAAGGCGCACATGAAGCTCGCCCAGTGGGCCTATGACTTCGCGTCGAATGGCTCTGTCAGGGACAAGTTCTTCGCCCATTGTAATGTGAGTTTTTGGGAGAAAAACAGAAAACTGGCTGCAAATTCATGGAATACAACAATCTATGGATTAGGGCACTACAGCCGTCGATGCCACATTCCACTCAAAGTTTCGAGATCAACCAATTTTCGCATTTCATCTTTTCTACAGACTTTTTTATATGAATAATGCTCGAAGTCTTGAAAACTCGAATTTTTTCGAAGTTTCCTCAAAAAAAAAACTGGAAGGTCCAAAATTTGTTTCGATTTTTTCGTACAGCAACACATTTCGAACAGTTCACAGCATATTTAAAATATTTTCATTACGACTTTTCATTATCAACTTCCTTTTAAAAAATTTTCATTATGAAGTAAGATGTTTATTGTTTTCAGGTTCCTTTCGGCGACGCCAACAGCAAGGAAGCTCTGTGGAAGGCGTTGAACAGCCGAACTCTGGCGCAGTTGGAAACGGAAGTCTCCAAAGCGATTGGAGCCAAACTTGCGCCGTCCGTTTTTCTTTCTGAAATCAGAATTGAAATAAACGTCGGAACTATCCTTTTTTCAGATTGCTCCTGACGCCCGAAGGATTTTACGTCAGCCTGTGGACTGAGGTCAAGCATCATCGGATTCGATTCTACGAAATTGCCGCTGAAGCTTATTTTTCTTACATCAACATGTCGGCTGGTTCCAAGGTTAATATTAGGAAATCAGACTAGGTTTCTTATGACTTCTTATGACTTATGACTAAAATCGTTCAATAGCTTGAAAAATGGCGGCCTTTAGAGCTATGCCCGACCCTGAACGGTTTTGGCACTTATTTTATGACTTATCTGCGCAAATCATCTCTGTTTCCTCACCGGCGACGTCAGAGAAACAAAAAAATAGCACGAAAATATGGGAGAGTCGCTTACAGACGAGGAGGGCGCAGAGAAAAACAGCAGTTCGCGTCGCGAAAAAGCGGAGTATTATAGCTTCGCGACCGCTTTGAGCCATTCTCAACGTTTTTCCTGCCATGATGATTAGATAACGGAGAATTTTCCCACTGAACACTTAATTTGTAGAAAAACGAAGGCCTCGTCTCGGCGACGTTGAAAATCCTCGATCTTCTGATTCGCAATGGGGATTTGGTCATCGATACGGTTGAGAAAGGGTTGATTATAACAAATGTTTTGGCTTGGAAAGGTACGAAAAATATTGAAGTGGTAAATAATTGGGTTTTCAACAGATATCCTACCACAATTGTTCGCCAGACTCTCTCATCCATCTCCGGAAATTCGACGAATTTTAGTGGACCTACTTTCTAGGATTTGTAAGTTTCAGGGAAGAGAAAAAAATATTTACACAGGTTTCATAAAGAGCTGTTGATAGTATTTTTCTCGAATTTTGCAAGGCTTTTGCGTTTTCGAAAACTTAGCATCGTCGGAAAATGAACTAGAGCAAAAAAGAAAAAGTGCAAGAAACTTACTTCAAAATTATTCTAGGCGTTGCCGCTCCGCACTCTGTCGTCTTCCAAATCGTCGCGGGCGCTTCGACCTACTCACTTCTAGACACGGAAGACGTTATGTCGGCTTCGGATGCTCGTGACGACGAGAAAGTCCTCTCCTCCACTGACGTGCATTCAACTCCCACGTTCTCTGAATCTATAAGAGTTTTCAGGAACGTTCTCAAATGAGCGAATGCTGTCAGAAGCTGGAGCAACACCTCGAGCAGTACTTCCCCAAGTTGGTCCGAGACGTCCGCCAGTTTGTGAATGAGCTCCAGCGAGTGAATATGCTGAATGAAGAAAAGTGAGATTCGCATTTTGGAGAGAGAAATTTGAATACTTGCGGCAGGTGCAGGAAAAAGTGAATGTAAAACAAAAAAGGAAAACTTGAAAAAAATAACCTGAAAAAAATTTTTGAGTGTGAATACTGAGTTTGGTCGAAGTTGTGTTCAAAATGTGCTTCAAAATACAACCTCTTCTTATGCAAAAAAAAAACATGAGGTTTAACTTCGGCGGGTCCGCAAAAAACTTCTGAAATTTCTCCCGTGATTTCATCTATATTCTGGTCAATCCAGGTGGGCGATGGTACTGAGTACGATGGAGTACGAGATGGAGAAGCGCCTGGCGCAGATTCGAGCTGAAAATAGCAAAACTGTGGCCGCCAGTCACCTGGAGATGGAAATTCGGACGGAGATTATCGAGAAAAAGACGAAGTTGATCACTAGCCAAGTTCTAGAAGTTAAGAAAAAAAATCTCATGCTTCTCTTCTAGATATTCGAAGTCCTTGACGAACTGTACGAGAGAACTTGCGTCAGGCCGGCGGAGACTGAAAATGAGCACGAGTTCCAAGAATTGTTCGGAGAGCAGTTGAAGGCGGCTTTCCAGGAGTCGAGGGACCATCGAACAAATCCGGAGAAAGCTTGGAATCCTTTCAAAAAGGTGCAGGATTTTGGAAGAAAATAATAATGAAAAAATGTTGAATTAATTTCAATATCTTACATTTAGATCGCTGCCAACCTGACACAAAGGAATGCCAAACGAGGCGGGCAAACCTACAACATGGCCAGCATCTCCAAAATTCTAAGCAATGTTAGCTTGTTAAAATAGTCATTCATCTACTTTTATCTTCTTCAGATGTCAAAATCAAGTGTTCCGATGCCCGGACAAGACTCGGTTGACTTTAACGATGTGATTTCTATCGATCGAGTTTCGGCTCAAGCGCAAGTTCTGCCGACGAAAACGCGCCCCAAAAAGTTGTGCTTCGTTGGGAGCGACGGGAAAAGGTGAGAATGGATATTTCGAGCAGAAAACAAAATTATGAAGAAATTCTATCTCTATTTGACACTTGCCAAGTTTTGAATACTTTCAAATTTAGAAAAAAAAAAAAAGCTTTTTCGTATAAACTCCCCTCTAGTTTGCCGTTTTTTGAGCTGGTTCGAGCTCTGTTATCATCAAAAATATATCGAATAAGAAATTTCCAGCCACGTTTTCCTCTTCAAAGGACGAGAAGATCTTCATCTCGATGAACGAGTCATGCAGCTTCTGCGCCTCTGTAATCGGATGTTATCTGGTGGAAAGGCTAAAAGGTGCTCATTTAAGGGTTTTTTGTGATTGCCGAAGTGAAGCCCACAGAAATTATTCTAGAAAACTTTGAAAAGTTTAAGCAGCTAAAGAACTATAAGCTGGGGAGTAGAAGTTGACTCACAAAATATTCAAAAAGGGTGGGTGAAGTCCAACTTTTATCCTTAGGACGGTAGTTTTGACTACAAGTTGATTTAAAGTTCAGGAAGTAGTACTGACTTTAGTTTGGGAAGACTCGGGAGAAGGAGATGGCGCCTTTTAAAAATGGTCTGCACATTCATGGGTTTGAATTCACTTTTAGCTCAGATTCTAAACTTCATAAAGTTCGGTACTCTCAGCTATCTAGAACTTTCAGCTGCTGGCCCGAGTACACGGCTCACAACTATGAAGTGATCCCTCTAGGACCCCGATCTGGTCTCATTCAGTGGGTCGAAGGCGCCACCCCGTTATTCCACATCTACCGCCGCTGGCAGTTCCGACAAGTTTCTTATTTTTTTTTGCCGATTCGACTTCTTCTGATTCTTCAGAAAAGTCTGAAGCAGGCGACGACTAAGCCGACAGAAACAGTCACGGTTGGCGAGTTTGATCGGCCCAGCGAGATTTTCCAGCAGAAACTTAGGGCCGCCTTTGCTAACCATGTGTGTATTTATTGCTGTGAATATAGTGGAAAAAGACGCATTTTCGGAGTGTTCGCCCCTTTCAGAAAGTTGCGTCCACAGTGATGACGGACAGGAAAGAATGGCCTGAAGACGTCCTTCGAGAGGTCCTACAGTCCCTGATGCAGGAAACGCCGAAAGATCTTATCAGCAGGTAACTTGGGACATGTTCAAAATTAAATCAACTCAATATTTTCCTTTAAATAAATTAGCAGAAAGCTGCAAAACTCGTTTGATAATGGATACATGGACACTATCCGCAGAAATTTTCACCTCGGAAAGCGCGATGAAGTGAGATTTTACAAGAATAAAAAATGTTTCGACCTTCTGTTGGATCTTTAAAAAGTGATCTTTGAGGTGTCCATTTCCGAAAAAAATCATGCTGGGGAAGGTTGAGATACCCAAAATCTTCTTTGATATTCTCATGAAATTTTGTGAGCCATTTTCCAAATAACTCTGAAAATCAGAGTAAAGAGCCCTCCTTCATGGGGAATATGAACTTCCAGAGAGTTCTGGATGCGAAGCGGCTGCGCGACGACCTGGTGGAGAGTGACAAACAGATTCGCACGATCTTGCGCCGTGATGAGCATGATCGGAGCGATTCTGGGGCTCGGCGACCGTCATCTAGACAACCTGCTCGTGAACCTCGCCACCGGCCACCTCGTCCACATCGACTACAACATCTGCTTTGACAAAGGCCGCAACCTGCGCGTCCCTGAAACCGTTCCGTTCCGTCTCACGCCGAATATCGTCAGCGCCCTCGGGCCGACCCAGATTGAGGTGGGCGGATTTTTGTATTTGGCTCGTCAGGCATAACATTCGGGAGATTCAATGGAATCCATTTTCCTGGTGGCAACCGAAATTGCTCATTTCCAGAAATAACGGAAAGAGGTAACCAATTAACAGATAGCCTAAAGATATTTAGAAAAAAATAGTTGGTATAGTCAATGTTTCCCGACTTGAAAGGCGATGGAGGCGGGGCAAGGGGCGGGACGCGTAGCGTGTGTGTTCGCGGTTCTTGGCACGAGTTCAATTCAATTGCCGCCGACTATATAAAAAGCGCGGCAACCGCTCTTTTTCAATGTTTTCTACTATTTTTTGATGAAAACATGAACATTATCAATAACTAATTGAAAAAGGAATGAAAAGAACGAAAAACGGGAATTTAAAAGAGTCGATGGCGGTTGAATTGAACACGTGGCAAGGACCGCGTACGCACACGCTACGCGTTCCGCCCCCTGCCCCGCCTCCCTCGCCTTTCAAGTCGGGAAACATTGACTATAGCTGGGATTTTTTCTGGTTGATATTTGGAAATTTCACATGTCTTATTGAAATCCTTCGGATAGGGAATTCTTCGTTGGGAATCAGGACAGATCTCACTTCGCAGTGTTTGAGGAACCCACTTTGAAAATGAAATTTCAACTGAACTCCTCGGAAAATGAAAAGTTTCAAATTACTGACTGTTCCTAAAGTAAATAAAAATTTCACCTAGGTTTTTTTTTAGTTTTCTACGCGGTCTTGCTTCCACTAGAGCTCCATTTTGAACATTTCAAACTCCAAGGCTTCAATTTTCAGGGTGTGTTCCGTGACTCTTGCGAACATGTGTTGAAAACGCTGAGAGCCGGCAAAGAAGTGTTCATGACGATGCTGGACACGTTCGTCTACGACCCACTGGTTGATTGGACCGCCTCTGATCACATCACCTCGAACCCCATCAGCTTGGCTCTCACTTTGGCCGTCTATGGTCTGGCTCTCCCTTTGGCCGACTTTATTTCCATATGACTTGCCGCGAATGGGATTTTATAGGTTCAGAATGGCGCGCCAACAGCGTCCGATCGATAGCGCGGGAGATGTTCGGCATCCGATTGGTTGAGCTGTCGAAGCCGTGGATGGATAATTGGTAATTGATTGTACCATGGATTTTGTAACAGCAAAGTTTACTAGTGAGGAGATCCGAACGGCGCTTCAAAGAGTCTCGGATGTGCTTCTGAAGCAGTCGCACATGAATCGAGCGGTCGCAGATCGGGATAGGATTAATCAGGTGGGTTTCTATGGAGAAGTGGCGAAGTTATATAAAAAGAACCTATGAAATGTTAACAACGGAGGTCATCTTACTTTCTCAGAAACTTTCCGAAAATTGGCCAGAAAAATTTAATATGTACGGGATCATCCGGTCTGGATGAAGATTTCACAAGTCTCAACCTGCTAAAATTCTTGGTTTTTGTCAAATGAGTGGCTCAAATCTCCGAAACGGCCTATTTTGACTATTTTGATTTTTTGCGTCTTTTCTCAAATATTTGTGAGTGAATCGCTTGATTGCAGATCAAGATAAGGCTATGGGAAAACACTGCAAAGACTAGCAAAGTTCGAGAGTGCAGCCGCTGCCTCTAGAGATATCAGAGGAGTGAGGGCTCTAGTTTTTTTTTTCTGGGGCCTCTCCTGGTCCCTGCTTTTTTAAATCATTAGTTGTATGACTTGCGACAAAACTTATGTAAAAATAAAATTTTATTTTCAAAAAAAAAATTAGCGATACGTGCAAAATTTTTCTGTGCAGCTTTTCGAAACACTGGCGCTGAAGATTCTGGGCTCCTGCAGAAACTTTTCAATAATTATCCTTTCTTGTATATTCAGGAACGTGTTGAATGTGGGCGGCAGTTGAAATCGGCGATCGCACGACACCATAACATGATGAAGGATTTCCGGCCACTGATCCGAGTTCTTGCCGGCGTATGATGCAAATCTTCCCTTTCGGATCAAAATTATCGTTTTCTAGTGTGATTCGCGTTTCCACGACTTTATCCGAATGTACAAACAGTATTTTGGAGAGCCGTTGCTGAAGTGAGTGGAGTGGTCCTTGAAAAAAGGATTTGGATGAATTTTGCAGGGGCCACGCCGCCTTGGATTCGACGGACGCCGACATTTCCTCGTGTCTTCAACACTTCGAAGTCGTCTTGGAGCATATCAGAAAGTTAGAGCGAGTATAGTGCTCAAAGAAGTGTGGGAAATAATGTCGAAAAGTGTCGCCGCGATTTTTAAAAGCTTTCCGAGCATTTTAGCTTTTTCAAACCTTTGTGGTTGCTCTAGTGAAACGCCTCTGAAAACTATTTCTAGCAGCCAATCAGAACTGTTTCTCGTTAGAGCGAATATCAAAAAAGAAGCCTAATTGAAATTGAAACAGTTTCCGAGCAGTATCATTTTTTTTTAATCTGCATTCTCAAGCTTCTCCTCAGCAAAAAAGTCTGTAAAAAAGGTCTAGGTTCAACCAATTTTGCGTTTCTGAGCTGAGATACAAAGTGAAAAACTTGAAAATTTTCAAGTTCCCTTGAACAATTCTCAGATCAAAAAGAAGGTATTATTTTAGAGTTTTCGAAACCCTGACTCTTTTGGATGGCGAACCTGAGAAACAACCGGCGCTGGAACCACCACCCGGCCTTGAGAGTTGGTGAATTTCGAAATTCCACTCTGTCGGTAAAAGTGAAGATGTTGAAACTAAATTTCCTTCGCTCAGGGACATTGAAAAAAAAAATTGTAGACTTAGAACTATCTGGTTAGGCGTAATGTCCTTTTTTTTCTGGTTCCTTTCTTGAAAAAAAAAATTCAAAAACTTTTTTTTCCTTTTCTCATTTTTGTAAAAATTTTTTAATTTACAGTTTTCCTATAAGATATATGAGTATGAAAAATGCAACTTTCACTTGGAAATTCGAAAAACCAAGAGGACTTGATCTTTTTTTTTCAGACCATTAGCTGGGCTGGTCCAAAAAGTCTTACTTAAAAAAATTGAAATCTTTTTTTGTCAAAAATAAAACTTTTTATCGAGAAATTCGCAATGCAAAAAAAGTTATATCGCTTTTACGTTACGGGTTATTCCACTGCATCTTTATCTTTTATTTATTCGAAAACCTATCTATATACGGTATGCTGGGAATGAACCTATTATTATCATTAAAAAAAAGTAGAGTGAAGGTAACTTTATTGAATTCCAACAGATGCTTGGGTGTCGAAACGGGAACAGGAAGAGAACGCACACGCGAGAAATGTGGTCAGCGAGGTGGAAAAGCGCCTGGATGGCAAAGTCGAAGGCTCAGAAGTGGCGGTGAGCCCGCGTGAGCAGGTCGGAGCTCGTCTTCGGTTCACATCAACTGGGAATGCCTTGTTTAGGCCGATCTGATGATCGAGCACGCGACGAGTTTCGGCCGGCTCTGCAAGATGTACGAAGGATGGACGGCTTGGGTGTAGTTGCGACGTCCACGGCCTGGGCTCCTCGCCTTCGTCGTGTCAACTTTATCATCGGGTTTGTTCGCAACCAGAAAATAGTTATCAGCGTGTTTCAAGTATAAGAAATGAGATAGGATGATGTCCCAGAATGAAGGAACCATGCTTAAAGAAAGACTGTTTATGCAAGATTTTTGATTTTAATTTACCAGGCTGTCCAATAATTTGTCCGAAAATTTCACCATTTTTAATTTTTTTTTTAACCTCATTGAAAAACAAGTCTATTCAACAATATGATCACCACAGTTATTCACGACGGTGGCCGACGCCCTTCGCCCAGAACTCCGGGGGCTGCGACTCGAAGAAGTCCGCCAAGTCGGATTTTAGGCTGTCGTAGTTGATGAATTTTTTTTCCGGCCAAACGGTGCTCGAGCGGGCGGAACAAGTGGTAGTCGGAGGGAGCGAGGTCCGAGGAACACGGCGGATGCGAAACCGTACCACAGCCGAGCGTCGCCAACTTCTGCTGGGTCTCCTTCCCCATGGGGGGAGAGGGGGGCGCTGTTGTGCAGAAGGTGGACCGAGGCACGTCGGGGACGCTTTTCTCGGATGGCGGCGGCTTGTTTCTTGAGCTGATTGGTGTAGATGGAGGCGGTGACCGTCCTGCCTTGCGGGAGCAGCTCGAAGTACAGCAGTTCTTGGCGGCCCCCCAGCAGCAGAGCATGATCTTCAGCGGGAGCAGGTCGGCTTTCGGCGCTGTCGGCGGCTCTTCTTCGCGCGGGATCCAGACGGCACGGCGGTGTCGTTGTCGTAGAGGACCCAGGTCTCATCTTCCGTGACCAGGTCCTCGAGAAACTCCTTGCGTGCGGATGAAGGAGGAGGGTTTGACGACGGCCACGCGGCTCTGCTTGTTGGCGTCCATCAGACGGTGGGGATCCCACGGGCCAGAACTTTGGGATAGCCGAGTAAGTTGAGTCGATTGTGGATGGTGGACTTGCTGCAGCCGAGCGTCGTCGCCAGTTCACGGGTGGTGGCTTCCGGCTTCTCCTTGATACAGCGACGGATTTCGTCATCATCCACTGTACAATGCCTTCCGTTGGGCTCTCTGTCCTCGAGGCTCGTGTCGCGGCTCTCGAAACGATTGAACCGGCGCCTGACTGTGCGTTGGGACACTGCATCCTCCTTGCACGCTCTGCAGATGTTGGAGACCCCGGTCCCCGTGTCGTTGCCCAGCAGCAGCTCTTAGTACACGAACGTACGAATTTGACCTTTGTCCATTTTAGCTTCTACTGGTAGTTGGACGCTGCGATTGCGCCTTATATACCCCTTGGAACACTGGAGAACCTTCTAGAAGGTTCTTACACTTGCCTGATATTATACCACTTCAAGAAAATTATAGAGTTTTGAAAATTTTCGGACAAGAATAATTGGACAACCTGGTAATATTCTTCTTTCTTGTAGGCACTACAAAGGTCGAACTTTTTTCATATGAAATTTTTTTAAAATTGAAAGTGCTTATTTTTTTAAAAATTTTTTTGCTGAAAATTTTTTTGAAAATATAGTCAATGCACCCCGGCTTAAAAAAAGCGAAAAGCGAGGGAGACAGAGAAGTGGGAGGGACGCGTAGCGTGTGCGTACGCGGTTCTTGGCACGAGTTCATTCAAACGCCCTCTTTAAAAAAAGAAAGAAATAAAAAGAGCGATAAACGAGCTCTCCTAATAGTCGCTGGCGGTTGAATCGTACTCGTGCCAAGGACCGCGTACGCACACGCTACGCGTCGCGCCTCTTTCTATGCCTCCCTCGCCTTTCAAGTCGGGAAACATTGACTACAAAACTGACTTTTACGAACTTTTCGCTGCGAAGAGCCGATTCCAAAAGTCCAATAGCATAAATGTATAAAACCTTAAATAACGCGGAAAATTTTCTTCATGCTTCTTTTAACAGCTCAGTAAGTATCCTTCAGCAGATTTTGTTCAGCAGTTCAACAGTATTAATCTATGAGAATGCACTTTTTGATCCTTTAAATAATTCAAAGCAATAAACCTTATGAGTTCCACTTGAATAATTTATGATTTTCTTTTTTGAAGTCTGCGGCGGCGACCGCGTTCGTCTACTACGATGTGCGCGGTTTTGTTGGTGGGTCTTGAACAGAAAACTTCGAGAAGGCGGGCTCTACTTGTCTCCAAAAAAGAATCTCAAAGCCTCGTTTTTGTCCTTCGGTTTCTGTTGTTTTATTTGTTCTCTTTGTCTAGTTTTGGCGGCGCCTGAGGCCCTCCTTACTGAGAACTTTGCGGCAGTTGCATTCCGTCGCACCGCCCACTCCAGCTTCCGCCCACCACTATTACCATCATCAGTTGTACCGTATACCCAATATGTTAACATCCAAATCATCAACTTCTCTGTATACGATTCGGACAGGATTTGTTCTCAAACACTCGATTTTTCATTTTTTTTTTTTAATTCGGATTCTCGGTTCTTATCAGTTTCCCACTTTTTGTTCTGTTTATTACTTTAATTTTTTATTCGAAGGTTTTTGCATCTTATTTATAAGTTTTGGAGTTTCTGTGATTTTTAAATGAGCAGGGAGGAAGAATGGCGTCTAAAAACGAGAAAAATGTTTCCAAAGAGAAAAAAATTGAGAGATAATTTTGTTCCCAATGTATGATCTTTCATCAAAAAAATTTTCGGAAGCACAAAGAAGGACGAGAAAAAATTCGAAGAAAATTATCAGCGAAAAGTTCCATTTCGTCTAATTCCAGACTCGCCCAGAAACTCTGAAACCCTAAGTATGATGAAGAAAGTCCGTATTTTTCGACTAGTTGGGATTTTTTTAAACTTGAAAATTTCTTTTTCGATAACAATAAGCCTCAATTTCTTTCTTTTTTTTTTTGAATCTTTTAGTCTTATTTTTCAGTTACAATGATAAATTTTTTTTTAAACTTTAAAAATGTATTTTTGCGACGTAAAATGTTCTGAAGAATACTTGTTTTTTTGAAGATTGAGTTTAAAAATTTTTCATTTTCATAACAGGCCTAGAAAAAAATGCTGTGGTGTGGATTTTTAGGTAGGATTTTTGAGACTTTTGCATGTCATTCCAAATTTTTTTCAGGGCTTGAATTATTCCCGAGGCTTCCCACCTCTTTCCGAGCCGATCTTGAGGTACGCCTTTTCGAACTTTTTTTTTTGATTTTCAGGCAGAGAAGGGAGGAAAATGGTCATTTCCTTTTATGTTACGTAATTTTTCATTTCGAAGATTCACTAGAAAATATTTTAAGAAAAAAACAGAAATTGTATTATTGACCTTGGATAAAAAGTTGGATAAAAAAACTCTTAAATTCCTTTTCTTTGTTTTCAACAGATCTTATAGCGAAATCAGAAACTTTAATGTTTTTTTAATCGATTATTTTCTACTAGTTGATTGAAGGATTTGCCGAATCGGCAACTTCCCATGAACCTGTAGACCTTCCCGCACTCACATTGGCTGTAAAATTTTTTGTTTTTATTAATATTTTTTCAGTCGATTCATCGATCTTTCATCATGATTTCTAACTTCGAAAAGTTTTGCTACCTATATTTGAACCCGAAAAAGCCTATGATACCATTAAGGCCCCTTTAGTAATGGCGCAAAGTCGGTTATTTTTCTTAATGGCTCCTCAATTTTTTTCCTTTTTTTTTCCTTAGTTCATTTGCTTAATAATCAGTTTAATATTTTTCATAAAATCTATAAGATTCAGTAGATTGAGTTTACTACTCCCAACGATCTGCAAACTGAAAATCATCCGCAGTTTTTTTGAGAGCTCGAAAAAATGCTTCAGGGTGTACTAAACGTTTGCTTCGAGATCTTTAATGAAAGTATTTAAAATGAAAGAAACTTTTCAAAGGAGCATAGGAAACGTTTATGAAAGTCTCGAAGCGAATGCTTTTCTTCAAACGTCATTTAGAGTTACGAGCTTTTCCTCAGAAACTGCGGCGACTGAAATATGCCATATTCTTCAATTTCCTTGATATTAGCTTCCAAAAGATCATACAAAAATGGTTTGCAATTCACTAACTATTTCCGTAACCTGTCAGTTCCCAGTGACTCTAGAGATTTTCGAGGTCCTTTCCCTCTTTCGAAAAGTGAAGAAGGCTGAAAAAGGAGTGATTTTGGTGGGGAGAACACTTTTGGACCGCAGATGTGACACACACTCACATACAGCCAGCCAGGCGCTTGTGTTAGGAGATATTGGGTGACTCTATGTGTCAACGACTTTAATTAAACGCCGATGGCCCTCTTTGCTTCCCATCTCTCCATAAATGCAACGAATTTTTTCTCATTTTGGACATACTTGAACAAATCTTGTTGGTACGGTAGTTGAGAGAACTTTGATTGGACCCCTTTTTGTTGGTTTTTGAGGAAGCTACAAGCTAGAAAGTGCACGCTAGAATTCTACAGAAAGAACAATCCAAAATTTCCGGTCGATTTTTGTGTTAGGAAGGATATCATTTGGGGCGCTGCTGATGTGCCTTCAACTTTGAGCCCAACTTATAAGTCTAACGGGCGCATCTGGAAGGACTTGATGCTCAGGCTGCGAAGCGGTCGACATACGCTCTGCTCATCACGATTAATGTACGAAAGCATCAGAAAGTATCATAAAACCTGCGAAATTTCGCTGAGCATTTCAACCGCGAGCCATTCCACATGCGACGACGTAGTTGTAGAAGGATCTTTCTTCAAAAAAAATTTCAACTTGTATTTTTTGAACTTGGCGAGAAACGAGGATTTTTCTGGCCCTCGTCAAAATGTTGTCAGTAACTCTCAGACTTTATCTCTAATTAGTTCAAAAAAATAAAATAAAAGGAAAATTTACTAGATTTCGAAACCAAAGAAAAAAGGAAGAAATATGGGTGGAAATCCATATCATTTTCACACATTTCTCGTCTCTTCACGGCTCATTCCATAATGACGCTTCCGAAGCTCTGGCGCCAGCTGTTTTTGCCTCGTTTGTTTTGTTTTTGTCCGTTTTTTGGTTGTTCCTTTTCTTTTTTGATCAAAACCTTTACAGAGACAAAATAAGCAAGTCTTCGAGTTGGAGCCTTTTTTTTAGACTTTTGATCATTTTTTGAAAAGGTAGTTTATTTTTAGTGAATACCGGGTGCCAATGCTTTTTTTTTCAATTAAAAAAATGTTGGCTTCTGAATTTGTTGAACTGTTGCGAAGACTTTTGCAAAATCTCATATGGCTTCTGTTAGGTCATGTTAGTCTTACCAGTTATACTGTTCTTTTTGCGGATTTTTGGGAGCATATCTTTAGTATAAGAATAGATGTGACGCCAACTGTGGTTAAAACTTCCAATTTTTTTCTGCAAAACTTTGTGTGACTCGTAAGTCGTGGAAGCATTTCTTGCTGTTTTTCAAATTAAAGAAAAAAATAATTCATATTATTCTTGTCTTGCTTGCGTCTTTCTGTCGCCCCTCCATGCGATTGCGGCAGATTCCGACCCCGAAATGAATGACGACTGCGAATAACATGTGTAATCGTGCATGGAAAAGGGGCGGCCGAGTGCAAGCCGAAACGTTGTCGTCCCGACAATGTTTCCACTGAACCTTTTGTGACAACTAGTCCTTTTTACAGAAATTAGAGCGGTTTGTCAAGAATTTGCCGCGTTCAAAAGTTGTAGAGAAACGAAAAATTGCGAGCTTACGGTTCACTAGAGAGCTCTTACCACCTCACTAAAACTTTACAATTCCTAGTATTTTTTTTGGTCTTATGATTCTTTGCCGTTGGTATACTATAAAAGGAAAATATTCTCGATAACTATTTTTCAAAGAGATCTACAAAGAAAGGGACGTTTTTCGCTTCTTTTTTTTTTGATTGGATTTTTTTGGAGTTATGGTCACGTTATTTTTTTATATGAATTGTAGTTGGAACTTTTTTTCTCTTGAACACCGTCTTTGAAAAATTGGACCCTTTTCTCACCAGCAAAGTTAGTTTTTCTACAAGCTTCTGTAGAGTCGAAAAAATTTCGTGTTTTCAAAATTTTCCCACAGCTTTGCGAGTGGAGGTGGAGCTTAAATCTGGCAAAGCTGGCAGGTTTATCCGCAAGCTTTGCCAGATTTTTCTCTTTTTTTTCTTGTTGGACGTGATTTTTTTCCTTCTCTGATTTCTAGACTTTGCTATTGAACTAATTTTTTTGAAATGAAAAAAATCAATAAAAACCGTCAAAAGCTTGTTGAGTTGGTCGTTTCGAGACTTTGAGCCTAGAAATCTTGCAGGTTGAGGTTATTTAGAACCTTTATTTGTACATCAAAGAGTATTTTTCTAGGAATTCCCAGAGTGCATAGTACAACTACCCAAGCCTTTTTTATTGATTTTCTACTGACTCGACAGTAAAGGACTTAACCGCACTGCTCACTTTCTCGACGTTTTGAGTCCTTTTCAATTTGACACTCCCAGAAAATTGAGTAAACAGGTGGGAAACAGTTAGGCTCTCCTCACTACAGTTGCAGTCAGCCGCCGTCTCGTGAGGAACGTCGCCCGTTGGGAGGAAAGGGCGCGAGGCAAAAAGGGTTTTTGTTACTCAACCGGTTGGACGGAGAGGCGGACTGCCACCCAACACCTCCTCCTCCTATTCCTCCTACTTCTACCGATTTGCCTCTTCTTTTTTTTCCGAAACCGCCAACCTTTCCGCTTCCGAATATGTTTTCCCGTTCGCTTCTAATTGTAAACTAGACTTTTCGGAATCATTATAATCTGAGGCCGTATGCAATAAAGTGGAAAAGGATTTTCCGCCATTTTTCGAAAATTCGAAAATGACTAAACTTAGTCTTTTTCAGACTGAACGTGCTTCCTACCTATCCGGATCTTCTTATAAATATTTATCATATCAGATAAAGTCAAAATCAATGATATCCTAGCAAGTTTCAGGCTTTTCTATTTAGAGGAAAATGGCGGAAAATCATTTTTCTCATTATTATTCGGCCTCTGTTCGAAAATTCGGGATCAGCTGCTTGAAGGTGCAGAAGTCTTTCATCACCCGATAAAACAAACGCCGAATCTTTAGTTCGAGACCTTTTTAGTTTCGTCTCTGCTTCTTTAAACGATTTTCGAATAGACTCGCTTCATTCGCAGCTACTTGGAACAGTCTGACACGTCTGCGCTCTCTTTTGTCTCTTTGCCGCGGTTTTGAAGCAGCGGAACTAGCAAATGTATAGGAATTCCTCGTTTAATGGAAGGAAGTCAAAAACGCTAAGGACTGTTTTAGTTTTGGAGAAAGCCGTCCACCTTATGTTTGAATCTTCATGATTGTTCTAGAAATCGTTTTTTTCCACTAACTAAGCAAGCACAAATTGATTACACACCGAGTGTATGCGACTTTTTAATTTACGTCTCTTCTTAAGTTTTTGGTTCTCCGGTCTCGAAATCTTTATTGGCCTCGAGGGCGTGCTTCCTTCCAAAGAGCACACGGCTGTTTTGAATTCCAATTTTCCATATGCCATGTTTTTATAAAGTTTCCTTGACTTCCTATGCATTTTTCGAACCTCAAAAACTGAAAAATGGCAGCTTCGAAGCTTCTGAAGGCTTTTATCTGCTTTCCAGAAGGAAATTAAATTCGTACCACATTGGAATTTCCTATGGCAAACCTAATTAATATTTTATTACATGTTGCGGATTGGCATGTAATTTCGGACAGGTTTTTGAAATTTATTTTTTTTTCAGCTGCTGATCGGCTTTCAGTGAGATTGGATATGCTGTAGTTTCTCAAATAAAACGAACTGAAATCGGAGATAAATAGTCTTTAAAGAAGTTCGCAAAATAATCATCCGAACCAAATTCTGCATTTATAAATTATTTAAAAATTTTTTTAGTTTTTCTAAACCTTGTCTTTTTTCCCCAACACAACCTGCTTTCAAGTTCGCGAGTTCGCGAGAAGACTTTTCGATTTTTGTACTGGAAGGCCATCGAATTTCTCCTTGAGAAAATCTTGAAATCCTTGGGCACAATCCGCGCCCAGAGTGTTTACTAATCGGCTCGAGGAAAAGAAAGACTTTTCAAAGGCTCACACTCACTCGTTCACACACAGGCGCTCACGCCAAAACTCTGATCGGCCTTCTTAAAAGGCTCTTCAAAATCGGCTAGGCTTACTCATCGGTTCGGCTTCTTGAGAAGAAAGGCTCTTCGTCAACCATCTTCGAGGCTTGGAGAGACTTTGGACTTTTATTTTCCCCTTCTTGAAGCATGATTTAAAAGTTCTCTCACTAAACACGATCAGAATAAGCTTTTTCTAGTTATAGGAAACCAAAACCAGGCCTTTTTCGAATTTTTATTTTTAGGATCGTTCATAAGTTTTCTGGAAATTCTCCGAAAATCGGACCTGTTCTGGAAAAGACCTTTTTGCGTTTGCAACTTTTACTTTTTTGGAAAACTTTAGGGCCAGATTAATCGTCAGTGAGTTGAAATCCTCAGTCTGACTAGATATAAATCTCTTCCCTGCCTGTCATAGCTCATCTCGTCGGTAGAGCTCCGATCCAAATCTCTCTGAAGATCGGCTTCTATTGATTCTAGTTAGTGGCACCGGGTCGGAGAAGTCGATAGAAGAGCTCCTCGGATGTATTTGTTCTGCCAAACACAGAAGAGAGGTCATCGTTTGCCGGCGACGGCTACTTATTGGTTCTTCCACTTGCCCTCCATTTCTGTTTCCTATTGGTCTACCAACCACCCGATCAAAATTATGACTAAATCGTCTTCCTCGGCGCCGACGACTTCTTGTCCTTGACATTTTGAGTCTTCTGTTGGGACTTTTTCTTTTTTTGAGATAGAGGTTTTCAGTTTTTCGGTTTAATCTGGCTGGATCGGCGTCTTCTTGCGAAATTTCTGAAATTAAGAAAGTTTCGAAAATGCTAGGTAGTTTTATAGCAGATTTGCGTACACCGCACAAACTTCCTGAGTGAGTAATATTTTTGGAAAGTAATGTAACTTTTGTGACAATCTCGCGGTGAATCAACACACGAATTCCCCACGCCTGCGACTGACAGCAGTACGGATTCCTCTCATTTCCCACCCCTGAAGTGGCTCCTCCCATCTCCCAACCAACATGTGCAGTTCTCCCACTTGGCTGCACCTCGATCCAATTTTTTTTTCTTGGCGAGTCTCCCTGACTTGCTGTGATTTAGATGGTGGCCCACATATTGACGCTTTTTCTAGATGTTACTTTTTCTCGCATGTTTGACTGCTGAGCCGAGCCGAAAAATTCCGTATTTTCCTCTTTTCTTTTTCAGTTTTTTTTTGTAATCTCATCATTCGTTTTCGAAATTTTTTTTTAACTTTAAGACGTCAGCAGCAACCAAAAATTGACCGTTTGTTTCAATTTTTGATTCACAGAACCCCCTGAGCGACCTGAAAATTCGGACTTTCAGGCGTTCACGAAATAGATCTTTTCTTGCTAGACAGGACTGATCTCAAAAAGTAGTCATCTGAGGGAATCTGGCTTCAACGTTTTCAATTTTCTAAAGAAAAATCATAACGTTTTCAATCAAAAAAGTGATCATTCGAGAAGAATGCGAAGTGCAGTTGACCTCGCCAAAGATAGTCATTCAAGGCAAAAAAAATGTTTCCTGAAATTCTAATTGGGAAGATATTGAGAATTTTTTTGAAGAGGACTTCTTAAAAAAAACTTTGAACTGCTCAGATGATTAGTTTTTTTGATATTAGCCCAAAAAAAAGTTAATTTGGAATTTTTGTAAAAAAAAAAGTCTGATCGATTTCCTCACAGATTCAAATTTGTTCGTTTTTGCCGGGGAGCGTATCGAGTTTCATCAGCTCACGGGCCAAAAAATGGCCATTCAATTTTGAGTTTTTGCAACTTGTGCATAGTTCTAACCGAACTTTTCGGAACCAAACAGTTGGCCGTGATCATAACTCGGTTTGCTTTCGACCCACGTAATTCCCCCCTCCTCCTCCTCTTTGATTGAGGTATATTGTTGCGCGGCTCAACTCCACCGGGTCGCCGTCGTTGCGCCAACTGGTTTTACGCCTCTTTTGCAACGTTGCCGACGCCAGACGGCCCTCCCTCGTATCTCGGTTTCAGATTGCCTTTCCCAAGAGTTTTTTGTCTTTTGTTCTGGCAAAGGTTCTGTAAGAAAACCGATTTTTGGTAATTTTTTTCAAGTTCTGTGGCTCAGGCCTTTGTGTTTTAAAAAAGCTTACTCTTCAACGTTTATAAATTGAATTTCTATTTTTGAAATTTGATTCCGAAATAGACTGAAGAGCTTCTTCAGTTTTGATTGTAATCGAGCAATTGACCGTTCAAACGCTATAAATGAGTCCTACCGGCTGAGCTGTACTTAAAAGCTCTCTGAAGAGAACCGCCTCTCTAATTTCTGGCTGATTTAAAAGTTTTACAGTGAAATCTACTCGTTTTTTTCCGAAAATTTGATGAACGCGTGTTTTTTTCCTTATTGGACCCGTAACACAAATTTCTTGTTGACTGTTTCTACTCAAGTTTTTTTTCATTTTGCTTATTTATAAAATTTTAATATTTCAAAGTTTTATAAGCAAAACTTGGCAGAATAAGTATTAAGGTTCAGGTGCATTTCTATCAGTTATACGAAAATTTTTTTTCTTTATCATTTTGGATCCTGAACCATATTTACGCAACTTCAAAGCATCATTTTGACAAAAACTCCGCTTTGATAATTGAAGTAGCCAATATAATAGAGAATGATAAGTTTTGGACAAAACCTACAAGTTTGAAAGTTGAAACAGAAATAGATTTTTATTTGATAATTCAAAGGAACTCGATTCTGAGAATAATATAAAAACTGGAGAGGATATTCATCTTCTTTTTTGTAAATAATAAGAACCCTGTCACCATGGGTGTACTCAATTTGATGCGAGCACTGGAATTAAAAAGTCATGGTGATTTTGAAAAGTTGAAAATAGTTTTTAGGAGAAAGGTTCTGAAGGTTTCTTCGCGAATAAGAAATTTGGATTCTGTTAAAAAGTTTAGTTTAGAGAATCGTGTATCTTTTTCTAACTGAAATCATTTTGATGCCTCCTTGGAGGAAAATAAAATCCCTCGATTTCGAAGGTTGAACCGAATTTCATTGACTATCAAAAAAAGAAGAAATTGAAAGAATATTGCAATTGACACGCCCTGGAAGTGAGTGATTGGAGTCCGGTTGTTTGGTATTGATGATGAGAGAGCCCCGGAGGCCCCTAAAAGATGCGACTTCCGGTGTGTCGTCGCTGTGCTTTTCTTCTTCTTCTCGCCTCGAATTAGGCTAAGCTCATAGGCTTTCTCGGCACTATATTCATGTCATCAATTTTTTTTTTCGTAGTTTACTAAACATCTTGTGATAATATTTATTAAATTTTTTGTAATTTTATTTGAACTTTACTGATATATTTCATCAACCGTTCTTGTTCCTGATTTTAAAGGGAATGAGCTTTGAAAAAAATTATTTCAATGAAATAAATGTTTTGATTTTTGATTGATTGAAATGATCCAATTCTAAAAAAGTTCAGGTTTGAATGTTTTCGAGGCTCATAAGGATTTGAACGTCTTACTTTCGATAATTTGTTGCGAATTATAATTTCATAAAGTCTATTAAAAGCCGAATGGTATATCGCAAGTCTCGCGCATCATTTTTCTATTATTTTGCAAGGTGAAACCGTGGTACCATCGTTAAGCTTCAGACTTTTCGATAGACTTCTGGCACTATCGCGATTCCCCTGCCCGATTCGTGTGTGACCAAATTCACCTCTTGTAGCTCAGATCTGTAGCTTCAATCTTCTTCTTTTTCTGATTTTTCGTTTCAAAGTATTATTTGACAAAAATCAAAGACGTGTTTTATTCTGTTTTGAGTCTCCACCCATCTATTATGATGCTCTTTTCCTGCGTTTGTACCTCACACTTAATTGTAGTTATAAATCTACGTTTTCCTATTATTTTCTATTTTTCTCTCTATACCTACCAACACATGCTGGTTTCACTTTTTCGCACTTTTCGCTAATCTGCTCGTTAAATTCGACAGTTTTGAACAAAACACGAACCACCAAAAAGGAGATTTTTGGGTTTTGTTCGGTAGGCGAAACTGGCAAACAAGGCCGTTTTACCGCTACCTTCCCTCTTTTGTTGCATTTTGCCAAAGTATCTTTTTTGTTCACGTTTTATTTATTTTATTTTTTCTCTGAGAACTTGTAGAAGAGCCGAAGTTTCATTCAGAGAAGCGATTCTTACGGGAAATTTTCAGGTTTTTAATCGATTGCTGTTGAGAATATAGTGAATTTATGAGAATATTGATTGTTTAACAAGAAAAATCCTACCTTTTCTTGTGAAAAAAAATCTGGATACCTGTTTTCGGCGTAATTGAAGTCGTATTTCTGTTCTTTCTTTGCTTTCATTTCACATTTCTTTGACTCAAAAGGCCAAATTTCTATCACTAGTCTGTTTCATTGTGATCTTGTCTCAAAATGTTGAACTTTTTTGTCTTATTTTTTTTCAGTGATTTATGAATTTTTTGTAGACATTCAGTTGTTTTTAATATTTTCGGAACTTCATTTGACTTGTTTTGACTTTTTTTCAAACTGTGCAAAACGGATTTCGATTTTTTTTTTTGATGGTTTGTAAGCAGTAAGCTGTGATTTGCTTCAAACGTTCAAGAATATTGTCAGCGTTCCTTTTTTGAAGCCAAAACTTTATTTTTGCGATTTCAGTGATAATTTCTGGAGTTCGGATCTTATTGATTTTTCACGGGTTTCATTTTGATTATTGATTTTTTTTTTTTGTGCAGAAGCTCGGCGTGGAGATGATGACAGTCAAGTACAATGGGACGTTGAGTCAGCCGTCTTCAGCCTGGGATTCGATGGTGCGTATTTTTATTTCTCTTTTGAAGGAATCTAGAGTAAAGTTTAGAGATAGAACTACAGCAAGAAGATTAGAAAAAAATTCTTCCAGCTAAAATATGATTCTCATGGAAACATCAGTATGTTTTTGTATTCTTTGATTGGGCAGAAACCGCTTAGCGCTCCCTACAGGGGTTAGATGACAATATGAGCACCTCTCAAAGGGATAAAGTTTAGTTTAAAAAAAGAGTTTTTTAAAAAAAGAGAAAATTGATCGATTCATCCTCTGTTGATTATAATTAAAAAGAGAAAACGTTCAAAAAAAACGCCAATTTATTGAATTTTTCTCATGGAAATGCATCTTCTCATAGATTTCTCAATATTTGACTAGCATGTCCCCTTAAGGGCTTCTAACTGAAAATTCTTAAAGGATCACTTTCGTAAGCTTTAGTGACTTTATAGGGGAGGTGAAGCGGTTCCTAAAGGGGAGCCTTCAAGGACCTCTGAGGACCACTCCGGAGTTCTTAATTTAGGCTTATCCAAGTTTCAAGTTTTATTTTTATCGAAGCCGTTAGATCTCTAAAGGTTAGATTCTCTGATCAAGTTTTTTTTTTCTAAAGTTTCAAGTTTTGTTAGTCCAACCGACCTCCGCTGACCAGACTCTCCGAGCCCCACTCGAAAGGGATAAGGAAACAGTTCTGAAGTCGTGGCTAGCTGGCGGAATCAGTGTTTAGGTCGTGTTTGAGTGGTGTATTTGTGTGTGGGGGTGCGCATAGATGGGGGTGAGTGAGTGAGGAACCGGGGAAAACGAGAGACAAAAGTGGTGGAAGTCGACTTGACATATCAAGCAAGCATTAGGCCTGTGGCGGCAGGGCAAGACCGTTTCTCGTTTCTTTTTTTCCTTTCTGTCTTCCTCGTCGTTTCTGTCGCGCCTTCGGATCGGGTCCCCAGATTTCCTGCCTTTTTGCCAGATCTGTCTGTTTTGGCCTCTCCTCCTCCAGCCGTTTCGTTAGTCGTTTCGGGCTTCCGCGGATCTCTCACGCCATCGCCGTCGATCCTTCCGCCTTTTTTTTCGGAGAGGACTGGAATTGCTTATTAGTTCACTGTTTCGTCGAGATTTCGACGTCATTCTCAAGGATTTTGCAGAAGTTTACTTAACGACGTATTGATGAAATCAGCTTTTTGAGCTTTTCCTCTTATTTTCAGTGACTCGAACCTTTATGAGATCCGTCTGACCAGTCAAATCCAGAGTTCTAGATTTCCCTTAAGCTTTTTATGAGTCGACCTTTTCAAGACTGTTGGCCAATAGTTATTTGGCCTTTTTCCTTAATCAAAGTTCCTTTTCATATCAATTTCAGAGTTGTTCAACTAACTGTCTATGGTTTTTTTTTTTCAAGCTCATTAATTCTTACTATTTTTCCAGTTCTAATGGAAATTAAAGAGTTAGAAAAGTTGAAAATAAGAGAATCTCTATAAATTATACATTTACAGAGTTTTTTTCAAAATTTTGTTTAACTTTTGATTTTTAGCTTGTTCTTTTCAGTATCTATCGACTTTTTTAGCAAATCGAGTTATTTTTTTTATGTTTATGTCAAATAAGCTGGCACGTATATTTTTTTTTTTGTGTGTCCACCGAACACTCAATTTGTGTTTTGAGGTGTTTTTCGTTGGCAAAATTTGATTGGCTTTACAAAATTAGTCTTTTTGGGATCTCGAAAATCTGAAAAAAAAAGACTCGATGTGTTCGAATGAAACAGCCCTGACCATTTGAGAAAGGTTGAAAGATATAGTGCCCATGCCCTTATTTGTCAATCTCCAATAGGGGAAGAAACGCCCCTCCGCTTCGAATGATTCGATCAGAATCGACCTTCAAATTGCAAAAATGTCTCGTCTTTCCGTTTCAGTTGCTGCTAGGAATTGGCTTCCAAACGCCTTTTTGACCTTTTTTTTGTATCTCATTCGTCGCGCGACCTAATTTCGTCTAATTTATCTTGGAAAAGCTCAAGTCCTGATCCTAAGACTTTGATAATGTCATCTGGAAATATTACAGTACGCGTAGATTTTTAGCTGTTCATCCCATACATAGTTCAAGCAATTTTGTGATAGGTTTTCAGAAACTTTTTCTTTTTTAGGAGAATCAGAATCGTTGGCTTAAGGCGAATAGTTAGATATGTAGTTTGGCTGATTCTAATAATTCATTGATTTGGATTGCGATCAAACAGGTTCTTGTGTAAAGACATGGGAAGACTATTTATGGCTTTCTAATCCTAATTGGATGTTTTCCCTAGGAGAAGAATTCTTATAAAATGGGTCTCTCGAAGCGTGTAGCAGTTATAATAAAAGTATTGATGAGAAGCAAGACAGACAAAAAGTTTAATTTGAAAATTTATTCTACACTATACGAACTTTCTTGTTTCATCGAAAAAAAAACGCAGTTCAGTTCATTTTTTCGATTCTTTGAGAAAACAGAAGGCTTTAATGATTTCGCCCAGTCTATTCGTCTTTTTCTCTTTATGACATTTATAATGGATGCTCAACACAATATTACAGCTTCCGAGAGCCGCTTTTCCTGCAGTAGATTTTTCTCGTTTCTCACCTCTCCCCGCCAAAAAATCTTTTTCTCCCTTCAGTTTACCCAAGCTTCTTCTACTTCTTCTCGCCTTCTTTTTCCTTTACCTGTTTGCGTCATCCGTACTGTCGCTGTTTACTTTCATCAGCTTCTTGATAGTTTTTAATTAAGTTCTTTGAAGATTTAATTGAGAATAGATGTTCTAATGGTGGAAAGCAGCTGAACTCGGAAAAGGTAGAGAAATTTTTCGTAGTTTATGGTACGCCAAGTTTCTGTTAGTTATTTGCAGTGGAACTGAAAAAAAAGCCAAATTTCAAACTTTTCGATTTAAAAAAAAGTGCTCCACAGATCGATCCTTTTGATTTCTTTCATCAATTTTTTGATAATCGTACCGAAAAGAGATGACAATTAACGCCCTGTATCCTTTTTTTATCCGTGACGCACATTTTTAGCTGAGAAAAAGCAAAGAAGAGTGTTTATATCTGTTTGCTAGAAATTGAAGGAAGTTTCAAACAGAAGTGAGCTTCTCCCAAAGTTTGTCTTGTCTTGTACCTCTCCTCAACACACGGTATGCGTACAAGAAAAGCGAGAGCCCGTCCCTTTTCCCGTCTGAATCTCTTCGATCTCGTTCAGCTTCGTGTTACGAACTGAACACGCTGCTCCGAAATTCGCCTCGAACTGTGTTTTTAGGAGCTTTTTCCTCTTTTTGCTTGTCTGTTGAGCACCTCTTTGATGTGTTGGCGGAGATTTACAACGGAGGATGTACCCATTGTCTATTTTTTACGGTTCGCCCAAAGGACATTGTAAAATTTCGCGAGCAATTTTTGGATTTCTTTAGTACTTATTTCTAGTTTTTAGGATATTCTTAAGCAAGCTCTATATAATCTTGAACTTTGATTCTTCTGGACTCGATCTTTTAAAAACCTCAACAAAAACTTTCAATCAAACAAAAGAAAGGAACGAGTTTTATCATTTTGGCTACGCCTCACTGATCAATTTTCTTGGAAATATTTTTCCTGATCTTACCGTGGCGGCTGTAATTTTCCAATTTTTATCTGCCCAATCCATCCATTCCATCCGGCCCGCCGTACTGAGGTGAAGGACGTCGTCGGCATCCGCGCTGTAGACGATAAAGATCTATCCCAGAAAAGTCTTTCAGCGATCGCCTTTGCGACGCCTCGTTTCTTCTTTTTTTGAGTGTTTTTTGTCCTTTGGATTTTTTCCATCGTTTTATCAGAAGTTTTCTTTTGAAAAAGCTTCATCTCTTCGACGAGATAGCATTTTCGGAGTTTTAGGGTTGAGTAGGAAAACATCTGAATAATGTTATCACTAAATCACACGGTTGGCTCAAAAGAAATTCGGGAAAAAAATGCTTTCATTTTTCGAAAATGATTTCAATTATGAAAAGATGTATCATCATAGTTTCATCATTGAATTTATTTTTATAACGATTTTGAATATGAGGCTAAAAATCGAATCAGTATTTCGGAAACGGAATTTTTTCTCAAAGTGTCCAGTTACTATTCAAGAATTAGAGACGATTTATTTCAAAGTTTAGGGGCCATTTCATTTTTTTAAAGACCTCGATGAAAAATTTTTCTAACATAAATTCGAAATAAAAAGTTGAAAATTACAGCATGAACTTTTAGTTTATTCAGTAATCGTCAGATGACACAAGGACCTTGCAGGGTTCCGAGATTATTTATCAACTTCATCATCGGAAAAATTCCGCCATTTTCGAGCTGATTTTAATCATACCAAGTTTCACCTCCTCTCTTTAATTCGATAGTTTTTTCTTCAAAAAGACAACAAGAAGTCACTTGACCGGCTACAGTTGGAAACATCGTGCTCGAGCCACGTTTTTTCCTCAGCCTCTCAACAGCAACTCATCTTCTCCTTCGTTGTTTCGTCAGCCAAATGTTCTCATCGTCAGTTTTTTTTTCTCGTGGGGCCGATAGATAGATATATATCGTCTCTTCTTTTCCACTCTCTGTTCCTCGTCGGATCTCGAGAGTGCGCGGCGGCGGCCACAAATTTACAACGCTTTGCACTACCATCCATCCGTCCGTTCATCGGCGTCGTCGGTAGACTGCCTCCTTCTCAGATAGGTCTATCTGTATCTATCACTCTGTTCTTTTTGGTTTCTCTACCATCATGTTTCATCATAGGTTTTTTTTGTGATTGATCTGGACGATTCTCGAATTTGATCGGTATCAGTCCGGTCGGCGTGAACTTTTCTGAAATGAAGGACTTTTGACTTTTGACAAGTTTTTTTGGAGGAATTGTGGTTGGCTTACGTTATTTATAGTTCACTGAAGACGTAACTTTGAGGTCAAGGAGGTCAGTAAAATTCAGGAAGTTTCCTAACTTTAAATGAATATTAATTAAATGGATTTTGAAATTTTTACCTTTTGACTTTTTGAAAGTTTTCCTGACCATTACAACTATTTCATACCAAGTTCTGGATTATGTTAGGTCTGATAATAAAAAGATAAAAAAACTAGTTGAAAGTTGTCTTCACAAAGTTTAGACTTGATGGTTTTTTTCTGATTTTCTTTTCTCAATCCGGATTCCGTGGAATTTTTATAGGATTTCTTGTGGCTTTTTTTTTGAAACTTGTTCATTCTTGTTTTGAAAAAAAAGCGCCGAATAGTAGTTTCTCGAGATGTTCCGACAAAGGTCAAGCGGAGAAACGGCAGCATCTTTCTCCCGCTTGCAACCTGGGAGCCACCTTTCGCGACGAGGAGTTGTGTCGCGATTTGTTTGCGAATCAGCTGATCTGAGAGTCGCGCGTCGTCGTCGTCGCCGTCGCCGCCGGGAGTTGGCCTCCTCCGTCACTTGTTCTTCCTCCCCATCATCAACAAAACCTCTTTTTTCTTTCTTCTTGGAGTCATGAGTTCGAGCTCATCGATTTTGTCAGGTCCTCTCAAAAAGCGGAGTGATTGAATGAACTTGTGATTCGGCTCCTGGGAGAGAAAAATAACCGGTTTTTTTCTATCTGTTTACGTCGTCTGGCGGCCGTTTCATTAGGTCCAGGTTCAACTTTCTCTATCGATTTTTTTATATTCCGATTTAGGAGATGTAGCTTATCAGTTGAAAATGGAACAGAATAGGACGGCTACGCTTTATTTTTCAGCCGTTTTTTTAAATCGTATTTACCGTTTTTACTTTGATGGCAGAAGCGGAAAATTTTTAAAAATATGTGACTTGAGATTCTAAAAGAAAGACGAGGAGGAGATTTTTAATTTTGACTGATTGATAGGTGTTGGGTATATCACTTCGGCGTAATTTCCTAGAAAATTGAGAAGTAACGAAGAGGAAAGGAGAGTAAAGTAAGCTCTAGAAGGAATAAACCTGAACAAAATTTTTTCCTGAAATTGTTACTCAACCAAAAAGTAATTTTTCAGAAGTTTATTGAATTCAAAACCACCTGAAAATATCATTCTAGCAAAAGTCCCCTTTTTAACAATTTTGAACCTTACTTTTTTCATAATTCTCTTACCGGTGTCGTGCTGCTTCCATCTCTCGAAGTTTTTTATGTGTTCGTTGTGACGTCATTGACCGTTTTCTAACACACCGAATCGACCAGATTTGATTGGATTTGATGGTTTTTCAGTCGCTTTTCCAACAGTTCTTTCCTCTGTGCACCACACCGATACTGCTTTTTTACGCTCAGAAAGTAACCTGAAACACCAACAATATTATTTAAAACGTTGATTTCATTTTTATCAAATATTAATCCACGCCTTTTCAAGTATACTAATCTTTCAAAATCCGTCGTTGAAATTGAAATCGTTGATTTATTTTTATAAGGGTTTGAAGCTTGAATAAATATAGTTCGTTCTGGATATTAAAACTAAATTCAAATGAAAATAAATTATGTTTACGATTTTCAAAACATTTTCCCTATTTTTGAAAAACTTTCATGAATTAACTTTCGAACAATCTTTTCAATCAGAACTCGCACATTTTTTCAAGCTTCACCTGTACGCATGAAACTTTACGGTTCGTAATATTGAGACTTTGAATGATTTTTCTAGAGGAGTTTTCAAATTTCAATTTTTGCTAAGCATTGGCCAGTGATCTTGAAAGAACGAACTGTGAGTTTTCAAGTGTATTTTCCGTTGGTAGCATGTAGAATGGCTCGATGCGCTGCTTAAGTTAGAAATTCAAAGATTCCTTGCATTTCGAGACATTCCCTTTGCGACCAACGGATTCGAGAAAAAGATCGTGTAGGATCTAACGCGTTGATTGTCTCTCATATCATTATTTTGCTCGGAAGCCAAGTGTCCATCGGCGACGGTGTGATTTTAGCCGCTCGCCGGAGCCTCGTCGTCGTCTTCGACGTCATCAGGAGCCGTCGCAGCAGCAGGAGCGTCGTCGTCGTCGCAGAAGTGCCCGAGTCAAGCGTCGCCGGTGTTCGACGCCAGCGACTTCCACCACGAGATGACGTCGGCGGAGCACGTCGCTGCAGCGCACGCCCTCTTGGCCAACGGTACTACCTCGATCTCATCTCTCTTTCTCTCTCTCTCTGCTCTCTGTGCGTTCATCTTCGGCTTTTCAAAATTCGAAAGCTTATCTGCAATTTCGAAAATCGATAGTTTTGAAAGAAGCAAAGAAAAAAAAAAAATGGAAAAAGGCTTTTATCGCAAGAATTTGAATCAAGTTTTGCTCCAAACCGCAGATTTTATGCTTTTTTTTAAATAGACCCCTATAATCTTGAACGTTTCCGTGATAAGCTGAGAATGAACGCAATTTGTCGTCGTTGTTTAATCTTTTTTAACAGGCTGCTCGATCTTAACATTGAATTTTTGTTTTTTTTTTTTCGATTGCGCTTTAACAACTTTAAAATATCTTAAACTATGATTTCTTTATTTAAAAAAAGTGCGCTCCAGCGAACGGCGCAAAAACGGAAATTTTTAATGTATTTTTATGGTGGTGAGATTCTTCAAGTAATCTTTTTAGGGTATTTTAATGAACGCGAACAATTTTCGAAGTTTATTTTTTTCTAAATTGAAAGAGTATCAGAAAATTCATAGCTCCATTCCCATTCATTGAAGATTATTCCAAGTTCAAATACCTATAGCTAACTTTGAAACTTTTCATCAAAAGTGGATCAAAAACAGAAATCTGTTTGAAAGTTTAACGCAAACGGTCAGTTGCTTGAAAAACTATGGCGCATGCGTTTATTTACCAACACGCTTTAATTTAATTATTCAAAAAAAATAATTTCCATCTCCTAAAGTATCAACTTACCTGAACTTCTTAGACTAGCCAAGATGAGACAAAAATTGAAAAAAACCGAAAGCGAAGAAAACATGTCTAATTGGGCAGAAACTTGTTTTTTAGGAGGTGCAGTTAGGTTGATTTGAATTGAATCGGGAAGATCGTTTCTTTTTCATTTTCTTAGTTAATGGTTATTGGGAGAAGGAGAAATTAGAATTCGAACAAACTGAATGATCGCATTTGAAATGGCTTGATCTGAATATGTGAAGCTTTTTTGCTGTCATCACGAGATGCAACCGCGACGCGTTGAAGTAAGAAATCGTGTTTAGATATTCAAATTCGATATTTTTTATATTTAGGTTAATTCAGGAAGTTTTCATAGTTTGGATCATGGTCACATTTGGAATGGTTCAATGATTTTTGTGGACAAAAAAACAACTCGCGCACTGCATATAAGAAAAATAGTCGAAATAAATTTCGCGTTGAGCCCTTGTTAGTGCCGCCACGAACTTTTAGATAATGAAAATGGATGAAAAATTCAATTCAGAAGTACAAAGACAGCTGAAGGGAAATAAGTAAAATTTTATCAAATCGTCCTTGCAGTTTTGAAACATTTCTCGTTTTGACACTTGAAATCTAAATGACGGAAAAGAAGATAGTTTCTAGATTTGGTGAATTTTAGCGAGAAAACTTTTGAAGTTATATTTAACGCATGTAGAGTAGGCTTTTATCAGAAAAAAAAGGGGAAAACGAAAACGTTGTTTAAATGAAAAAATAGTTAGGTTTAATATTTTTTTAGACTTTACCGTAGCGCGTTGAGCCATTCCAGATGAGAAAGAACCTTTGGAGTATTCGAGAACGGATCATGTTAAGAAAATTTCGAGAAGAACTAATTGGCTTGAACTTTTAAAAGCTCACTTTAAGATTTTAATTGAAACCGGTTTTGGTTTGGACAAGCCTCGTTTTAAGATCAGACAGTATCAAAAGTGAGAAGGGAAGATAAAGAGACGAGTGGCTTTGTGTGTGCGATGCGATTCCCTTCGATTCGATTGGATCCTGCGGCGGCGGCTCTCCGGAGTGGACGTTGTAAAGCAGACGATGGCTGTTCCTCCTCCTCCTTCTCTTCTTCCTCCTCGTGCCACCTCGACTTTTTTCTCGGCCGCAACTTCTCGAGCTCTTCGCTGATATCAGACGACTTCTGATGGGCGACGACGTCGAGGGCGCCGTCACGTCGGCTTCATCGCCGATCGGCCTCGTCCCACAGTCGATTCCCACTCTCAGTGGCGTGCAATCAGGTTGTTTAGGAGTGGTTTCTGGAGTTTCTAGAGCTTACAAGGATGAGAGTGGGAACTGAAGCAGATTCTTTTTCGAAATTAATTCTCTTTTTTTCCTGTTTAATTTTTTTATTGAATATTAAATATATCTTATTTAAGAATGGTTTGAAAGCTTTTTGTTCTTTCGAGGACGTTGATTTTTTGTGTATAATAAGTGTTCAAGCTAGGTTCTTATGAGTGTTCTTTGAGTTTCTCGATCGTTTAGTTGTAATCTTGAGAAAGATCGTAGATTTAAGTTATTGGCGAGTTTTTATTTCCGAGGATTTTTTGAATCAAGATATTAACATTTTTAAATGATTGGAGAGAATATTTAGATTTTAAAAATCTTCGCGACATTTTAATTTCCTAAAGAAGTTTTCTTCTACCGAATATTTTGAATTTTTTTAAGGAGACATCCTTCTTGGCTCATTTATAGAACAAAACAAGAAAAGTTGCCGCCGCACGCGCAGCGCGTATGATATGCTGAGCGGTTTTTTTTTCCGCGCATTTTATTGCTTCTCGTCTTTTTGGTTGAATTATGTTGATGGTTCAACAGATGGGTTAGTAGTTAATTAGATTCGAAGGGTTTGAAAAAATTTCCAAAATAAAAATTTTTGTTATATTGTCTAATGGTCTCAAACAGCTTTTCTGAAGAGAATTTTATATTTTTTTCAATTTTTGATCGACTCGCGATAAACCTCTCCTTTTCAGTGATTTTTTCTTTTTAAAACTATTTTAGTCAGTTAATTTATTATTTTTTCAGGGTCAAATGGCGTCCCGCATCACCCTCAGCAGCAGTACTCGGTGGAGTATCTGTCGCAGTTGCTCAAGGACAAAAAACAGCTCGCCGCCTTTCCCAACGTCTTCCACCATTTGGAGCGGCTAGCGGATGAAGGTGAATGCCTTGATAATGGTTTCTCGATGAGAAAATCAGGATTCCTTGCGAAATTACTTTTTCATAGTCTTCATTTTCTTTCATTCTAGCAGGTTTTTCCGAGTTTTTAAAAGCTCACACAGTATCGAAATGATTTTTTTTGACTTTAAATAACCACGGAAAATTTTTGTATGTCTTTCGCTCTCAGTTGAAAGATGCTAACGACTACATCGTTCTATTGAAAAAAACGAGATAAAAGCTATTTTTCCAACGTTTATTCAAAATGTGTAAATTTTCTATGATAGTTTTTTTTCCGAATAATGTATATTCCTTACTGTACGAAAAGAAGTTATACGTTTTTATCGTCATTAGTAAAATTCGAAAATTTTGAATTTTTTTTTCAAAATTAATCATCTTCTGTACGTTTTTCTTAGATTTCTATTTTTTTTTGTATCGGCTTTTTTTTCGATTCCTTAGAAAAACGCTGAAATAATAAATCTTGTTCCTACGATAAGAACTGTACATTTTCGATAAAATTCACTATGTCTCAACGATTGATTTCAGAAATCAGTAAAGTGCGGGTGGCGTTGTTCCAGTTCGAGTTCACCAAGGACCAAGTCGCGCTGCCAGACGCCGAGGGCGAGGTCCAGGTTACAACGGAGAAAGTGTTCGTGCCAGCCAAAGAGCATCCTGACGTCCGTTTTTTGTCTCTTCAGACTTTTTTTTTGTTGAAAATCATGCTATTGCTCCAGTGGTACACTTGCTGTTGGCTGACGGCAGGTGTTACTTTTCTTTTTTCTCACGAAAATCGGGTTTACGGAACTAGAAATGAGATAAATGGATTCTGTAGAGGGCATTTCAAAAGCTAAGTTTTTTTTTCAAGCTATTGGATGAGTTTTTCAAAAGAAAGTTTCCTTACAGGTTTCTTGAGTATTTTACAGAAATTATAGCCTCTTTAAAAATCACAAAATTTTTCTGTTTGATCTTTGAAAAATTTCCATTTTTGCAGTACAATTTTTGTCGGACGGATATTGGGCCCACGAGGAATGACAGCCAAGCAACTTGAGCAGGAAACCGGCTGTAAAATCATGGTCAGAGGACGAGGATCCATGAGGGACAAGAAAAAGGTGAACTGTTTGATTATTTTCAAAAATTAATTAATCGAAAATTGGAAGAAAGTCGATAGGAAAATTTGAATGAACCAGTTTTTGTTTTCAGGAAGAGATGAACCGAGGAAAGCCCAACTGGGAGCATTTGTCCGAGGAGCTCCACGTCTTGATCCAGTGCGAAGACACGCCAAACAGAGCTCGCGTCAAACTCGCTCGCGCGGTCGATGAAGTCCGAAAACTGCTGGTGCCAGCTCCAGAAGGCGAGGACGAGCTGAAGAGGAAACAGCTCATGGAGCTAGCCATCATCAACGGCACTTACCGGTCCGGAGCTGATCAGAGCGCCCTTGCCGCCGCACAAATCGCCGCCGTCAAGCAACAGCCTCTCGCAGCCGCCATCCGTATATCAACAATTTTGTTTTTAGACACGATTCTTCGTTTTCAGAGGCCGCGATGAACGCACAAGCGCAAGCCCAAGCTCGAAGCGTTCTTCCGATGTTGGCGCGCTCGCCGACCCTCGCCGTCGCAGGAGCTCCGATCGTGATGAGCCCCAGCAGCAGAGCGACGAACGCCGCCGCGACCACCCAGGCCGCCCTGTTCATGCAGCAACAGTCGCAGCTGCAGAACGCGCAGTCGGGCAACGCGGTCGCCGTCGCCGCCGCCCAACAAGCCGCTCTCCTGCAGCAGCAGCAGCAACAACAACAGCAGGCCGCCGAGTACCAGCAGCTCTTGCTTAGGTCTGTTTCAAGAAAAGTCCGACAAGATTGCTTCGATTTTGAAGTCTGTAGCGATAATAGCAGGGAAAGTAACGACGAAAACAGTAGTGATCTGAACAAAGTTTTAGAAACTTTTATTTTCTAGTTTTATGTTTCTGTGTGTTTAACATGAACTTTTGGTCTAATCAGTATGTCTCCGATAATAGTTCCATCGGAAGTCGAGCTTTCGAAAATATTGAATTAATCGATTCACAAAGCATGACAAAGTTGACGTCGCTCGTTTTTGCATATTATAAAAAAAACAATTATATTACCGAAATCTAATTTTTCTATAAAACATTTTGATGGAAAAGTTTTGCATGAAAATTGGGATCTTCTATCAGAAAATTTGTCCTATTCAGATAAAATAGATAAAATTTGAATTTTCATCACAAGGAAAAGGAAGATATGCAACTTCATTCAGACGGTAGAAGAGTAATGTTTTCTTTGCAGCCAAGGCCTGTACGACCTGAACGCAGCGGCGGCCATGCAGCAGTACGCAGTCGCGGCCGCGGCGCAGAACAACGTGGCCACGTCGCAGTACGGAGTCCTCGCCAGCCAGTACGCCGACTACGCCGGCGTTGATCTCACCGCCCAGGCTGCCACTGGTGGGTACACAGTTCGCCGATGGGCTTGAAATTGAATCCTTATAGTCCTTCTCCTCAATACTCATGTTTTCCTTACCCCTTTTTCGTAATTATTCTATATTTTCAACTCTATTTATTTACTTATCCAACGTGTATGTAGATATTTATTGTTTTTCTCATTCAAAAAGTGATAATCAAATGAATTACATATCATTCCTTGAACAGTTGATTCCATTCCCTATTAGACCTTTGGGTGATCTCATTTTTTAAATTAATAACTAGAAAGTCTGAAAGGAACCCACATGAAACGCTTTTTTGCATGCGATTAATCGTAAACTCCGTTCGCCACCATTTTGAGCCTTTTCTGTCTGGGCTCTCTTTTCCCTAGGCTGTATAAAATGTGAGAGTGAGCAGACGGTTTGAATTTCTCAGAAAAGAATCAAGTTGGAGGCGAATGGACTTGTTGTCAAAAGTTCCGTTTGTTTTGAAACCAGCATTTTTTTAAAGATTAATTATGGAATTATAATGCTTTCGGGAGGGAAAGTATATGTCAAAGATAACTTTATGTGTGGCATGATGTCCATTTTTTTCGCTCATCTTTTAATTTTCAAAATTGGTTAGTTCAGACTCGCACAAAGCGCTGATCTCTATTTTAGTTTTTTTTTTTGAGTGTAAAGATCTGAAGAGAGATCAACGGCCGCCTGAAGAGACGTCAGAGAAGTGAAGAATTTCGCGTTGTCTGTTGTATCTTCAGGCCGCTTTTGATTTCTCGCTTGAACTTTTGAGACAGTTTTTTAAAAAAAAAGTTTAAAAAAGTTCTGTATTTCATTCAAACAATCTAAATTTTTTCGAGGCTCATATTACAGGAGTATCTTTTGCTACAAGAAAGAAGCCGTTTTCTAGAAGTAATTTTAAGAAAGTCGATTTAGTTATCAAAATTTTTTAATGAGAAAAATGGTTAGCATAATATCTTAGGCTACGCTCTCTAAAAGCTAATATGTGCTTTTTGATAATCATCTGAGTTGTGAGTTCTCTAGGCTTCTCGCACTCCTTAACTTGAGTTGACGCGAAAGTTTCCATGCAAGAAAAAATGTTGACGTCGAGCAAAACACATGAAAACTTGAGATAGCGTGTTTCCCAATACCACAGAAAATAGTAAAAGGAACGGTCGTTTTTTTTCTTTGAGAGATATATTTTCCACATGCTTTTTCTCTCTACATCCTCTCTATCATGTTCTCTCTCTCTCCGGCTGTTTCTGCCTAACACGGTTACTTATTCCAGGTCCGATGCTTAACAGCCGTCGGATGCTCGGCGCCACGCGCGACCATCCCTACAAGCAGTAGTTATGTCGTGCCTCACACTCATCACCACTTCTGCACCTTCAACATCACAAACAAACAACCGCCAATCAACAACAACAACGACTACTATGTTATAACATTAAAAGGATTATTAATTTGATGAGCAGGTTTTGAAGTGGTCACTTTAAGAGCATCTTTTTTGATTTGAAAACCATGTCAAATCGAGACGAATTACGGCAAGTTCTCACTCGGGGATATATTGTGTACTCGTTGCGATTTGACAATAAGTTATTTTTGACGAATTTGAGCAAAATTTGTTCAATTTCAATGGTGAATAACATTTTTTTTATCTTTTGAAAACCTTCAAGTGACCACTTTAAACCTCATCATCATATATTTGCTCACCATCGCTCTTTTTAAACATTTATGAATAACTCAAACTACCAGTAATTTAGCCATTTTTTTTTCATACGTATCCCTTCTTTGTACTGATTTTTCCTGATGCCTTTCTTTTTTTTCTTCAATAATTCTTAATTTTACCTACCCCGATTCACAAACGTCGTCTTGAATGTGCCTTTTTATACTTTGATGACTTTTTTCATGAAAATGCGGTGCAGATTACGCTTTTTTCTCCTGTTGTCCTCGTTGTTCTGGGTGGAAAAGTTGCATTAATCAAACATTCAGAGTGACCACTTTGAATGCGCTATAACGATATCGCTTAGCGTTTTTTTCCGTGCAAGTTTTTCACTACTTTACTCATTCATATTTTTTTCTAGGTTTCTAATAGTTTATTTTTTTGTACAAAATAGATTATTCAAAAATTTCTAACTTCCGATAATTTTTCACTATTTCGACGCTTTACCAGTCGCGTTGATTGGGTAAAAAATTGACTGGTGTTGCCGTGCCTATCAAGAATATCTTTTAGTGAGGAAAAGCTCTTTGAATTCAGTTAGATGACCCACATTTAAACACATACATAATATTTTTACATGCAGGTGTCTTTAAACATTATCATAGGCATAATACTTTCAAACCCCCGATTTGCTCACTTTCTTCTTCTTTTTGAGATTATTCTTTTTCCCTCGTTTTTCATTTGTATATAATACAAAAACTTTCATCTTGAATGCCGATTTTTTTGTTTCATCTTGAACATTTTTGTTGAAAAAAAAGCATAAAGATTTTAAAACTTTGCTTGCACTTTATTTTTGACAAGAAAAGGTTTCTTTCCATGGCGGACTTTTTTTTCGCCTCACTTACAAAATTAAGTTGACTTTTAAAATGTTTTTATATAGAAAAGTTTTTTTATAGAAACCAATTTTGCTGACAATTTTGCTGATGCAAAAAGCGGTGATGGACAGATTTGCGAGGAGATTATTTTTTTCTTTAGAATAGATTTTTAAGTTTTTTTCAAACGGAACAAACTATTTCGATTACTTGTTTGAGAAACAAAGTACACAAAGAAAAGTTCGAAATTTTTAAATTGCCGCGCTAAGGTACGCCTTGAAGGACGCCAATCTACTTCCAATGGCGTCTATTTCGCGGCAATTTTTTCATTTTGCAAGAAATTTCTTATCGTTTTCAGTTTTTTTTTTTGGTGGCTTGCTGGAAAATTCGGTCGGTCCGGTCAATTTTTGAGGAATGTTTCTTAAGTTTTTCAAATTTGAAAAGTTTTTGAGCTGTATTAATGTGTTGACGGTTTTAAGAAACCTTCATTATATGACGAGTTTCGAATTCAGCTTTTAAAAAAATGGGGCTATTATATTTACAAAAAGTTACTTTTTTTTCTAAATCGTCTATTTTCGCCGAAAAATTCTCTTAAATCTTAATGAACACTTTTTTTCGCACTTGGCACGTTTCTATTGCAGGTCAAATTAAAATTGTTGACATGAAATTTATTAAAAAAATACAAAATCTCCTACTTTGAGCCGAAAATAATCGTTTTTTCGAATTTTGAAACCTAGCCACAATAAAGAATTCTACGAATTTTGGACGCTCTAACAGTTTGAAACTCCAAAAATTTAAAAGTTCAGAAAAAATGGCCACTTTGAAAAATTGACCGAACCGACCGACTTTTCCAGCATGCCTTTTTTGGTTCTTTTGATGGTTTTTTTTTGTCAAAATACGACAACTGAAATTTTGACTTGTTTTTTAATTCAAAGAGAAAGCGGTTGATGAAATGTTTTGCGTGCCGTTGTTTATAAGATTACAAATTGCTTTTCTTTATTGTTTAGAAATGAATGATAGCACAGACACGCTGGAACGAACATACCTCTTTCCGTGGACGAATCTTCTCGAGTTCGACATCACTTTCGACTCCAGAGGTGGCGAGCAAAAAAATACAACTATCGAGGCTGTCTTTCTAGAGTTTTTCCTCAAGTTCTACAAGATTAAAAACATCTTGATAATGTTATTTTTGATTCAGAGACTCTGATCTACTTTTTCTAAGTAGAGAAAAAGAGCCAACGATTGCGGCTCTTCAAAAGGAAATGGAGAGATGTGAAATCAATCCAAACTCCAACAATTTAGAAGGTTTTTTATCATTTAAATGATTCTTGTTATTTTTTCATAATTCAGTTGGAGAGATTGCGGTAAAAGGAGATCCATATCGGGACATTCCCAAGTATTTTGGGACGATGATCAATGCCAAATATGGGCCTAATCGGAAACGGAAAGTCAGCCAAAAGGCTGTCGATTTCAAAACTTTTGAGGAATATTGGGAGGTATGATTTAGAAAAATGTGCTTTTTCAAAAAAAAAAAAAAAATGCTGCGTTGTGTACAAAATATCCGGCTGGATTATTTCAGGTTCATGGATATTTTTAATAAAAATTCTCGTGCAGAAAAGTTTTTTTCTCATTGAGAGGTTTCAGATCATAAGTGACTGATGAACCTTCAAATAAAGCATCAAAACGTTTTAATTTTGATTTCTCTTACAGACAGCCCAGAGTTTCGTGATTTACACTACTTGGGAGCAAGATTTCGGTGATTTGATGGACCCGGATGAGCGATTCAAGCTCCAAGTGCAAATCAAGGAGTGCAAACCGTATTTGTTGATTGATCATCATTTTGATCTGAAGGTTTTTCGTTTGATGATTGCAATTTTTTATTGGTTATATTACAGAACAATGAGGATTACAAGAACTTGGCGAAAAAACAAGAAGACTGTCCCAATGACTCCTACGAATCCCTTTTCAAGTTTCACTGTGAAGTCATTGAAAAACAGTCGATTGTCGACTTTGCCAAGCATCAAGTCGTCCGGCTTTCCAACAAAGCGCAGACTTTTTTGAATAAAGTTCGTAAGAAAATAAAGCGCAAAGTTAACTTCAAAAGTATTTTTTCACAGATATGGTTCATTTTATTTTTATCTAAGGTGTTTGTAGATGTAGAAGCCTTGCAAGAACTACAATCTCACTGTAAATGGCTTTTTTTGTTTGAAGAACTTCTTGAAAACTCATACAGAAATAAGAGAAAAATAAAATCAATTTAAAAAAATTTTTTTATCCTGTAATCTCCTTATGTTATTCAAAGTTTAGTCTTTATTCTTTCCATAGCTGGAAATGTGGGCCGATGATGAAATCCAAAGAATTCAACTTATAAATTTCGAAATTATTTGTTTTTTCAGTTGGAAAAGATTGGTTTCGTGCCGGGATTCACAGAAAATTCGCTTCCCATGTCTCTCCTCCCGAAAAAGAAGACTGCGAATGAAAATGAAGATTCTGGTACCATCAAAGCAGAAGAAGAAGTTGTTAAAGAAGAACCAGTTGTGTATGAGGACGATCATGTATGTTTATGCAAAGAATATTTTTGTAGGGTTTCTTTCAGATTTTCGCAGACCTTCAATACACGCTCAACGACAAGTATTCGCAGCAGAAAACGCTCGTGTGGAAGTTTGTGCTTGGTTTTGCAAGAAAATGAGTTATTTCAATTGCAGTGGAGAAGAGAAAAGTGATAAAGTCGGGAAGGAATCATCGCCGACCACAGAAATCGTCAGTGGAAGCGAAGTTTCCTTCGCTTTCGATCCTGAAAAGGAAGCCCATTTGATTGCGTCGAATGCTGCGAAATTGTACGCCGATGACCCTGTGAGAGAGTTCTCCATTTGTTTCCTCATTATTTAGAACTTTTTAGGAGATTCGCAAATACTTCTTCCAGAGGTACCGTCTCTTTTCCAAGCTGGATGAAGGGATCATCATGGACAGAGGTTCAGTTTCGCATCAAATTTGAAGGGAACAACCTTTTTTTTAGTACATCAGAGTATTCAAATGGAATTAGAAATATTCATTTCACCTTCACAATTTTCGGGTTTATAACACCTTTTTATTAATATCTGACCTTTTTCCTTATACTTTTTACATTAAAAACATATCAAATTTGAAATTTCTAAGTTTTTAATGAATCTCTAAATTGACATTTCATCGTTTTTGATGAATGTTTTTTTGTTAGATATCAACTTTAAAAAAAGTGTATAATTTCAAAAAAATATTTGTTCACAAAAAAACATAATGCTCTAAATAATTATCAAGAATTAAAATATGTAATCGACAACAAAAAGAGCTTTAACTTCTCATCGTGCTGTTTTTTTCATAAGTTTGGTTGAAACTGTCTTTTTCTCTTCAAATACTGTAGTTTACTCGACATTACACTGAAAACGTACTTGAAAAATGTCCCAATCGGAAAGTAACAGACGTTTTCGTTGTTTGGACGCGAATGGTTTCTAGTTCTAATTTTGCAGAAGGCTGGTTCTCGGTGACGCCTGAACGGATCGCTCAGCACATCGCCGACCGTATAGTGCTTCCGGAAACGGCCGTCATCGTCGACGCTTTCGCTGGAGTCGGCGGCAATACCATCCAATTCGCTCTCCGTGGCGCACATGGTTTGACAAAATATATATCCAATGAGGAGAAATTCGTCTTTTAATGGTAGAAAAACTATTATATTATTGTTTGATTCTTCGGAAAATAGCTTCAGTAGTCGCAAAAAAGTTTGTCAAAATATATTCCTTTCGGATTCAAAAGAATTTCTTCACTTTCAATTTCAACCACGAGCCGTAAAATGGTAAACTCATTTATCGCGTTTTCCCAGTAATGGTAAATGGGCTAATATTGCAACTTGAACTGAAACGTCTCGCATTCTCGAAAAAATCAGCAAATATTCATTAAGAATTTCGAAAAACCTGCGTACAAGACATTTTTAGAAGGTTCTGTTCATAAAACATTTTCTTCTTACGTCTGGGCACACTTTTAATTTCTCGGCTGAATTTTGTTTATTTTCAAGTGATCGCTATCGATATGGACCCGGTGAGACTGAAGTGCGCCCGCCAAAACGCCAAAGTTTACGGCGTCGAGGACCGTATTTCCTTCATTTGTGCCGACTTTTTCCATGTCGCAGCCACTTGGACCAAAAACAAGGAGCGAGCTCCGAAGGTACTTCAGTCTTTTTTTGAAAATATCAATTTTTTGGTTTAATTTTTGATGGAAATGTTATATCGCGGAAAACTGAGCTTAAAAATCTCATTATGTTTATTTTATCTTCGAAATCCAAGTTTTTCTTTGTTTTTTTTTCCCATTGAATTATTTGATTTCTAGTGATACTTTAACAGGTTTGAAGGTAGAGATCTTTCCGAGAAATAATTATTAGGGTTATATTTAATCATTATTAAAAAGAGCACAGTTTTTTTATAAAGAAAAAAATTCAATGGCAAGTTTTTATTTTTAGTTCAAAAGTCATCCTAGATAATAATTGGTTTTTATTTATCTAATATTTTCAGGTCGACGCCGTTTTCTTGAGCCCCCCATGGGGTGGACCTGGATATTTGAACACCAAGGTATAGGTCTTTCGTTGAAAAAGTTGAAGAAAAACGAAGAAATTTGAGGGGGAAAAAGAATATTAATATTTTCGCATGAGAAAGATTCCATTATTTATTTCCTAGACGAAAAAAAAAGCTTTGGAGCGGACACCATAATAAGTCCCTAGAGGCTTAGAAAATCACTTAAAGTTTTTTGCAAAGGGTCTTATGCAAAAGAAAAGGTCAGTAGAGTTTCTCATTGAATTTTCTTTCTGATGTTGCCAAGCTCTTTTTCAAATGAAGATGTTATTTATTCTCAAAGTTGAGCATTTTCTCAACAATGAAGTCTTCTTTTAAGTGATCATTTAAAAAAAAACGGAATGTATTTGTTTTTCGAAATATTTTCCCATGGGCAGATTTTTCCCGAATACCGGTTCTTCGAAATTGAGCCTTTTTCAGGAGTTTGATTTGAACACTGGAGTTGTCCCTAACGGAATCGAAATCTTCAATGCTTCGGTCGCTTTATCACCCAATATTGCCTACTTTTTGCCTCGCAATACAAAACTGGACCAGGTTTATTTCCCCCATCTTCATTTTTTGAAGAAAAAAACGTCTTCCAGCTGATCAAACTGGCCGGTTCGACAGGCGGCAAGTGCGAAGTCGAACAGTCTTCTCTCAACTCGAAAATTAAAACCATTACGGCGTATTATGGTAATCTCGCTTACTCTTCTCATTGAATTTCTTACCCAGTGATTGCGGAGTTTGTTCCGTTGATTCAATTTTTGATTATGTTCTACTTATTGTGATATTTTTGCTTCAGTTTCCCAGTTCGTACTAAACCAGTGATATCATAGAATAAATCATAGCTTTTTTTTTGTTTTTTACTTTTTTCCGGCAAGAAATCTTCTTTCATTTTTCATTTATCATCATTTGATTCAGTTTTTTGTTCCAGTTCAATCTGAAGTTTCTCCATTTCTCGACAGGTTTTAATTCTCATAACTTTGCGAGGAAATTTAGTAACTCTTTTAGGAAAGGTTCCAATCAAACTGAGAGCAAATCGCAGCTAAGAGATTTGCTGTTCGATTTAGAAGATCAGAAGCTCAGACAAGAAAACATGAAAAAAGTGAGTGTATGAAGTTTCGTAGATATTCAGAAATTTCCGAGGACATGGAGAAAAATATGAGTTCTTGTGATTTTTTCACCATCATACTTTTGTAGATCTAATCTCACATCGGAGGTGAATAATGTGAAGTTAGTCAATAATTAAAACTTCAGTTAAACGAAAAATCAGAGCTGATTTTTCTAGAGCTTTCTTTTTCTTTCTTATCCAGTATCCAGGAAAGCGACTTCTGGCTCTTCAAATGTCGGAAAATTGTAAGTTGTAAGCGAATTCACTTCCAGAATTTTTCAGCAAATTTACAAATCGGTTCAAAGTAAGAATGGCTTTGTTAGCTCGTACTTTGCCATTTTCCACGTTCTTTAATATAATGTTATTCAATTTTTTTAGGAACTCATTGTGCATTGTTTTATAGTCTGTTCAGAATTAGAATTTCAACTCTTCGCTCAAGCTCCGCCCCTAATGGCGCGACGAACCAATCAGAGAGCGAGCCATCCACAGAGCGTTTTCGACTGGCTTCATTGACTTGACATCCAGATTCTGAACATATACATCGTCTTAAATCTTTGGAAGACTGACCTCCGTTCAAAATTTACGCCCCTCCTCCCCTCCTCACAGCTGCTGTTACAACCTTCTTCTCGGACACCTTGAGATAGATAATCGATATAGTCTGGATCTTTCAAAGAGCCATCTTCGCCCTCTTTTTTCCACCACTTTCCTGAATATTCATGCGTGTGAAAATCCGCATTCCTTGCGTTTCCTTTTTGAGGGCCTCCGCCACCACTTAATTTTTGCTCCTCCCACCCATTTTTCACATTAAACTGGCACCGCTCGTCGTGGCGCGTCTATTTTTTTTTTTTTGAAAGGCAATTATTTTTTGTTGTTGTTGGTAGTGTGGGCGTGGCTTGCAATTTTATTAGTAACATTTTTGAGTTGCGAGTTTTTTTTTCTTAATTTGATAGATCCGTAGAAAAGATAGGGAAGATTAAAAGAAGACGAAGGAGGAATTAAATTCTCGCTTCCTCTGCGAAATTTATTCATGGAATTTTTCTGGTTTCATTTGAAATTGAAATTTGGACAAAAACTACTTTTTAGTGGGGAATCTATAGTTTTAGTGTGCCTGGAGAGTCAAATTTGAAGTTCATTTAAATTTTGAAGCCCCACATCTGAAGTTTCTAAAAAGCAGGCGTAGAAAAAAAATGCTTGTTCCGATTTTTGAATATCAAAAATAGAATAGAAGTATTTCATAAAAGCGAGAAAGTTGCTTCATGTTTTACTCCAGGCTTCTAGTATCAGTTCCTAAGTTCTGTCTTCATTCTCAATTGGATTATGGCATCTGGAAACGGATATTACGGCAGAAACTCGTATATAATTATTCAGTTTGGAGCTCCGACTTGCGTCTAATAGCCTCGGCTCCAGAGCCAGAAAAACTGCGAGGGAAATTCGTTTTAAATTGACCTCCGCCGCTCGTCTCCGGTGTGATTTAACTTTCTTTTCTTCTTCTGGCTCTGCAACGGGAGCAGAGACCACTAAAAAGTGGAAGAAGTGGAAGGGCCAAGTAGTAATCCTGGAGCTTTGTCTTGAGCTCCACTCTCGGCCACGGCCCTCCATTCCGCACGTTTTCCATTAATATTCTGGCTCATCGGTGCGTGTTCCTCGGAAAAGAATGGCCGCCGTCTATTAGGAGCTTCCCCCCACACGTTATAATTGAGATTCTTCCATTTTTGTGTTTTTTTTCCTGAAAATTGGGCTTTTTCGTTCAACAGAACTATGTTGGTGCCGCCGTGGGCCGTCGGCGTCGTCCTTTTTTGCGGAATCGGCCTTGCGGGTATTGGGCAAGGTTTGTGGAAGAAGTTAAAAGAATATTGGAGATTATCATAGTTTTATTCAGTTTTGAAATTTTTAAAAGGGAAAACAATTTTCAAAGTTTAGTTCAAAATTTATTCTTCTATTGATTGGGTTCGTAATATTATTAAAGTTTTTTATTGGTTTCTTTTCGGTTGAGGGTCGCTCAAACCGGCTTGATAATTGTCTTTTTTTCTCAAAAAAATTTTCCATAACGCTCATTGATGTACCGGAAAAAGATTCTGAAAGTCTCAACCTACTAATAAATTTCTAGTTTAGGAGAATAATAAGGGCTCAAAGCCCTTAATTAATTACTTTAAAGAATTTTTCAAGGAATTTCATTTAGTTTGGCATTCCTGATTTCTCTAAAAATACCAAGTTGGGCAGGTTGAGACTGTCAGGATCTTCATCTGTTTCGTCAAGGATCTTCATCTCCTGGCCAGTTTTCACCAACCGTAAAGTAAAATGACTTTTCTTGTCATTTTCCTAAATTTGATCTTTCGCCAAAATGTTGAGCAGAAAGAGAGATCTTTTTATGCACGCTCGAATGAGATCGTCTTTGGTGGCTGTTCTCGAGTTCTGTAATATTTATTTAATTTTTTCAAAATGGCAAAGCTGTTGATTGGCTTCTAATTTACATGGAATCAAGAAGTTTCTAGAGAAAAAGTTTTTGTCGGAAGGATTTTGATCATTTCAGACCAATTTTTTCCCATTTTTAAATTCATATTTTGAAGTTTACGCCTCTGACGATGAGGAACGGCTCATGGTGGACGTGTTCCGCGGCTACAACTCTCTTATTCAAGTGAGTTTCCTCCAAGTTTCCAAAGATCCATCGAGATTAACTCTGAAGCCCGTTCGCAACTCGTCGGAAACTCCGCTTATCGTCAAGATCGCCCTGCAACTCGTTCTTTTGATCAATGTGGTTTGTTCCTAGCTTTTTGTGTGTTTTTTGAAAGTTTTATTTGAGGATGAAAAGGATCAAGTGATGCACACGAATGTTTGGTTGACATTGGTGGGTTGAAAAAAGGGGGGTATGAAAACAAGATTAGCGAAATTTGCGTTGGCGAACTTATCGAAGACCGCGAAATCGCGGGCGGTGTATGCCACCGTGTATGCATACTGTTTGCGCAAAAATCAATAAACACCTTTCCGACGGAACTTTTTCCGACTTTTTTTTGCCTCTTTTTTCAAATTTTTGGATTTCGTCACTCATTTTTTTTTGGTTTTTTCTGTTATTTCATCTTTTCCATCGCATTATGATCCTCTGGTACGCATTGTTCCTATTTTTCTCGATAAAAATATATTTATCCGATAGGAAACGATGTCAATGAAAAAAAAAAGATTTGGAAACAACAAATTTATGGACAATGGTGAAATAAAATGAAATAAAACAAGAAATTGGGAAAATAAGAAATGACACGAGAAGAATGTGAAAGATATAGGAAATTTTTTTGATGTTGCCCGAAACGAAAAACAATAACTTACAGATTTGTAGGAATCAGCGTCACTCAAGTAATCAAGCATGTCATCCAATGTTTCTCTCATAGCTCTTTCTTCTTCACTCATTCTGTAATTGAAACGCAGAAAAAAACTGTTATAAACAATGTTCCAACAGCCATCACGACGAAAAATTATTCCAAAAAAATATTTTTTTGCTTCAAACAAAAAAATTGAGGTCTTTTTTTCCGATACAAGGATCATAATGCGATGGAAAAGATGAAATAACAGAAAAAAACCAAAAAAATGAGTGACGAAATCCAAAAAAATTTGAAAAAAAGGCAAAAAAAGTCGGAAAAAAAGTTCCGTCGGAAAGGTGTTTATTGATTTTTGCGCAAACAGTATGCATACACGGTGGCATACACCGCCCGCGATTTTGCGGTCTTCGATAAGTTTGCCAACGCAAATTTCGCTAATCTTGTTTTCATACCCCCGAAAAAAAGAATTTCAAATAATATTTTTCCAAGGATTTCCTAATGTTCATACGGTAGAATGGTGGAAACTAGCTAGTAAGTATTTTAAAATCCGATTTCAACTGAAAATATTTTTTCTTGTAATCTATTTATGGCGTCTTAAAGACCTCAAAAATATCCTTTTTCTTCATTAAAATGATAGAGAACGAACTTTAGGTTAAATAATAATCGACAAAAATTCAAAAAAAAAACAACTCTACAGCGCGTCAGACTCTAAACCCCTTTAGGGTCCACTTAAATGTTACCCCTTTAGGAGACACTTTTTTGCCCTTCACACCTATAGGGACTACTCTGGCGTACCTAAGAAGTTTCAATTGATTCTCATGCTTTTCTATAACCTGCGCGATTTAGAGAGTAACTGAAGTTTGAGAACTTGAAGAAAAATTTGAAAACTTCTCAGAAGTCAAATTTTTCGAACCTCAACCAAAAAGTTCAGAAATGGCACGATTTCCAAATGAAGTGGAATCCTGTCAATTACGGCGAAATCAAGCAGATTCGAGTATCGCCCGACAAAGTCTGGCTGCCGGATATTGTCCTTTTCAATAAGTCCTCATTGCCTATGCCCTGGAAAATAAGACAAATTTACTTCTAGCGCCGACGGAAACTATGAAGTTTCGTTCATGTGCAACGTGGTGATCAACCACTTGGGCGAGATGCTCTGGGTCCCGCCCGCCATCTACAAGAGCAGCTGTATCATCGACGTCGAGTTTTTTCCGTTCGACGAGCAAGTCTGCACCCTCGTCTTCGGCTCTTGGACCGTCCGTTTTTTCTAATCTTTTTTTTCCAAAATCATTACTTACTTACTTCACAAGTTAAGTTGTTTCAAAGTTTTTAATTGAGATTCCAGTTGTCTGGTCGAAATCGAACAAAGTTCTTATTTTTTCTAGAAAAATTATTATAAAGATCGTCGCTAAGATGCTTTCAAAAAAGTTTCTTTTGAGCTTTCACTGCCCTTAAAAACGGAAAATTTTAAACTCTTTGGAAGAATTAAAAATTATGTGTTATAGCTAGGGTCCGCAAGCCATTTCTTCAGAACGATTCAAAAAATATGTTTTTCACATTGTTCGATAGAGGAGACTGTCCATTTTCATAATCCGTTTAGTTTTTGAAAAAAAGTTCACTAAGAAAAAAGTTATGGCCAAAAAACTAGCGCGCTCGGCGTTCAACTGGAGGCGAAATCTCACGGTTTACCCGCTGCCGCACGCTTTCTTTTTAAATGTTTTTACGCGTTTCTGGACCGTTTTTAAAGCGGTTTTCTGTTCTGAGAGGTTGTCAGATCTGAGCTCAACGTTTTGGTATGAATCTTTCGTACAATCCTCATAAGAATTTTTGATAAAATATCAATAAACTACTTAGAAAAAAGGTCAGAAGGAATTTTCAGCTTATTTTTCTTTTTTCTAATCAGAAAAATTATTATCATTCGATTTGGAAAAAAGAAAAAATGAAAAATGATGTTATTTCGAAATAAAACAGGAAAAAGTGCAATTTGACTCCGAAAAACGGCTCCTGCAACATTTAAAAGTGCGTATCGGTGTGTTTGACGCAAACACAGTTACGAACGCTTGCACGAATTCTTCCAAAATTTCAAAAAAAGTTGTCATTTTTTCGAGGTTTTCAAAGCCGTTATTTTTTTCGCGTCGTTAGATTTTTTTCATAATTTTTTCATTGATAGAGTTTTGAACGCTTAATAACCTGATCAAAAGTATAAACGCGATCCTATTCTCTCATGCGTCAACGAGGCAGACGAAAAAAGGAGGTTTTGGTAAAATTCAAATATAATTTAATTCGCTGTCCCAATAATTATTTTCATTCTGAATTTTTATTTTTGAACACATTGTGAGCTTTTTAATCAAATAAAAAGTATACCATGTCGCTGAAATTTTTTCGCATTTCAGCTTCAAAGTTTGGTGTCACTTTACAAGCTTTAATATTTTTTTCGCGTCGTTAGATTTTTTAAAATTTTTATTCAAAAAAATAAAGGAAGTGTTAATATATAATATACTCAAAATTTAGAAGCGTTCCTCACTTGGTTTTCTGAAACGCGATGATTTTTATGAAACTTGTCAGTTTTTTTCGTGTGAAATCTTACTTTTTTTCGCTTATTTTTTTGAAAAAAATACATAGTTTTAAAAAAATATTCAGTCTTGTAGAGCGTTGTCGATTACATAGATTAAGAGAAACAGTTAATTTTTAAAGTGGGACTTTAGCTAGTATAAACGCCTCAAAACCGTTTTTGCAACAAAAAAATCGTCATTTTGGTGGCGTGAAGGGGCGGGGCTTTGCGCCCCCTAGTTATAGCAAAAAGTCAGCCAGGAAAGTTCAGCTTTGAATTTTCGCAATTATTAGGCTTCAATCATCAGTGAGATAATGGAATTATTCTTAATGCAAAGCGTTTTTCTAATATTACTCTCAGTTGACATATCTTTCAGTACAACGAGAATGAGATCAAGCTGGAGTTCGAACAGGCCGAATGGGTCGACTTGTCTGAATACTCGGCCAGTTCCATTTGGGACGTCATCGATGCTCCAGCTTCTCTCGTCAACAAAAGAAGCAGAATCGAGTTTCAAGTCAGAATCAGGTTTGAGAAGCCCGATTCATGAAATTTTTAATTTATTTTTCCAGAAGAAAGACCTTGTTCTACACTGTTGTCTTGATCATTCCGACGGTTTTGATGGCTTTCCTCAGTATGGCCGTGTTCTTTTTGCCCACTGATTCTGGTAGAAAATCTTGCTTTATAGTGACTTCATTCAATTTTCAGGAGAAAAGATCACGTTGACCATTTCGGTCCTTCTTTCCATTGTCGTTTTCTTGCTCCTTGTTTCGAAAATCCTGCCGCCGACGTCGAGCACGATCCCTCTGATGGCCAAGTTCGTTGTTTTCTTTTGCCTCTTCAGAAATCCTCGCTGAGGTGTTCAAATACGCAGTGACAAGTGTCACAAAGGTCTCCAGACGAAATGCCTTTTTTTGGCTCTCATTATGAAATTTAAGGTTTTTGAATTTTTGAGCGCGTGTAAATAAATGTGTGTCGCTACCTTTTCTCGCAGATTTCCTTCTCAGTTTCTGAGACCAGATTTGGAATCAGCGGGAAAAACTAAACCTAGTGAACCTGGTCTCATTTAGAATCGATCCGGAAACTTCCTGGTTAGGTGTAAAATTCTCTTTTATTCCAATACAACTTTTCCTGATTTTTGAGAATTTTTCTTGCTCACAAATCATTCAAATCAAAAAAATGCAGTTTCTCACAGATACAGGAAAATTAAAAAATTATGAAATTTTTTGTACTGACAATTGGACTCGTCTGGACACGTTCTTCAAAAAAAAAATCGAGCATTTTCTGTTCCAGAGCACTCCTATAGTTTATACTGAAAAGTTTATACATTTAAAAATTGTAAAAAAAATAATCTCTGGTCGTCTTTCGAATGAAACTCCACTAGATGTATTTTATCACATTGTTGTTCGAGTTTTCTTTTTCATAACGAGTCTCTCTGACGCAAAGTTGAGTCCAAAAAATATGAATAAATCGAAAAAGGTGAATTTAATTTGATTAAATGGACACTTTATTGAATTCAAAAAACGTTCAGGTATCTCTTGCTGACGTTTGTCTTGAACGTGATCACAATCTTGGTCACGGTCGTCATTATTAATGTCTATTTCCGAGGTCCCACAACCCATCGAATGCCTCACTGGGTTCGCATCATATTTCTTGAAGTTTGTATTTGGGTTTCAATTTATATATTTATTCATTCAGTTTCTTCCCAAGTTGATGTGCATGCAGAGGCCGAAGTCGGCGACGAGGCGAAATGCGGTAAATTTTATGAAAAGTCAATTTGGATTGAAAAAACACGGTTTCATGCCAGCTTCTTTCATACTCAAGAAGGTGCTCAATGGAGTGAAGATGAAAAAAGAGAGCGCAGATGTCAAATGAAGCAATATATTTGAAGAGAAAGAGATAAAGAAAAATAAGTTTCTGATTTAAACTAGGCATTCTGCCACAGCATATGAGCCATTTTGCAGGCTCGCCGAGGAATGGCCCAACTGCCGGGCGTCGGGCAGTTCGCCCTGAATCCCGCCGCCCACCATCCTTTCTGCCCGAGCGCCGACGAAAGAAACACAAACCACCGCGCGATGGCCAACCACAACGACATCGACAAGGACGCGACGACGTCCGCCTACTATCCCCTGTCTCCGGACGCCCTCAGAGCCATCGACGCCATCGAGTACATCACCGACCATCTCAAGCAGGATGAGCAGCATAAAATGGTGCATACTCATTAGAAAACTTGATCTTTTTTGAGCACAATGCCGAGCGCTTAATCAAGCTAGAATGAAATTCAGAACACCTTCCTAATTGATTATTGAACAGAGAGTAATATATAAATATCTGAAGTGGATTTTTGGTTCGAGGATTTCGCTATCTATTCAGCAGTTAGTGCACTACTATAGTGAAGTCGAAGTTCTGAGAATTAAAAATTAATTTTTTTCACAATCTTTCGCTTCTTATTGTAGACTGAAAACCCAAGTATTGCAAAAAAAGAAAAAAATAGTTTACATTATTTATTTTTTCGAAGCTGTCGGTTATTTTTGAATACTCCAGTTGTTAAGAAAACCCGGATCCGTGTAGTTCAAAGCTTACCAGGTAGCTCCGCAGCTAATTTTCGGCCCTTGGGCGTGGCTAGCCAATTTTAGAACTCATAATGCCTTAAAGTCCCAATTTTTTATTTGTTTATGATGAAGATCAGCCGAAGAAACCTTTTTAGCGTCATATTTTCGAAATGATAGTTTCCAGTTATCGAAAAATGCCTCGATTATTTCATCTTTTCTAGTTCCGGGATGATTGGAAGTACGTGGCGATGATCATCGACCGTCTTTTGCTCTACGTTTTCTTCGGAATAACTGTCGGTGGAACGTGCGGAATCCTGTTCTCGGCGCCTTACGTTTTCCAAGGTATCTTCCAGGATCTTTTTGAATTATTGATGCAGGCAATTTCGAAAAAAAATGTCATATCAGGCATAGAGCAGCAACAAGTTCTGAGTCACCTCGTTGAGCAGTACAAAACCAAGGGAAATCGACAGTAAATATACATATTTTGTTAGCTTTCATAGTAGTTATCAAATTTGCATCATCATTTCTGTAAAATACGGGTTTTCTTGTTTAATTGTTGTTTTTCAATGAGATTTTTATGAGAAAATGAGAAATAAACAGGTTTATTAAGACCGGGAAGAATAAGATTTGTAAAATGATCGTAGATGAACGGTTTTGAACAAAAAAAAAAAGAATTTTCGAACGAAAGATTCAACCCCACCAACTCTTTTCTTCTAACATTTAATTGATCACACCTCGAGGAACTCCTTTGTTTTCCCCCAACTGTTATCGTTTGCAATTAAAAAATCGGAAGGATTGCGAAAACAAAGAAATGACCACCAGTGACAGTAAAAAGACACAATTGGAAGAGAGAGAAAGTTTTTTTTTCCCGTTTCCATTCCAGAATATTTTGATGCGCTGTTAGATTAAAAAAAGATTTTTCGACTTTGATAAGAGAAAGGGAAACGGTGTTTAGTGTTGATCTGATCTTGACCATGTTGGGAACTCAGACAACAGAAAGAAAAGAAGAGATTGTTTGATGTTTGAGATTATATATGTTAGAAAGTAAGGTAAACACGTGTATTTACCTGAAATTAATTGTTGTAGCGACCATCGGAACTAAGAAAGAAATTCACCTTTTGTAGTTTTTGTGACGGGCTCAGGAGAAGTGAAAAGACAAATTTCCAATCTTAACTTTCATGAATTTTTTTCTCAAATCTCACATATTGGAATAATTAAAAAGATCATTAAGACTTCAAGTTCTATGGAAAAGAGAGTCATTTCAATCGGACTCACCACAACTTTCCCTAAGAATCTTAGTAAGAAAAATCAGAAATTTCTGAAGTTCGTTTTTATTCATAAGAATATACCAGAATTTCAAGTTTTCTGCTTCAATGAATTATTTTCTGAGTATCCGATGACTCATATTCCAAAAATAAATAAATCCGAGAAGCTATTCGGTTTTAAAACGCTTCATCAGTTTTGCTAGTTCAGCGAACAAGATGAAAAAAATTTGAAGCGATTTCGTTGATTGATTCCATCTGATAAGCAAAGAGTAACTCGAACCAAAAGTCGGGTCTGTTCGGAGAAATTTGGACAAAAAAAGATGCAAAGATACGGAGATTCAAGGACACTAGTCGATGATCACACACAGGAACACAAAAAACATACACAAAACAGCAAAGTAAATATTTATTTATTTGGTGATGTCATTGAATGGGCTAGGAATAACGTCACAGTAGACTCAAGTTGTAATAGCTTTTTTTGAGACTTTGAGAAAATAATTAGCGTTGAAAAACAGGCGTTTGCCATTATTTGAAAGTTCAGGTCTGATATTGGATATTAAATGGACTCGAAGTGAAAACAGTTTTTTTTTGCTTTGAGATTTCTTCGATTTTATTTTTTCTCGATAAAAGCCTCAAAACGATCAGAGAAGTGAGATGAAGGGCAAAAGCTCAGGCACAGGAATCTGGAAACATCAAAAAAAAAAAAATTTCCGACAGCTCGCAAAGAAAATATTTTTTGTTGAAGGTTACGAGAAACTTTCCCTAATTATTTCAGGTTTTTCGTCCGTTAGCATCTTCGAAGTTTCTTTTTTTCAATTTTTTTAGGGGTTCACTGAGACCAAAAGTTTGAGGTGCGCAAACGGGTTTGCTAATGATAATCTTTCAACTTTACTAGCCAATATAATTTAGAAAGTAAATATCACCTTTTTTTATATCGTCATAACAAAAAAAATATAGAAAATTCTGTTTTTTTGAGAATAATCAGCGAGATAGCGAGTAAAAAAATATCGTGTCAAGACCTTCAACCTGAGACGCGTTGGCCCTTTTAATGGTTGTCAGAATTCTGAAACTTTATATTTTTTTTTTTTTCTCAACCGAATAACTGTTTCAAAAAAATTTATATTTTTCATTTGGAAATTTCAATTCATATGTAATTCTGCCCAAATACAGCAGCCTAATTTTTTAAAGTTTCAATCTGTAAAAAAAAAATTCGTTTTGAGGCCTGAAAAATACCATACGAAGTTTGAAGATTGATATTTCCAAAATCAAAAATACACGAGGATAGCAATTGTCAGAATTTTTTGTTTAAAGCTTCAGAAAGGCTCCGCGCACATTTTTGGACAGTATAATGACTTTTCGATCTCATAATCGTCCAGAATTGATAAACTTACTTTCTCCGCGGAAACGCTTCTAAACAGTGGGGATTCCCAAAATGAAGGTAGCGGTCAGCGGCATCTGTTACACCGAAAACAAAACCTTTGCAATTTCGAACTGGGCAAACAGGTTGTGAATAGTCTCGAGGCCATCAAAGTACGAGAAGGAGAGAGAGACAGATGACGTCGCCGACGACGATGCAGAAGAAGAAGTAGAGGCAGGTAACAAACAACGGACACGACTTCACCGACGACGTCAACAACAGACGGCCTCGAAGGCGGGGAATCTTCGCCGAATAAAAGGCGCTCCGCCGGATCCGACCACAACGTCTTCTTTTCCTCTCCACAAAAAAAATGCTCCGGTACTGTGTCGTTCTGGTGGCCGTCCTGGCCGTGCCGACCCTCGCTCAGATGGTCCGACAGTGCTCCTGTAGCGAGGTCGACCCTTGTCTCCACGTCGCCGAGTCTGGCATCATGCAGTGTGCCGACCAGTGCCAGGTCTGTCTTTTCAAGCATTCCCAGGAGTAGCTCTTCAGAATATAGCTAGCTACTACCCACTCTTCAGAATATAGCTAGCTACTACCCACTGAAAAAAAGGACCTTTGAATTTTTTTTTCAGTTTTCCGAGATTTTAACCGGCCAACAGTTTTTTCATTTTATTTTCGATGGCGCAGAGACGCAATAATTAATAGAACTGAGGAATTTTTTTTTTCAAAAACTCTCCGTATTTCTCCGTATTTAACAGTTTTCACATAGGTTATACAAGGCACAAGATTCCAAAATCAAATATTTCAGAACCACGTTGCCGCGATCGGAGCCAACTACGGCAAAATGCGAGCCTGCATGCTCGAGAAGGAGCCCATGTTCAAGCAAGCCTTCAGCTGTCAGCAGAACAAGCTGAGCGACTCTTGCTCCAAGGGAGGCGGCGGCCAGGTCCCCAAGCGCTACCCAGAGACCCTCAAGCTCGCCGCTTTCTCTGAAATCAACTCGATCCTCCAGAAGTCTGGTGAGGCTTGAATAGCGAATCTCAGAATTGAACTCCGATGATACAGGCATCCAAGCCGAGGCCAAGTCGTTCCTCTCCGTTGGTAAGAAATTCGGCAGCTGCGTCATGAAGTGCATGGACCGCGGATCGACCGGCAGCTGCTACAAGAAGCTCGGCTGCGGTCTGGCTCTGCCTTCCGACAGCATCCTCGTCCAACAGACCAAGCAGTGCGCCATCCAGGCCGGCTTCAACACGGCTGGAGTTCGTCAGCTCTGTTCCTGCGTCGCCGCCTCCGGAATCCCGTTAGTTTTTAGCTTTTCTCACTACTTGATATCAAACAAAAACTGGAACCACCTAAGTGATCACTACGACCTTTGTACTTTTGAGCGATTACTAGAAAGCTCAATATCGACATTGCGAATTTCTCAAAAACATTCCCGTTTTTATAAGTAAAGGTACAAACATAAAAAATTTTCTAAAAAAACCATCCTTATCATTTTTCAGAAGCCTCGGCTCGCTCTGTGAACGCATCGTGATCTCCTAAACTATTCAACTTGCCATATGATTTCTTCAAATTGTAAATATATTGAAGTTAATTTGTACAAAGAGAAATAATAAACGGTTTCATCTTCGCTACAATTTGTTCGAAAAGTGAAAGTTTCGATGTTTCATCGGATTTATTTCTTGAGAAATGTTGTATTGAGCTTCAAATAGAAAGTTTTTGCTCAAGTGGTCAATCAGTGCCTCTTTTTCGCGAAATTGTCTATAAAACCGGCATGCTGGAAAAGTCGGTCGGTTGGGAAAACTAGGCCTCGCCGAAAGTTTGTTCCATGGAAAATTGAATTTCAAATTTTTTTTTTCCTTTTGATATGTGTTTCCTTGCTTGTTATCAGTTTTCTAGAAGATAAAATGTATGCTCCACCTTTCAAACTGAACCGTTTCTTATTTATTACCGTTTTTCTCGGTAATTTTTCACCTTTTTTCGGATGTAATTTTGTTTTTGCCTTTTTCGTGTGTATTCTACACATGATCTCATTTTTCAATTACTCATGATTTGTAATTTCGCATTCAGTTATATGCAGTTATTTTGGATCCAAAAAACAAATAAGATTTTCAAAAATTGAGTAAGTTGATAATTTTTTAATGTAATTACCATCGAACAAGTTAAAAACACAAAACTAATTGCAATATAAGGCTAAGGTCCAAATTTTAGACGATTTGCGAAAACTGAAAACTTCGCGAAATTGGGAACAAGAAAAATCGTGTTCCTCGAAAAATGTTCGTCTCAGTTATTAACAACTGTGGAGAAAAAATGGAGCAAAAAGATCTAAAAACAACGAATTAAGTGAAAAAAAAGAAAAAGTGAATTGAAAAATTAATAATTATCTGATAAGAAGTGTACGCTGGCGCGAACTTGCTTCCTCCTACCGTACTCCGCCGTTAGAAATTTTTCATCAGGGCACATTTTATCGCCTGCCAGTTTTTCTCTTCACGTCCACCCTTTTTAAAACGCCGTGGCGCCGTGCTAACACGGTGTCTCAGCGGGTGCCCCCGTATTAAACCCGTAAAAGCCCAGCTGATAGAACTTTTGGCAATTTTTAGCCCAACTGAGACCCCGCTTTAGCCCAGCTGGGTTACATATTTTTCTTACACCCGTTGTTCCCCCGTTTTAGCCCAACTGAGACTAAAATAACCTCAGAAACACGGGTTTAATACGGGTACACCCGTTGAGACACCTGCTCAGCATGCGAGTAGTTTTGAGTGGAATAATAGTTGCTTACTACGAACGTCATTTCGACGAAATAACACACGCAAGAGACGCAGACGACGGCTGGTCGGTGGCCCCTTAGGCGACCGATCTTGTTTTTGTTTATGTTTTGTTTTCCTCCCGACTTATTTGTTCTTTCTTTTTCTCGGCTCTGTGCCTTTTTTTGTCAAAAGCTGTCGCCACTTTCAATCTCAACATTAATCATCGCAAAAACCGGTGTTTTCACGATGAACTTCCCAAAGGATGTTGCGAAAATTGCCGGATTTTGATTCACGCGTTTTGAAATTTCTTGTTACGAAATGTTTTTTGGTTTGTTTCGATGAGTTCCTTCATTTCTGGTCTTCAGGCTAGCTGGTTTTACTAATTTTCCGAAAACTATAATTTTTTTTTTTAATTTAACTGATTCAAAACGTTTTATTCGCTTTTTTGCTCGTTAACTCTTTCTTATTGCTTCTTTTTTTGAAGTTTTCAAGTTCATAATCCGTTCTTTTCTCAGAGTTAATGAGTAAAATTTCAATGATTTTCTCGATCGTTTGAGTATGTTAAACGCCAATTTCTACCTCTATTATTTTCGGAGCGCCAAAACGACTTTATATTCATATTTCGTTTTTTCCAGAAATGCTTTCTTTTTTGTGGAAGTCATCAGGGACAGAAGTCTCCGATTCACTTTTCTCCGAAGCCTATGCATGCCTCGAACAAGGCTTGTGTTACGATGAAGTTGACGATTATGTGAGTTCTTTTCAATTTTTTTCAACTGTTAATAACTAAATAATCAAAGGAGAACACTCTATTGATGTACGAACGAGGCCTGAACCTGATAAAGGAGGCCGAGAAAGCGAAAAATGCGAAGAAAAGCGAGCTGTACAATAATTTGATGGAGGCGAAGAACAGTGTGAAAAATCGGTTTGTTTTCATTTTTTTTAAGGAATTTTAGGGGAAGATATTCAGGATCGAGGCGTTGAAAAAGGATGGGCCAAGGCCTAAACAACATACTGCAAAAGAAAAAGAGGCGAATGGAGAAGTGAATATACCGGAAAACAAAGATGTGAGTTTTTTTTTGTGAAAATTGAAGAAAATTTGGAGAAAATTTCCGCATTAGAGCAAGTACTATAGGCGTCGAAAAAAAGTTGTCATGAGAGGAAATGAAAAATTTCAAAAGCTCATAAGTTGTTTCAAAATTCTGTTAAGTTGTTTGAAGGGTGACATTGCAAACGACTTGAAATTTTCTTGATCTTCTCGGAAACTTCAAGGAGATTCGAACAGTCCCTAGAAGTTTTCAACTAGAAAAAGTAATCAAAAATATCGCAAAAAGTTTCTCATTTTTTGTTCAAAAATTATTCTGATTACAGAAAGAAGCGCTCCGAAATCAGTTAAGCTCGTTTGGAGACGGAGAAGCTGAGCTGATCTACTTCCTGCCCCAAGGAGTTCAACTTTTCACAATTGATGTAAATTCTATCCTCGTTTGAATTGAACAAAATCCCTTCATCAGGGAGACCAAACGACGGCGCCGACGCCTCCAACTTCTTTGGAAATTCTGCGTTTGGCCCCCGGCGACGTCGATTCTTCCGCTTATGAAATGGACGAACCTTCGGCCTTCATTCAAGTAATTATAATATATTATAGCTGTTATTTTCATCACTTTCTAGTTAGATTTGGAAGCCGCGAAAAAGAAAAGAATCAAGAAATGGAATAAAAAGAATGAACGCGAAAATCGTTTTCGCACGAGGAGACGTTTCTTTGCCTAGGAGAGATCTTGAAATAATCGAAAAGAATATAATTGAAACTAATCAAAAGTTTATTCAATAAAAAAAAAGTTGCATTTCGAGTTTGATCAAAAAATAAGATATCAGCGACACTTGATTTTTCTAGAGCCTTGAGCTGCTTTTTCAATAAATATTGTTTGGAGGTCGGCCCCTGGGTTTATCCGTTGATGAAGGAGAAATCTCCGATTCTTCGGAACGAATTCGGAGCCTACGTTGTCCCGAATCCAACGCCTGAAAAGCCAAGTGAGACTTTACAGACTATTAAAGTAATCCATTGAAATTAGATATGATGGTGGCCATTCTCCTTCCAAACGACTTGGACAAAAAGCTCATTGATGAGTTTGACGAAGTCTTGCGTTTATTCGGAAATCTGCGAGATCAGGAGGTCGCCAAGGAGCTTTCCACCGAAGAGAACACCCGCCTGAGCCACCAAATCGCTAATTTCCTCGTTTTTAGTTAGTTTTTTATTTATTGAAATGCATTTATGTTTTGAAGTGCATGAAAACTTGCTAAATTAGAAAGTTCCAGCCGGTCAACGCATCGCCTGGGGCGTTGAAACGACGGCCGTGCACATTGTGAGTCACGTCGAAGACCGTGGAGACAAGTGAGTACAGAAATTAGGACATAAACCTTATTATACGCCTTTCATAACGTCATTTACTCGAAATTCAACTGTATTTTGTTAATCAAAATACAATGCCAGTTATGCTTTCACTTTCAGGTACCGGCAAACCATCGAACCAGCCCTGAAACCGATGACCGTCTCTCCAGTGGTGAAAGGCAGCGTCGTCTACATGCACAAGGGGTCGAAAGTCGTCGCCAAATGCACCAAATACTTATGTTCGTTTTTTGGTTTCAAAAACAAGTTGGTAAAATGAATTCTCATACAAATGTATTGAGAAAAAAAAAGTCTCGGACCCGGTAGCGAAGACCGGATGTTTCTGAGCAATTATAGGGATCATTTAAGAGCTCTCACGCTGTGTCACTAGAAGAACCCGACACGTTCGATTCGCCTTCGGATCAAAATTTTATTTTGTCTTTAGAGCGACCTTTCATGCACACAGTTCTCTTTGTTAATTTTTTCTTTCTTTCTCAACCTCTTCTTTCAGTTATTGATTTGCCCGTTTCTGTCAAAGAATGATAACTAATTTGAGAGGAAATTGTCACTTTCTTCTATAATTTAATAGTTTGTACGTTGAAATACGTTTCAAAAAGGGAAATTTTTTCGTAATTTTTTTCAATTGGATGAACATCCAAGATTATAGTAATTTTTTAGTGAACAAGGTCGGAGACATGGGTGTCGCAATTGGTAAAAAACTGGCCGACAGTGCCAACAAGACTTTCGGCGATGGAGGAACCGGCGGTCTTGTCACTGGGGCTATAGGTGAGCTCATTTCAAAAAACAAGAACAGTCAATTGTTTATAGCCATCATTGGCGGAGGCATCACTGGCGCCGGAACTGTTTGGATGTCTTTGGAAAACGGCAGCAAAACTCTTTGCAAGAGTATCGCTAACCAGACTGTTCAGAATGTCAAAATCAAGTGAGTTCGGGAAAGTTGTCGTAGAAACAAAAAACTGAAATCATGAGGTATAAGAAAATATGACTCTTTTTGAGCTCAACAATGGATTGATGAATAAAAACTGAGCTTTCAAATGTAAATTTTTTTAGTTTGAAAAAAATTTGTTTAAAATATAGAAATAAACAATCCAATTCAAGGATAGTATCATAAAATAAATCTAGATGAAATGGCGACCAAGGATGAAGATTTTTTTTGTTTGAGTTTTCCGTTTCAAATACTATTCATTTTTTATTGAACGTTTCGATTTAACACACTCGAATTACCAAAATCCTTTTTCTTTTTTTTTCTCAATTTTTAGTTCTAACTTCAAAAATAACATTTTTCTTTCAAGATACGGCGACGAAGCCTCTGAAACAACACATCACGCCCTTCACGCCGCTGGCCACGGAAGTTTGGCAGCTTTCCAACTGTGGGACCTCGGACCAAGGAGTATTGCTGGCAGAGTTGCCAGAAAGGCTGGCATTCAAGTAATTAAAGAGATATTCGAAGTTGAACTTCTTTCTTCTCATTACAGATCGTCACGGATCTGCACGGCAAACGAGTGAAAATCACCGAGGTCGAACCGATCTCCGAAAAGAAGAAAATCGAATGATTATTTGACTTTTTCAATGATTTGAGTTCAATTAACGCATAATATGTTGAGTACTAGTCCTCGCTGCGATGTAAATATAATAATCCTGTGATAGATTTTGTTTTCTGTACATTAGTTTTGTTTGAAAGTGTACAGCTTCCCTGAGATTGTATTTTACTTGCTTGCCAAAGATTTACTGAAACTATATACCTCCCCGGTGATAAATGATTTTTTTCCTCTTCTGAGAATTGAAAATAGACGACTACTCTGTGAATTTTCATCAGAAATAATTATTGAAAATTGCCCTGCATAAGCTCAACTTCGATTCTGTTCAGCTCCGAAGATGGTTGCCAAGGCGAAGAGAAGGCTCGTTTTTTTTTAAGTTTTTGTTCTCCAAATAGTTTCAGAAAACTAAAAAGTTTAGGATTTAGAACCCTTTGAAGAAAAGATTATTTTCAGAACTCTAAGCTTTCAAAAAAAGTAATTTATATGCGGAATTTCATTCTAAACAAAAATATGCAAATTTTTTTATTTAATAACCCTTTTATTTTTATTTTTGACGCTTTCAAATTGTGTTCATTGAAGTTTTCTAAAGCTTCTTATGCTGAGATTTATATTACAGATCAAAAAAAGAAGAAAAGGATGAGGAAAAAGTTGTTGATCCACGCTTTGTTCTGAGGCCTGACCAAAAGGACGAAGAAGAGAAAGAAAGAGTGGAAGAAGAAAAAGATGAAGAAGGCGATCCGGTCGAAGGAGGTTCTGACGAAGAAAATGAAGATGAAGAGGAAGAAGATTCCGACGAAGACGATGAAATGGAAACTTCTTCTGCTCGTTGGTTTTTTATTTTCATGAGCGAGGAAATTAGATTAAGTAAAGCTTTTTTCGAAAAGCCTTGTGGTTGAAGGTGCAATAGTCCTTAATGACCTTAATTAAGACCCAAATAGAATTTTCGTGTCGAAAGTTCCATAAAATCCATTCATGCTTTTTTTTTTCAATAAAGGACTTTTTCGAATTATATCAGTAGTGCTTCCGTTTCAGGATCCGATGAACTTGAAGACGAAAAGAAAGAGGTCAATTTTGAAGAGAAACAGCGGAAAACAGGGGTAATATTTTGCTTCTCTCGTTTTATTCAAAACTTTTGTTTTACAGGTGCTATATTTCTCAATGATTCCGCCAAAGTTCACCGTCGTTCGCTTACGTGAATATTTCGATAAGGTTGCGCCTGGCGAAATCGGAAGAATTTATTTAATGGTAAACATTTTTTTATTATTTTCTAATTTTTCTAGAGTGAATTTTTCGGGATTTTTCTCTCAATATTTTTCAAGTATAGAGAGAATTTGCGATGCAAATTTGCCCTTTTTTCCAGTATTTGAAAAAAAAATTTTCTTTCGAGGTTATGCTACATTTTTTGATGCTCCAATTAAAAACAAAAAAATTATTGAAAAAAAATCGGCATTCAAAATGAAAAAGCTCACCAGAGAACTTTTTTTAGATCTTGTTTCCGAGTTATGGAGCTTCAAAGTGTGCAAAATACGCAAATTAGGCCAAAAAAGCGCTATTTCGGACTGTCCTAACTTTAAAACGAAGGGGTAAAAAACGATCCCTGTTTAAAAAAAAAAACTGTTTATTGCATCTTCAATGTAAGAGTACATGTGCAATCGACTTTCATTGATTTGACTGTGTTTAAACGGCGGCAGGAGCTGTGGCTTAGGCAGAGAAGTTGTGAATTTCGCTCGTAGAACATCAGGTACAAGAGAGGTCGTAGGAAGAGTTACGGTGCCGGCTTTCCAAAGGCCGATGGCAGAGGTTGAGCTTTTTCGCTGCATGCAGCTTCCAATATTATCTACCCCGGAGGGATGAAAGGCTTGGTCGACCTAGTCAGAGTAATCGGATATTCCTGTAGAGAATCTATATTTCTTCGTGAGCCAAAATCAACTCGACCATTCTATTATATTTTCGAATTGCTCAGAAAAAAAGAAATATACCCTGTTTTCGCATTTATATCGCGAATTTTACAGTTAGTGAAAACTATGTGACCCCATAAACCAAGCTTATGTTGGTTTTTTCAGAGGAACAAGCATACAAAAGTGAAAGACAGCAAGTACAAGGAGGGCTGGATGGAAGTGAAGAAGAAGAAAGTGGCCAAGGACTTGGCGGCTCGCGTCGACAACACTCCTGTCGGCGGAAAAAGGAGGGACTACGTCTCGAGCATCCTCTGGAACATCAAATACCTCTCCGGGTTCGTGATTTTCGAATATTTGTTTGGAGGAGCGAGGACAAATCTTCTCAACAATCTCATTTCCAATTTCAGATTCAAATGGGTGCATTTAACAGAACAGCTACAGTTCGAAAAACGAGTCGAGCAGCGACGAATGCAAGTAGAAATCGCACAGGTTTGAAAAAAAAGATTTTTGTTTTGAAAATAAATGCTGATGTCAGGCTCGACGAGTAGCTGCTCATTTCGAGGAGCAAGTGGAGAAGGGCCGACATCTGAAGAAGCTGGAGCAGAAGGTCCTTGCCCAAGGCGGCAAGTGGCAGCCGTTCACTCGTGACGTCGGCCAGAAGGCCGTGACGCGTGGCAAGAAGACGTCGAAGAAGCAGAAGAAGGCGACGACGGCGACGCCTAGCGAAGATCTGATGAAAATGATCTTCGATAGGTGAAATGATTACTGTCGATTCCTTTGTTGTTATGGAAAGTTGGAGAGGCTCCTGTTTGAAATTTTATCAGAAAATCTCCATTCTTTTTTTGTGGCCTGTTCAACGAGGAAAAAAAAACAGAGCATGTGTCAAAACATTGAATTTTGTTCATTTCCCAAGTTGCTGCGAAATTGTGTTTTTGGAGTATTCTTACTGCGTTTTTGAAACTGGTTTCACATCGAATAGACTCATGAAACCTTTTTAAGATTATTTTTTTCTAAAGATAATATTCTCATTTTTCCGGCCCAAACCAACTTTTCAATTTATTTTTTTGTTGCATTGCTTGTTGACTGTTGATACAAATATATTCTTAAATCATTTCTTCTAAATATTTTTTTTTCAATGCATGGACGACGAAGACATTTTAACCTCCCTTGAGTGACTTTGAAAAAAAATCGCAAGAGCTTCTGTTGCAATTGAAGTGATTTCACTCAATTGGCTTCTCAAGTTGTTATTGAATGCTGAGATAATTTTATTATGCATCCAAGTGTCAAAATCGTTCGAGAAATTTTATGAGCCTGCACTAAAATTTGCAAATCAAGAGCAGACATTTGAGAATAAAGAAACAAATCTTCTATCTAGGCGCAATTGCTCAGAGGATGATTATTCGACGAAACGCTTGTTCCACAGGGGAATGTACTGGCCAACCGTTTTCCATTCGCAGAAATAGATGGCGAGGAGGAATGCCGTGCCGCCGTAAGCTCCGTACGAAGAGAAACTGAACTTTCTTTTTTTGGGATAGAAAAAAAATCAGCGCTCTCAAAAATTGTAATGCACAATTTTTTGCAATTTAGTTTCAAAATAGAGATTAATCTCTGTAGTCTCTGTAGCCCATAGGAAAAATTATTTAAAAAAAGAAACTCACTATTTTTGGGTTGGTAACAGCATTCTTCAAGAAGCGGGCTGGTCGCAAGTAAAGCATCTTAAAGATCGGTAGTTTTTTTTTTTTGATATATAGAAAATCTTCAAAAACATTTAATCGAATTCGAGTTGTGGTAACTAAAAAAAAACGCGATTCTTTTCTCAAGATTTGAACATTTTATTACATTTGAAAGTCCCATAACGAAGTGTATCACAATAAATTAACAAGAAATATGAATAAACAATAATTGAACTGAATATTTTCAATTCAACCAAGGAAGTTAGTGACGACCAAGTGTAGTATGAGGTTGGCGAAAATAAAGTCGGCGAATGCTCGTTCCGGCGAGATTTCCGAGAACTCGCTGCGGTTCTCTTCGTTCACTTGCATCCGGAGGCATGCTAAAAAATGTCAATTCAACAAGTATGCGAGAGTTAATGCATGAAAACATTTAAAGGTACATGAAAAATAGAACTTCCGAGAAGGCTTTTTTTTGATTTATCGAAGAAATGCACTATTTAGTCTTAACAATAGTTCAGAAATCCGGTTACTTGTCATTGATATTTTAATGTTCAAGAATCGTTGAAAAAAGGTCTTTAGAAAAAATAATAGAAAAACTTTAAATTCTCATTTAGAAAATAAAAAAAAGCAAAAAACTTACAAGCCAGGACGAAAGAAGCAACAGTGGAGATGAAGCCAGAAAGGAAAGAATTGAAAGGGAACGTTCCGACGAGCAAGCAGTAAACGAACTGAAATGAAAGATTTTAACAAATTTTCCGGTTTTTGTTTTGTGAATGTTCACCTTCAGTGCTCAAGATTGATAGATTCAATATAAAGATGGACGTGATGATCGTGGAGATCAAATCAAAAAAAAAAAATAGAGAGAAAGACATACCTGAATGATGCCAGTAAAGAGAATGTACGTCATATAAGCGTCAATGATTTTTAGCTTCTGTGGCGTCGTTTTGACATAATCGTCGCATAGCTTCTGTACAACTTGCACCACTTGAGCGCTCATCCTGTAAAAGATCAAAATTATTTGCATTCATAATTATTAAAATAAAGGAAATATCTAAAAACAAAAAACAAAGAGAAAATGAACGTGGCCAGGCGTTATTAAAGGGACAGAGCAAGGCACCCCGTCTCTTCGCTTTGCTGTCCCAACAAGATTTACGAGACGTTTGAACTTGTTTTTGTTTTTTCTTCTTGTTTTCTCTGCTGCCATTTTAACTGATTCGATTCAGACAGTACGTCCCTCCTCGCTGAATCGATAGGTTACTTGTACAATGACAAATACCGCTAGTGCCTGAAGATACGAACAACTGCCATTATTCTTCATAGTTGAAATATTTGAAATATTAGGCGATGCTGTATACCGTGCTGACGTTGTTAGCGTGAGTTTTTTTATCAATTTTATAATTTTTTATTTTAACAGAAATCTTGCACTAAAATTTTTTCAATTTTCAGGCAAATATATTGCAATGGACCAATTTTGGAAACTGTACAAAACTCGTTCATGTTCCCCGATTCTAAGCATTTTGTTGATATGTCATTGAAATATGATCCAGGTGAGCGGAATTTGGCTCTCGTTGAAGTTTTTTATGAGTTTGAAAATTTTAACGTTTTCTTTTTTCTGCTGCTCACGCCTGTTTAAGACAGTGCTACGGTGGCCGGTCAATATATTGCGCCGTCAGTTTCGGAGCTACAAAATTTTTTGAATTTTTTTTTCTTTTTTTTTTTTGCAATTTGTCAAGGACCATTTTTCGAGGTTATGAAATAAGTTACGTCACAAAAAGTACACAAGTTTTCATTTCCTTACCCAGAAACCTAGCTTGATTACCGTAATACGACCGGCCGCCTTGAAAATTCGTGTGTTGTCAATTTTTTCCGTAGGTAATTTGGATGGTTTCCGCTCTAATTCGATTAGAGACAATTGGAACGATTTTTTAAAAAAAAAAGCAAATAACAGTATTTTTCGAACGTGAAACAGTTTCTTCACAATTTTGCATACGCCTTCGAGATTAGTTTGATAATAATCAATATTTCTTTTCAGTAACAACGCTTCGTCATTTTGACGAGCTTGGCGACAAGGTCAATGACATTGTGGTTTTGCGAGAATTTGTAACTTCGCATTTCGATCCACCAGGGAGCGAATTGATGGAATGGTATCCGACAGATTGGGTTGATTTTCCGTCGAATTTCCTCAATATCCACGATTATCATCACCGGCGATGGGCTCTGCATTTGCATCGAATTTGGAGGGACCTTTGTCGCAGGGTTAGAACTTTCTCAAAAACGAGGATGTGCGGAATAAAAAACAGAAAGAAGTCAATGAAAAAGATTTATCTGCCAAATGTTTCATGAGGTGAAGCTCACGAAAAATAAGTTTTTTTTATAGTTTTATTTTAATTCCAACGTCAGGGATCAATGCGAAACTATTTTCCGGAGTTTTATCTTTCAAAAAAAAAAATCTTTTTTTCTGTTGTTGAACGATATTATTTTTTTAATTTTTGAAAAACAAATGAATCTCAAGAAAGGTGGTTCGAAAAAATTTAATTCCCAATTTTTATTTGCACATCCTTTGCGCGGAGAGATTATTTCTTCTTTCTTGCACGATTGTATACATTTTTATTTTAGGTAAAAGACGAAGTACGCAAGCATCAAGACCGGTATTCATTACTTTATGTTCCTCATCCTTTCATCATTCCTGGCGGACGCTTTCGCGAGTTTTACTATTGGTTTGAAGCCTAAAACTCCAGTTTTTGATTGAATATCCTTTCAAGGGACTCTTTTTGGATTCTCAAAGGCCTTCTCTATTCGGAAATGTATGAAACAGCACGAGGGGTTATCAAAAATCTGATGTTCATGGTGGAGAAGTGAATTCATCAAAATTATGTTTTATAATTTTTTTCTTTCAGTCACGGCTTCGTACCAAATGGCGGTAGGGTGTATTATTTGACGAGATCTCAGCCACCTTTGCTCATCCCAATGGTTTACGATTATTACATGGGCACTGGGGATCTGCAGTTTGTCATGGTAGCTTTTTCTTTTTTCTTCTTCTTCTCGTTCATAGACAATCTGGAACACTTGAAATCAGCTCAATCTGATCGTAACGAAAACTAATGGACAGTGCCTTTCAAAGCAACCCCTCTAAAGTTTGAAATGACGTCCATTTTCGAATTGAGCGCGAAATTTTAAAAATTCCCTCTGAACCTTTTTTCTTGCTCGATATGTTCTAATTGACATTCTACGTGGAAATACTAGTTCTTATCATGCATTTATGATCTTCAACTTTTTTTTGGTCTCGGTTTGACAGATGGCCACGTGTCAATCAGAGACGATTTTCAAAGGAAAAGGCCATTTTGCAGGACGCCCTGCCGACGCTCGAAAAGGAATACCAGTTTTGGTTGAACCACAGAATGTCGTGGTTCAAAGACGAAGAGGGGAACGATAAGTTCCCATATTTCCAGTACAAGGCTATTCTGAAAGTGCCGCGGCCCGAATCCTACAGAGAAGACAACGAACTGGCACATGGGCTCAAAACTCATGGTTTGGAGAAAATCGGCAAAAAATGACAGAAAGTGACTGAAATATCTAGGAATAAAAAAGTTGTTTCAAAAATAATGAAAATAAGATCATTTTTTCGATTTTGAGAACCTCAAACTTTATGTCGCTTCTGAAGTAGAATAATGCCGTGGGAATGTGGAAAAAGGTATAACAAAAAGTTCAGAAGAGAAAGTTCGTATGTGGTCGGAAGTTGCGTCGGCGGCTGAAACCGGCTGGGATTTCTCGACCCGTTGGTTTGCCCAGGATGGAGACGAACGCCATAGGATGAAAACAATCAGGTCCTCTATTATAAGATTATTGAGGAAATTCGGAAAATTTGTATCAAAATTTGGATAAAACCAAATCGCACTTTCGCTCTACAAAACTGCTAGAAAGAGAGAAAAAAAAAAAGTTTTTAAAGCGAATTGTGGTCAATTTGGATCTAATTTGATATACGGTATTTTGACAGAAGAAGAAAATCATAAAAAAAAGCTGGCTTTGAAATTTTTTGATTCAAGTGTAGAAGATCTTGAAGATAAGCTACTTTGAAATGATTCCGGTAGAGGTGTTGTTTCAAGAATCTGATTTCATTTTTTCAGCGTAGACAGAAGATTTTAATTTCATAATGCTACACCATTTTATAATATAGCTTATTTTTATTCTCTATAAAACGATGATTTCGGGTTTCTAAGACGTAAGTCCGATCTGGATTTACAATATCTTGACTTAGAGAAAGCGCGAATATTGGCGCCAAAGTGTTTCGGTCGCATTCAAACATCTAGCAATTGAAAACACCTTTCTTTATTCATCTGCTAACTTCGTTATTTTTCGATATTTTAACTATTTTTTCATTATAGAACATGGAGCGTCGTCCCCGTCGACCTCAACGCTTTTATGTGCGCCAACTCACGAATCCTCGCCAGTTTGTTCGAAATCGCAGGTGGATTTGTGCCGAAAAGACTATCATTTTGATTGATGACTTCTAGGGGATTTCAAAAAAGTGCAAGGATATCAGCAACGTTATGAATGGGCCAAAAAAGAGATGAAGGAAATTCATTGGAATGAAACTGACGGCATCTGGTACGATTACGACATTGAGAAGAAGGTCCGTGGGAGTATTTGGTGCTGAAAAGTTCATTTTTTAGACACATTCCAATATTTACTACGTTTCGAACGCAATTCCGTTGTACGCGAAGTGTTACGATGACGAAGACGAGGTCACGCCGCACAAAGTTCTCAACTATCTGATGGTTTGAGAGTTTATCAATCAAAAATCAGACTAACTGGTGTTAAACACAGAAATAACACCTTCAAAGATATGTTTTATGTTTAAATTTCCCCTTTTCTTGTGAGGCTTTCCAAGGGACTGATAGAGTATTATAATCTGAATAAGTTGAAGCTGTTCTTTTGAGGATTTTACTTCAGAAAGTTTTTATGTTTTGATTTTTTTGTATACCTACCAATTTTTCGAAGTACGAGGACTAAAAATAAAAATAAATTTGAAGACCATGTTTCCAATTAATGTTAGTAAAGAATCAACGCCGAATTTTAGATTCAACAGATAGAAATAAGTCAAAAAAACACTCTTGGGACCATCGTCGCGCGCGACAAAACATAGACGCTAGAGATACTGTAGCCATGAGGGCGGAGTCAGCTTCTTGAAATCCCGAATCCATGAAGGCTAGATTACCTAAAAAGGAAAAAAATAGAATAAGCTTTCATCGAATTCAGATACAACCATATTCCAATTCCTCTCGAATCGTTTATTCCTGTCCGTTTTCAGAGAGAAGGAGTGATGAACTTCACAAAGGGGCTGCCAACTTCTCTCGCGATGGGAAGCGAACAGCAGTGGGACAAGGAGAACGCCTGGCCGCCCATGATCCACATGGTCATCGAGGGGTTCAGAACCACCGGCTTGCCCGATTTGATGAAGGTTTGAGAGGGAAGCCCAATAGAGATAACGGAAGCTGAAGGTGGCTCAAAAGATGGCGACCTCTTGGCTCGCGGTGACCTATCAGTCGTTCATCCGCACCCACGCCATGTTCGAGAAGTACAACGTGACGTTGTTGACCGAGGAAGCGTCGGCTGGCGGCGGAGGAGAGTATGAAGTGCAGGTGAGAGAATAATCTATTGAAAAATTAGTATATTTCTCGAAAATCAATTTTTCGGACTTCATTAGGGCCTTATCGAACACAGTCTTTAACAAGGACGTTTTTAGAGATATTTTGAAAAGAAGAAACATCTAGACGCTTCAAGCCAAAGTAGAAAAAAAACATTCGTAAAAAAAATTTCTAAATCTTCAATTTTGAAGAAAAAATCGGCAGTAAACCTTTAATAATCAGCCGAATCGAATTTTTGGAAAGTTTGGATTGCAAAAAAACTTCACGTACTCTCAAAAAAATAGCTTCGAGCGTGTATTTAATAATTTTTTTCTTACTCGCAAATCCGTTTGAAAGAATTTTTTTCAGGTATTAAAAAAATTTTTAAAGCTTTTTTTCGTAATATTTTATTATTTATTTTTTTCTATCATTCATTTTTTTGTTTTGAAAATTGAACGAGAGTTCAAAAAAATATGTGAAGATAAAAAGATATCCATAAAAAAACATTAGCTTTCTAAAGTGTCTAGAGGTATTCCATTCGAGCTTGACTTTATTAACTAAGCATTGTAGACGGCTCTTCGCTACGAAACCTTCAAAAAATTGCCTAATGTTCCTTCAAAGCGCACATAGAGCTGTTTTGAATACACCAGATGGTTTCAGACTGGTTTCGGCTGGACCAACGGCGTAATTCTCGACCTTCTCGACAAGTACGGTGATCAGTTCTCGACGAGCGCCGGATCCCTTGCCAAATACCCAGCTGTACTACTTCTTCTTGTAGTTTTTGTAGAAATGTACTATTAGAGCCTTTATTGTACCGGTTCCCTTGCTTTTCTCGTCGCAGATTTCTCCGGGTAATTTTATTCCAAATAAATATTGCCTATTTTCAATTTTTTTTGTGTTCTGTGTGAATTTGTCCCTTGGGTCTTTGTGCTTATTTGGTTTGAATCTTCGGCAGAAAAATGCTTTTTTTTAGTTATTTACCGGGTAACCGACGCTTTTCAACGATTAGTTGCTGGATGACAGGTGCTTTTTTTCAAAATTAATTTTTTTTTCTAACATTTTTAGGTGAATGTTATTAGATAGATGGGCTCCCTTGAAAAGTTCTAATTTGTCAAAACCTAAAAGGCGGTTAGAAGAATATACTGAAGAAAAAACTATTTTTCAAAGTTACGACAGATGAATTTTAAGGGAGGTATATTTGGTCTTTTTCTTCTCAAATTGACTTCCGATTTTGATTTTTAATTTCTTATTTCGTATGGTCTAGCCAATTCACGGCTTAACCAGTGGATCTTCAGAATTTTCATGAATAATTGAAGTTCTGTTTTCAAAAGGTTCATAGGAAAATACGTTAAATTTCAGAAACCACATTGAAGACTTTCATTTCTTAAGAATTCTGATAAAAGATTATAATTTTACCTTCAAATCAGTATTCCAGATGATTTAGAACTAATTGCTGATTAGTTCCTGTAAATTATGAAATAATACTAATGAGGTTCTGCCGAAATCCTGCGCCAAGTACAAATTTCTAGCTTTTGGCTACAAATCTATATTCATCTGTGAAGCTTGGCCGTACGAGTTTATTTTTACGCAGAGGACAAAATTGTTCTCTTCCCATATATCAGAAAATGTTGAGTTTCAGCAAAATCTCTGATGATTTTTTTCACGGACAAAGCCTAGAAGGATCTGAAAAGATTCTGAAAAAAGGCCTCTTAGGTCCTTTTTTCTTTTTCTTTTAGTGAAAAAGAAGGTGAAAGAAGAAGATTCAGAAAAAATTTTGACACCTTTTTAGGAAATCAAAAAGAAGCTTCAGATTTTTTTTTCAGCTCTTTTTAACGCCGTTTGGACTATACGAGTGTTGGTGCCTAATTAGAACACTATTTATTTTTCTCAAAATGTTTTCACATTGATCCCAACTTCCATGCTCCTTGAAACCAACTTCCATGCTCTTTGAACTTCTCGTCACTTTCTCCTTCTCGGCTGTCCTTTATCAGTGTGCAAATAGAGAATCTGTTGGAGTTGCTGGGGCGTACTTTGGAACACAATAAGATAATTACCAGATAGCTGTCAATGCTGGGGAGGGATGTACAGAAAATCGAACTGAAACGGACCTTCTTCATTTTCCGACATTTTGTGAAGTAAAATTGGGAATTTCTGTAATTTTTCCTATGATCCTTCAGAAATGAACTGGTTGGAGGCCATTTCCGGACGCCCGAAAAATTTGAGCGAGGCCCAATGTTTCAAATTCGATTTTCGCGAAGTTTCCCAGCGTAAATCTGACGTATTCATGACTCAAAAGCCTCATTCATAGAATTTTTCATTTAAAAACTCTGATTTGGACGTTTTTTCGTCATTTCCCGTTACTCTCGTCACTCTTCTTCGTTTTGGCAGAATCTTTTACAGTATAGTCTGTTCAGATTTCGAATGTCAAGCAGCTAACTCCACCCCCAAGGCTGCAATATCTTTCGCGTCAATATTTTATCTACAGATGACAATTGCCCTTTAATAAGGCTGCATTTTTGACTTCATTTTCTATCTTTTTGATCAAAAAAGATCAAAATTAGTCCCGCGCGGTAAAACATCGACGCGAAAAGCTACCGTCTCAGCAGGGGCAGAGTTAGCTGCTTGACATTCAAAATCTGAACAGACTATAGATCAATTTTCGATCCAATAGGTTTTTGAGAAAAAGACGAACGATGATGGCTACAAGACAGGTTTTCATTAGTTCTGTTTAACAGATAGCAAAATTTTTTCTTTAAAAAACTAGTTTGTAGTTAAAATCAGCTTCATTTTTTGTATCGTTCAATTTTCCTAGGTTGTCCGTCGAAACAAAGCGCCGAAATCCGTGGCTTAATATCGGGACAAATGGACGCATTTAGAGGCTTCTTCGAGAATGCGCTGTGTAATTTAAAGCACCTACTTGCGAAAAGCTTCTCGGATGAAATTTTAGTTTTAGAGGTATTTTTAATCTCGTTAGAATATGTCCTAAAGCTGAATTTTAATCAGTTTTTTCCCACCATCTGGTCTCAATCAGCGTAATTTTCGTGTTCTGAGTTTCCTCAGGGATGTCTGACAAGGGCAATGGAGGTTTAAAAAAATTTTTTTAAACGTCTAACACAAAAAAATCGGTTTTTTTGTACACTACGTTTCGCAGTTAGATTATTTAGAGGAAACTTATAAAATAAGGTGAAAATATATTTTAAGGACTTTTGTCTTGACATTGGAGAACAAAAACCTATAAAAGGCACTGATTAATGTAATTTTTATCAATTACTAAAATGAAATTGATAAAATAGTCAAGACAACCAATAAAAAAACACGGAAAGAGATTCGTAAGGAACGGCTCAGAAAACTCGGCTTGCAGAGGTCCTACCGACTCTTTGAAAGTTGAGGCCAACTCGAGACTTGCCGCCAAAATCACTTTTAAAAGTTGCGATCGGCCGTCGAACAGGCTCATTATCTTAACACTATCTGTCTATCTATCCGTTGCTCCTCGACCCTCCGCAACGTGTTTATTCTTCTTGCCGTGCGGCTCTGCTCCAGCCAGACGTGTCCCTCCTCCTCCTCTTCTTTTTTTTGTGCCCCCTGCTTTTCTCGCTGCCCCATCATCAACTCATTCAGGCCACAACCAGCTGAAACCCAGCCATTAATTTGGCTCATTTACACGGATTTCCTCCGTCTCCTTCCTCCTTACAGCCTTCAGATCTCCTTTGTTTGGTTTTCATTTGATTGCAATTCCTCATTTTGACCTTTACCTTTTTTTTTTGGAATGAAAGATCTTGAGTAAACTCAAAACAAAATGAGAGTTTCACGGCTGATGTGAGAATTTGGAGATCAAAACTCATTATACATTATATTCAATCATCACGCGGATTGTATTTCAATATTTTTAAGGTTGAAAAAAACGTGAAACTTTTATTTTGAACTATTTTTAAAAGTTTTTTTCTCAGGGAATTTCAAGCTTTGTAGATATTTTTTTGAGCTTGAGGGGAGATAAATTTCAGAGCAAAAATTTTTCTACCTTTTTTTCATGAGATGTAAAGCTTTTTTTGATTTAGTGAAATAAAACTTATTTTTATAGAGATATGAGATAACATGAAGTTTTTTTGATAAAAAAAGTTTACAAACAAAAAGAAATTTGAAAGATTCGGTTGAAATCTATATACGATGCGTAAATAGGGCAATCAGTCATCCTCAGTTTATTCATTTTACAATAAATAAAACATTTCTAAGGGCCATAAGACCTCTTATTAGAAAAAAAGTAGGACAAGGGAATTTTTGAAACAAGAAAAAAATTGCATTTTAGAACTTAGGAGGAATTTTTTTAGAAAGGTGTAAATATAGAATGAATGAAAATTTCTAAATTTCAACGTTTAATGATAACTTTTAGAATTTTCGTATGATTTTTTTGAAATTTTTAACGTCTGAAAACACAGAAAACAGTTTTTCGCCCTGAGGCCTTCATTAAATTTGTCTATGCTCCTTCAAACACCATAGCAATCGTTTTTGAACAGACCGAACTCCTATGGAAACGGCACTTCATCATCATTCTCGGAATGGAATCGTTTTTATTGGTTTCATCTCGTTTTTTGCTTTTTTCTGTGACTGCTTCCCTCGGATAATCACATTTGCTTTTTTGGGCTTCATTCGGAATCCACCACTTTCTTCTATCATTAAAGTTTTTCGTTTTCTTTTGTCTTTCAATTTGTAGGCTTTACTTAGTGGTCTTGGCTTGGTTCTTTTTTGTGAGTCTAGCTTGGAAAGTCCAAAATAAAAAGTGAATGAGGGACTCGGATGTAAAATGAAAAACTCTCTTGGATTTGCCTTTGAATTTGTCTTTTTTAAAAAGAATGGTCAGGATCCTTCAAACCATGACGAATTGGAATAGTGAACCTACGATCCTATCAAAAATCTTCCATTTTCCGATCAGACACGTGTAGACAGCTGAAATTTTCAGCTTTTCGATAAATTCACCTGCCAATTACTCTTGAAAGCATTCAGAAGCTCGCTCTTCCATCTAGTTCTACATGAAATTGAGTTTTATAGAAAAGCAGAAGCTATAGTTTTTTGGCACCTCGCATACAAAGCTATCTTTGTGCCAAATCGGGCTCGTTTAGTTTTTTCTTCTTGCCAAGGAAGCTTATTTTTGACGCATCTTTTCAGGGAAATTCTCGCCGTTCATTATAGGAAAGAAGATTTTGAGAAGACTCTGTTTTTTTTTTTGTTGAATTGTTAGACCGGGAAAATCGTCAAGTTTTGGAAAGTACCTTGGGTTCTAATTTGAAACTTCTGGGTAACTTTTCTTTTTCCTCAATCACACTCATCAAAGCAAAAAAAAAGTCTTACCGTATATATGTGGGTTTATTGACGAGAATTAATTAATTCTAATTACTATGTAATCTAACCTAAGCCTAAAACGGGAAGACATTTTTTTATTCATTTTTTTCTTTTGTGAATCCACTTTTTGGTTCAAATAGTCAGTTATGAAAAAAAGAGAAGAATTTTGCATTCTTCCCTTCTTTCTCTGCTTATAAATAATTCTTGACGTGAAGAATTTTTCTTTTTTTCGGAAGTCAAATCAATTCGAAGACGTATCTTCATAATGGAAATTTGGTGCTGTTTGTTTGTTTTGTTTATTTTTCTGGCTTGTTTCTAAATTCCCGATCCGAATAATAAATTTGAAAAAAAGCCCTACCTGACTTCTTTCAAGTCATTCCGCGCCAAAAGGGGATCTCTTTTTTTAAGCCAAGCCAAGTTTTGCATCAAAAACGTGCAAAGAGCAGCCACGCGCAAAGTTCGAAAAA